GGCCGCTGCTGTCAACGGAAAACCATTCCGTGTCATTCTTAACGCGATAGGTGAAAATTTCGTCGTTCAGGTCTTCATCCACAACTAATACTGCTCCCGACAGTAAGGTGCCCACTGGTGAGTTTTCGTTTACGTGAATGTGAGCGCAAGTAACGACTGGTGGGTCGTTTGTATCCAATACCATCACGGAAACTGTGTAGCTAGCAGTGACGCTCCCATCAACGATCGAGAAACTCAGATAATGCACCTCTTTTTCTTCATAATTGATGCCCGTGTTGCCAACGTGTACGTAGCCTGATGAGGAGTCAAAGTAAAAAGACCCTGGAATACTTTGATCCACCAGAATATACTCTAACGTTGTCGAGCCCTCCGGATCAGCAAAGAGAGAGCCAATCGCGGGTTCAACACGGGTACCCGTTGGGGTATTTTCAACGGCTACAAGCATCTCGCTGGACACTAATATTGGGGGCTCATTTTGATCGAGAAGACGAATATCAAAGATTCTCTGTGTAGTAAGAGCTTCTGGGGAAGCGTCATGAACGGAAATATATAGTTGAAAGGTTTTCTTCAGGTTTGCAACATCAAACAGCCGATGCCAATCGCTGTCACGAAACTTGATATCGACGACATTGTCGCTGCGTAGGTGCGATAGCTCAAACGTTAGGAGTCCAGTGCTTCCATTGCCGTATTGATTCCACTCCTCGGACGTGTTGACAGCCGAGAAAATAGTTCCTGCCGTGTCAATTCGTACATAGACCGAATCTTGAACTCGAGTCCGAAAGTTGTCTGGCTCCGAATTGGATCGTGTGTAGAACAGATCTATGGTCGTACGATTCGCTGATTCGCTCACGAAGGTCACAGCCGTAATTCCGACAGCATCATTTGCCTGCTCGAGCATTACACCTCCGAAAGTTGGTACCATCAGGCTATCAAATACAAATGCTTCGTAGTCAAAGCAGTTTGCATTCGCAACAACCAGCTGCCCTGACGCTGCGTTGATCTCTAAACAACCGCCAATACTTTGTGAAGAAATTGAGTATTCAACACGCCCACCTTTATCCGGATCATACGCGCTTATTGGTAGCTCCACAAGAGTTCCTCGAGGCACATTTTCACGCAACTCAAATGTCGCTTCACCGATAATGGGGGCCTCGTTCACATCTAGTACGTAAACCGTCATATTCGCTTCAGCTGCAAGTGCTCCAGTATCAGTCACTCGAAGTGTCACCGTGTACTCGTTCCACTGCTCAAAGTCGAGAGGTGCGTCTAGTACCAGTATGTTTTGCTCTTCATCATAACTAAACGGACAGTTCGAGGGTACACACCCCACGAACGAAATCGTCGGTGAGTCGTTGAAATCCTCGTCAGATACTGCCAGAATATCGGCTAAACTCACGTTCGCCATGACTCCTTCCTTCAAGTATACGTCTACTAACGAGATAGTCGGGGCCTCGTTCACGTCGATAATGTTGATGGTGACGTCAAAACGAGTAGATAGTGCTGAAATCCCGTTGTCAGTCACGCTAATCGTAAGCAGATATTGGCTACGGGCTTCGTAGTTTAAGCCAACGTTCGTGATCTGAAGTTGGCCGGTTCCTGAGTCTATCGATAAATAGTCCTCTTCATTTCCAGCAACAATTGCAAACGCTAGCTGTTGTCCAATATCAGGATCAGCGGCGAGAAGAGCGCTTCCGACGACGGACCCAATCCTCGAATTTTCTCGCACCTCTCGCGTCTGGTCAAAGCACACTGGAGCTTCATTTTCGTCGAGAATACTAACCGTAAGATATCCTATAGCAGAGAGGGGGTCGACACTTCTTCCCTCCTCGATTGTAAGCATGAGCGAATAGGATGGATACGTTTCGTAGTCCAGGATCGCACGAGCTACAATCAACGTATTGTTCTCGATGTAGAACGCGTCAAGATAATCACCACCACTAATGGACACCATCAGAATGTCACCGTCGGGATCATACAGCTCAATATTCCCGACAATAGTTCCAGCTGCAGCTGTTTCAGCAACTTGAAGATATCGGTTCCCAACGAATATCGGGGGTTCGTTCACGTCCACAATCCAAACTGTTACAGTCGTCACCGCTAGCAAGCCTCCACCGTCTCGAACACTCAGTTGCAAGTCATACTGGTTTTGAGTCTCATAATCCAAAGAACGGGTATTTCGTCGTATATATCCTGTTGACGGATCAACCTCAAAGACTGAGGCCAACTCGGAACTAGTAAGGGCGTAGGTATGGTCCGCATCCCCAGTATCATCGTCGTCAGAGATTGCATATTGCTGAGAGGCTACGAGGCACATTGTTAGCACTGAAACAGATAAGCAGAGTATATGGTAGCACTCGAAACAGACTTACCGTAGGCCATGTAGCGCGGGCACGGCTCGCTCGTGGGCGTAAAATACGATACTGGTTTCCAGGTTTGATTTTCAGGGTCCCAGTATTCCATAGAAAGCACCCAAGTTGAGGGGCTTGGGGTACAATCTGTATAGAGGATTACTTTTGAAGCTTCGACTTCTGCCTTGAACTCAAACTCTACCCACATGTGCGGATTCTCAGTCAAATTTTGTCCAACGAAGGTGACAGTGGTTGCATCACCGTCCATAGCGTTGCTCACGTCGGACCCATTCGAAGCTCTGAAGGATACTAAAGACGATGCTAGATCCAGTTTGGATCCTTGCGAGAACCACGAGAGCTCAGCAACGCCAAACTCCTGTTCTCCCCCATCAGACAAGAAATAAAGACGCCACGTCGATGCCACAGATCCAACCGCATCGCTGATAGCGGGACCATTAATAAACACTGAACTGCTGCCCACTGGGGTTACCATATAGCCATTGTACGTCGAAGCATCCGCCAAGTCGCCTTCAAATCTGTCGCAACACCAATTCAAAGCATTGACCAGTCACGTTGTGAGAGCTCGCTACCAGTCAATGCAGCCAAGAGTAATCGCTTGCCTGTAAAATGCTAGCAGGCCTAGCTGGGTCGGGTTGACAGATCGGGCAAGGTCGTCTACAATCTGCTTTGGTGGCTTCGTCGCACTCCACAAACGCAGCTACAGATAAAACATAATCATAGGTCAAGCGTTAGTGCAAAGCCTAAGCGAATAATTTGTACGACTGTACCTCATCAATTGCGATTTGGAAGGTCTTCACTGGGCATTCGATGTTGTCATTGCAGTTTCCAATTGTGAGAGTAGTGGACGGACCCCACGTGACTCCAGAACAGGACACAATTTGCTGCTTGACAGCCACCACTCCGTCCACAAGTATTTGAAGTTCGCCCGAGGAGCTAGCAAACGTCGCGGCTACATGGTACCAAGTGTCCAATTCTAATACCATCCCGGTGTTAAGCGCCACGCCGTGAAGAATTGCATGAAGCTTTTCTCCCGAATACTTGAGTTGTAAGCCTATCACGGAGCTGTTGCTATCCTTCCAGCCCACAAATGACCCCTCGCCGTCAATAATACGGACCCAGCACTCAAGCGAAAAATCAGCTTCTGGTGACGGCACAGGCGCGCCTTGTTCCACGTAAACTGAGTCAGCAGACACTAAAAGTGCCTTGTTCGTCACGCGACCGGCAGTGATCCTCTCGAAACCTTCACAGGCTTGACACGGCTCGCACGACCCAGAGGCGGTGGTGTATAAAGAGCACGTGGCTGACGAATAATCAAAGACACCTGCTTCACACGAAGACAAGTGTTCGCAGCTCTGAAGACATCTTCCATACGAAACAGTAGCGAAAGGCTCAATGCTGATACTCTCACTCACTCTGGAGCACAATCCACGTGATCTAAACCTTGAGGTCGCAATTGTCCGGGTGGTCGCGTCTTCTTCAATAAAGAAATGCTGGTTTTCTGGAAAGTAGGGGGCTTCGTTGACATCAACGATGGTGGCATCCAAGACGAGGGTCGACGTCGCTCCAGCCAGATCCGTTGCTGTGATGTTCAAGGGGTAAAGCGAGCGAGTCTCGTAGTCCAGTGCTTTAACCAGCACAATATTGTAAGCCGTCGAGTTAACCTGCTCAAGTGAGAAGGTTAAAGAGCGACCAAGAAGTTGAGCTGTGCACACATCATCGGCGTCTTCATCAAATATCACCACTTGACCAATTACTGTTCCAGTTGCAGAAGTTTCAGGAATATCCACGCCCAACGCAGACGATGAAGGGAGAGCAGGCTGGAATGAAAGCTGGGGTGTATCGTTTTCATCGAGCACCTGTACAAAGATTGCCATAACAGTGCTTTTCTCGGGTCGATGCGCGTTTCGAACGATGACTTTTGTGCTGTAAGAACGATGTTCTTCGTAGTTGAGCACCCGAGCGGCTCTCAATTCGCCTGTGAGACCGTCAAGCGAAAACTTTGAGCTTTTGCCAGCGAATTTAAACAGAAATGACGAAGAGTTGCTCGTGCCTGTGTCTGCATCAGTACAATTTTTCCAGATTGCGTCCCCCACCAAATCGTTTAATGCGTTATTCTCGGGTATAGTAACAGTGACCGTATCCACGCATTTCGGAGATTCTAATTCGTTCGAGATGTCCACAGTCAGGTTGCACGTGCCAGTCAGGGAAGCTGCAGCATCGTCTTGAACACGAATCTTGAGTACATACAGGTGCTTAGTTTCGTAATCGGGTGATTGGGTGCCAATTGTAACTACGCCAGTCGACGAATTAATCTGAAAGATGTCTTTGTCCGCTTCGGAAGCAATGGAATAGGACACGGTATCCACGGCATCAGGGTCACTTCCATTCACGATGCCAACGACAACACCGTAGGGCGAGTTCTCCATGACTTGAGCCTGTGAGTTAGAGCATTTTGGCGGGTGGTTAATATCTCTCGCCAGTATTCCAACCGTAATCTCACTAAAGGAAGACGCATCAACAGTGTCTGTCACCCGTAGCACGATATCAATCCGTGCCTCATCGGATACGTAGCCACCGGGTCTCACAGTGAGCTCGCATGCGGTGTTATCAGCGGTCGTTTCAATCGAGAAACTATCGGTCGGATCCGTAGTGATCGAGCATAAACCGCCAATCTGCCCCGGGTCTCTATCGGCTACTGGCAGAGAAACAGGAGCATACGCTCCGTTGGTCTGCTGGCTGATATCAACTCTGTAATAGTCTTGAGATACCGTAGACCCCACAAAATAGGGTGGCGAAGGCACCATTTGAACAGAAATCTCAACCGGGTCTGAAAACCCGATGAGACCATCTGGATCAGTGGCTTGGATCACCAACGTGTATTCACGCGTAATCTCGGCGTTGAGCGACGAAACAATAGTCAGATCTCCTGTCGAGTTGGAGATCGAAAACTGGTTCAATGGGTCGCCAGAGTAAATTGAAAAGACGAGCGCTGAAGCCTGGCCAGTGTCTTCGTCTGAAAAGGTCACGGGTGCGCCGACAGAGCTGCCCACTGTTGCGCTCTCAAGTACCGTCACCGTCGCAGGCTCTGCGTCAACAACAGGTGCATCAGGGCCGTCCAAAATTTCCACTACATTTGGTCCGAACTCCGCACAAAGCTTCAGTGGGTCACATGCGCTGATGCTAGTACTGAAGGAGTGAGTGGACAGCAGTTCGTAGTCGATCGTAGCTTTTGTCACCAGATCGCCATCATTGACAGCAAAAAGGTCCTCAAAGCCGGTACTGGCATGAACAAGTTTGTATGCTACACGGTCTCCTTCAGGGTCACGCGCCTCGAAAGTGTAGACAATCGTTCCAATGGGGACATTTTCAAGAACTTGCGTCGTGAAAATTGAACTGACGGGGGCTTCATTAACATCCAGTACTTGTACCGTCATTAAGGCTTCATCGCTGCCACCTTTTCCATCATCAACCAATACACTAACGGTGAGGGTGGGGGTGGTCTCGAAGTTTACCGCCCCCACTACCCATAATTCAGATCCCTGGATCAGAAAGATGTCGCTTGCAGAGCTTAAGCTAAAGCTGAGCACGTCTCCTTTATCTTCGTCCACGGCGTAGTGTGCGAGATTTCCTGCCAAGCAATTACTGCCCACACAATTCTCAGGAACTTGGAAGACAGCTTCAGTCAGGACAGGAGGATCATTCGAGTCCGTTACGTTAATCACATAGCCACAGGTGCTTCGAAGCCCCGTAGTATCCGTAAAGCGAACTCGAAACGAAATCGTGTCCTGCACCTCGAAATCAAGAGCCTTCTGCAGCGTTAAATTGCCTGTGGTTGAGTCCACAATAAGCGCCCCTGAGGTGCTTTGAGATACCAATTCATACTTCACATAGTCCCCAGCATCCGGATCCGAAACGTAGTTGTTCATGTTGCCAATCAACGTCAGGACTAAAGTATTCTCGGCAACATTAAACGTGTGCGGCGTACAGGTTGGAGGTTCTGGAACATCTACGACAGTAATCGTCACGCTAGAATGCCCTTCCAGTCCCCCTTTGTCTTTAACAACAATTTCCAAGACAAACCGAGCGGATGCTTCAAAGTCCAGGGCCTTTGTTGCCACGATGGCTCCGTCTCGATTCACCGCGAAGTTTCCATCTCCACCGCTCGCGATAGAAAACGTGTATGAATCGTACGAATCTGGATCCTGCACAACTAGTGCAGGTGCCAAAGTCACAGGAGGCGGCAGATTTTCCTGGATGGTGCGCACAGCCTGACTATTTGTAATTGCCGGAGCTTCATTTACGTCCACCACGCTCACATGGATTTGGCATGCCGCGTACGACGCACTCGCTTGGGTCTCCTGAAGCACCAGTGTGAGGTCGTACCCACTCCGACTCTCGTAATCTAGCTCCTTCAGCAGCGTGACATGATTTTCACTGTCCAGTGCGAATAAACCTGCGCTGTCCGTTGGTACTTGGAGACTATACGTCAAGCCAGTAGGGGAGGATACCAGGCTGAAACTGACGCTGGAAACGAAGGCAGCATCATTTTCGGGGATATTCAAAGTGTGCTTCTTGTCCACGCAAACCGAGCTTGGAAATACGAAAGCCAACGTGCGAGTGCCTGCCGCGCAGCTGTATCCTGCTGGGCATTTCTTGAGTCCATACCTGCGCGTGTCAGAAGTATCGTCCGGAACTCCATAGTAGCCGGGTGGAATACTAACGTAGCTGTAGGAAGCAGACGACTGCGGCAAAGGCACAGGTAATGCCAAGTTGTAATTGGACCCTGCTACAATAGTCTCGAACGTGGCCGGTGTGACGTTGTCATTGACTCCGACAAATACAAAGCCAGACGCTGAAGCGTCTAGGCTGGATTGGGGTACACCATAGCCAACTAACCACGAACGTAAAGCTGCAGGTAGCGATCCCGGGTTAACACCGACAAGCACAGCAATTCCGCCAGTATCCATGGCAGACAGCAGTGGCATGTAGTTTACGCTAGCAGAAACGTCCGCTGTGATGGATGAAAGTTGCAGGCCAGCGCCAGAAAATATCAATACTTCCAAAGTGTTCGCGGTCTGAACTAGAGTCTTAGCAGTGTCTCCGTTAGCATAAATAACTCTTTTGCAGGCCGACGCTGCTGTACCACACAACGAGACCTCCATCTGCAAGTAGATCGGCTGTCCATCTAAACGATCACAGCGTAACGAGGTGAAACTCGCGGCCGGGGATTTCCGATACAGAATTGTCCTCTTTACGGTAAACTGCGACTCGGCCCCAATGAACGATAGAACGTGCTGACCCCAAGTTGATACGAACGTGAATGCTAGCGAGCTGTTGGTGGACCGCGGCACAATAACAGTCCCGTCCAGGATCACGACGACACCCCAGTCAAACCCAGCAGTCGGCACCTGGAATTCGTACGTTAGATCCGATTGAGACTGCTCAAAGTACGAGATCGTGATATTGTGCGCGAATCCGACGGACCACCCCGTCTTAAACCAAGTCAAGTTCACGTCTCGAAAGTCGAAAATGTCGATCGACACAGCAGACGTCCCGCTGATAGCAGTCAAAACGCCCTGGATGAGTGAGTCATTCGTCACTCCTGGCTGCCTCGGTAGCGGTGCCAAAGTGTGCGCAACGGACGCCGGGGACACAGCAACTTGATCAACTCCGGATGGTGATTCAGGGCAGCGACTGATACTTCCCGCCTTGCAGACACAACCCACTGCACACCGCCCAGAACATAGCGGACTCACCAGACCGACTTGGTCTCCGTAGCGGGTGGGTGGGCACTGGTAAGATACGCCTCTGCGGCAATAAAACCCTCTTGGACAAGGCAATACAGCAGACTGCTGCTCATTTGTCGTCGATCCGATGGAATAATAGCCGGGTGGTACAGCAATTGGGCCCACGTTTCCCGCAGGGCAGTACACACTTCTCGAAGGGCATGGTGCGATAGTTGAGTACCCACAGGGAGCTCCGTTTGCCGGGCAATAAAATCCGCCAGGAACGCTTGTGCAGCTCTGCTGGCCGGGCTTAGAGTACGTCCCATTCACGCAAGGAGTGAGGTCACTTCGGCACATTTGGTTGAGGGCTCCCACGTATCCTTCTGGTACGCTAAGACACTGGCTGGATCCAGCATCGGAAAATGTTCCTGCTAAGCACTTAACGGGGGCTGTCGATCCACTCGTGCACATGAAGCCGGATGGACAAGACAAGCACGACGCGATCCCAGACGAAGCCGCCGAAGGGTTGTATGTACCCGCTGGGCAGATCGTGCATCCTTGTGACCGTGGCTCGGAATACGTCCCCGAAGCGCAAGGAGAGCATTCACCCGTTGTAGTCGCAGAATATCCGGGAGGGCACTTGTCTGGACGTAGCAAGAGCGTTGAAGAACTATGCCCATCCGTGTTGTCCCACACGATGCCTCCCGTCTTCTGACACCAGCTTTGCGCCCACGCAGCGTACGAATTACAGATCGGCAGCATGTCGAAAGGCGCGTTGAGATCGGATCTCGTTGAACTCAGACAGTCGCCGTACCAGAATCCGCTGCGGCTATTCTTCGCGCAATTTTGAGTCGCAGATAGATCGTTATCCTGATCGGGTGCGCTGAAATACGTGTTGGTGAGGGGGCCAAGGGCGTCCGTTGCGTAACTTGCTGTCGAATTGTACCCCTTCACCGTCAGCAGAAACTTCTCGCTTTCGCTAGCAACTCGAAACTCGCTGTAGACTGCAGCCTTCGACTGATAGTCCTTGGACAGCACAATCATAGCCTCCGTAGCATGCGCTGAGATGGCTGCAAGAGCCACGTTCCCAATCCACCACTCACTGGAGGATCCCAAGCCAAATCCATCGCGGTATTCGTTCCAGTTGCGGTTAAACGTTGTTTTCCCGTTAAGGCGCCGCTGCGCAACTATCCATCCGTCAGAGCAAGGGAGCAGCACTGGATCAGCAGTGGGGTCGAGCTGGATGTAGTAAAGTCCATCGGGGTTCGGGTCTCCATTGGACACTCGCACATCCTTTAAGTGCGTACACGATACTGCAGGACTGGCCATCGACAACCCCAACGACGTCGTGAAAGACGACTCCACTTCCATGGAGACGTCATCGATTCCGAACGCACTGATGTTCAATGTGCCAAAATCCACCTCAAATCGGAGTTGGGTGGCATTTCCGCTGAACCCCCTCACCACAAAGCGTTCCCTTCCTCGATAAAAGTAGGCTTGCTGCGCAGAGCTTGCCGATCCCTGCCCGTAGCATGCGTAGGTCGCTGATGTATCAACCTGTAGCTGCCGAACCAGCTGTGTACCAAGGAAAACGCGGATGGTTTTCGGCTCTGAGCTCTTCAAGAGAAGCGTGACCCAATAGAGAGGATCGAATACGAAGTAGTACGTGAACTTGATGCGCACGCTGGTTGGTTTGTCACTCTTACTGGTTTGAGCAATAGTCTTAGTGGCGTAAGCCCCAGTACGAGCAAATGACTTGCCACCGAGTATCACGATTCCTTGACACAGTTGATACCACTTTCCCGAAGTACTCCAAGAAGTCAGCCATAGATTGTCATCCCCCGTTCCAATGAAGGAGTCCTGAAGCGCAATGCTCCAAGATATTGATGGACTGATGTCATTTGTTGAGCACAAATACTTCGCCGTGGATAGTCCGCGCGGGTCGAAGTTCAATCCCAGTCCGTCGAGCACACTTTCACCGTTAAAATAATAGTGCATTCCTAGCCACCTCCGTTCGTCGGGTGCATTGGCGGGTGATATCACATCGCACGAGCTTCCGTTATCGCGTAGCCACCACTTCCCACCATCAATTGCAGTCCAGTCCAGATTGCTGTCTTCGTCACTCGGTAAATCTACTGTATCGCGAACGTACGCATTCGTTATCCCAGGGACCGTCGAAAAATACAGCGATCCATACTTCTTGTGCATAGAGGATAAATGCCCCGACGATCGTGGCACAACCTGCTGAAGTCCCATCGCTTTACAACTATCGACATCTTTCGGCCCCCCAGTGTACAGACAATTCAGATCGTTCGTTCCAAAGTCGCACGGTACTATCGTGTAGCCTTCACCGCTGTCCGCTGTCATGTTGCAGAACGCTTCGTAGATTCCAGCCAATGTTGCGATGGCATATCGCCCGCTTACAGCGTTTGGGGCGTCGACTTTAATCGCGTGGCATGTTTGAGGCATTTTCAAGTGCACGATGCCACCACCGGTTGCATTGTAGGCGCCAGTTTGTATATTTTGCCGCAGGTCAGCTGCAGTGATTGGGTAGCACGACGATCCATCCGCAATTGAGAACCCAGCACAGTCATTGCTGGCTAAACACATGCACCGGCACCGATCTTTCACTGTGTACACGTCAGAACACCCGCATGTACCACTTTGACACTGAGCTTGCAACGACACATTTTGGCTGAGGAACCATTTGGTGTTCCGAAGGATTGTCCAAGCAGTGTCCGATATCGTCGCTTCCTGAGCTCGCACAAATGCCACCCGCGTCGAATCAGTCGTCAATGAGGACGTGTTACGCAGCATGTAGAGGTTGCACGTCATGGTGATCCTGTTGTAGACTCCCAGCCTGCACAGTCCGTGTCGAGCACACCGAGACTGGCACAACTCCTGCGATAGTAAAGCTCCTCTTTCAACCGTGACAATACTCCACTGCAATCCTTTGAGTAGGTATCCTGCGCTTGTTGAGGTTTTAGCAGTTACTGCAATTGTGTGCGACCCAGCAACGGCATCCAGCACAGAGTGCATCGTCAATGGTTCGCAGGCTCCGCTTGTTGCTGTACCGGACACTGAGGAGAAATCACCATCGAAAAGAGCATCGCCATTTTTCAAAATGCGAGCGCGAAACGTTTCATTCGCTGAATTCCGGCAGATAACTCCCGTGACACGGACTATCAAGGTACTGGATGTCGGAAGTGTGACTATCTTGGAGAAAATTTGTGTCGTCAGGATCGCGTTACTGTCGACGAACGTGTCCGTCACAACTGTGGCTCCTGGTATAAACACCGATGTCGTTCTCCCTCCAATAATTTTCCCCGTTCTTGTTCCTTGGTATTGATAGTTCAGAGAAATGTTCGTTGGGCTTGACGGCGTGACGCTAGTGAAGTATGAAAAGTCAAGAGGCACACCCGATGGATCAAGAAAGGTTTCGTCTAGGCGAAATTGCGAGGTAAGCGAGCCAGAACTTGGTCCAAACGCAAGATCCAGCCGAAAGGTTTTAACTGCGCTTTTATCCACAAAGAATCGCCCGGTAAAGGTGCTCATCAAAACGCCGGTGGTGGGATATGACAGCACAGTACTCAATCCAGGAATCACAGCCCACTGCGAGTTCACTGCGGTCGGAAAAGCAACTTGATATGACTTGGCATTCCCCCAACTGGTTGTCGGTAAATACGAGAATGATACCAAGGACGAAGTGTTGCCTTTCGAGCTCTGACCATCAGACGTTGTAACGGAACTTGAGTGTAAAGCGAACCTTCCCTCGACAGCAGCATTCTGGAACTGTAAGACTGAAACACCCCTCCCGACGCTGCTGGCTTTGTTCGCTTGCTCAGTGGTAAGCGTATTCGTTATCGCCGAATCAGGCGCAACAAACGGCACCCATTTCGTGAGTTCTCCAACCATGGCAGCGACGGATATAACGGCCGGGGTGGATCCTTCGCGGCTGAAGTAGACGCTCGTGCTTTCAAACTTTGTCGAGAGTCCATAGATTTTCAGCACATGAAAGCCCGGGCTGATCTTCATATCCACCTGGGTAGCTTTCGCAAGAACCCCCTTCCAATAGCCAGTCTTGCCCATGAGATCCTGTATCACAATTCCATCGAGAACCACGACAGCGCCGTTGCCAATGCGAAACGGTAGTCCGAGATACCACGACCAGCTCGCGGCATTGTTACTGGGCTCTACGAATTCCACTTGCAGCAGGAACGCCACGTTCGTGTCGACCTGCTTGAACCTCCCGCACAGATCGCTCTGAGTGTTCAACAGAAAACCCAATGCAGACAACTCACGTTCACAGAACCCGTCGGTCTCCACAGGCGCCGCAGCAGCGTCAAAGTCTTTCAGGAATGTTGCGCCTTGACCAGCTTTGTACGCTATTGATGACATCGGTTTAGAGGCATAAGAAAGCTTGACGTACGGGCTCAGCGATGCTTGGAGAGAGAAAACAAAGGCAAATAAATATGAGTGCAGGATCTCCTACAAGTAGTAGCAGCGGTGTACATACTCGGGTAGTTGAGGCGCGATTCGAGCACATTCTCCGTGTAGTATCGTGGATCCTACAGCCGCACGCCAAGCACAAGCCACCATCAGCGCCCATGTAGATAGATCCCTTGGTTCTTCCCACGTGGGCAGGCCTACCGTTCTGTAGTTGACGTGCGCCACGAGCACTCCAGCGCTCGGAGTCACGAGCGTGGCCGTCCTGTCGCCGTCCAGGTTGTCGTACCCCACCGACGGGAGAACTGCGGTGCATCGAGACATACAGGTTAGCGCCGCATATTAAAGCCAAAGGGTACAAAGTCAAAGTCGCGCTCGCGTACACGGAGTGAGCTCCACGTTCGCGTCCGTTGGGCGGGAGCTGGCGAAGGTGGTGAAGCTGGGCGGCGCGCTGGCTGCTGGGCGGAAGAGCAGAGCCCAGCTGGCTAGTGTCCAAGCGATTACCAGCGAGCGGAGAGGCATTGCGATCGAGGTTCCGCGCCCAAATGAATGTGTCCCTCAGATGTCTCGCTACGCGGCGCAAAGATATTAGGATCTGAAGCGACTTGAGTGGCCATTCAAGGCGTCCTAAAACCGGAATACAGAAAGCATGTCAAAGGGCGCCTGATGGTTGGCACCAACACTATTGCTGGTCGTTGAGAGGGGAGGCAAACGCACTCGCATCCATTGTCCAGCGTCGGGCGATGCACCTGTATCCATCCTTTGCAGTGCTGTCAGAACTGCTTGAGCTCTTGAGGTGGTTGGTTGGTTGGCTTGATGATGCTTTTGATTAGTTTTGTGTTGGGAACACAAATATTGTGTTAACCGCAGAGAGCACTCACATCTCGAACAGCAAACCAAACACATGTCGTGTTTACTAAACTGATTAACTCATCCAGATCCCGGTGGTATTGCACGAATCCCGAGGAAGGGCTGGGCCGTGAACATTTTTTGCAAGAGTGTCCTGCCAGATCCTGGCCCAGGACTCCCAGTGCTTCCAAGTAAGTTGGCCAGTACAGGTATTAATACATGCATAGATTACTGGGTCAGTGGCCTCGCTAAGCGTCCTCTCTGTCTGAATTTTGCGGGCCATGAAGAGCCAACTTACCGCTTAGAGCTGCATGTACCTGCACGCGGCAAGTGTGGCGTATGTCGGTCCATCTGGAAACCAGCGCCTTTTACAGATCCGGCTTTCAGCTTCAATTTACCGCAGCGCCTCGGCGTGTTGTCGTTGGTAAACACATCCGCCACCAGCTGCGACGAGATCCGAGCGACGCAAAAGGCTGGTGCTCCACCTCGCCAGTCCTCATTCTCGGAAACACCAGCGACTGCGCACTGCCTCTCTTAGCTTCTTTCAGCTCACCCGCTCAAGATGGCTCGCACTACGCTCTCAATCGCTCTCGTCGCTACCGCTGCCGCTGTCGTGAGCGCTCGGCCGACGTACGTCGCTCGCCTCCCCAACGGTGACAACGTCTCCGGGGTGGCGGCCCTGGGCCACGTGGACCCTGCTGGCGGCGGCGCCAACAACGACTTCGGTCTGGACTTCGCCAGCGCTGGCGACGAGTGGACGGCGGAGTTCTGCCAAAAGGACTCGGACGGCGATGGCCAGACCAACGGCCAGGAGCTTGGAGACCCCTGCTGCGAGTGGAGCGTAGGATCAACCCCTCGCTGGACGTCGGGTGTCTCGCACCCGGGCGATGCGTCGTCCACGTCGGACGAGTCGCTTTGGGCCGACATCACGTGCAGCGGCGCGTCCAACTCGACCACGAGCTCGACCGCAGGCTCCAGCGCCAGCACTGTTGAGGCCGGCTCGACCACCGCCACGGAGACGACGGATGCGGCTACGTCCACTTCGAGCGACAAGGCGTCCTCTTCGTCTGCGGCTGCTTCTTCGGGCTCGAGTGCGGCCTCGGTCGTGACCCCTGCGGTGTACTCCGCTGTTGGTATCGCCGCGGCTGTCGCTGCTTTCTTCATGTAAGCAGACTACCCAAGTACTGGTAGCTCATCAGTCAAAGTTTTTAGTTGCATTGGGATCATTCGCGCCTTTGCTTTTATGAATTCTTGATCGGCGCTATACCTTCGAATACTACATAACGCCTACGAAGACGTGAGACTCTGGCCTCGGCTGATCTGGAACGGGGTGTCGTCTGCAAGCCCCTGGTGCATCTGGCAGTGGTTGCCTTTGCGGACAGATCGGTTGCAGTTCTCAGCCTCGCAGCGTCGACCGCCACCGTGTGCGATGCAGTAGCCATTACCACGGTCCTTCTTCTTGCAGCCTTCCATGATGCAGCGCCGGATACCTCCGTGCAAGTAGCAGAGACCGAGTCGCTGCGTCCCCTTTGAGCACCCTGGCACACGGCACTTCTTGCCGCCTCCGTGGGCGCGGCACAGCCCTCCGCCTTGGGAGCTCTTGTCGCAGCCCTCGACTTGGCACCGCGCACCACCACCGTGAGTCTTACACCGGTTGTTCGACTGCGCTCGACGCGTGCATCCTTCCTCTATACACGGCTTGGCTCGCCGTGTCCCCTTCGACTTGGTAGACGAAGCCGACGACAGAGTCGAAGACGTGGACGCGTTGGAGACTGTTCGCTGCGCAGCTGGGGGTAGCGGCAGCGATGGAGCGAAGTACGGCATCATACCTTTGGGCAGCACCTGACCTCCGAGTGGCGATGGAGTGGGGAGCAAGTAGTTCAACGGCATCGGAGTGACTCGCCCTGGGGTGGTCGAGATCGTGAAAGGACTCATCGCCTTGAGCGACGACCGCGCGGATCTTGTGCCTGCAGGACCAACGATGTCATCCCACGACTCGCGCAGGAACGCGTCCATGACCGGCGAGAAGTCGGGCATCTCGCTCTCCTCCTTGATGTACACGTCGCCACCGACGGGAGTTCGGCCGCTGATCCGAACCTTCAGGTCGGGGGAAAGGATCGATCCAGCGTTCAAAGAGTGTTGGGTACCGGAGGCGAGTGGAGACTCCGTGTCCTGCGGGTTGAACGCGTCGCTAAGCCCGGTCAGGTTCAACTCCAGGCTGTCGGGGTCGTATCTTCGGAACGCCGACGATGGGGAGGACGCCATGGCTCCAGTGTTGTCCAGCATCATCATGGTGCTCTCAAACTCGTCGTCGTTGAGCAGGTCCATTGATGCCGGCAGGCTCAGGATGTCGCCGATGTTGTACAGCGACGCATGGCCACTCGAGGTGGGCGAAGGCTGCGGATCCATTGTCGCTCTAGGCTTTGGCTTTCCTGGTGCAGTTGAAGCCGCACTTGCGGTACGAAGCGAAACTGGATGTGAGGGAGAAGCCGGCACAGGCAGGCAAGGCCGCGCTCTGTCATGGTTAACGTGAGTGCATACCTACCTACCTCCGAGCATGTTGGCTAGGTGCTTCGAATAAGGCTCACGAGGCGAAACGTCCAAGTGGAGCTGGGGGCTTCACCAGATGCCAGTGCTTGTATTATCAGGATGGTAGGCAGCATCTTGAACCCTGCCAAACCTCGTGGTCGGGTGAGATGGCGAGACCAACCTCGAGCTTCAGGTACTTCACATCAAACAGGACGATGTGTATATAAATACTACCGAAGTAGTGGAGAAATTAGATCAACAAAACGCCATAGATGAGTCATGTTTGAAGATACCCACGCATTGTTCGCGGTTATTGCACACGCTTGGAGAGATGGTTGCTCGAACGAACGACGCAGCTTAAATGACCAACGTTTGCTGGATCAGCTTGCTTTGAGTCTTCTGCGCACAGCCGTACATCATTTTGGCGAGCCCGTTGAGAACGAAGTTTCGCGCTGATTCCACATCCTCAGCTCGAGCGTCCAGATTAGTCTGCACTTCTGCGTAAATACGCAAGTAGCTTCGCACTACCGATGCGTGCTGCGGATCGGACTCAGACGCCGTAATGGTTGTCCACGACGGAGACTTGAATTCGAGACCTTGGGTCTGCAAAATGATCGTGTCGGCTTTTGCGATCACGACGCGCGTGTCCTCCACGAACTTGCGAGAGAAGTGGCTGCCGTTGACCTCAATGTCACTCTGCTGGCCACGCAACTTCATCACGAAGTTCTTTTCCAGTGAATGAGGCTTGCTTCCGCGCAGCTATTATAGAATATAAACAAGTTTTTGCAGCTCAAGTTGAAGTTTGGAATGAATCACAGCAATGAGGTAAAGAGAGACGTACATATCTGTAGCGCTTGTCCGGGATTTCGTGCACCGTCTTCATGTCCTTCCACAAGATAGCAGCCGCTTCTTGGATCGAACAAGCCACAGGCGTGACCGCCTCAATCTCAATAACCTTGCCGTACTGGGTGTTGGAGTTGACGTTCATTTTGGAAGTGACCAAGCATGGTAGATCCCACCCGAAGCCGCCCATTGAGTCAACATACAGCTTGTCCACACGTTTCTCCAGCAAATGCATAATTCCAACGCTGTGGTCCAATACTGGAGGGGACTTGTATAGAGGCGGTGAACCGCCAAAAACAACGTCCATACCCTGCATCAGCACCACCAAGACAGAATTAAAGCGTGCAACTCGTGGCAGATTCGTTAGCAGTACTCACGTCCAACACTGAGCGGCGCTGTAGAATGGCACGCAATGACTCGCTCAGTTGTCTCTGATTAGCTAGGATGGTTTTCAGCTGTTGGTTGGCTTCCTCAGCTTGCTGTCGACGTACGAACTCAATCACAGCTTGATCATAGTTTGTAGACTCGCTCGCTGTGCTACTGGAGGCGGGTTGGGACCTTGCCAGCGATGCACGCTTGGCATGATTCAGTACATCGATCTGGGCCTGGAGAACGAGCGCTTCCTCTCGCAGAGAAGCCGCCTCGCCTTTTTTGCGCTGCAGTTGCCGCGTTGACGAACTCGCGAATATTTTGATACGCCGCTTCTTCGCCTTTGGTTTAGCTTGGGGTTGGTCGGGCCGACGTGTCTCCCTGTCGGAGTTGCGGGTGTTGTTGCCTTTCCCAACACCTCGGGCGTCCACACTACTGATGCTTCTGTCGCCAGCGCTGTTAGAATCGGTTGTCTCCTCCCGCAGGAGTCGATGAATGCCAGGGCTTCTTCTACCACGGCTCGATCATCCTCCTCGCCCAGCAATACGAAACTCATTGATGATAGAAGCGGAGCGGAAGTAGGACAGGAGAATCGTTTGTGTCTGTGTTATCAATGCGACTCGGTATGGGCACCATAAACAATCTGGCACCATAAGCAGCCCTAGCCCAGATCGAGCTATACCCCAGAGGTATGCTATCCCTGATAGCATAAGTTTCTTTCGAATCATTTCCAGTTCTCAGTCAAGAGTTTGGCCTGAACGTGCAACAGGGAGTAACAGCATGAAGGAGAGTAAAGTTGTATGCTTGGAACTCAAGTTGGGAGTTAGTAGCCACAACTAAATACGTCAAGTAGTATGCTTGTGTTTGGATATCAACAACGCGGAGATAGATAACTATACCGCTATGGTTTTGTGTGTGTTTTGTTCGCCTAACGACTTTGCTAATCTCACAGCTTTGTGTTTATCTGTTTTGCTCTAGTGTTGCTATCCCAGCCTCCGCGAAGTCCTAGTCCACACGAATACGAAGGCTACCGGTATCATCTGAAGGAGAGATTCCTCGCGTAACTGTCCGTGATGCCCTCGCTGCGTGCAAATATCAATAGAGCAAGGGCTGCCACTTCGATGCAGGCGGCATTGCTGATTACCAGGTTCTAAGTATTTCAGCCAAAGTGTTGATGCGTGCTTACTTCAAAGTACTTCGGAGCTCCAGCCAAGATGTTGATGCCAACGAGTTTCTGGGTACAGTTGTCGACCCGCTCGTCAGCGAATAGGCTGGCTCACAATTAAACTCGCTCACTTCAACTCAAGCCTCGACTTCAAGCCTTTCCCCGGAGAAAAATGTCCACGTTCACCAAGTTCGCGGTCGTCGGTGCTGGAGGCGTCGGCTCCGGAATCGTTGATGGACTGCTCAAGGCTAACGCCACTGTGACTATCTTGACTCGTGACGACTCGAAGGCACGGCTATTTGGCCGTAGTTTGCTTTCGTACCTCAACTAACGAGACTCTGCAGGCTGAGCTTCAGGCGTTCAAGGATCGCGAAGCTTCCCTCGCTAAGGTGAACTACGAAGACGCTCTATCGCTGAAGACGGCGCTGGCCGGTAGTGAGGTCGTGTAAGTGCATGCAACGGTGGAACCTTTGCCGTTGTCGCTCACAACAAACGCCGCGATGTTATACTATCACCCCCCCCCCGTGTGTGTGCGATCCACGCGTACCACCACGCCAGCCAGCTTTCGGTTGCGCGTGCAGCAAAGGAAGCTCTTCGTACCAACTGAGGTAAGTCTGCGTAGCATCCATAATTTGACGGTATTTTACATTGAGACGCTAATTCTTTCGTGTAGTTTGGTATGCAAGACGAGGACGGACCTAACGCCATGAAGCAGCAGGTCCGCGACCTACTGAAAGAGCTCAACCTGCCGTTCGCCCTCTTTCACGGTGGACTGTGGGCGGAGTACATGCCATTGTAAGGAATGAACACAACCTAAATCGTTCGAGTGGATCAGCTAACAGGCACGTTTTCCTTTGTAGCTTCCTGGGCTGCAACTTCGAGAAAGGAATCGTGACTGTTGCTGGAGAAGGTGATGCGAAACTAAGCATCGTGGCGCGATCTGACCTGAGTCGCTTCATTGCTGGTCACTGCTCCTAAGAGCTCGTTGGAGTGGTCTCGCTTTTCCGTTGAGAGCGACCGCATGTCCCCGAAGGAGATCGCCGCAGTCGCCGAGAAGAAACTGGGCAAGAAGGTGGAGCTCCAACTGGTGAGCTACGAGGAAACCAAGAAGACCTACGCTACCGACTCCGTCGCGTACATCTCGACGCGTATCGCGGATGGACGCTGCGTGTCCGGGACTCAGGAGGAGGCCAAGGAGACCGTGGCGAGGTTTTACCCTGACTGGAACCCGACGCCTTACGAGACGTTCATTGCGTAGGCTGACGCACATGCGAACCTTGGAGGAGGGTATGCCATGCATTTACGCACTAATCAATCCAAAACTTCCTCTATTGGGATGTCCTCAGTGCCCCAAACGTCCTATTTGGATGCCTCGTCCTTCGCGTGCCTCTCATACTCCGTGCACTCGGAATCCGAACTTGTAGTACTAGACGATGGGGGCGAAACTACCGTCGTGGTCGCGTTTGGGGGCAAATGTAGAGGTCCCTCCTCGTCCACTTCCATAGGCGTTGCTTGTGTCGTTTTCTTTTTCTTCTTCTGCGACTTCGACTTGCTGGGTACTGTCTTGTCAGTTGAGCTTCTTGGCGCGGTCGAAACATCCTGAGATCCTTCCTTCGCCTTGTTCATTTCATCCAGCCACGACTGGAGTTTTTGCTTCCGTTTCTCCTGCTTTCTGTTGTCCTTGAAGAGACCAACCCTGTTCAGGAGAAGAGCTGTCAGCTCTCGAACGGTTTTATCAGTACGCGGATTCCAGTTTGGGCAGGTACTCTCGAGCACCTCGCCGATCAGGGAGATACTCTGCGTGACGTCTGAAACAGAGAAGCTGCCTTCCTTCCACCCCTTCACTTCTTCGAGAGCCTTGCGAAGACGCATCCGCAGGCGTCGGCCCTCCTTAACAGTCAAAGGAAAGCTACTGATAATCTTCGACAGTGAATTCATGCACCTGGTTGAAATGAAAGTATAATACATGCGTGAGTAAGTAGCTCGGGCAACAACAATTTAACGAGTAAGTGCATCCGGTACTCACCCGTTGAAGGCTGATGCAGAGTCGGGAATCTTTTCTTGAATGTCAGCGATATTGTCACGGAATTTGTGGACCCAGTGGCGCTGCATCGAGGGCTTCCCATGCTGCATAACGCTAACTGCCATGGCAGCCACAGCGCTCAGCGTCTTTAACGCCTCACCCTGGTCGATAGCGCTGTTCACGTCGAGGTGCTTGTGAGCCGTGTTGAAATGATTTACTAGCGGCTTGAGCCCCTCGACGCGATCAGCGGCTTTCTTTTTCTTGGCTAGCTCCTCCACTAGATTGGCGCCGGCTGCCAGCGCCTTGGCGAGCAGAGTCGACGACTTCTGAACCACCTCTGGGGACTTGGCAGGGGTGTCTGGAGCGCGCGGGCTGGCTACAGAAGGCAAACCCTTTGGCTTCTTCTTGGTGCTGGTCTCCTCCGTGCTAATAGACTTGCGTTTCTTCTGGGGGGTCGAGTCGGTCTTCTGAGGGGTATTAGAAGTCGACGGGCGGGAGGGCGTGGCACCCTTTGTGGGGGTGGCGCAAATTGAGACTCCGAGGGCCAGACCCGTAAGCCGCTCGAGCGACTGCCCCAGGTCGTCCTGCAGCCGCGTAGAGGCAAGCAGCGACGACGAGAGCTCCGAACCGTCCTCGAACAAGGTGATGGCCAGCTTCTGAGACGCCAACTGCACCTCCTCCGCGCGCTTGGCAGCGGCCACCGCGTCGCTGAGAGCTCGCTGCATCGCCGCCAGCTGCGTCTTCATCGCATCGCTGCAGTGCGCCTCGAGCTCCTGGCGCCCCAACTGCGCCAGTATCACGTCCATCGCCGACGCCTTCCAAGAGGTTGACCCAATGTGCACCAACGCAGCAATTCCCCAAACCAGTAGACTAGTGGCATTTGTACACCTTTCCAAAATAACGAATTTCCAGAAATAGACAATTGAGTTTCATCCAATTAGTAGCCCATCTGGGCATTCTAAATCTTAGAGTCTAGTAAACTGAAACTTCTAAATTGGAAGACATCCCACACTCCGATGATATATGGCTCAGTGCTAAGGTAGAGTTGAGAAATCATGGGTTCCTTTGTCGCCCCATACAAAGCGCGCGTGTTAGCAGCGCACAGAACTTTATCAGCGTGTTCTGCAACTCTAGTCCAAACCGCACCTTAAAACGATAAAAAATGACGAAGCTACAGCCACTTTTGGAGGTGTCCATATCTTTTTGTCGTGGAGTGTACCTTCGGGATGGACGATGTGGTGCCAACGGAGGAGGACGTGCGCTCGATGCGTAGCGTTCTGCGCTCGCGTCTAAAACGCGAGGCGCTGCAGATCTCCTCGGCAACCAGTGGCGACAAGCAGCCAGCAGACGGGAACCTGACGGCGGCGACGCAGCTGGAGCAACTCTTCGAGCGCACAGTCCAGTGTGGGGAGAACCAGTCGGGGCTGCTGCTCGGGTCCGTGGGCAGCGACCGGCGCTCCATCGTCTCGCGGGCGATGCGCAACCTCCGCGACCGATTCGGCGGCTTTACGGTCGTTTACCTGAACGGCGTCATCCTGCAGAACGAGCTGGAGGCGTTCAAGGAGCTCATCGCGCAGCTCACTCGAGCCACAGGAGTCAAGCACCCGGTACGTGCTACCGTACTACAAGCAATGTATACAATTGTAGAGGTATCAGACATGAATGACATTTGCTGGTGCTAGGTGCTGTCCTATTGGAACATGTACGAGTATCTGCGGGGGCTGCTCGTCGCGAAGGCCAAGGCCGGGGACCATGTGATCGTGGTTCTGGATGCGCTGGAGCAGTTCGTGCGCGAAAACAGCAACGCAAAGCAGTTGCTGCTGTACAATTTACTCGACTGGCTGCAGGTACGTTAAGATGACTTCGAATCTGCATATACTCCGGTAGAGCCTAAGTCATGCTTATGTTGCTGTGTTGAAGTCAAAGGATATCAAGATGGGGGTGTTGGGTATCACCGACAACTACAACGTTGTGGACAATCTCGAAAAGAGAGTTCGCTCCAGGTATGGCGCTGTATGTATAGCTCTTCTTACCCCCGTTGAGTCGGTGTTGGTATCTCTGTGGGCGATGGCGCTTACGTTGTGCATCGTCTTCTCGCTACCAGGTTTTCAAACCTCCAGATAGTTATCGAACGGCCTTCATTTGCACAGATACGGCAACACCTCGTCCGAGCTCTTTCGCTTGACAACTTCGAGTGGGAATCTAATTCGGAGCTGCAGCGTCCCTCGGCTGAGTATTGCGCGGCGTTCTCCAAAAGCGTGAGCGAGCTGCTGCTGGAGCAAAGCAAGTTTCTTGCGAGCCTCGAGTTTGACTACGACATTGGCAAACCGCAAACCTTTTTCGTAAGGCTCGCCGCTGCTGCCGTGTACTACCTGGACGCAGACTCGCCGCTACTCACGGCCCAACACTTTCGGCGCGCCAGACATTTGCTGGAACAAGATCACCAGCTCGCCGTGCTGGAGACCGTAACAGAGCATGGAATCGCGCTGTTAATTGGGATGGGGCACCTCGAACGGGGCGACCAACGTGTGTTTACGCTGGAAATGGTGTACGCGCGATGGGAGAATTTCCTTCGTCAACACGACATGCTTGCCCAGCTGCCAACGCGTAGTGAAGCCCAAAAAGCGTTGGAAAACCTGCTGCGGCTGAAACTGGTCAAGGATGCTGGGGATGCTTTCAAGATTGGGCGGGGTGGGGACAGCTCCATGAAGCAGGACGCGTCAGGCTCTCTTCAGCCGGAGTTTCGGGCCGTGCACTTGAATTTCGCCCCGCGAACTCTTGAAGGCATGCTGCGTAATGGAAGTATCAAATGTTCGACACTGCTGAAAGAGTGGGCTATAAACGGTAGCTGATCAATCAAACGCTTAATATAGTAAGCGAGGTAGCCTGCCTCACTTGCACTAGCGTCGAAATCTACGGTTGGGTAGAATTCCTTTCGTCTTGCTGCAGTTGCCGTTCTGCTGGGCTGAGACGATGGTACTTGAGCTTGGTGATACTAATGCGACTGGCAGCGTGGATACTGGGATGCACTCAAGGGTTCCAGGGGGGAGACCTAGGGCCACCGAGCACGGTTACCCCATTCTCAACTACGTGTAAGTCGATGGTACATATTTCGAGCTAACTTAGTCGAGCTGGGTTAGCTTAACGCATGTGTCCCTGCTCGAATGAAGCCAACACTCATCCAACGTTCTACGCAAAGTTCGCCTTGGTCAACCGCTGGATGCAGCGATGCATTGTGTACGTCGTACAAAGTTTCAACTCCAACCACTGCATGTTTGTCGCGCGATCCTAATGTGGCTTTCCGTTTGCAGAAACCACTCAGGTCATCGAATTTGAAAGAGGCTCATCTGAAGATCGCGCAAAATGAAGAGGGTGTGGAATCTTTGACATCCACTGGGGTCAACTTCCGACGGGAACGAACTCTGAATCGGCTCCGAGTGCTACCGGGTCCTCGTGATAGGCGCTCTATCGACATTTCCAGCTCATTCGTCTCCAGGGGTGGTGCTCGTAGAAGAAACAAGCTGCCACCTACTGCTATATCTGCTCTCCCAGACAGCTCCAAGCATCTCGAGAATAGCTCGAGTCAACAAGCAGGGTCCGACATCAGCGAAACGAACCTCAGCGAAGGCTTGAGCAGCTCCGACTCACCACCCGATCAGCATAATGCGGCGCTAATTATCGCCCGGTTCTTCCGCAGTGTGTGCCGACTCGATAACGCTGCCGATCGTGCCCGTGAACTTTTGCGTCGACGTTGGCGAGAGCAACATCCAGACAAATACAGGACCCCGCTGTTCGAATTGACAAACCACGAGCAGCTTCGAGTTCTGCAGCTTTATAATCCCCACCTCTACGGATCGCAGCACCCTGCATCGCCACTTGCCTCGGCCTCAAAGTCAACTCGACTAGCAAGTGTTCCTCAGATGGAACAACACAAGCGACTGCGGCAGTGGCAAATACTTGCTCGAATGGGCCAGGAAACTGCGTTGTTGAACGAAACCAGTCAGCAAAAGACCCAGACTCCTCTAAGCAAGACAACGACACTCAGCGAAGCGTACCTGAGGCAGTCACCAGCATCTCGGGAGCGGCCCAAGACCGTGCTGGGGCTTGAGCGAATTCAACAAACCCATGATCTCGTGATGTTCGCAAAATCCCCACCAAGCTTTCGATACTACAGCACCTCGCAGCAATCCCGTGTTTTTCGTACGACGCATAACCTCAATGGCGTGCCCACCCTGAATCCTTTGAGCGGACCGACCAGCAATTGGCAATCTTGACGACAGCGCGTGCGTAACTTCAAAATTCGCGTTCGCTTCTCTGGGTTAATGAGGCTCACTAGAGTACTCATCTAGTACTTCCGCTAATTGCGTATTCAGTAAAAGCCACCGTGGTTTGGTGGTGGAACCAGCCGCCATGTGCTCGGCAACAACATGAAAAGGCTCGTAGATTTTCACCACCTTCCCTGGAGATAACTTCAGATACTCGGCGGTCTGGGGCTGGAAAAGTGCTTCTATCACGACGGAGTTTTCCGTTAAGCTTGCAGCGGTGGTTTTTTCCATGTTGGCGGCAACTTTCTGAACACGGCATTCGTGTGCCACAAATTGAGATCTTCCCATACAAATCTGCTGAAGGCAGACCACAACATGCCCTCGTTCTTGAATTGACTCGATCGAGCCGATGGTGCCCTTTGATGACGAGTGGTTGCTCTGTTGTGGCAGTAAGTGTTGGCCACGAGATCGCAGCAGTGTAAGGTCCCGGTTGCTCTTGCGAATTGCCTTGCGCAAAACGTCACCAATACTACCACGAACTTTGGAAACAAGACCATCGGGCTTGGGCTTCCGACCCATCGCAGCCCCTGCTGCTGGCGCAGGTTTCGATGGGGAGAAAATCTGCGGGGCAAACGGCTCGGTTCGCATCTGCTGCTCAGTATCGAGAATGGCATCGCCGTCTGTGGGGTCGATTGTTTGTGTCTAAGTATTTCGGCATCACGTAGCACAATCGAGTTTAGTGATAAGCCATACTTCGAAGTATACAGATAAAGCACGCGAATGCATACCAGGGAGAGCGAGGACTCGTCGTGGGCTGTGTTCTGCTGTGACATCATCGTTGCACGTTGCAGCACATCAGACAGTGATTTCCTCTTGGGCGCAGCAGAGCGGCCATCCACGCTATCATCCACGTTAGACGATAGCTGAGAAGTGCGCGGGCCCGACAGCGTCGGCGACATCGACTTCCGTCTACCAATTGCATACACAAACAGCAAACCAGAGATCAATTATCAAGTACGAGTCCTCAACTAACATAGGACAGGTCCTCACCTTTTCGCAGAAGCCGCTTCCAGCTGCGAGCGGCGCTTCTGGATCGCACTCAGTGACTTGCGGCGGTTCTTGGTGTCTGCAGCCGAAGGTTTCTGCGTGCTCCATCGAGCCGGCCTCGAGTCCGCCGCTTCAAAGCCCAACTTCTTCTTGGTCACGACTCGAGCGGCTTGGCCATTGTGCGGCTGAGTCCGTTTCAAGATGGAGCGGCCAACTGCGTTGCTGCTGCTGCTGCTAGAGCTTATTCGGTCCCGAGGTCCTCGAGCCGCTGGATCTGCAGCCGCATGCAGGAACGAATTCCCTCGACGTCCTGCAGCGTCCCCCACTCCACGTGTCGCCGCCTCCTTCTCCTGCTCTGCTGGTTTCGCCGCCTTCTGCGTCTGTTGCTGCTGCTGCTGCTGGATCAGCGTCGCGAAGGGGTTTTCCTGCTCCTCGTCCTCCTTCTGCTCCGCCTCATCCCCGCTATCATCTGCACACCAAAGTGTCAGTCTCTACTACTGCAGCCACACGGACATAACTGCAACGCACCGAGGCTGAAGAGCGGCTGCTGCTGCCGCGGGAAGATTTTGTTATTGCCGCCTGCATCAGCCGACGGAGCGGACGCCGACGCCGCGCGAGGGGCGGACACGGCGTCGGGAGACAGCAGCAGGTTGCGCGTGTGCGAGGCCGCGTCCAGCTCGTAGTACACGACGCGCTCTTCGTCCTCGTCCTCGTGCTGCGGGCGGCTCCGGCCGCCACTTCGCCGCATCATCGTATTGTTGCACTTTGCACTTTGGGTTTTGACTTTGATTAGCGCGCCAAAACAAATAGGGCGGGAAATGGTCGGACCAGAAAAAAGTCTCAGAAGTTGACGTTGCAGTGGTGTGTGTACCTATGACTCAATTGACTCGGGCGGATGGATACAACTGTACAGTATAGCATGCAATGATTGTTAAAAGCTGTTAGTCATGAATGCATCCTCCTATTTGCAGCCGAGCCATGCCTCCACTGTCACGTCGCAAGCATCCCCAACCTTGCGCTCGATCTGAAGCTGGCGCATCGTGATGTAGGCTGCTTGCGTCACGCAGCTAATCACCATCATACGCGTGTTGTAGCAGATGCCCTGCACCCCGTTCAAATAGCACTCCTTGTACAGCGTACTGCCGCACAGGTCGTCCGACGTGTACTTGGTCGGAGCGGCTGCCTCCAAGTCGTACGGAAACCCGTTCGGGCAGATCGCCGTCGCGTCGTATTGGTCCAGGATCGCTTTGTCCGCGTCGGACACCCGCTCGCTCACGCACGTCATGGGGTACGGCTCGCCAGCTTTGGGCAAGCACTGGAACGAGGTGGTGTCACACGTTCCCGTGATAAACCCATTGCAGCATACTCCCGTTCGATAGCGGATCCCGAGCGATTTCAGACTCACGAGAGGGGTCAGCGACGCAAGCGTCTTGATCCGCGTCGCTTCCACGATGTTCAAATCCGCCAGCTTCGAGAGGCCTTCAAAGCTCGGCATCTCTTTGAGCGAGTTCAGAATGGCCAGCGCCAGATACCGAAGGTTTTTGAGCGAAGAGAAAGACGGGAGCTCCTCCACGTCCGGGATGCCGCCAAAGTGGATGAAAGTCAGGTGCGGCATGTGGTCGAAGATCCCTGCGGGCACCACTTGCAGTCTCTTGCTGGTGTAGTCGCCCTCGAAATGACTATCATAGACATTAGAATACAGTAGATCGTTGTTGTTAGACCATTATTCGTTGCTTTTACGTAACTCGGGATACGTACAGATACTCCAGCTCGGATAGCTCCGACATCCACTCGGGAAGTCGCAACGTCTTCGTGTAGATCAAAATCAGCTGCTCAAGATTATGGCATTTTCGTAGCTCCTCTGGTAGTTCTGGTACGGCGCGGTTGATGATCTGGACGATACGCAACTCGCCCGCGTAGGCTAACTCGGCAAGATTCGAGCTAATATCGACAGGATCTGTCCACTCTGCAAATGTACGAGGCGCAGTTTGTCGGTCGGCGAATACCAGGCACGGACAGTGATCTGCGCCATAATTCCACCGATGGCTTGCCACAACGCACTTGTCGAACTTGCTGCACACAGCTTTACTCGATTGCACCGATCCAATCGAATACACGAAAATCGCAGAGCCCGTGACGAAAAAGATCAACGCCAACAGGACCTTCGCGGCGAAATGCCTCCCCATTTTTGGCTTCCACGTTGACGCCTCGAGCTTCTTGACCACAACAGCTTTGATGCTTTGCGCTCGTCCTCGCGGCTTGCTCTCGTCTGGTAGCGGCTGCACCTGCGCCTTGCGCTCTCGCTCGACTCGGCGCTCGTGGTGGTTGTGGATCAGCGTCATGATGATCTTGCGCCATTTGTACAGCGATATCAAGTTGAGCGCAGACTTGAAGAACAGCGACGACCCCGACGAGAACTGCAAGTAGTGGAACGCATTGCAGAAACTCGAGATCTGTGACGGGTCTCCGAAGAGCCGAGCGACGGTGTCGAAGGATCCGCCCTGGATTGTCTCCATCTTGGTCGCGAACTCGGCGCGGTTGAACTCGAACGTTTGGATGAAGTAGATCAGAACGACCAGCGGCGCGAACACGGCAAAGAAGAGGTCGTAGCTGTACAAGAGTACATAACACAAATATCGCCATAAAGACTGAGAGCTTGCAATCAACAGTAGTGCCGTAAATGATGAAGTGAGTAAGTACATACGTGTAGTAGAGTCGAGCGATGATCAGGTTGGGATCGACTACGTAACGTTGGGAGTGGTAGCAGGCCACAAACCAGTTGCATAGTAGAAGAACTGAATATGAGTATACGAGGGGAGCAGGAAATCCGTGGTCAAGGTACGTGAAGAGCGTTGTTGTCTGGAAGATTAGCTTGGGAAGATCCAGCGCAGCTGTCTACATGTACAGCACAAGATCGGTCACAGGACAAACGTGTTGGAATATGATAATACTGATGAAGTCGTGTCGCTGGAGTAATGCGAAGGCCTTACGATATAGTGATCGCGGATGTCCTTCGGGACGCTGTTCACCCACACAGCGAATGCATGAAACTTGATGTTCTTCACCATTCGAGCCTCAATGGTTGTACTTTCACCAACGTCACCAGCCGCATTCGTAGCGCCGTCCGAGTTGTCATTATCAGTGCCTATTTCCTCTCTTTTGGGTGTACGGCGATAGAAGAAGAGCATCAAACCCACCAACCCCGTGTAGCCGATTCCAAACAACGCAAGCATGACAGCAGAAGAGATCACAATTGACTCGTCGGGGCGAGGAAGCTGCCAGAACTCACCGTTGTCGAAGTTTGTCGTATTCATGACTGAATTGGCCATCTCGGTTGCATGCAGTTGGATGTAGGCGAGCATGAACGTCCAGATGGCCGACAGCACGAAGACGATCATCATGGGCACTCCCAAGAACCCAAACACATCGTAAAACGTGGAAACCTCGTTGAAGACAAACCCAGTCACCGATGGCCGGTGTCCAGACGATGCTCTCAGCGACGATCTTCTTGGCGGTGCCTCCAGTTTGGACTCGGTTGACGAGTGCGAGTTGTCACGCTTACGACCAACACGGTGTCTCTGGTCAGGATGGTCAGTATCGGCCACAGTGATGTCATCCGTCTGAAGCACGAGCCCCGATACTGGAGCCACCTCCCCGGGCTTGTCGATAACCTCAGCCGCTTCGTCGCTCTCGAGCTCCGTCATCCCCGCTGGCTTTCTCCCCCTCACGTCACTTTTAAAGTCGTGTTGTGTGCGTCTTGCTAACGAATAACTGATGAGCTGCCGCGTCGAAACGGACACTGACTCAATCGACTGTTCGATGGTAATAATACATTTGACAACCTCTCTCATTCAAACACACACTTAAGTACAGTAGATCGCGGCGCAGTTCATTCAGCGCCAGAAACCCCGCGTACGAACGGAAACAGAATAATCGCATATGCCTGTAGTTCAAGCTAGTGAACTACAGGCGTTTGAGATTATGGTTATCCCAGTACCCGATGAATGGGATCACTACCAGCTAGAGAATTTAATTGCAACCGAGCCATGCCTCCACTGTCACGTCGCAAGCATCCCCAACCTTGCGCTCGATCTGAAGCTGGCGCATCGTGATGTAGGCTGCTTGCGTCACGCAGCTAATCACCATCATACGCGTGTTGTAGCAGATGCCCTGCACCCCGTTCAAATAGCACTCCTTGTACAGCGTACTGCCGCACAGGTCGTCCGACGTGTACTTGGTCGGAGCGGCTGCCTCCAAGTCGTACGGAAACCCGTTCGGGCAGATCGCCGTCGCGTCGTATTGGTCCAGGATCGCTTTGTCCGCGTCGGACACCCGCTCGCTCACGCACGTCATGGGGTACGGCTCGCCAGCTTTGGGCAAGCACTGGAACGAGGTGGTGTCACACGTTCCCGTGATAAACCCATTGCAGCATACTCCCGTTCGATAGCGGATCCCGAGCGATTTCAGACTCACGAGAGGGGTCAGCGACGCAAGCGTCTTGATCCGCGTCGCTTCCACGATGTTCAAATCCGCCAGCTTCGAGAGGCCTTCAAAGCTCGGCATCTCTTTGAGCGAGTTCAGAATGGCCAGCGCCAGATACCGAAGGTTTTTGAGCGAAGAGAAAGACGGGAGCTCCTCCACGTCCGGGATGCCGCCAAAGTGGATGAAAGTCAGGTGCGGCATGTGGTCGAAGATCCCTGCGGGCACCACTTGCAGTCTCTTGCTGGTGTAGTCGCCCTCGAAATGACTATCATAGACATTAGAATACAGTAGATCGTTGTTGTTAGACCATTATTCGTTGCTTTTACGTAACTCGGGATACGTACAGATACTCCAGCTCGGATAGCTCCGACATCCACTCGGGAAGTCGCAACGTCTTCGTGTAGATCAAAATCAGCTGCTCAAGATTATGGCATTTTCGTAGCTCCTCTGGTAGTTCTGGTACGGCGCGGTTGATGATCTGGACGATACGCAACTCGCCCGCGTAGGCTAACTCGGCAAGATTCGAGCTAATATCGACAGGATCTGTCCACTCTGCAAATGTACGAGGCGCAGTTTGTCGGTCGGCGAATACCAGGCACGGACAGTGATCTGCGCCATAATTCCACCGATGGCTTGCCACAACGCACTTGTCGAACTTGCTGCACACAGCTTTACTCGATTGCACCGATCCAATCGAATACACGAAAATCGCAGAGCCCGTGACGAAAAAGATCAACGCCAACAGGACCTTCGCGGCGAAATGCCTCCCCATTTTTGGCTTCCACGTTGACGCCTCGAGCTTCTTGACCACAACAGCTTTGATGCTTTGCGCTCGTCCTCGCGGCTTGCTCTCGTCTGGTAGCGGCTGCACCTGCGCCTTGCGCTCTCGCTCGACTCGGCGCTCGTGGTGGTTGTGGATCAGCGTCATGATGATCTTGCGCCATTTGTACAGCGATATCAAGTTGAGCGCAGACTTGAAGAACAGCGACGACCCCGACGAGAACTGCAAGTAGTGGAACGCATTGCAGAAACTCGAGATCTGTGATGGGTCTCCGAAGAGCCGAGCGACGGTGTCGAAGGATCCGCCCTGGATTGTCTCCATCTTGGTCGCGAACTCGGCGCGGTTGAATTGAAATGTCAGGATGAAATACACTAGCACCACCAGCGGTGCGAACACGGCAAAGAAGAGGTCGTAGCTGCACAGATACCACACGAGACATCATATCGTTGGTTGATATATTACTATCATAAGACGGAAGAGGTAAGTACGTACGTGTAGTAAAGCCGAGCGATAATCAAATTGGGGTCCACCACGTAACGCTGGGACCGGTAGCAGGCCACGAACCAGTTGCATAGAAGAAGAATGGAGTACAAGTAAGCAACGGGGATCGGAAATCCCAAACTGAGGTACGTGAAGAGTGTTGTTGTCTGGAAGATCAACTTGGGAAGATCCAGCACCGCAGTCTACAGGGGCAATATGACCCGAACAATAGAAATTGTCAACGTCAGCTTTGTACAAGACTACTACCAAGATAAGGAACCTTACATAGTAGTGGTCGCGGATATCTTTCGGAATGTTGCACTTGTGTCTCATCCACGCGATTAATGTATCCAATGTGCTCCTTTTCGCACCAGCTTCTTCAACTCCAACGGCGATTTCGCCGACGCTGGCGAAGGTGTTCCTCCCATTGACTGGGTATCGTTCTTCTGAGCCTGACTTCTTGACATTGAAAGCGCGATAAAAGAAAACCATCAGCACCACTAGCCCCGTGTAGCCGATTCCAAATAGCGAGAGCATGACTGCGGACGAAATCACAATTGATTCGTCTGGACGAGGGAGCTGCCAGAACTCGCCGTTGTCGAAGTGTGTCGTATTCATGATTGAGTTGGCCATCTCGGTGGGATGCACTTGGATGTAGGCTAGCGTGAACGTCCAGACAGCCGAAAGCACAAACACGATAATCATAGGCGCTCCCAAGAACCCAAATACATCGTTAAATGTGGCAGCCTCTGTGAAGACGAGTTCAGTCACTGATGGTCGTGGAACGGCTGATGTCTGCAGTGAGGAGCGCCGTGGCGGTGTTTCTCCGACAGATTCCGTTGGTGGTTCTACTTTGTTGCATTCGCGATCACGCCGATGCCGATAATTATGATGCTCCTCATGAACAACACCGACGTCGTCCGTTCCAAGCACGAGATCGGCAATTTGTTTTTCTTCCGCTGCATCGCTGGCTGGGTCACTGCTCATGTCTGCCGGCATCTTCGCCACGCTGCACCGCGACTTGAGATCTGTGCACACATGAATACTGCGGGTGAAGAGGCTTTTGAAACGGATGATCTGGGAATAGCCCCCCCCCCGTTGTCCTTGCCTTACGAGAACCTGAAATATCGTGGTCGCGTCGCGTTCTGCCCTGTTGCGGTATCATGGTCCATTCGCTGAACCAACTGGTTCATTGTTGTTTGTCAGCCCCCCCCCCTCCCAACTGGTACTCCGTGATCTTCTCCACTTCGTACTCGTTCGAGTCTCGATCTGGGGCCCAGCTGTCCTCCGGAACTAAGACTTCGTCGAAATCAAGTCGATCTGCTTCGTCCACCGTGAGCGCGATCTGCGGTCGATCAGGGAAGTCCCTGACCAACTTCAGCTTCGAAACATGCACGATCGGGAAACATACATGCACGCTGCTAGACGTTCAAAACTGTAGTCTTCCCAGCTATTGCATAGAAAATTAAAAAGCGTTCCTTCAAATTAGTAGAGCTCGCAAGGCGCACACGCAAAACCCGTAGCGTCCTACATATACCCGCAGTGCTCACCACCTACCTAGTCAATACTGGGAACAGGAGAGCCCAACCAATCAATCCGTGCACTGGGCCACTTCGTCTTCATAATTTCTTCGAGTGGGGGTGAACCGTGACCCCCGCTCCTCCCCGAATTTTCTATCGGGACCGATTTACCAATGAACTCCGTCAACTTTTCGAGCGTCACACGACACTTGGCCAGTTGAGGACGCCGGCCGTTGCTCTGAGTATCATTGCTTCCTAGCCCATTGTAGTAGAACCAGTCGAAGGACAGCACTGGATTTTGCGTTGGTTCAGGGGCCGATGGTTGACTTGGCTGTGAGCTCGCAGGAGCAGGTGCAGAGGGGGTAGCGGAGCCACCACTCTCTTCTGCATCAAACTGTGCCTGCAGCTCCCGCGCGAGATCAGAATCCGACCGCTGAAGAGGAGGGCGCCCTTCCGTCTTGGCGTTCGCATCGAACTCTCCTGACAACGCCAGCTCAAAATCGTTGGTGTGCAGGAGCACCGAGATGACCTTCCAATACTCGTCCCAAAGCACGATACCAGCACCGCTAGAGATTTCGAGTCTGGCCAACAACCGCGCCATCCAATACTCATTTGAGAGGACCTCGGGCGATACTCCAAGCTGCTTGAGCGACTCAGCGAGCGACGCCATCTCCATAAAACCTGTCTCCATAGGGTCGAACGTCTTAAACACTCTCTGTACGCGCTGGAAGAGCTGTGTAGAGGCCGATTCCTCACATACACGAGGATCCAAGGCAAATCCAACGCTGAAGTGCGACGAGCTGCCAAGTACCCACACGGGGAACTGCGGGGACTTGTAGTAGCTGCCCACCTGGCAGTAGCACAACGCCTCCAGCTGCGTCAAGTAGCCAATACGCGCGCGTTGCGGCACGCCATGCAAGAACAGCCCCGAGTCGCCCATGGGGACGCTCCCGTCAAACACGTTGGACACGGCCTTGCCCGTGAGCAGCAGGTTCAGCAGCTCCTGTGTGCAGTGGCCGAATGCGCCCGTCAAATTGTTCGCTGGGTCGTCCATTTCCTCGCGCACAGCGTCCACGCCCTTGGTCCGCAGCACGCTGAACGTGAAGTTGATGACGCCCAGCGGGCTGCAGAACGCGGGCATCTCGCGCAGCAGCAGCGCCACCAGCTCCTGCGGCGGAGCGTCCGTATCTGCCTGCGTCACGGGCACTTGCACCGCGCTCTCTCTGTAGCTCGGCGACTCAGTGTCCGTGTTCTCGGCCACCACCACGCGCACCACCGCTGGGTCGCCGCCTCCAGCGCACTGCAGCAGCAGCAGCGAGGCCATGGCCTCGGCCAGCAGCTGCCGTCGCGCCGCCTCGTCCTCCACCAGGCGGTCCTGCGTCATCAACTGCTGCAGGTCGCAATCCGCAGCGCTGCGCAGCGTCTCGCCGTGGCGCACGAACAGGAAGCGCCGCAGCAGCTCGGCCTGCACGGCCGCCAGCACGCCGCACGGGCCGCCGTGGCCCTGCACGAGCCCCAGCGGGAAGGCCTGCAGCGTCTGGAACTCGAAGCCCTGCTGGTACCAGCGGCGCGCGTCGTCGGTCCCCGGCGCCGGCCACAGCAGACGGAGCAGCGCGCTCACGTCGGCCGCCGACAAGGAGCTGGTCATGGCGATTGGAGTGATTGAAGCGAAGGCTGCTACTTCACGTACAATACATACATTAGCGTACGGTACACCCCGTTAGTGTGGTGCACACGTTGCTCACATGTCGCACACCGTATATTGGCTCTCTGGCCGTTACTTTCGGAGCCCGCGGCTTCCTGGTGTCGCGCGTGACGACCGGCGTTGGGATCGTGCCCTCGCTCGGACTTGAAGAAGCGGGCCCGCTTGACGCGCGCTGAGTTGGGCTTGGCTCGGTTGCCGCGTCGCGCGCTCTATTTCGGCCCTTCTCGCGCGGGGCCCGGGGAAGGACTCGCCTCTTGCGGGATGTGTGCGAGCACGACAGCGCCAGGTTGAAGTGGCCGCCCGAAGATGCACGTCTTGCCGTCTGCGCCGCCGCGTTGGCAGTTTTATCTTGTCCGACCGGCGCGCGGGCGTCTCACGGGTGGCGCAGCCATCTCGGCTACGGAGCTGGTGGCGGCTATCCCCAATCGCGCGGAGCGCACTTGTGGGCCCGAGCGGCACCGGAGCTCGTTGACTGTCTTGAAGGGGGAACGGGCTGGTGAAATGGTGATATCAGATGCCCAATCGCATCGTGCGATCGAAGCTCGGTATTGTCGATTAACCTGCTATTACTAATGTTCTGTTAAATAGCAAGTACGAGAGTATAAAGGCGCATGTTGAAATTACTTACAAAGGGTCTGTGTAACTCATGCCTGTGGTAGGTGATAGCTTGTGCGGTGTTTAACTGTACTGCGGGAAATAAAGACGAGCACTGGCGGCCGATGACAGCCGACGGACGCAACGAAGCGTCATTCGCGCCGGAGGCGAGCCATTCGGCTATTTCCACGCGCTAGCGACGGAGAGCGAGAGCATCGAGATGCAGCAGCAGCAGGACAAGCAGCAGGAGCTCGAGCAGCGCGCGCTGCGGCCGGACGACGCGCCGCAGGAGCCGACCCCGGTCGTCGAGGAGGAGCCGAAGAGCGCCGTCGCAGCGCCCGCGTGCGCCCAGGACGTGGCCGCGTTCTGCCAGAAGGAGGCCAACATCGCGGCGCTGCTGCGCGAGGCGCCCGACGTGGTCGAGCCGCGCAAGATCGTCGAGGCCGTGCGCAAGGTGCGCGTGTGCATGCTCTCGCACGCGGACGTGCTGTCCGTCGACTGCGTGAACACGCTGTCGGTCGACGTGCTGGGCGCGGCCCCCACGATGGCTGCGTCCGTGCCCGCCAAGAAGGTCGCGGAGCTGGACAACGCGGACGGCGTGGACGACGACTCGTCCATGGAGATCAACATCTACTACTCGAGGCACCACAACGGCGGCGCGGGCCACGCGCTGCGCTCGGGCGACGCGCTCGCGGCGAACCACGTGCAGACGGGAGGGCCGTCGTCCGCGATCTCGGAGGTGCTGGCACACCCGGTCACGTGGGTCTTCGTGCTGCCGTTCTTCGTGATCGGAATGTACGTGAGCGTCACGAGGATCGCGACGTTCCTGCGCCGCCGACGCGAGGAGCGCCGCATCGAGAGCAAGCAGTACATGCCCGTGAATTGACCGGCGCCGTCGTTGTAGATAGTTTGTAAGTACTAAGAGGCTCAGGCCAGGAGTAGCCGAGCTGCATATATATGAGATGGAGGGGGTGAGCGCATGGGAATCGCCACCACACACACCAAATACAAAGCCGTATTTTATTTACCACACTCATGCACCGCATTCTCTTCCACTGGATGCGAGGAATCATTCCTGGCGCACCGCGACAGGCATGGGCTCCGCTGGATCCAAGCAGCCGACGCTTCGGCACCGTCACAGAACATGCACTTCGGTGAGTTCGCCATCGATCATTTTGCATCTGGTGTTTACCACACATATGTAGTGTACAGTACACAATCGGCCGTGTGAAACGTGGCGTCGCTCCGTGGATCTAATCCACAACAAAGCTTCCCCCTTCGACGCGAGTGACCATGCAGCAGGGCGGCTACGGCGGCGGCTACGACCAGCAGCAAGGCGGCTACGGCCAGCAGCAGTATGACCAGCAGCAGTACGCGCAGCAGCAGCAAGGCGGCTACGACCAGCAGCAGCAGCAGCAGTACGCGCAGCAACAGGGAGGCTACGACCAGCAGCAGCAGCAGTACGGCCAACAGGGCGGCTACGACCAGTACGGCCAGCAGCAGCAGGGGGGCTACGACCAGTACGGGCAGCAGGGCGGCTACCAGCCGGGCATGCAGCCCCAGGAGTGGGACTTCCACGCCATGGAGGCCAAGGACGGCGTGCGCTTCTCGTGGAACTCGTGGCCCTGCACCAAGCTGGAGCAGACGCGCTGCGTCATGCCCACGGGCTGCCTGTACCAGCCGCTGAAGCCCATCGACGGCATGCCGCCCGCCGTCGAGTACGACCCCATCCACTGCAAGGCCTGCGCCGCCGTGCTCAACCCGTACTGCCAGGTGGACTTCGTGTCCAAGCTCTGGGTGTGCCCGTTCTGCGTGACGCGCAACCACTTCCCGCCGCACTACGCCGAGAACATCACGCAGGAGAACCTGCCCGCCGAGCTCATCCCGCAGTACACGACGCTCGAGTACGAGCTGCAGAACCGCCAGGCCGGGCCCCCCGTCTTCGTCTTCTGCATTGACACGTGCGTCCCCGAGGAGGAGCTCGAGGAGCTCAAGGACTCGATCCAGCAGACGCTCAACCAGCTGCCGCCCGATGCGCTCATCGGCCTCGTGACCTTCGGCACCATGGTGCACGTGCACGAGCTGGGCTTCCCGGAGGTGCCCAAGTCGCACGTCTTCCGCGGCAACAAGGACTTCACGGCGCAGCAGGTGTACGACATGCTGGGACTGGCGGCCACGCGCAAGCAGCAGCAGCAGCAGATGCCCGGCCAGCCTCAGCAGCCTCAGCAGCAGACCAGCAACTCGGCGCGCTTCCTGCTGCCGGTGTTTGAGTGCGGCTTCACGCTGGAATCCATCCTCGAGGACCTCCAGCGCGACCCGTGGCCCGTGGCCGCGGACCAGCGCCCGCAGCGCTGCACCGGTGTGGCCATGTCCGTGTGCGTGGGCCTCCTCGAGGCCACGTTCCATGGCCAGGGTGCCCGTATCATGATGTTCGTCGGTGGCCCCCCAACGGTCGGCCCGGGCGCCATTGTGAGCCGCGACCGCAAGGAGGACATCCGTTCCCACACGGACCTGCAGAAGGACAAGGCGCCGCTCACGAAGAAGGCGCTGGTGCACTACAACGACCTGGCGGCTCGCTGTGTGGCCTCGAGCCACGTGGTCGACATCTTCGCGTGTTCTCTGGATCAGAGTGGTGTGATGGAGATGGCGGCGTGTGTGCAAAAGACTGGCGGTGTGATCGTGCTTGCCGACTCGTTCGGCCAGTCCGTCTTCCGCGAGTCCTTCCGCCGCATGTTCAGCAAGTTCTCGGATGAAGCGGCAGACTGCGACAAGGACCAGCTCACGATGGCCTTCGCGGCCTCGGTGGAGGTGCTTACCAGCCGCGAGTTCAAGGTTGCTGGTGCCATTGGCCCTTGCGCCCCGCTGAAGCGCCAGGGAGCGGCGCCGAAGAACGTCTCGGAGGTGGAGATTGGTGTGGGTGGCACCAACGCGTGGTCCATGGGCGGCATTGACCCCAACACCACCGTTGCCATCTACTTTGACATTTCTAACCAGACGCCGTTGGCGCCGGGCAAGGCGCGCTACATCCAGTTGATCACGCGCTACCAGCACGCGAGTGGTCGTTATCGCACTCGTGTGACGACGATCTGTGGTCCCTGGACTGTGGACCCGAACGACACGGCCTCGCTGGGCCGTGGCTTCGACCAGGAGGCTGCCGCCGTGTTGCTGGCACGTATTGCTGTGCACCGCTCGGAGCAGGGCGAGGAGCAGCTCGACATCATGCGCTGGATCGACCGATCGCTCATCCGACTGGCTTCGCGCTTCGCCGACTACCGCAAGGACGACCCGTCCTCGTTCCGTTTGTCGCCGGAGTTCGCAATTTTCCCCCAGTTCATGTTCCACCTGCGCCGTTCGCAGTTCCTGACGGTGTTCGGCTACTCGCCTGATGAAAGTTCGTACTACCGCCACTGCCTGCTGCGCGAGAGTACGACAAACTCGCTCGTGATGATTCAACCGTCCCTGCTGTCGTACTCGTTCAACGGACCCCCCGTGCCGGCACTGCTGGATGCTGCCAGCGTGCGGTCCGACACAATTCTGCTGCTGGACTCGTTCTTCTACGTCGTGGTCTTCCACGGTGACACGATCGCCGCGTGGCGTGACCAGAAATTCCACGAGGACCCCGCCCACGAGAACTTCAAGAACCTGCTCGAGGCTCCGCAGGCCGACGCGCAGCTTATCATGGACTCCCGCTTCCCCGTTCCGCGCTACGTCGTGTGTGACCAGCACAAGTCCCAGTCGCGTTTCCTCATGGCCAAGCTCAACCCGAGTGTCACGCACAACAGCATGGACGGCCAGGGCGAGGTCATCTTCACGGACGACGTGAGTTTGAAGGTGTTCATGGAGCACCTGATGAACCTGGCCGTCAAGTCGTAGAGCAGTAGATCATGACTCCCGACCGAAGGGTACACACGTAGTAAAGAATGATTGAAGCAATGTTAAGTCGGGCGTGAACTGTATAAGCATGGACTTGTGCGGCCTGGTGATCTGTATGTATACATGTACGCTTCGAAGCATTACGAGGAGTTCATGTATCGAACTATTGTAACTTTAGCTGTTTGGGTCTACAGCGATCTGTTGACGGATTCTTAGCTGATAGTCCCGTTAACGAGAAACTTGCACCAGTATCCAAATCGCTCACGAACCCAAGGGTGTCCAAGCGACCGAAGCAGTCGCTTTTGTTTCCGACGTCGAGATGGCAGAACCAGCGAATATTTGGATGGAGACCACGACAAGAGCATTTTCGACAGAGGTACCCATGCAGGTTGGCTACAAGCAGCCAAGGTACTACGTTCGCAAGTGCTTCGCCAAGTATTACAAGTTGGTCAAGTTCCTTCTCGAGGTGAAACGTGTTAGGGCTGTGGCGATCACAGGATCACCAGGTGAGGTGGATTTTGAGTTTTGAGTTTGATGCGGCTGCCTCCAAGCGCTGGGCACTCTATTTGCTTCTGTTTGGCGTAGGGGTTGGCAAGTCTCTCTTCTACGCATACTTCTTGCAGCGCTACAGCTTCGAGAACAAGGACACCACGATCATCTCGGCCTCCTTTGCGGAACATGGCCCAAACTCAATCAGGGACCAAGTTGTCGTGTGGAAAAATGGTGAAGTGCTTGGCGTTGCGAAGGACGTCAACTCGGCCATGGACGCTCTTATCGTGAAAAGCAAGAAACAAGCGGGTGGAAAACTGTTTTACCTGTACGATGGTCCGCCCATTTTCAAACCACAGACTGCGCAAATGGTCTGCTTTACAAGCCCAAACAAAACATGGTTTAGTATGGTCGCGAAGGACCAGTCTCAACGGAAGCTTTTCATGCCGCTGTGGGATCTTGACGAGCTCCGAACTGCCGCCGAAGAGCTAAGGCTCGAGATGAATACTATGGATACCCGCTTCAATCGCGAGGAGGGGTCCAAGGACGATGGTTTCATCATGGATCGAGTCGAGCAGTGCTATCAGTTCTTTGGCGGTGTTGCTCGTGAATGTCTATCCACGGACGAATGGTTCGTGAATAAGCGTAGGTTTGAGATTAAGGGGTATCTCGACCAGATTGAAGGTGTCGACAACCTGCGGAGCCTCTTTAACAAAGTGGGGCACTGGGTGGTTTCTTTCAACGAAATAGAGTCCAATGCGGCGAATCACGGCATCGGTCTCTATGCGCCAGACGCAAATGACCCGCCAAATTCACGATTGTGGAGTCACCAGTGCTTGCGAGGTTGCTACATGTTGTGGAGCACCGCAGCCAGCTCAAGACTACTGTGCAGAATGAGAGCATGAGAACTTCTGATGCTCTCATTCGGAAGCTGCATCGTTTCGCGATCCAGGAGTATGATGACTATGTTTGCAGCAAGGCAGCAGCCGTATTGAAGACCCCATTCCATTTCACATTATTCTGCAAGCTGGCGATATACTTCATAGTTTTTGCGGGGTGCCGTGCCGAAACCTAAAGATATGATCGAGTTTGAACAGCTTACGAAATGTATTCTCTCATCGGAGCTCTGTGTTGCTGGTCGACATGTACAGCAACGTGCTTAATGGATACGCTGTCGTGGCGTACGAGAGGAATTCGTGACGTATGCCATCATTTCTATACAGTAGTAACCACAGTGGTTGACTTTCACAGAGCTCGTTACCACCGAAATGAACAATGCGTCGAACAGCAAGAGCTAAGCGCTTACCGAGCTTCAGTTGCGGCAGCGCTAGGGATTCACCTACCTTGCGTGTATTAGCTAAAGGCATTAACTCGCTTGATGTCTCTCCGTAGGATATCCATGACATGTATTACGTGGCGATCCTCGAGTTGAGGACATCGTTTTAATGCAATGCTTCGGCTCAACTCGGTCAGACAGTGCGCAACCGCACTGGCGAAAGTACGCGTTGCAATGGACTCGCATCCAGTAGCAAGCCTGTTGTATTGCGCCACGCTAGCACACATAGAGTAACGGCCCGAGGCTACTAGGGTGGCAAGCCTTCATTCGTCCAGACGATGGTTAGGCAGTCCCGCTTCCGCTACGGTGACAAGTCGCCAATGCTCTACGATGACGGTTGATGGCCACACGCTGACCGCGATGCAGTCTGCGTCAGCAAATCCGCCGGCAAAGTCGCCAGTAGCTCTGGGTGGCCTGGAATCTCACACGCATCGGATCTCACAGCATGGGTTCACTCTTTCAATCCAGTCTCCCTTCCATCATCATGGAAGGGCCCGAAATCGACCGCTGGAAGCAACGGACATTGGCAGCCTAGCCCATATCGGGTAGCCCATGCAGATTGGGCTCTCCGTCCTCATCGATCGAGTCCGAATCGCACGCGTGCATGCGATGCAGCTTGGGTTTGCTGTGAGGAATGCGCCACCGCCGTCTCGGATGTGGTATATCACACTCCTCCGATGTGGAAGTTGCCGCTCGCAAGGAGTCCCCAAAATTTTGGGTAAAAAACCTCGCCGTCCGCCCGATGGAGCGGACCGTCCGCCGCCAGCTGGCACATCAGGTTTCGGAGGTCGGGCATGCGGTTCCGCAGGATTCAGCGGCATAGAGAAGCCAAGTCGTTTGCCCCGTAACCACCTTGCAGGTGGTTTCGCCCACTCGCCGGCTTCTTGTCTGTCGTGTGTGCCAGTTGCGCTTCTTCGCGAGAGACCAAAGGCCGAGTCGAAGCGCGCGCACCCAGACACACAGGGGTCGCTCCATCTCACGCTCGCTCAGTTCTTGACCGGGTAGAAGGAGAGAGGGGAGCAGGTCGCTGTGTCGTACCGCCAGCCAGCCATGTACCGCAACGACAAGCAGGCGCTCATGAAGCACGAGGACTACGAGCTGCACGCCACGCCCGCCACGGGCGCCAACGACGGCGGCGCCGGCTTCTACCCGCAGGAGGGCCGCCCCGTGGGCCAGCAGGGCTACGTGGACCCGCGCGGGCCGGCGCTGCCGCCCATGAACGTGTCGGACGCCGTGGGCGTGGGCGGCCAGCGTGACAACATCATCTCGGTGCACGGCTACATGCACAAACAGGGCAAGCGCACGATCAAGGGCCCGATCCACAAGAGCTGGAAGCGCCGCTACTTCGCGCTGGAGAAGGCCAAGATCTACTACTTCCACTCGCACCTCGAGTGCCGCCAGTACTTCACGACGCGCAACGCCGACCTGGTGGTGGGCGCCATCGAGCTCAAGGACGCGCTGCAGCTGCGCCCCTGCGCGCGCCTGGACCTGCCGCACAAGGGCTTCGAGGTGCACACCAAGCGCCGCGTGTGGGTCCTGTGTCCCGAGACGGACGAGGAGTACCGCATGTGGTTCCAGGGCGTCGAGCGCGCCATCGTGGCCAACGGCGCCGGCAACATCATCGAGCGCAAGCTGCCCAACGTCCGCAAGTACCTGATGAAGGGCAACCAGACGTACCGCTTCTTCTACTTCCTGTTCCTGATCGCGGGTATCGTCGAGCTGCTGGCCATTGTCTTCTGGTTCATCATCGGTCTGGAGCCCTGTGACGCGTCGCGCCTCGACACCGACTGCGCCACCATCATGAAGACGACGCTGATTTCGCTGCGGTGCTCGGACAAGCCCTTCAGCGGCTGGTTCACGCCCCCTCAGTGGTATCTGGAGGTCGCCGACGTGACGGAAGTGGTCTGCTGGCACGACCCGCCCATCCCGCAGTGGGTCTCGTACTTCGCCATGCTGTTCGCTGAGGTGCTGACGTTCGCTCTGGGTGTTCTCTACTACCTCGGCATGTGGAAGCCCGTGCGTCGTGGCGCCCACTACTTCGACGAGTTTGAGCCGCCTGTGCCCGATGAGCTCTGGCCCAAGGTGGACGTGCTGCTGTGCCACTACTCCGAGCCGGCTGAAGAGACCATCGACACGCTCATGGCCTGCATGAACCTCCAGTACCCGCCCCACCTTCTTCAGATCTGGGTGTGTGATGATGGCTACTGCAAGTCCAAGTGGTCGAAGGGCAACCCCGTTCCCACGGTGGAGCTGAACAAGGGTATCCTGGAAACTGCCGGGGACCTCCGACAGGAAGTGGCTCAGTTCATGTACGACCGCGTGTGTGACCCGAACGAGGAGATGGAGGTGTACGCGTGGCGTAAGCTTCACTCGTCCGCCAACTTGCCGTCTCCATCCCGTCCTAGGGTGGTGAACCGTCTCGACTGTGCCGTCGGTTCGTTCCGCGACGACTACCGCTACCCCGGTCTGCCGCACGTGACTTTCATCGGACGTGTCAAGCCCGAGACGCACTTCTCGAAGGCCGGTAACATCAACAACTGCCTGTACAACGAGGGTGCCAACGGCCGCTACCTGATCATTCTGGATACGGACATGCAGCCTCACCCGAAGTTCGTCTTGGCTACGCTGCCCTTCTTCTTCGACGACGAGGACCGTCAGGACAAGGCCAAGTACATTTGCTGCGGTATTGGTTGCAACGCCGTGGCCAAGCTGTGCTGCGCCTCCTGTCAGATCGCCGGTGTTCCTGAGGAGCAGATCAGCTACTGCTCGAAGGATTGTTTCGAAAACGCCATGCACGTCCAGAGCGCGGTCCACCGCCGCCAGGTTAACGGCACCATGAGCGACACTCGTCAGAGCAAGATCGACATGCGCTGCATGAACTGTGACGCGAAGCTGGGCAAGACTGGCGTCTGCCGCAAGTGCAACCCCGGCAACAGCGAGGGTGAGGACGTGTCGTCTCTCCACACGTACTCGGACGATGTTCGTGACAATGCGGTGGCGTTTGTGCAGACTCCTCAGTACTTCCGTGACTGCATCCAGTTGCAGATCGGTGATCCGATGGGCCACCGTAACGCTACGTTCTACGACGCTATCCAGACCGGTCAGGATGGTTACGACTGTGCCTCGTTTGCCGGCACGAACGCCATGTTCCGTCGTGAGGCTCTGGACTCTATTGGCGGCATCCAGTACGGTAGTCTGACGGAGGATTGCTACACCGGCCAGGTACTGTGCTCCATGGGCTGGAAGGCGCAGTACTTCCGCAAGGACTTCGAGGGTGAGCCGTCGGAGCGTATTCGTCTGGCTGAAGGACTGATCCCCGACTCGGTTGCTGGCTCGCTCGCTCAGCGTAAGCGTTGGGCCAAGGGTAACTTCCAGATCGCGCTCATGAACAAGAAGACGCAGTACTTCGACCCCGAGTGGAAGATGCCGGAGGTGCAGGTCCCGTCGTACCGCAAGCCAAACAACTTCATGCGTCGCGTGTTCTACTTCAACTCGACGCTGTACCCGCTCGGCTCGATCACGGCCATCCTGTTCTACTACATCACGATCTACTTCCTGTTCTCGGGCTACGCTCCGATTTACATGGCTGGTGCTCGTCTCGTGTACGCTCTGGTGCCCAAGCTGTTCGTGCAGGGCGTGCTGTCGGCGCTGAGCAACCGTACCGTGGACAACAGCGATGTCATCCGATCGCAGGAGGTGTGGTTCGCGTACGCGTTCACGAACTGCACGGCCGTGCTGGAGGCGTTCTGGTGGAAGATCACGGGCAAGGAGCCCAAGTGGTTCAACACGGGTGGTGCCAGCCGTGGTTCGACCGCTGAGCTGCCCAATGTGATCATCTTCTTCGCCACCGTCGTGGGTGTGCTGTGGTCGGTGGTGCGTTTCCTGGCTGGCTACAACAGCATCCAGACGTCCCACGGCGCTTCGCTGCTGTTCGCCAGTCTGATGATGGGTCTGTTCATCGCCGTGAAGCTGGCGCCGAGCGTTCGCATGAGCATCCAGGAGTACTTTGGCTGGAGCTACGAGAGTCTGACGGACCAGGGCAACGTGGTGGGCTCCATCTCCATCGCGTTCGGACTCGTCTTCATCACGCTATGGGTCTGGATCGAGCAGCCCACGTCCAACCCCTTCTAAGCGAGGGAGACCGCGTAGCTAGGCAGGGCCTTAGGCCAGGTCCCAGTCACAGAGACCAAGGATGTCGCATCGGAGCTCAAGGGCGTTCTCCGCTTGCTATTCATGCTTACGTGCTTGATTTTCAATATATTTTTTCCAACCTTCTTCCAAGCTTTGTGCCTTGCTATCCCGTGCCCGGTGCATCTGCATTGCAAGCCGTGCCGCAGCGATAATGGATCCGCCCGTGAGACTCCTGTGGCCGAAACGACCTTGACACTAACGTTAACTAGTTATAAGTACTTACTGTAGTAAGCAGCCAACTGTAGCAAGCAGCCAAGAAAGACTGCGATGAAGCTGTTCGCGCGAGGAAGGCCTCAAACGGCCACTAACATGTCGATACATGCAGCCAAGTCTATCCAACGCTTGAGCCAGTCCGTTTCGACCCTCAAACTGAAGCGACTGCCCCTAACACTACAAACTTTGCGCCGAGGCTTCAGCCCTCTGCTACGACGCAGACGAAGCCCCGTGACCTCTCTCCATGTCGTCGCTGATGCGCACCCATCGCAGCGAACCCAACGCACATGGTGTATGAGGTGTGGCATATGAGCGGCGCCTTGATTCCTGCACGGCGGACACCCTGATATCGCACACTTCCACAATCCACTTGGCGTGCCGAAAATTTGTAACGCGATTCCGTCCGCCCGTGAGCGGACAGAGCGGACCAAGTACCGTTTCCCAGCGAGGTTTTTCTGGGTTGCCCCGCTGGAATGGGCAGCCTCGATGACCCCACAACTTTACCAGCGACCCCACAACTTTACACTATTTGTTGACGGTTTTGGCGGCTGCGAGCTTGGCTGAGGCCTCCAGGCAATTAACATCCGAATATATTCATTCATGCGAAGAGGTGAATACGTTTTCAGTGAGGCATCCCACGCACGGTGCCCTCGAAACTTCGTATGGACCAGCTCGCCATGGACTGTTCGTATGCGTGAGAACCTTGCTTTTGCTATGGTTGCTCTGAGTTGCTCTTCGCTCCCAGAGCCGATGATCAATGTGTTAACCGACCCCGACGTTGAGTTTTCCATAGAAGAGAAGAGGAATGCCTTGGAAGCCTAGCATAGCAGTTACATGGCAGGCCACGGCTTACAATTGTTAGTAGCTGCGAAAAATCACTGCTGTTGGTTGGATCGAGACCGCGTTGCCAGCACTGGGTTGTTCGGTCCCAAGAAGAGCAAAGTGCTGCTCATTGATGCAATGGCTGGAGATGACCACCGTGTGACCCACGCCTGCAAAGCCGAACATGTATCGGAGCGATGACAATCGCTGCGCACTGGGCACGCAATAGTGCCTGCTGTCGGCGGGAAGGGGATAACAACCTCTTAACCTCTTATTCTCTCAAAGTTCAGTGGTCGGTATAGCCTATGACTCGCAATGACCCTCAAATGCAGAGGATGTAGAGGACCGATGACCTGAGGTCTCTCATCAGACCGCCCTAACTCGATTTAGCAGCTGACGCGGTCTTCATCGGAAGGCGCGATAAAACTTCATCGGACACACCGCCACATGCACCATCTTAGAAACTGTATGCACTCCCAAATTGGTCATCCACGTACCCAATTTGGGTGAGATCCGAGGTTCCGTCCGCCCGCCCTAGCCCCTTTTGGTCCACCGCACAGTCGCACCGTGTGTGGGCAGTTTTTGGTCGCAACTGGCTCCGTGCGATAGAGAGGGCCGCTCGCTCCTTCACAGTCGGAGTTTCGCGCAACGAGAGAAACCACCGCGGTCGGTCTCTTGAGCTGGGCGGACGGACACTGCTCCATTCGAGAGAAGCACGAGTGAGCGAGACTCTGGTGTTGCGCGCACTCGTACCGAGCTGGACATGTTCAACAACGACAAGCCGGCGGCCGCGGCGCCGCCCGCGGACGACTACGAGATGTACGCGACGCCCGCGGCCACGGGCGCGCGCGAGCCCGGCGAGGCGGAGATCGTGCGCCGCGGGGACGCCCCCGAGCGACCCGTGCACTCGGACGACACGGGCAGCTTTAAGGACAACGTGATCACGGTGCACGGCTACATGCACAAGCAGGGCAAGCGCGCGGTCAAAGGCCCGATCCACAAGAGCTGGAAGCGCCGCTACTTCGCGCTGGAGAAGGCCAAGATCTACTACTTCCACTCGCACCTCGAGTGCCGCCAGTACTTCACGACGCGCAACACGGACCTGGTGGTGGGCGCCATCGAGCTCAAGGACGCGCTGCAGCTGCGCCCCTGCGCGCGCCTGGACCTGCCGCACCGAGGCTTCGAGATCACGACCAAGCGCCGCGTGTGGGTCCTCTGCCCCGAGTCCGAGGACGAGTACCGACTCTGGTTCGAGGGCGTCGAGGAGGCCATCGTGGCCTGCGGCTCGGGCAACATCATCGAGCGCAAGCTGCCCAACGTCCGCAAGTACTACATGAAGGGTATTACAACGTACCGCATCCTGTACTTCCTCTTCCTGATCCTGAGCGTCGTGGAGATCTTCGGCTTCGTCTTCTGGTTCGTCGTGGGCACCCAGCCGTGTGACTCGAGCAACAGGACCCTAACGTGTGAGGAAGTGTACGACAACACGCCCGACGACCTCAACTGTCTGGCCGAACCCATGAGCGGCTGGTTTACGCCTCCGGACTGGTACCTGACGCTGGCCGGCGTGGACGACGTGGTGTGCTTCCACAACCCGCCCATCGCCCAATGGGTGTCGTTCTTCGCTCTCATCTTTGCCGAGCTGGTCTCCATCATCCTCGGCGCGCTGTACTACCTCGGCATGTGGAAGCCTGTGCGTCGTGGCGCCCACTACTTCGACGAGTTCGACCCCAAGGTGCCGGACGACCTGTGGCCCAAGATCGACGTGCTGCTGTGCCACTACTCGGAGCCCGCGGAGGAGACGATTGACACGCTCATGGCCTGCATGAACCTGCAGTACCCGCCGCACCTGCTGCAGATCTACGTGCTGGACGACGGCTACTGCAGCACCAAGTGGACTAAGGGCAACCCGATCCCGGCCATTGAGCTGAACAAGATGGTGCTAGAGAAGGCTGGCGACCTCCGCCAGGAAGTCGCTCAGTTCATGTACGACCGTGTGTGCGACCCCAACGAGGAGATGGAGGTGTACGCCTGGCGTAAGCTCCACTCGTCCGCTAACCTGCCGTCGGCTTCGCGCCCGAAGGTCGTGAACCGCGCCGATTGCGCTGTGGGCTCGTTCCGTGACGACTACCGCTACCCTGGCCTGCCGCACGTGACGTTCGTCGGTCGCGTGAAGCCGCAGACGCACTACTCCAAGGCCGGCAACATCAACAACTGCCTGTACAACGAGGGTGCCAACGGTCGCTACATGCTGCTGCTGGACTCGGACATGCAGCCTCACCCGAAGTTCATCCTGGCCACGCTGCCCTTCTTCTTCGACGACGAGGATCGCCAGTACAAGAACAAGTACTCGTGCTCCACCATGGGCTGCCAGAACGTGGCTAAGATGTGCTGCGCGTCGTGCAAGATCGCGGGTGTGCCGGAGGAGCGCATCAGCTACTGCTCGAAGGAGTGCTTTGAGAACGCCATGCACGTGCAGAGCGACCTGCACCGTCGCCAGGTGAACGGCACGCTGAGTGACACGCGCGCTACCAAGAAGGAGCTGCGTTGCATGAACTGCGACTCGAAGCTGGGCAAGAGCGGAGTTTGCCGCAAGTGCAACACGAACAACAACAACGGGGACGCCGACATGTCGATTCTGCACAACTACTCCGATGATGTTCGTGACAACGCCGTGGGCTTTGTGCAGACGCCGCAGTACTTCCGTGACTGTGTTCAGCTGCAGATCGGCGACCCGCTTGGCCACCGTAACGCCACCTTCTACGATGCCATTCAGACTGGTCAGGACGGTTACGACTGCGCGTCGTTCGCTGGCACCAACGCTTTGGTTCGTCGTGAGGCCCTTGACTCGATTGGCGGCATTCAGTACGGTACGCTGACGGAGGACTGCTACACTGGCGAGCGTCTTGTCTCTATGGGCTGGAAGGCGCTGTACTTCCGCAAGGATTTCGAGGGCGAGGCTCACGAGCGCATCCGTCTGGCCGAAGGACTGATCCCTGACTCGGTGGCTGGAGCCATGGCGCAGCGCAAGCGTTGGGCCAAGGGCAACTTCCAGACGGCCCTGATGAAGAAGAACAAGAACGTGGCTGACCCGGAGTGGAAGCGCCCGCACGTGGACATCCCCAAGTACCGCAAGCCGAGCACCTTCATGCGCCGCGTGTTCTACCTCAACTCGACCCTGTACCCGATTGACTCGATCCCGGTCATCCTCCTGTACTACATCACGCTGTACTTCCTGTACACGGGCTACGCTCCGATCTTCGTGAACGGCCTGCGCGTGCTTGTGGCGCTCGTGCCCAAGCTCATCATCCAGGGTCTACTGTCCGCTCTGAGCACTCGTGGAGTGGAGAACAACGATGTGGTGCGATCGCAGGAGACCAGGTTCGTGTACGCGTTCACCAACTTCACGGCCATGCTGGGCGCCATTGTGTGGAAGTTCACTGGCCGTAAGTCCAAGTGGTTGAACAAGCGCGACGCCACGCGCGGATCGCTGGCCGAGCTGCCGAACGTGCTGGTGTTCTCCGGTGCGGTGTTCGGCATCGTCTGGTCCATGGTGCGCTACATCGTGGCCTACTACAACCGCGTGTACTCGCACGGTGACTCGATGCTGTGCGCTGCCGTGCTCATGGGTGTCTACATCGCGTACAACCTGGGCCCGAGCGTGCGGATGAGCATCCAGGAGTACTTCGGCTGGAGCTACCAGAGTCTCATGGACCAGGGTAACTTCATGGGCTCCATCTCCATCGCCGTGGGCCTCATGTTCATCGCGCTGTGGGTGCACGTGGAGAAGCCCGTCACCGGCTAGGGAAGCGTAGCTCGGTATCTAGGACCAGCCAGCCGTCTAGTGACGCGCCGCGCCACTACATTCGCCACTTCATCTTCCATTAGTTTGCTTTTTATGCCATATATCGACAAGTATATGGTTGTACACGTTAAGCTTGGGCACTGTCTTGCTGTACCAACCATTTGCAATTCCGCCGTCAAGACATACTGCAGACAAACATGAGCAGCGGTCGCTCGCTGTTCGACGAGTCAAACGAGTTCATCGGGCTGCCCGTACGGGTGCAGCTGCTGGATGGCACCTCCACAGACGGCGTGCTGTACTGCATCGACCCGGAGACGGACCACGTCGCACTGCTGTGCCCGACAGCTCAGACCGATTCGGGCTACAGCGTCAAGGTGTTGCTGACTCACCATGTCCGCAGCATCGAGAAGGAGCCACACGGAAGCGCGGACCTCCCCACGCTAGCTGCACTGCAGGAAGAGCTGCGTGGAGACCAAGAGATCAGCGGCAGCCAAACTTTGGAAGACGCGGCCAGCATCCAGAGCCGACGCGAACTGCTCGGCCAGTTCTTGACCAAGGTACGTAAAGCTACTGCACGGTAAGATGGTCGTCTATTGTCACTGATGAACTTGACTGCTGCCGCTGCAATTGCCGACAGAACTTTGTGCCGTTCCAGGTGGCGGCGGACGGGGGCGTCGTCGTGTTCGGCGGTGCCGCGACGCTGCGCGCGCCATTCCGCGCGGCTGAGAGCGACAACCAGCAGCTCCTGCGGTGCATGCAGCAGCTTCTCGCCCAGTTCGACCAGCAGCAGCACGAACAGACAGCAACAAGCCCCGCGTAAGTGCAGACTAATGTATGTGTGCCGGTGGAATTAGCCCGACGGGCCCATTCCAGCGCGGCCGCTCAGAAATTATGCAGGGCAAATCTCCTGATCGCGATTCACCACAAGGACGGCCGAGGCCACCCATACTGTGCCCTAGGCAAGGCCTGCCCTTTTTTGAGTGGAAGTTGGTGCTGCGTCGAACAGGCCTATTGCGGCAACTGCCGCGACTGTACGTGAGGGTGGCGCTCGCTTCAACGTCCATCGCCTCGCCTTCTGCCGATGCAAGCATGCGTTTCGGTCAAGACGCCTGTGGGTCTCGACACGCGAGGCTCTATTCCGGAATGGAGGCCGGAGCGCGTCGTCGACTTGACGATCACTCACTCGGCTCGCCCCGTCGGTATCTTCTCGTCGTGCGGTGACGCAGACTTGAAGTGGCCCGTGCGCTCATGGGGGAGCCATGTACGCAGCCCACGACTGCCACGCGCGCCAAGCGGCAGCGCTGGCACGAAGTAGCAGCGAGTAACACGGCGACGGTCGTGACTCGCGAGCACAAATCGCGCGAATCGCGAGCTCCATCGGAGTCGTCAGTCAGCGGCGACCGGACCCAAGCAGACCAAGCGCCACGGGCTTGTGGCCAAGCACGCTTCGAGTGCCTGTGAGTCACGACGTCAATCAAGCGGCCGGCGCGAGTTGATACTTTGCCTATGGTATGGACATTGATAGTGCCGAGCCGCTCGAAGCTCGAGGCGAACCCAGATCGCCAAACTTTGGCTTCAACTCGCGAGGATGTTGGCGCCGTGCATGCGACGTGTGAGCGCTGAACCCGCGCCCGTCTTTTGCTGCTGGTTCTGGTCGACGACCAGCTCCGCTGCGAGCCACCAAGCAGGTCGTTTCCCCGCGTTACAGCGCCCGAAAGCCCCGCGCCAGTCCTCCGTGGTTGCGGTGCTCTCGACGGCAATGCGATGCGAAGTGGACTCGTCGGCTACCACCACGCGATGCCGCCAAAGTGGCCAGGAATTCACCGCTATCTACTGTTTTCCTGTTAGCATGAGTACCGCACCCACTGAATTGTGTTACGCAAACGTGTACCGTTACTGCTATTACAACAAGCATATCGTAGATTTACTATATTCAAAGGAAATAGATTAATAGAGGCACAAAACGGCATTCGTGTTAGTTCCTATGTGAACGGTTATGACGGGGTATATACATGCGCGCCTGTCACAGCCCCTCTCTTTTTCCCAAACACGCTGTCTCTTCTTCCTGCAACGGCCGCTCCATAGTCCGCATCTCTCCTCACTCTTCTATTGAGCTCGTCGGTCTCGGGTCGATCGGTCCATGCGGGTGCTGCGCGCCGTCCGGGCGCTGGCCAGCGGCCTGCGCAGCCGCCGCCGCGACGCCAGCGAGCGAAGGGACTCCAGGGCGCCCATGCCCTCCACCACGCAGCGCAAGACGCACCCGGGCGTCCGCGCCGCCGCCTCCGCCTGCTCCGCCGCCACTGGGCCGGACGAGACGGTGCGCAACGCGGTGGCGTTTCTGACGCAGGAAGACGCCGAGAGCGCGCTCATCTACGCGCTCGTGCACGACCCGGACTTCCGCTTGGCCTCCGCGCTGGCCACGGTACGTACGCAGCAACAGCAGCAGTGGACGCTACGACGGGACTCGTACTAACCTTGATATGTCTGTGTGTCTATTGCTGCAGACGCCGTCGGGCGCGGACGTGAACGTGATCCGCGCGCTGCTGTTCGTGTTCGAGAACCACGAGGACCAGCTCCGCAAGCTGCTGGGGCTGCTCATGTTCCGCGAGATGGTGCACACGCTCAACTGGAACGAGCTCTTCCGAGCCAACTCGGCCACGACAGCTGTGCGTGCTTACCTTCAATCAGCACCATAGGGTGTATGTTGCCTACCCTAACGTGGCAGTATAGAGACTGACGCTTGAATCTGACCTTTATCTGCTGCAGTTGCTGCGCGAGTACACGTGCGAGCTGGGCGGCGAGTTCCTGCAGCACGCGCTGGCGGACGTGATCAACGAGCTCTGGGTCTCGTCGGACGGCTATGAGGTGAACCCGCGCTACCTGCAGCCACAGGACGATCTCCATGCCAACCAGCAGCGGCTCGAGGCGCTGGCGGAGCGCACGCTCGACCATATCTTGAGAGCGGCGTCGCTGTTCCCGTACCAGATCGCCAAGATCTACCGCGTGCTGGAGCTGGAGATGATGCGGCTCATTGAGCGCGACCGACGCAGCAACGTGTCCCTGCCTAGACTCAGCGCCATGGGTGGCAGCAGCAACAGTCTCATCTTCTCGGACGCTGGCAACAATAACAACAACAACAGCAGCTTCTTGGAGAGCACGTCGGTGGAGAGTGCAGGGCAGCTTGGAGGTCTCCCGCGACTCAGCTCCATCGAGGAAAACCTGTTGGAGGAGGTGCTCACGCAGTCCAACATCTCCAACGGCACGGCTTCGACTGTCACTGCTGCCAAGGAGGAGTTTTACATGCACTTGGGCGGGCTCGTGTTTCTGCGATTCCTGTGTCCCGCTCTGGTGGTACCGCACAAGATGAACCTGACCCCGGGCAGCCAAGCGCCGAATAAGCAGATGCAACGCACTCTTGTGCTGCTGGCGAAGCTGCTGCAGTCGCTGGCGAACAACGTCGAGTACACGGCTTCCACCGAGTCGTTCATGGTCCCGTTCAACTCCTTCCTCACGCGAAATCGGCCCAAGCTCACTCGCTTTTACGACCAGCTGTGCCAACAAGCGCAGAATGACCCCCGGCGAGACAGCATGGTCGCGCGCAGCAACGCGGCCCCGAGATTATCGCAGCTTTGGGCAAGTCGGAGTAGCAGCAGTCTGGGCAAAGATCCATCCATTGTGAACCTCACCGGGGCGCGGATAATGGAGGCGCCGGAGGCCGCATGTGCAGTACTGCGCGAGTGGATGAGGTCGAACCTGGACTATCTCGCAATTGAAGTTGCAGACAACAGCAAGTTTCGACGGCAACAGCAGATCGTGGTCAACAATGGAAGCAGCAGCAGCAGTGGCAGCTCCACTCCTCCGACGTCGACTTCCGCTGTGACAGCTTCGCCCGTGAGACCCAAGAGGCCTAAACGGAAGTTGAAAACGTCCAAGAGTGCTGGGTACCCTGCAGAAATCCAGGAAGAAGACGAAGAGGAAAAGACAAACGAAATGATGGGGTCGAGAGCCTCCCAACGGCGTGACCTCGCGATGCCCGTTTCACTGGAGGAACTGGACAAAATTATGGGCCACACAAGCCATCGTGACAGTCAGCTGATGAAGGTCTACTACTCCAAGCTCTCTCAGAATGGGTTGCAGCGTCTACTGCACGTGAATGACGTCGATGGCGCGGAGTGGACGGTGTACAGGAGCAGTGGCGACGTCGAGGTGCTGCGCAAGACGCCTGGACACTTCGTGTGTCCCTCAGGAGGCTTCGCATCTGAAAAGGACCGCTTGGTGGAGATGAAGGGCCATGTTACCATTCGGTCCACGCCCAGCCGGGTGTTTCAGTATCTGCGATCTCTCGAGAACGCTTGCTCCACGACCCCAGGCGCCAGCTTTGACGACGGCAAGACTACTACCAGGCGGGTCGAGCCGCTGGATGACTCCAAGTCGGTGCTCTACCGTGAGCACTCGAAGCTGTCGCTGTGGCCAGCGTGGCTGGTAAAGCCCCGTGATTCTTGTGATCTCCACAGCTTCGTGGAGAAGACTGGCCGACCCGATACGTACGCCGTGCTCCAGGAGTCTATCCCTCGTGCAGACGTTCCTGAGCGCAAGGGAGTGGTGCGAATGGCATTTGCCACCGGCGGCTTTCTGATTGAGCCATATGTGGGAGGCGGGGATGAAAACTCGGACCCCGAGGTGGAAGACGGGTTTTCCACGAGACTCACATGCATCGTGCGAGCCGACTTCAAGGGGCTAATGCCTCGGTACCTGGCCGAGAGCATCGTCTATCGGCAGGTGCTTGAAATCGAGACTATTCGTTCACGGGTGGAGTCCATGCCTCCCGCGACGAACGAATGGGTTTAGTGCCCATGCCACAAGATCACGACATTATCTATCAACCATCCAACGGCAAGATGGACAGCAGCCAAGCTATGAAAGTCTGCTTGTGTATATTTTTTTCCTTGCGCAAAGGATATGTTGGAAAATAAATACAATACTCTACTTGAAGGCTACAACTACTTCTTGACTGTGTTTTTCATGAACAAGCAGCCAAGGAAACTACGAATGATTTGGTGTGAAGACGCACAATGAAACCAGCCGAACTGAAGGCACTTTCACACAAGCACGCACGCTTCCGAAATGAGGGAAGCATTGCGTGGGGCTTCAATGCTTGGGCTACTGCGTCTGCCGATAGACCAAGTGAAGCCGTGATGAGGGCAACACCAGATCAACGAGGCAAACTTGGCCCAGCGTATCAAGCTGATGCTTTCCGTGATGAGAGAAAACTCAGCAGTCCTTGGCGTGTCTTCAGGCGCGGTGGTATGCATCACACAGCTGTGGCACGTCGTCGTACAGCGTGACGAAAGACTTGAACGCCTTGTCTTCATCTCCACTCCAGATTCGTAGACACTCGTGGGCGGCGGGGATCATGTCAGGACGGTAGCCAGCAACCTCGTTGTAAGTCGAGAACGCCTGCAGCAGACGCGTGACGCTTTGCCGTTGCTGCGCCATATACAACGACGTCTTTGATGCCCCAACCGCGACGTCTCGAGCAATCTGTTCGTATTGAGGGCACTCGCCGCACGTGCAGAGATAGTCGTCGAGGTAGATGCGAGCGTCGTCGTTGTCTTCAGCGCACACCATTGCTGTCAGGCGCAGCAACTGGTCTGCCTGAGTCTCGCAGTCGCAATCACTGCAACCCTCACACGCATCGCAGATAGCGTTGAAGAAATCGTCCGATGCTGAGCTCGCACTTTCCCAGTCGGAGTCGTTGTCGTCCAAGGCCTGCTCGTCTTCTTCGCATTCGGCATCAGTGAACAAGTCTGCCTCCTCAGTTGTGCACGAATGGCAATCATTGTCGTCGTCGTCGTCGACATCCTTGCTGCTGACGCTGCAGGGTTGCCAGTTGCTGTTCACAATCAACTCGAGGAAATCTCCATCTTCAGTTTGGCAAGCTGCATTGACCAGAACCGGGGTTTTCTTCGGCTCCTCTAGCGATCCGGTGAGGTTGCCCGCGAGCAGCGCCGCCATCGTCGACAGAACAACCGCGCAGAAGCAAGCAGCGGTCTCCATCCAGCTCGACGTGGCAGCCATGCACTCCTGCTTCTCCATCTGATCCAGTAGCTTGTCAGATGCAGAGAAGTCGCTCGAAGGCGCGTAAAGTGTGGTGGATGCAACGTTGCCCATGGTTGGTTGAGTTTGCGTTCGAGCGATCAAGTTGGGAAGTGATGTTCCGTGGATGCTTCGAAAGCTCGCCTTCTGGTCCGCCCTTGACACGCCACTATCGGGTGGTGAACATTTTCCGCAAGTTGACAGAACTTGTTGCCTTTCCGTGCTCGAAGCTGCGAACCTTCCACAAATACACGCGTTTGATTGGCTGATCACTTCACCTTTGAGTACCATAATATCGGTACACGCCGAAGCGACGCATGTAGCCATCTTGTCCAGCATCGCGCACAAGTCTCCTCATGCCACGCCGACTGCCTCCCGAAGAGCGATCAAGCCCCACGTCGGCTGATGTACCAGCGGAAAGAGCTCGCGAGGTGCTCCAGGCCCTGACTGAAGTCGTGGTGGAGGCTCAGAAGCGGGGTCTCCCGCTGTCCGAGGCCTACGTGCACTTTGACCAGCGCGATGAAGGGGTCGTGAGCGTCGACGACTTGATGCAGGCGGTGGTGGAGTTGCGGCTGTGTCCAAGCAGCGATCTCTGGACCGAACAGGACGCCGAAGATTGCATCGCGGTCTTGTCTCGAGGCAAGTCGAGGGCCTATTTCACCCGAGAAGACTTCGTGCGCTACTTCTCAACAGCAACAACGGCAGCAGCAGCAGCAGCGTCACCCCCATATCGTGAAGGTAAAGCCTCAGTAAAGGGGACAGATCGGCACGTGCGCTTCCAGAAGACATCACCAGACAAGAGAGAACACCTCCAGCACTTGCAGGAACAAGCCACCGCTGCTTCTCATTCTCTAGCAGACCACAAACACTCGCAGTTGCGCGTGACGTTGCCCGAATGGGCCCACGCACGAAGCAAGCGCGCGCTCAAAGAACTGGAAGCGAAGAGACGAGTCCGGACACAACCTCAGCCACCACTTACGCTGAGCTCCACGCCGAATTTCAACTCGAATAGCTCGCTCTCCGAGTCGACGCTTGACAGCCACAGCAGCAACAACGAGGTGCTCCATGACGACGACAACAACGAGCCTGCTCCAAGCTCCGCGGCAGTTCCACAGCTTCACTTGGGCAAGAAGAAACAATCAATGAAGACTGGCGAGAACGCGGACGATCTGCTTGAGTTCCCAGTCTCCGATCGGTGGAAGGCCTTCAATGTGGATGCAGACACCGCCATCTCGTACGGAATTCTCTCACTTGACACGATGCGACTGTCACCATCAAGAACCAAGACGACGACGGAATGGACACCTCCGTCCCAGACATCAGCTGAGACCACGGCCGAAGAGGAGGCGTCGGGGCGTCCAAACATGACTGCGTTTCGACTGACGGTGTTTCTCGACGCCTTCCAGCGGCTTGAAACGCTAGAGGCCTTCTTCCATCCACTGCTCGTCCACTTCCCGAGAGGTAAAATATTGCTCTGTGGATTCCCGACATGCTCGAAACGAGGCGTAACGTGGCACAACGCGCGCTTTGCTGCTGTCTACGCCAGACTGCTTGAGCACGTCATGACACGCTCGCGAGAGTGGTTAGTGCAGCCGAAGCTGGGCATCGGTGCAGTCCCTCAGTACCTTGTTGGGTTCGGCACAGGCGGCAGCGCTGCACTTCAGCTGCTCGGTATGGAGCTGCCCCTCCAGCAGGTGAAGGGCGATGGCGGCGGTGCACTCGGACTGTTTGCTCGCTCGCTTCGCGGTGCTGTGGTTGTCAACACTCTGGCGAGCGTCACGGAAGTAGAGCGTAAGACTCTGCGCTCTCTCCAGAAGCTACTGGATGCCAGCCGCCAGTCTGGAACAGCCACGAACTGTGGCGAAGCTGTTGAGCTCCATGAAGCACTAGCGTCGGCGCTCTTCAGCGAGCACTACCTGACACAGGTAGCCTCCAGCAGATCAGCTGCTCTTGAAACCTTCTTTCGCTCACGGTGTGGCTTCCTTCAAACGATGGAGCCCTCTACTGCGGATGCACCTGAACGCGCCAACACCTCCAGTCAGAATGTTGTTGGTAGTTGTGGCAAAACGGGTCAGCTGCTCGGGGTCCTACTGCGCGGTGCCGTGAAGAATCGAGACATTGCTGCAGCGATTTCCAATCTGGCCATGGGGGTCCCTGCACCCTTCGCACTGATCGTCGTCCACGGATCTCAGAACGCACTGTTCACCCCACAACAAGTGGAGCTGCTCACTGGAGATGTGGGTCTCTTGGCGTCCTCGACTGGGTTCTCGATGGTGAAAAATGTAGCTGAAGCCTTGGTTCTTGGCAGCGGTTTGGGCGTTGAGCCTAATGACGATTCTCTGCGCCTACACGTCGCGTGGCTTAAAGGGGGCCACGAGCTGTTGCAGGAGCGCCCTTCATTCTTCCTCGACTTGTTCAGACAGCTTGCAACTGCACCGGTGGCACGACCGCGGTCAGCCTCGGTATTTGGTGGGGCGATTCGACGCGATTCCACGGTTAATCGTTCTCTCAGCACTAGCCCAACACGCAAGGACAGCGTACTATCGTCTGCGTCTCCGTCTCGCCAACAAACTGACCCACAGAAGGACACAAGTGCTGATCCACCTCAAACCGATGAGCCATCTCAATCTAGTCAAGAAGACTCCAGCCCAGAGCAGTCCCAATCTCAGTCGCCAGAAGCTCACTCAAGCTTGCGGGACCGCGTCGCTGAGTTGCTCTCAACGCGTGGCCTGCCTTGGATTCAGCAGGAGCTTTACGATCGCGGCATTGAAGGCGCAGGTTCTACCCAACTCATCCTTGAGCGATACGAGCGCGTTCTGGCCGAGGAGGAACAAGTCGCGCGGCGTCACGAGCGCGAGATCCAGCGTATCCAAGCCAAACACGCCGAGATCGAGGCTCAACGCCAAGCCAAAGAGGATGAAGCTCGGGAGCGCGAAGAGCGAGCGACTGAAGCTCGACGATCCATCCTCAGACGCGAGCGCGAGACTCAGCAACGGTTCTTCGAGGAGATGGAGACCAAGAAGCTCGAGAACGCCCTCAGACTACATGAGAACGAGAATATGATGCTGGAGGATTTCCGGTCGCGGAAGGTGGAGGACATGCTCCTGAGCGACCAAGAGCGCAGCCAACGCAACCGAGCCGTAGTTCGTCAAATGGGCGAGCTGGAGGCCGAACGGCAAGAGCGCGCGAGGCGAGCGACTCAGGTCGAGCTGCAAGGGCTTCGTCTGGAGGAGCAAAAGGCGCAACGAGAGGCGCTCAAAGCCTTCCAACGCGAGTTCGAGCTGAAGGAGTTGGTGTCGAGCCCCGTGGAGTCTTACTGGCTGGATGCTCCTCCCGTCTACGAGCGGTTCGACGACGTGTCTAGCGGCGCCCGAGTATTAGCCGCAGATCTCGCCCATTTCTACGAGATCAAGGCGCTTCAGATGCGCGAGTCGGCCGAGAAACGCACCGAACTGGAGGCGCTCCAACGCGGGCCTCTTGCTGCTAAGGAGCTCCAGGTTCGTAACCTGGAACGCGTGGTAGCCAAAGCGCAGAACACTGGCATGATCGCCAAGGCTGGCATGGGCACCGTCCGCATTGTACCAATCACTTCAGCTGAGATGAACGCACTTGGTCTGGACCTGGACACTGCGCGTGATGAACTGGAGCGACTGCAGAGCGATGCAGGCTTGCGTCGCAAGGATCTGGCGTGGAAGGACCAGCTTCTCCAGCGACTTAGCGTGATCATCCAGCGCAACGAGCGCTTCCGTGAGGAAGTCTTGGTAAAGCTGAACACTTGTGCTGACTTGGGTAATGAGCGCGTGCTGTCCCTACGGGAGGACAACGAAGCGCTCGAATTCAAACTCGAGTCACTAGCCGAGCTTCGCAAGAAGCTTCACCAGCGCCAAACAGCAGTGCGAGGTGAGTGTGAGCGCGCTCGAGCTGCCCCTACCGCCTTCTTCGACACGAGCCTGCGCGTTGTGGGGGCCCTGCAGCGGGTTCAACGCACAATCATCATCAAAGAACTCACAGCGGAAGGCGAAGCGCTTACCACGAGAATCAAAGCCCTAGACGAGCAGGAGACAGCCGCGAAGCGAGCACTGGAGCGGAGTAAGGCCACGTTGGAGGAGGTGGCGCTCCGGACCTTCGTGCTGGAAGAGAGCTTGCGAGCGTTGCAGAGTACGACGGAGGTCAAAGCCCTCGGAGCAGACGGCAAGGCTGAAGACATGTCGACCGGTAGCGACGGCAAGACCAAGAAATCCGCTGGGGCTCAGAAGCAAGATGTCGCTGAAAGCGTGAGGCAGAAAAAGCACGCAGATCGATCGCCCGAGGAAAAACGCTGGGTAACGCTGGACTTCCTCCTCAACTTCGCGCACTACTACAAGCACGTGGCACCGGAAGAAGTCGAGATCATCCAAAAGAGCGCCGACTACCAGCAGAAGAGCGACAAGAAGTTGACAGTCGAGCAGCTCCAGCGGTTGATACAGCTTCCAGCGCGCAACTGCCTCGCGTTCGCGTTCCTCAAGTCACCCGAAGAAATGGAGGCCCACTACCTGCTGCGCAAGTACTCTTTCGGAGACGGAGAAGAGTACTTCGCGCAGCTTGACCATGATTTCGAAGCTCCTAGCGGTATCGCCGCTCCGCATGCGCCTCTATCACCCAATCTCGAGAACATGCTGTCGGTGCTTCAGCGGATAGCGGACTCGCCACCATCGCGCCATCGACGGTGTCCACGCGCCCGAGCTGCGCTGCTGGACGATAAAATGCCGTCTCTCACTCTGCTCCACGTGCCACAGACCCAGCTCTTCCCGCATAAAAGCACGACGCACAGCTTCCAGCTGCCGAAAGAGGCCGAAGGTGTCGCTGTGCTCTCGCTCACAGTCTCTATCGTGTTCCAGGGGCATTTCAAGTCGGTCGGGTACCAAAACGGCCGGCTAGCTGGCATGCTGTACATGCTTCCTCCAGTCACAGACCCAACCACGCTGCAGCAGAAGTTCCAAGCCCCGATTCCCATCGGAAAATGCTTCTACGCCGAGGACCTCGCGCTCTGCTCGCCGCACAGCATGGGCAAGCTCACGCTGCGGCACGAACCGGACTCAGTGCCCCTCAGCGCCGCTGCAACGTATCAGGTTGTGCTGGGAGCCCCCGTCTTCACGGCGTATTCTCTGGAGGTGTCGGCACGGACAGCGCTGTTCGCGGACGAAGCCTTGCGACGGAAACGCGTCGATGCCCTGAAGAAGCAAGAGCTGCTGCCTCGCAAGCAGGACGAGCTCCAAAATGTCTTCTTGACGATCCAACTGAGCGAACGCAAGAAGCGACTGGCCCGTCGTCTCGCCATCGAAGCGAAAGACCAAGCGCGCGCTGCGGAGCTGGAGCTGCTGCGAAATAACCAAAAACTTGAGCGCGACAATGCTGAGCCCGTGCTGAGCCACGAAGAACGAAGCGCACTGCACGCGGTAATCCGAGCCGCGAACAAAACGTTCACTCACTGCTGCTTCCTCTTCTCCAAGCGCGAGGAAGAAGTGCGCGACATCGAACAGAGTCTGCGAGAGCTCACGAGGATCCATGTGGACGTACTGGAAGACTGCGAGAAGATGGAGCAGTTGCTCGCCGAGTACCGCACGTACTTGCCCCCCATTGCCGCTTTGCTGTCGGGAGAGCGGGATATGACAGTCGGAGACGCTGCAGCAGCCAAACTCGCCCGGGAGCTCAACATCGAGTACGTCAACAAGAACGGCACGAAGTCATCCAAGGTGCGCTGGGCCGAGCTGTCTGCCATGAAGGCCAAGCTGCCGTCAATGATGACACCCGCGGAGCGACTTCGACGCAAGTACAAGAAGGGACGAGACTCGCTGGACAAGAAGGAGCGCGAGTGGATTCTGCTCGATCGTATCCTTCATCCACGCTTGTATCGCTGGGAAGACGACAAGCACGGCGGGGCTGCTGACGGAGGCTACACAAACGCGCCGGGGGTGAAGCTCAAGCTCCATGGCGCATACCCGAAGCTCTCCAAAGACGAAGAACAACTCGCTGCTCTCTCGCAGATGGAGGTGGAACGGATCATGAAAGCGCCCTGGAATCTGCTGGAGCGGAAGGAGATCCTGATCCGCAAGATCGTCACGCGGTTCCGCGATGATCATGGAGGCAATTCCAAGCGCAAACCGAACCAGCAGGGGGTGACCATGGTGACGCTACTGCGGGGTCAGAAGTCAACAGAGCTGACTCGGGAGGAGCGCGAGTGGCGCTTGTACGATCAACTGCTGAATCCGATGTACTACCCGGTGAACTTCAAGCGACTGGCGAAAGAGATCGCGGACGCTGTTGCGATTCCAGGAGGGCTCGAAGAAGTCACGATCTCGCCCAAGATCACGAGAGAGGATCTTGTCATGGCCATCAACACTCCAGAGGAGGAACTGTACAAACTGCCGAGTGACTTGCTCCGAGGACGCACGTTGCTGCTCAAATATGATCCGCAGCTCACCACGAACTTCATCAGTGCTGCGCGGATACAACAGCAGAACCAGGACTCTCAAGCGGCAACTGACGTGGTAGAGGTAGACGTCGACGCGCGGTGCCGCCTCGTGTTTCAGGAGCTTCAGCGCGCTATCGCCAACACGCGCAACGAGTTCATGGACTCGTACGTTCTTCACTCGACGTTGCAGCGATTCCCCACCAAAGTGCTACGACTCGAACTCGAGAAGGACTTGGACCGGTTGCTCATTTCCCAGATCAAGGAGAAGGAAGACTTCGAGCTGGCCAACTTCCTCGCCAAGAAGGACGTTCCAGACGCCACAGAAAACCCCGTCTCCGATTCAGACAGCGACGAAGAAGCCGTGATAGCTCGCGAAGTGGAAGCGCGGCGTAAGGCAAAGGAAGACGCCAAACAAGGACCGAAAGTCCGTGGTAAGGCGCTGAAGATGAAGTCGCTCCAGAAGCAGCGCCGAGAGATCAAGAACGCGCTTCAGGGGAAAAGTCTTGAGGAGCAGCGGATGATCCTACGAGAGCAGGAGCTGGGGCCCGGTGGATGCACTGCGTGCTGGACGAATCCTTGTACTTGGAAACCCTTCTTGGAGGAGTCACACGTGACCATCCAAGAGCGCGTCGAAGTCATCCGCGAAGAGCTCGAGCACGTGAAGCACTGCCCAGATCTGACAATCACATCCAGCGTCTGCATGGCCGCGGTGAAGTCCGGTAGCCACGCCATCACACTACGCAAGAGCGACTTGTTCGACGAGCTCACGTCTGAGGTGAGGATCTGGGAGAAGAACCTGCGGTTAAAAGCAGTGGACGAGGAATTCCACGAGACCTTCCGCTCCAAGAACGAGTTCTTCGAGACGCAGGCGCTCCACGGGTTCCGGCAAATCCAGCACAAGAACAAAGTGCAGATAGCACTGCAGCGCGAGCACAACGTGCTGGTGGCGCATCTCACTGCGTACGAAGTGGTGGAGGACGTGCTTGAATCGATGCTGGAAGGATGGATCTTCGGCGAACGCGAGTCCGAACGACAAGTGCTCGGATACGTCCCGAGTCTGAAGCGCGAGGGGCCGTTAACCATGCAGGACCTCCGTCGCTTTGAGCAGGACCGTCGTATTCTGCAAGTCCGACAGGATATCCGCGAGGAGCAACTACAGAACGCACAAGGGCTGCCGTCAGACAAGTGGGAACCCATTGAGGTCGAAGCATTCCAGGTGAATCTCACCAAGAAAGCGGTCCAAAAGGGGTCCGAGCTGGACAAGTCACTTACCGAGACGGAGAACGCGCTGAAGTTCGGGCTGTTCTGCATGACGCTCATGTACTTCCGCGGTCTGTCCTTGCTCAAGAAGCAAAAGTCTGTCTGGTCCGTTTCCGCGGCTAAGCGGCGTGCTGCGGCAGATCCTTCGAAGAGTGCAGAGCGTCTTCGGATGGACAAGGAGAAGCACAACGTCGAGCTACGAGCTCGCAAGGCTGCTCTCTACGACGAGAAGGCACGCATCGGCCAAGCTCGCAAGCAGAAGTACCAGGAACAGAAGTTGGCGGCTTACAGGAAGCGCTTGGTGGACGAAAACCGCAAGGCCAAGAGAGAGAAGAGCGCGGCCATCAACATCCAGCGTGTGTACCGCGGCCACCTCGGCAAAATCGCTGGCAGAAAGTGGATGCTGCGTCGTCGCGAGATCGATGCTCAACGAGCTCTGGATCATGCAGCCGCCATCACCTTGCAGCGCGCATACCGTGGTCGACTGGGTCGCATTGCTGCCGAAGATCAGCGCGTAGAGCTCGCCGAGTTCATTTCTCAGATCCGTGCTGAGGAGGCGATCGACGAAGAAGAAGAGTACTGGAACAACCACAAGATCGAGCGCATGGCCCGTAAGGTCGCCGCCTTCGTCAAGAAAGAGGCCTAGGCTTGACAAAAGGCACTACATGTAGACAAGGGTAAGTTGTAGCAATACATTGTTGAGTATGATGCTTCAGTCTTCTTCTCTCTTACCCGAGTCGAGTGACCGGCCGCGATGCTCCTACGGTTGTTCTGCAAACGGCAGCGTGAGGCTGACGAGCTTGATCAGCTCCTCCACCTTCTTGCGACGGTTCTGGGTCTGCTTCGACACGCGAGTCCATTTCTCGCCGTGATGCGGGTCAGAGGTCACACCACGCTTTAGGATCTTATCGGCCGCATCCTTAGACCCATGCTTCAACTCGAAAAGATAGTAATGGGCCCATGCATCTCCGAAATCCGAGTCCAGCTGAACCGTACGCTCCAGCCACTTGCGTGCTTTGGAGTACTTCCGCTCCTGCCAGAACAGCTTTGCGACGGACAAACAAACCGAAGGATCGTTGTCTTTCTTCTTGAGCGCGGTAAACGACGCGCGCTTCTGCTGCGCGCGAGGGGCAATATCGATGGACTCTGCCAGCAGGATACCAGACTCGGGACACTCTTGCAGGGCCTTGGCCATCAGCATTTCCTGGCCCTTGGGGTTGTCCCATCGGGCTTCCAGTCGCGCAGCTTCCAGCCACAGCACATCGTTTTTCGGGTTCTTGAGGCGAGCCATTTCCAGCACCGAACGAGCTTTAGTCACACCGTTCATCTTCTCCTCTAGGCGACTAGCGAGAGTCCACAGCGGAATTGACTTCGGGCAATGCTGAACACCCTCACGGTACATCTTCTTCGCCTTTTCGTAGTTTGGAGGCTCTAATGCTTCATAGAACTGCCCCGCCATCATGTACAATCTAGGGAAGTCTGGGTAGAGTTTGATGCCTTCCAGCACGAGGTCTTCTTCATCCTTACGATTTTCGGCGCACTCTCGCTCAAGAAGCACCGATTTCATCCACACGTGAGGCGATGGAGCCTGAGCACGCGCCTTCGCCAGCAACGCTCTAGCCAAGTCGATTTCATCGTTCTCCCACTCCAACTTCACAGCAGCAAGCCAAATCGCCTCGCTGTTTGGATTGGCGCTGAAAGCTTGGCGCAAGATCAAGCGCGCATTCTCCACCGAACCGTTGGTCCACACCTCCTTGGCCGCCATGAGCCACAAGATCTCAGCGTGGGGACAACACGTGACTGCTTTCTGTAGCAAATGCTCGACCGATTCGGGGCTCTTGCCCTCCTGCACTCGCTTCTCGAGCGCGACAGCGCGCAGCCAGATCGACTTCTTACCCGGGAAAACCTTCAGCGCAGCCGCATAAATGGCCTTCGCTGTCAGCAGCGCGCCTCGGTTGATGCTGTTCTCGGCGTCGTCCATCCATGTGCGCTTTCTGTCCTCAGGCTCAACTCCAACGTCCAAGCTGGCGCGAACAATAGCAGCGCACGTTAACGGTGCCTCGGCCTGCTCGCACGCTTCAGCTTCCTTGAGCCACATCTCTCTGTTCATCACCACTTGGTGCTTCTGCAGCGACTTGAGTGCCAGCTGAATGATGCGGTCGATCATGTCGAGGTTCTTTCCCTGCGCTTCCTCCAGCTTAGCAGCCGTGATCCAGATCGAGGGCTCCGTCGGGATGGCTGCGCGCGCCTTGTTCAGCGTCTTCTTGGCGTTCTCGTACGTCTCAAGACGCGCCAGCGCAAGCCACAGATCCACAGCTTGCGGGACACACTCAACCGCGCGACCCAGGAGAATACGCGCGCCATCCACATCTTCCAGCTCGATCAGAGCCTTCCACAGCTTGACCGAGTTGGGGATGAACTCGAGCGCGCGCCGCATCACGAGCTTCTTGAGCTCGTCGTCGTTCTCCAGCTGCGCCGCCTGCAGCCAGACCTTGACCGACTTGGGCACATGTCGAACAGCCTTGGCCAGAATCGTCTTGGCGTTCTCCGGGTTCTGCAGACGTGCGGCCTCGAGCCAGACGTCCTCCTGCGTGGGGCAGGACTCGCAGCCCTGCGCGATGATCTTCCTGGCCTGCACGATCTTGCCGGCCACCTCCTCCAGTCTGGCTGCCGCGATCCAGCCCGGGCCGTGCTTGGGGTTGGTCATGGTCACCGACCTCAGCAGCAGGCGCGCCTTCTTGATGTCTCCGATCTCGGCGTCGCTGGTCAGCTTGAGGCTGTTGAGGTCCGTCAGGTAACCCTTGGGGTCCACCACAGTCTGGCCGGAGATCGAGTCCGACATCTTGTCCAGCTTGTGCGACAGCTGCGCGCCTCTGGCCCCGGCCAGGCCCGTGACGGAGCTGGCCATGCCGCTGCTGGGCGTGTCCACGCCGGGCGTGACGGTGCCGGCCACGGCCGCGGCCGTGGACTGGCCGGCGTTGGCGCCCAGCAGACTGTCAGGCACGGGCGCGAACATCTCGTTGCGCTTCTGCAGCGCCGTGTTGGTCTTGTACTTGAGCGAGTAGTCGCCGATGTCCGGGATCATGTCCCACTCGGCGTCCGACATGCTCTGCAGCGAGCCCTTGAGGTCGGCGAACTGGTCGCTGATCTTGGGCATCTCGCGCCGCGCCTTCTTGAGCTCCTCCAGCTGCTTGAGCTCGCGCCTCCTCTTGCGCCGCGAGTCCATGCGCGCGTCCACCTGCTCGTACACGTCGTCCGCCTCCTTGTCGTCCTGGTCGTACGGCGTGTCCTGGAACAGCCCGCGCGACGAGTAGCCCGAGAACTCGTCGTAGTTGGTCTCGCTGTAGTCGCCGAAGTCCTCGTTCTCGTCCTTCTCGCGGCCGAAACCGCCCATGCCGGCGGTGCCCGAGCCGCGGCCGGCGCCCGGGAGGCCGCGCCCGGCAGCTGCACCCGGCGGCAGGAACGGCGCGTCCTGCGTCCCGTCCTGCGCCATGGGCGCGCGCGCCGGGCCGATGTCCGACCGCGTCGTGAAGCCCACGGCGCCGCGGCCCAGACCGGGCACATAGTTGGCCGGCGCGCCCGACGCGTACGTGTTGCGGACCCGCTGCCCCAAGCCGCTCATGGCTGCGGTGGTGTCGGCGTCGGTGTCGGAAATCCGATTTTGTACACGTTCTTTTCTGAGATGATCCAAATGAGGTGGCTCAGGTTGCTCGCTAGATTCTAGAAATTGCGCGGTTACATATAATCGGTTACATGGGGGTTACAGTATCGCAGCAGGGTTACATCAAGGGGTACGTTCGTTGATGTGGTCCACAAAAGATCACGTTGAAGAGGCAAGTTGTATTCATACTGTTCAACTTGTATTGTGGAAAGCGATTAGATTGCCCGAGCGGATTAGCTGATAAAGCAGCGTTCATGAGAGATTTGACTGGTACTAAATCGGGGATCCTTGTGATTTCATATGGCATTGGTAAGGGTATAAATCGGTGTAAGGTTAATAAAATGGGGGTTGCCTCATTACTCGCCAGAAATACGACGAGCGACCACTTACCGCCACGAGCTGAGTGATTCGCGTACCGGTACCTACTAACGAGAAATAGCATCGCATGTATTAAATACGCTTCTGTGAGCTTCGATGTGTACTGCTATCTATTTATCAAGTTCTGAAGTCATGTATTTGCGCTGTCATTTCTCGTCAGCATTAGCGTTTGTCGGTTTTACGTTAAATCGGCCACCGAATGCCGTGTGGGTGTCGGACATTCGGGCTGATTAGCATGCAAATCAGCCGTCCCGGGCTTTGTAAGCCGTGGAGCAGCTAAATCAGCTTGCCACATGGCGTTGTAGGCACAACTGACCGCTCTGTCAAATCAGAGTACAAATCTTAGTGTGTCGATCTAATTAGGAGGTAGGCTTTAGCAAATCAGACCCGATTAAGCTTAATCATCTGCTTAATCAACCGATTTATATCCCAATTAGACAATCTAATCGGTTTCCACAATACAGACTAGAGCGTGAGAACGAGACGGGTAACAACTAATACCCGGTTTTAGCGATGAGATCAGGTATTAGAGTCAATGTAAAATACATAAAGTGGAGTCTGCCACATATGATTCCCTTTTAAATCCGGATATATCAGGCGTCTCGTTCTCACGCTCTAGTCTGTACACGCCAACTTTTCGCGTCGCTAAAAGGTAACGTCAGCCCCAATCCTGTACACTTCGTCACGAGGGCGAGATCGAGCAACGAACCGGGCGGGCATCTTCGTCCGCGCGCGGGACCACCATCAAACCCGAGACGGACTGCGACGTGTACAACGAGACTGCAGTTGCGAACCCGCTGTTCGCAACGTTCACTTTGTCGACGAGCGAGTACCCGTTCGGCTCGCTCGTCGCGGAGTTGGGCGCATAGATTGCATTCTTTGAAGCCATTCCGAATTCGTTCATACACGTGAATTGCCTTCATCCAACCAGCATGTTGCCATGTTTTACGTGTTCGCGTAACCTTATACCGATACACTAGTGATCTGTTTCCACGCCTGAAAACTGCGAGACCGAGGTGAGAACGGAGAAGAATGTCTATTCCTTGGCGTACTAGCCGAGCGCCGCCGCTACGCGGCGGTGATTTTTAGTTAGTTGGCGCTTCGCTCGCTATGCTCGCTCCGCTATTGGAGCAGACTGGCTACGCTTTGCTACGGCAGTGGCGGACCCGTTCCGCTCGCCTCGTCGGCTCGCTGCACTACTCTCAATGTCAGGTTAGTAATACAGAGGCCGGGGCGGGTCCTGCGGCCCCGCAATTATGGGGCACACGCTGCTAAGGTACGGTGCCAGTCGCGTGCAATCTGCCAGTTCCGTGCCACTTTAGCTTCAACCAATTAGAATGCCGTAAGTATTTTTAAAGAACCCCATTGGTAAAAAGTCTGTAAGCGCTACCAGCCAGTAAAACCCGCCAAACTGTATACGAACAAGATACATTTCCCGCCAGTTCGAGCTCAGTCTCCTATTTCCTGAAGCCTACAAACCACCCACCAACCCCGCAGCGACCACCTCGACAATGCCCGCGTACGAGATCGAAGACCTCAATTCTGCAGTGAAGCGCGTCCTCGCCGGCGACAGCGCCGGCAGTGTCAGCGACAGCACCCCAATTCCGTATCGGACCCTTACGAAATGGGTCGCGAAGGGGAAAATGGGCATCTTCCGCGCACCTGTTCGTCATGGCCCGGCTCCGCTGCTCTCGCAACCAGCGGAGGCATGCTTGGTCGAGTGGATTGTCGGGCGCCAACTGGTCGGTCACCCCGCAAGTCGCAAGGAGATCATCTTCAAAGCCGGCACCATGAGCTCCATGGCCACTGGTCAAACGGTTGGTGGCGGGTGGTACCGCCGCTTCATGGGGCGACACCCGATGCTGGCAACCCGAACGTCTCAGGCGGTATGCAAGGCCCGCAACGCTGTGACCAAGAGCGATCTCGAGCAGTTTTTAGCTCGTTGATCAAGGCTGTGGTCGAGAATCGTTTGGACGCGTCTCGCGTGTTCAACATGGACGAAACAGCGTTTCAGACCAACAAGGGCTCCAAGCGTGTCGTGGCGCTCCAAGAACGTTTGGCACCAAGACGTTGCGCTCAATTTTCACCTCACGCTGGTCGCGTGTGGCAGCGCGTCGGGGTGCATGGTGCCGCCGCTTTTCGTGCTGCCGGGGTTGACAGTCAAGCTCGAAGTTCTAGATGGCTGCGCCATACCCGGAGCTGCCGTCACCACCTCGAGCTCCGGGTTCATGAATGGATTTCTCTTTCTTGAGTGGCTGCGCTTTTTTTCGGCTAGCGTGCCCAAGGACGTGCAGCGACCTCTTCTCCTGATTCTGGATGGGTGTTCGTGTCATTACTCCGTGGAGATCATCTTAGAGGCAGCTCGGCTTGGCGTGCTTCTGTTGTTACTGCCTTCGAACGCGACCCACCTGCTTCAACCACTGGACGTCGCTGTGTTTTCGTCGTTCAAGGCGAAGCTACGCCGCCTAACCGAGATCTACGTTGGCGAGACTGGACGCAATTCGGTCGACAAAGAGGAAGCCATCCGGATGGCAAGCGCAGCATGGGTAGGATGCAAGATGGGTGAGAACGTCAAAGCGGGGTTTGCTGGGTGCGGCCTTTTCCCTCCGTCCAAGCCTCGTATGGACATGCGCATCGACAATTTCCGGCGCAACGGGACCCCCGCATCTACGAAGCTGGCAGCGTGGCTCCGGATCGAGGTCGTGCAGAAGGAGGTGCTCGTGCTACCGACGTCCAAGAAGCGGGTGCGCAAGACAGCAACGGTCGCCGGTCGTCTTTTGACCAAGGAAACACTGGAAGCGATGGCACAACCGATGAAGAAGCCCAAGAAGGCAGCCAAGACGAAGAAGCATCCGATGGCAACGAAGGCGACGAAGATGAAGAGGGTGCCGTCTCCGGTACCGGAGCCTGTGCAGCTGCAGTTCCAGTCTGCGTCGAAGCACGGTGAGGCAAACCAGCAGGATAAAGTTGTGTGGGAGGCGATAGTTTAGTATAACCAAAGAAAAAAGCTTTTGCTGGGGCATTTTCCACCACATTGTCTTCATTGTTTTTGTTGTTTATTTCCTACTTTCTATAGTGATACGATATCCCTCTGTATGCCTGGGCCCGCTGTGATGTCCGGTTTTTGAGATTTGACGATCTCAAACCGTTATCAGAAGGGGAACCCGACTCATGGTACTTAGCATACTGGCGGGCAATCCGTTCACTCGGTGGCAGCCGTCGGTCGCTTTCGCAGTTCTGTGGCAGCCCCCTAATGCTCTAACTGACAGTTAGCCCACTAGTGTTTTGGTTGAGTTAATGCTGCCAGGTGGAATCGAACCGCCGTCCTCTCGGTTATGATCCGAGGACTTTACCACTAAGCTATGGCAGCGCTGCCTCTGAGCACAAATCATACTATATTTATACACAAATCACATAATATTGTGTACCATATTGTGATATCGTATATCCTGTCTTATACGATTTCAAATGGGTGCAAATCATTTTGTACAGGTTGTTTCGGTGCTGTCATGAGAGCAAAAAGAGATTTGTCCCCCTTACAAAACCACAGATAAAATGCGGCAGATAACTGGTCCTGCCGTGAATGGGTTTGCAAATAGTCAGCAACTCCTAATTGAGCTCTCGTTTACTGTAGAGCTCAGTAAAACAGTCTGCTAACAGAAGAGATTGCGCTCTCTTCAGATATGCGTTTACATCTCAAAACTAATTGCCCAATAAAAATTATGAGCAAAACAGTGAGCGGGATTACATTAAGGCACACAAGTGGCACCGTACCTTACACTCCTGGCTACAATAATACGGCCACCCCTAAAAATTACCATAACTCTGTCAGTTTTGCTTATTATGCGGTGCTGTTTTGACACAAGTAGCAAAATACGGTGCAAAAGGCCTGACATGTGTTAACGCTCGCATTTTTGCAATCTAACGGGTGGCTCACATACAAAAACCTGTTTTGGCAAGGTGGTCACAACTTACGGCCACCCCATCCCAATACAAAATCCTATACTAATTGAATGCTTGTACAGAGTGAAGGTCGGGCAAATGACTTGAGATTTGTATGGGTCTAGTTAGTGAACCTGAAAAACCCTTCTTCCTGCAGTACTAAAGGACAATGGATGACTACAGCAGCAACAAGTAAGGTAGATAATATTTTAACCGAAGTTGGAACAAGTATTGAGGCTTCAGTCCGCACACACGAGTACGATTCGACTCGTCACTTCCTGATCAAATCGTCCCATACAAATCATATGGACGTTGTCACGACGCTACTTTAGATTTACGTTGGCATCTAGATCTCCCTCAAAATCACCCGAGGTCTCGCGCAATTTACTGGAGCTGTAGTTTAAACTTATGCTAAGATGACCAATGCCTTCATTCTTCTCTAGGACGCGATTTAGCCCAACTAGCGGGTTCACTAACTAGACCCATACAAATCTCAAGTCATTTGCCCGACCTTCACTCTGTACAAGCATTCAATTAGTATAGGATTTTGTATTGTGATGGGGTGGCCGTAAGTTGTGACCACCTTGCCAAAACAGGTTTTTGTATGTGAGCCACCCGTTAGATTGCAAAAACGCGAGCGTTAACACATGTCAGGCCTTTTGCACCGTGTTTTGCTACTTGTGTCAAAACAGCACCGCATAATAAGCAAAACTGACAGAGTTATGGTAATATTTAGGGGTGGCCGTATTATTGTGGCCAGGAGTGTACCACCAAAACGGTGTTTCCCGTTCAGTGTGATTGCAGTCGAATCCTGTGTGTCAATGTTTGCACCCTTTACATAGTGGCACATCGTACCATCTACCTCTGGAAGCGGATGATCTGATACAAAAGGTCCCTTCAAAGCTGTTACTCAAGGAGTAACTATGCTGTATAGTCTGTACCAGTGTAGTTTTGCTAGAACCAACCATCTAAACTCTGCTGCTGGCAGTGCGCCATCTCTAATCTAACTTACTTCGTCTTTTGACGACTCCTCCATACTCCTCTCCTCCTAGTCTCTCCGTTAACCTCGCAACAGGTTATGAGCTCAAGCCAAGCCTCCAGCGACGACTTCCCCAGACGCGTCGGAGCCGACAACTTCGACGTCTGGAAGGCTCGCGTGTGCGCAGCCCTCGACGGAAAGCATCTACTTGGCTTCGTGACGAAGCCCGACTACGATGGTGTCTCCGAGGACGACAGCGAAGACAGCGGGAGCGACATGTCCGACGCCGACGACCCGCCGAAGACCAAGCCGGCAAAGACGGCTGAGATCGACTCCGACGCCGACGACTACGACGAGAGTGACGCCGATGACAAGCCCCAATCAGGCTCTGACGAAGACTCAAGTGGTGACTCGGACTCTGCGATCAAGCGCAAGGACCTGCCCGTTATCCGGCCGTTTAACCGCCGTGATGCCCGACAAGCGCGCAAGCCGTTGAAGAAGCCGAAGACCAAGCCTTTGAACCCGCGTGAGCGCCGTCGCCAGGAAGCCAAGACCAAGGCATTTCTGATGAAGACGATGGACAACACGCACGTTCGGCTGGTCAAAAATCTCGTCACGTCCTACGACATCTTCACCTTCATCTGCGAGAAGTACAAGGGTGCTGCCTTCCACGGCGACCCCTACTTCATCCAGCACTACCTGATGGAGATCAAGTACGAGGAGGGCTCTGATCTCTCAGAGTTCTTCGTTAAGCTTGAGACCGCGATGAAAGCCGCGTCGGAAGCCACCGAATCGGTGATGACGGAGGGACAGAAGTCAATCTACCTGTTCCACTCCATGCCCAAGTCGTGGAAGGATGATCTCCGCGTTTGGAAGGACCAACGGAAGTACATCCCGTATAAGGACCTCAAGCAGAGTATTGAGGGCAAGGTGCGCGACCTCCAAGCCCAAGAGCGCTATACATTGGCGAAGGGCACACCGGAGATGACAGCGACCAAGAGCGAGCGTGCCCTGGTTGCGGCTGGACCTACAATCACTCCGCCCACCTATGGCAACAGCTACAACAATACCTGCTCGTACTGTGACCGCCCGCGCCACACTATCCGTCACTGCAGGAGCCTACAGAAGGACATGCGGACTGGACACGTGAAGGCCGGTGCTGTACTGCCTGCGAACTGTGTGTTCAAAGGCAACTTAAAGCGTGAGTACCCGAAGAACAAGGGCAAGAACAAGCGCAATGGAAACAGCGCTGGTGGCAACAACAACGGCAATCGTGGCGAGAATCGACAGCGCCAAAACCGCCAAGAAAGCTCTGATGATGAGGACTACCGTCGGAGCAAGTCCCGCGAATGCAAACGCCGCCAGGACGACGATGATGAAGCCGATGGCAACCGTCGTAAGGTGTTTCGCCAAGAACGCCGCGAGGCCGGCCTGATTGCTGTAGCCACCGCCATCAACCCGCCTCTGAGTCTCACGGCTCAAGCCAACGTTGATATGGACACCACGTGGACCATTGATTCTGGATTTACGCGTCATGTGACGCATGAAGCCCAGTGGTTCTCGAACATCTCTGCCAGTGGTGGTTCCGTCACCGTCGGCGGAAAGAATCAAATCCCGATTGAGGGTATTGGACGTGTTGAGGTGGAAGTCATCGACTCCAAAGGCAACATGAAGACGCTCATCCTTCACGGCGTCCTCTACGCCCCACAGCTGCACTTCAGCTTACTCTCAGTCTCGGCTGCCGTGAAGCACGACTTTCGCTTCAGCTTCGATCGCAAGAAGTGTGCCATGCAGACTGATGAACGCTTCAGTATCAAGGCGCCAATGGCGATGAACACGGATCTGTATCAGTTCCAGGCCAAACCTGCGGTGAGCGCATCGGCACTCATTGCCACGTCGGGTAAGCAACGCTCTCTTCTGCTTTTACACAAACGTCTTGGACATCCTAACGTTCGCATCTTGCATGATCTATCTAGAAGCCAAGCCATCCGTGGACTCGACGGCACTGCGTCTGTAAACCCGAAGGAGCCGTTCTTCTGTACGGCATGCACGCTAGCAAAGTCTTACCGCTCGCCCTTCTATTCGAATAGAGTAGTTGACCGTGCCACAGCACCATTGGAAAAGGTTCATACAGACATTTGTGGTCCTTTACCTGTGTCTAGCCTTACTTGTTGCCGTTACTTCGTGATCTTTATCGATGATTATTCTCGATTCATGTTCACATATCCAATGAAAAACCGGAGTCAGCTCTATGAATGCTATGAAGACTTTAGGACGAAAGCCCTAGACATCTTTAGACACGACATCAGTGTGCTTGAGTGGCGTCCGTGTGCTATCGAAGAACACGACATCCAGGTTCTCCAGGCAGACACTGCCAAGGAATACGAAAAGCTTGGACGTGAAATCTTCAGGAAGTACGGCACACACGCACAATTCACAAACGCGTACACTCCGCAACAGAACGGAGTTGCGGAACGTCGCATGAGAACTATCATGGAACGGGTAAGGGCCCTACTGCTTGACGGTAAACTCCCGAAGCAACTCTGGGCAGAGTGTGTCTGTCATGTTACGACCTTGATCAACATGACCCCTAGCTCAAAGACTAACGGCCGTACACCCTATGGGCTCTGGTACAACCGCATTCCATCCATGCAGTACATGAAGGTGTTTGGGTGTAGCGCGTACGTTCATATTACAGAGCAATACCGCGACAAGCTCGATGCTCGAGCACGGCTGTGCATGTATCTAGGCGTCCCCGACCACAACAAGGGCTATCGCTTAATGGATCTCAACTCCCATGCCATTGTCTACAGCCGAGATGTCATATTTAAGGAAGACGAGTATCCTTCCCTGGCTAACCTGACGGAAACACCAGAACAGCCTGCGATCGAGTCAGATCAGCGTGTCCCCACGGAATCGATTGAGCCTGTACCTGCAACGACATCACCTGCAGCTAAGCGTCAGCTACCACCCCTTAGGGAGGCGCTCGACAGGACACAGATGCATTACTCGTTCCGAACAGAGACATCCTCTGAAACTCTATCGCCTCCTGCTCCTAAGCGTCCCCGTGTCATGACCGATGACACGGAAGTAACCCTCAATTCTGAGGAAGATTTACAGGAGCAAGAGCAACGTAGAAAGCTGCTCTATACATTGTTAGCTATTCGGTATGTAACCGAACCCACCACGTATCGAGCGGCTATGAAATCGGCTCACGCTAATCGGTGGCGTAAAGCAGCTAAAGCAGAATACAAGTACCACATGGACAACCAAACTTGGGTTCTGGTACCCCCTCCGAAAGGAAGGAAGGTTTTAACCTGCCGAAGGGTCTTTGTAGTGAAATATACCGGCACAGGCGAAATTGACCGCTTCAAAGCGCGTCTAGTGATCAAAGGATTCCTTCAGGAACATGGCATTGATTACAACGAGATTTGCTATCAGGATGGAGGTACTCAGACTCCTTCTGACCATTGCAGCGTTGCTTGATCTTGAAATCCACCAAATGGACGTAAAGACAGCATTTCGCAATGGTTTGCTAGAGGAGGAGATCTACATGGCTCAGCCGGAAGGTTTTAAAGTCCCCGGTAAGGAGCACCTCGTGTGCAAACTCCTAAAGAGCCTGTACGGATTGAAACAAGCTCCCCGTGTATGGTACAATACGTTGTCTGCCTTCCTTGAAAGCCTAGGGTTCCACAAACTCATTATGGATAGCTGTGGGTTCAAACGCACGGTTGATAGTGTTACATGCTACATTGCTGTGTATGTTGACGACCTCCTGATCATTGCGCCTACAACAGCCCTCGTAATCGAGTTGAAATCCGCCCTGAAAAAGTGGTTCTCCATGACAGATTTAGGGGAGGTGAAGTACTTACTCCGCTGGTCGATTAAACGTGACCGTAAGGACCGAACGATCTTTATCCACCAACACAAATACGCTACGAAGGTCCTTGACCGCTTCAGCGACTACATTCCGTACCCTATAGCAACCCCAGCAGAGCGGAACGTTAAACTCTCCGTAAGCAGCCAGCCTAGTAGTGAGGCAGAGAAAGATGCGATGAAAGATATTCCGTATCGCGAAGCCGTTGGTAGTATCATGTATCTCATGGTAGGCACGAGACCCGACCTGGCATTCTACATGCGTGAGGTCAGCCAATTCCTAGCTAATCCGGGAATGGAGCACTGGAAAGCAGTAGTTAGAGGTCTGAAATATCTATTAGGGACTAAGGGCTACGGCCTTCTCCTTGGTGGATTTCTCGATGTCACACCCGAGAACCTGGGCGACAAGCTGACAGCTTACAGCGACTCTGATTATGCCAACTGCCCCGACACGAGACGGTCTGTCGGTGGATATGTGACTATGCTTGCGAACAGTCCTATCCCATGGCTTTTGCGCAAACACCACACAGTGGTTCTCTCTACAACAGAGGCAGAGTACATCGCTCTGTGTCACTGCATGCAAGAGATGATTTTCCTCAAACTGCTCCTCAAAGAGTTAGGTTTTGGCACAACGCAAGCCAATGTTATTCATGAGGACAACCAAAGCTGCATTAAGATCTGCTATAACCCAGAACTACACGGGAGGTCGAAGCACATTCATGTCCGATACTGTTTTGTGCAGGAAAAAGTCGAGCGACACGAGTTCTCCGTCGCCTACTGCAATACCAAAACTATGGTTGCTGATATATTTACTAAAGCTTTAGACAAGCATCAGTTTAGAGAACTAAGGGCAAAGCTCAGGATGGGATCCCTTGACGCTTAATTAGCCATTCCGTATAGTGTACGAGAATAACACTAATGCATGAAGCGTGCCTACTCAATTGCGTTCCTTTAGTTTTTTTCCCACTGGGTTTTATCTTTGTTCGCTCAAAGGTTTTCTCCTCACTGAGGTTTCCCTGGTTTTGTACCGAATTATACTAGGCATATGACTCCCCATATCCATGCAGACACAATTTGTTTTTACTGGAAAATGTATTTTCGATAAGGCAAACGTGGTTCCTAATTACGTACTTTTTCTTAAAGTCAATGAAAGGTCGAATACAGGCCACGAAGGTAATCCAGTCCATCGCCGACGCCACTGGCTTGGGCCCCTTCAAGTCGTAGATGCGCTGAACCTTGCCCTTCTTCCCTTGGACGCTTAGCACGAACGCGTGCCCCACTAGACTGTGGTTGTAGGCAACAACGAAGTAAAGTCCGTTGTAGAGAGGCACTTCCTCCAGCACACGTGCTCCACGCCGTCCAGCAATAGTGAAGTTGTCCTTGTCGATGGCCTTGACGATGAAATCCCGGCCAGCATCCCTCAGGTGGCGCAGGAACCGTAGCACCACCTTCCACGAAGTGCCCACTGTGAGGTCCACTCCATGCTCTCGGAGTTCATCAGCCACAAACGTGTCGATATCATCTTGCGTGACGATGTCCGGGCGTCCAGCAAGCTCGGCCGCACGCTTCAGTGCATTGAACATGCACAGGCCACGAGCGTCAGCACCAATTGCACGCTTGCCGAACTCGTCCTTGGGCCAGAAGTCCTTGAACTTCTCCTCGCCGGACTCCTTCCAGTGATCCACGAGGTCCACCTCGTTGGCGAAGCCATCGTCCAAAAGCTGCTGAAGAGGCTCCCAAGCGCGTTGATAGTAGCGGCGGTTGACGAGCAGACGGCTGAGCCAAAGCACACGGTACTCTGGACCACGAGGAGAATTGCGACGGTCGTTGATAAGGGCCACCCTCCAGGTCGTTTTCGTAGTTGCATAGTCCGCTGTTACCGTCACCTGCTTGCTGCTGTAATACTTACCGTATATTGGGTAATACACGTCACCATCTGACGATTCATCGGTGTCAGAAGTGCCCAGTTTGATGACTATATCTTCACATTCGGTGGCTGCATCGTGTTCGGTGGCACGAGGTACATGCGTACGTGCCGTGACACGCTGGTCGGTTGCAGCAGTCTGGGCTCTACGAGACACCTTGTCAGTCCTTCCAGCAGCCCTCTTGACCTCCGGGTGATGCACGCCTCCATCGACAGCGCGGCTTGCAAGTTCCGTCAAAATGATGTTGAACCCATGTCACTAAGGTCCCCCGGTATAATGCCACGAGAACAATGTGCCGTGGCAGCGGCTACATGCTCCCTCGACGTACTAGCCGGCGCTCCAGCGCCACTGCGCGAGCCGCACGGCGCAACACGGCTTGCTGCGGGCGCTGTCTCCAAAGACTCTGCAGCAGCCTCGACCATGGCTGCTTGGAGGGCCTCTGCGAGCGGCCCACCAACAGCCTTCCTCGCCTTGGCTCCAGCGGCCTTCTTCAGCTTCTTCTCCTTGCCCCCGCGGCCTTCTTCACCCCGGCCCCGGCGGCCTCACACCCTCCGGTCGCCGTGGTCGCTGCCTCCACGCTGGACTTGGCACCAGCACCTTGGTTCTCCTTGCGAGCAGCTGCCCGCTTCCGCTTGCGCTCTCGAATCTTGGCTGCAGTGCCGAGCTTCCTTTTCTCCAGGCCTTTCGGCGCTGAGGACGGCGTGCCCGGCACCAGTGCTGCTGGCTGCGCTGTCTTCGAGAGTGTCGCCATGGCCTGCCCGTGAAGTCCTTCTTCCCAACACAGCAGGGCTGAGTGGGTTAAGTCGGAGCAGCTAGCTCAGGGGCTTCCTTGGTAGACGACTCTTTGAAGACTGAGGCGTTTGCAACGAGATTCTCCAGAGACCTGTAATATTGCATGACTTCGGGTATGTGCCAATCATATGCAAAGCTGCAGGGAGGCTGTCAATGTTTGCACCCTTTACATAGTGGCACATCGTACCATCTACCTCTGGAAGCGGATGATCTGATACAAAAGGTCCCTTCAAAGCTGTTACTCAAGGAGTAACTATGCTGTATAGTCTGTACCAGTGTAGTTTTGCTAGAACCAACCATCTAAACTCTGCTGCTGGCAGTGCGCCATCTCTAATCTAACTTACTTCGTCTTTTGACGACTCCTCCATACTCCTCTCCTCCTAGTCTCTCCGTTAACCTCGCAACACTGTGAAGGTTTGGTAGACCAGATATAGCCAGTTTTCGAGGTTCGGGTTGAACTTGTCAGGAGAGGGCGACAATAAATTACCTTACTGTAGGTGGCGCTGATTTTTCAAAAAGTACGAGCGCCTCCCCGCCTCCCGTTTTGGATGGCATTCGTCGATCGGCCCCGTTGAGGGAAAGAACCAAGAGTCAAGGCCCCTGCACAACAATGGCGCGCACAACTGGCACGGTACGCTTACATGCGAGTCATGGGTAAGGAATATGTGTTACTGACATTTGCGTCTATTAGCCTGGCTCGTCGAAGCGCCCTCCAGGTCCGAAGACGCCCATGTGACGCGTGCGCAGCGCGACAGTGCTGAGTCGGAGCGGAGTCGGAGTCGACAGCGCCAGCGCGAACTTCGGCATGAAACGGGCAGGACGCTGCGCGATCTCCCCCCCCCCCCCCCCCGCTGCTAGTGTACAATCGCGGTGTGCTGGAAGCGCATTGGCTGCGAACGTGGCGCGCGCACGCCGCGACGAGCAGGAGATTCGGCTTGCGATGGACGGCAGGCACAAAGTCACCCGGGGTTCCACCGCCAGGCTGCGCAGCGAGGCTGGGAAGAAGGCCGAGCCCATGTGCGCAAGCCAATCATGTACAAGCGGTGGGAAGCACGTGCCGCACGCGAGATGTTTGACATTGAGCGGACGGTACAGACGAAGATGTCGCCGACGACGGCGAAGAGAGTGAAAGTGCTGACGAATACGACGGTGAAGAGAGTGAAAATACTGCTGACGAAGACGACGAAGAATGGCGCAGGAAGGAGGGCGACGCCACAGAGGAAGAGAGCGAAGTCGAGATTGAAGAACACGCAGAAGAAGAGGACGGCGATGAAGGCGACGAAGGTGATGAGTTTCGGTCCGAACCCAAACCGAACTCTCACCGAAGCACATCCCGAACTTACGACCATCGCGTGAAGCGACATAGGTCTGTGGGATTTTACGGCTTCCCCTCCACGTTCGACTCGTGAGAGCCATTCCACGACGCGTTCAATGACTTCCAGGCCCAGACGTTTCAGCAGTTTTCGAATATACATACGTCCGGAATACAGGCAACTTCGAAACAGCACTCCCCCCAATACAGAGTTTTCCTACACAGTGGATTGTTCAGAGCTCAGAAAACAATATCGATTCAAGCGAGCTTCCGTGTGGTGGTTTGAATCAAGGCATCTATCTGTCGCGTCCAAAGACACGAGCACTGCCAGGCGCTTCAGTGTACGTCGAGGCCAAGGAGATATCACAGAAGATCATTGAACAAATGGCTCTTCAGTCGACGCCGACATTTCGGGTCGCGCTGACGTGGCTTCAGGATTTCTACTCAGCGCCCAACTCCGGCAACGTAGTGGCCTTGGCAAAGCGCGAAAAACCTGTACTCACGGGGCTTTCTCAGGTGGCTGTCGCAGCTGGTGGATCTACCATCAAAGTTGAAGACAACGGTTGAGAAGGAAGAAGTGAGGAGGAGCCCTGCAATTCTGGAGCTGGAGTCGATGTTGCCGCTGCTGGAGAGCCTGCAACTGCCGGAGAAGCCGACTTTTGCAGGTGAGGTTGGCAACTTCGCCCAAACGTTGTCACAGGAATCTACCGAAGCCACACAAATATCTACCGAGCCACAAGAGCTGCCGAAGGAACGCAGGAAGGCAGTCGCGTGGGCATTTGCGGAGCGTCCTGTGATCAACGGAATGACCAAGGCCCACCGGAAGCGAACCCAAGCCAAGCAGGATCGTGAAGTCTCACTGGAGCTGGCAGCTAAGTACCGTAAACGAAAAGTGGAGGCCGTGGCTTCATTTGATGATGTTGCTGGTTTGCTAGACGCCCCCTACTCTCTATTTCACTCGTAGGTGATCGTTGAGGCGCTTGAATTGCCTTAAGTTGAGGTCGCTGGCCCGCTGTCCGTTGATGAAGCAAAAGATCGATCTTCTTGCCTACTGACCCGACTGCGGCTTCGCAACGTTCGACCACCTGGGCGATATGGCGAGCATCCGCGAGGCGCGTCAGAGATTCGCATTAGTGATGGCCACGACCAAGTGGATTGGCGAGGTGGAGTGGCGTGTTGCAGACCTGCGAGAGCCGTTCACGGACGCATGCACAATCACCAAGGTAAGGAACAAGCCACAGCATTTCACCTGAAGATCTACCAAAACTGACAAAATATGTTGTGTATTGCAGATTGAGCACACGGCATACGTAGGAACGCTCAACCTTAGTGTGAATCGTGTGCCTAATGAATGCGTGAATGACCATCAGCTGCTGGTCTTTTGTGAGAACCTGTGGCAGCATACGACGTCGATCCTGGTGTCGCTGTTGGTTTTGTGCGACGCGTACCCGGACATAGACATCGCTAGTCTGAGCTATCACGACTTCGCGTTGCCTGAACAAACACGCATGACTACAGCAGAATTTGGGGCCGGCAACCCGAAGAACAAACGCGTCATTGGGACCATTCACATCGACCGAAACGGGGTAGCCTTTCTAGTTGATAAGACGCTCATCAAGGACATGAAGAAGGTCCTCCTCATAGTCGAAGCAACAACGCGGTCATTCAGAAAAGCGTGCGTTTGCTGATTGAGGGCGTTGTAGTATTGGAGATGCTGCTGTGCAACTCTTCGCGGGACGACTGCATGTACAGATTGCCGCCCTACCTGCGGCTGCGCTGCCTGCACAAAGCTCTTGCTTTCATGGGTAAAGGGCAGCCCAATGCGCTTGAGAGGGTCACCTCAACTTCAATATACTTGTCTTTTGATTTTGGTATTAAATTTGGTGTAACCGAAAATACTGTACCAAAATTTAACTCGATAATCGCGAAAAGCCGCTAAGTCCCACGATTCCCAAATTTAGAATCGTTCTGAAAAGACTGAAGGTCAATGGTGTATTTTGCATACACAAAAACGAAGAAAAAATGGTTTTCCCCTTAACATTTCGACACGTGTTTTTGAGGAACAGCGGCGCACCCTAAATGATCAAATAATGGCCGTCTAAATTCGGTGGTAGCAGCATCGTCCCAATTATGGTGGGGTCGCCTTCGCTACGCTCGGCAGCTACTCGTACTTAGTGTAATTCGTACTTAGTGAATAAGCGTGACGATTTCTGTGACCGACGGACGGCGTCGTTCTCATTGATTCTTAGGACTGGCCGAGCGCCGCCGCTACGCGGCGGAAGGTTTTGTGGTTAATCGTAGTAGTTGGGGCCGCCCACCTCCACTTCGCTCCGGTGGGCTTTTATTTCGTTGTGTGTAGGTAAAAAAAATGGTTGAAAGTACTATCATTAGAGTGACGTTTCTGGTATCAGCTTAATAAATATTCCACCGTTAGACCTACATCAGGGTGTCTATAAGTAGTTGCATGTCGCAATGTTAAACATTCTCTATTGTACGGTCCTGTGCTCCCGTCGCAACTATTTAACCCTAATTACAAAGTACCGCACAGTACATATCTCACAATCTGCGTTTACTGTGAGTTTAATAGAAATAAACATGAGCAATATACCATGGTAGGGTAGATCGATCTGGTGTTGGTATCTTATGTGTGCTCACATAAGTCTATGTTTTACGTGTTGTTTATTCAGTTTATCATTCCACCGTAGCTCATTGTTTTTAGTTCGTAGGCTATAATACCTTCATTCTACATTGGACTATAAGCCCCAGCAACAATCAAAGTATGGGCTTCGCTCTTCCTGTACTTAGCATTACATTAAGTGCTTGTGATCTTATATAAATACCGAGTATACATCATCGTTTTAGTATTTCGTATGTTCTGCCAAACGTAGCTGTGGGCTGCGCTAACTACTGCGTGGTCTACTTCAAAACTCATTGTTTTAGACGTGGTATTATTCTACTACGCGGCGAACATTACCATTTTAGTGTACCACCTGCATTACAGTAGGTAAGATATAGAGAGTTCGCACTCGTAACTATATAGTTGTAAAGTCACGTTTGCCCTTTGTTAATTCGGTTTCCTGCGTGTATATCCGCCCCATAACACGGTTAGAAAAGGAATCCCAGCGTAAACTATAATAAAAGGCTTCCACTCAGTGAATATTATCTACTACCCCACTAACCCATTCTCCTAACGCTACGCATTGCACCTTAAAGATATACGAAACGCGTTTAAGCAAGTGTAGCTAAATACCCCCCCCCCCCAGATAAACGCAGAGCGCCGCTGTAGCTATAATGTATCCATCCCTAAAGTATTACAGTAAAAATATGATGCTCATGTTAATAATAATCTTGTGCACGCCTTCCGCTACGTTTACTCGCACTGCAATCACTTACAACGTTGATGCTATCGCTTACTACGTGCTCCTATAGCTTTCTACGTGCTGCTATCACGTTCATATCGCTTACTACGTACTGCTAGCGCGTAACTATGCCGTTCTATCGCTGACTACGTGCTGCTATAACTATCTATACGCTTCTATGGCTTACTATGTGTTTGTATTGAGCCAACATTGCTATTGTACTACAGTAAGTAGCATGGTAGGTTTACCTATCGCTACAGTAGCTAAGGGATTGAAAGTAAGAAGTTCTTACCCCGTAACTATGCGTTTGCGCTATGCTAATTCCGTTTCCTGCATGTGTATCGGTCCAATAACATGGTTAGAGAAGGAATTTCTGCTATAATAAAAAGCTCCAGGTCAGTGAATGTCAGAATATCTACTACCCCAATAGCGCATTAACCTACCGCTACATACTGTGCCTTAAAAAAAGATACGAAACACGTTCAACCAAGTGCAGCTAAATATTCCCCCAAGATGAACACAGAGCGCCGCTGTAGCTATAATACTTAAGTATGAACATTCCTAAATAATTACAGTAAAAATATGCTATGCGTGTCAGTGGACGCCTTCCACTATATGTACGCGCACTGCTGTCGCTTACTGTGCGCTTCTATCCTTTACTATGCGCTTCTATCGGTTACTCTCCACCGCTATCGCTGCCATATGCGCTACTATCGCTCACTACCATACCAATTATCGTAGCATGTGTTTATATGAAGCAAACCTCGCTACAGCGCTATTATACGGTGCCCGACCCCAGCGATAGCTGCTACTACTCGGTGGGTCCATTTTAATTAATAGCTGGTGTTCCAAAAAGTATTAGGCCAAGCGTCGCGCCGGGGTGACGTAATCGCCCCCGTTCCACACGTCTCGTCGGCTCGCTGCACTACTCGCCGTGTTATTAGAACATAATTGTAGGGTGGGCCCTGCGGTCCGCTATAACACACGCGGGTGCCGCCTTCGCTGCGCTCGGCAGCTTGTAATGGGACCGCCTTTGGCGTCCACGGCAGTACGATTATGTGGACCACCTTTAAAGTGGACAGGGTGTGACGGACGGAATTACACACACACTGGACGGTCTCTCTATTAGTTGTTGTGGGCTAGCCGAGCGCCGCCGCTACGCGGCGGTAGTTTTGTGGTTAGCTGGCGCTTCGCTCACTATACTCGCTCCGCTATTGGAACAGGCTGCCTACGCTTCGCTACAGCAGTAGTGGACCCGTTCCGCTCGCCTCGTCGGCTTGCTGCACTACTCTCAATGTCAGGTTAGTACTACAGAGGCCGGGGCGGGTCCTGCGGCCCCGCAATATCGTATAGTGGGGTCGCCTTCGCTTCGCTCGGCAGCAATTCGTATTTAGAGGGATTCGTACTTAGCGAATAAGCGTGATCTACGGTCGGATAACGACTTTCTGATTGATTGTTAGGATTCCGAACTGACTGCTAAACGCGTGGCTCTCTGCTAGGCCACGGATCTACGATACTGCGAGTTCGCTGTTCGTAAGAACTGTCGTTACTACCTGTTTGATGCCAGATACCGGTATCGCCAGAATTATTTACTTGGTTTTGTATTGAAATCAGATATCTTAATTTTTGTATGCATTCAAATGACTTACTGTTGTATCGGGTCGATTTATCTAAGCATTTGTATGCGGATTAACTCGTGTTGGACACATAACTCAGGCGAGTCCCCTGAGGGGACAACGAGTAAAGGTATAGGGGACAAAGAGTAAAGGTATAGGCCAGAAAGCCTTTAGATGGAGGTATAGGCCATGATTTTCCTGATCCGAGCTGGGCCGGCTCGCTTAATGCCATTTTATAATTTGCTGAACAGGAGAACGGGCATGAACTGGATGCTCGCATAATGACAAGAAGGAGCAGCAACATGCGCTTGAGTCTTCAGGTACTCCCATGAATAATGGCGAAACTTGGCAGTTGTACTGTAGAATGCGATGCGTTGGAAGTGCTGGTGCTGTAGGGGTGATTTTTATGCAGGCAGTAGCTAGATAAGGCCCAATCGTGCCACAACTACGTGCAGCACGAGTGTGTATAATTGCTGTGGTATCGACAACTCCACTAATAGCGCCTGATCTGAACCCCTTGTCAGGGCATGATCGAGGCCTTCGCTGCTGGAAAATGTCAAGACTCTGCATCAGGATCTCAAGGACGCCCCGAAAGACAAAGTCACGCTGGAAGGGTCTACCAGCACGTGCGTAAAGGCTCCCGACTGCAAGATAATCTACTCGCTGCGACCCTCGATCCTGTGCAGGCGCGCCGTGTGACCGAACTCAAAGAACGCAAGACTATCTCGATATGTTCAGTGTTAATGTAAACTTAAGCTCAGAGGAGATATTTAATTATTGCGACTGGTGCGCCGCAAGTGAGGCGCGCCCAAGTCGCTTGTGATTTTTTATTTGATACAAATAAAGGAATCTAGTTGCCCCACATGGTTCTTGGTGTGATGATCATTTAACTACATCTCCGTTACAACAATTGAATGCGCATTGAACAGCTCGATATAACGTCGAGTCCACTTGCGTCATCTGGTAAGCTTACTGCGAGGAAACCATGCTCACACAAACGTTTTAATCCAAAGTGTGCGGCCAGTGACTCTGAAAAAGTCAGCATTTCGGATTAGGACCGGTTGCGAAAGCTCTCTATAAGATATTTTATATAATAACGCAAGACTGATTTATGTCTACGCGCCAAAAAATACTAACCGAGAGGTGGACAAGTGTTGCGTGGGAACATGTCTGCACCTGGTCGAGTTAAAGTTTCCGTCATGCATTGTTATCACTAGCATTATTACCAAGTGAAGGGCCAACAAACAACCTATCCGGATAGGTGGGATATGTATTTGAGGGTAGCCTTCGATTTGGGTCAACCCCAGGTCAGATCAACGCTGGCCAACGCACCGATTCTACAAATCTCATGTTAGTGAAGCTCCAGCTGTAGAGTACTAATGCATCTGGTTCATCGTGGTGCAGTGATTGATTGACATGTCAAGCAAGTCGACAGTGATGTCTTTTGACTGCGTTCTTGTGGTAGCTGCGCCATTCCTTAACTTGCTCCAGCGCGAGCAACGTGCCATTCGTACGCATATCTACATCCGGTTTCCCTCACGCCCAGCCTCTAACTCGACTGAGGCGTGTTGCCGATAGACAATGGGGCTGCAGCGTGGGGGAGGTATGGCTTGGCTTGATGTACTACGCCGACACTACTCGAAGGATTGCAGGTACATACATGTAATTATCCTGGAAGGACAGCTAGAAGAGCTGTATGGACAGCCTCATACAGATTAATTCGTCGAAAAAAAGTTGCTTGTACCTCAGGCAACATTTAAACAACATTTCGTCACACCATACTCACACAATCGTACACCATTCTTACACAAATATAGCCATATTGACATCCCGACCGTACTACACAAAGCTACCGTAGCATCTTAGTCCTAGGCGTCGTTCACTCCTAAGAGCATCTCCAGCGGTGGGTCTTATCCTAAGACGTAACAGGGTCTTTGAGACCACAATTTTACAGTTGAGACCCGCGCAGACCGACTTACTTCCGGCGATGAGTTCTAAAGCGAGTCCTATAAGTCCATTCCCGCATGTCAAAATTGCCTTCAGTCTTGGTGCAATCTTTTAAATGCGGCGACTCTTCAGTTTTGTATGGGTGGCATTAAGATTGTGGTCTTTTTTTAAGACTCGAAAGCCAATCTATAGGTCCCGGTGAAGTTAAAACCTGCAATAGGACCTTCTGGTGGAAGCCTAACGTCTCGGCCAAGTCTTAACAGCGTTACTTTTAGGATAAAACCGTGTTTGAGACCAACCGCTGGAGATGCTCTACGGGTCAGTTGTAAATTGACCAGTAGGACACTGCCATTTTTAACATATGGCTACATTACACATGACTTTATTTTTAGGCTCTATTCCGTTTAAAACAAGGCTTTTCCAGCACACTCGAAGGAAGCCTGCCGCCAAGGAACTTCCGCGGCGGAGCATCAAGGGAAATGACAAGAAAGTGAAGAAAAGCAAGACTTACCTACGCGTGCCGGTAGACTACGCGCAGAAGATGAAGGTTCTCGGTGGTCGGCTCAAAGTCTCTATTGGATGTTATGGTACTGGGTGCTCAATGACGCTAGATAGTTGGGGACGCTCCCATCACACGTGCGTAGCTTCTTGGAGCTGCCGCTGATGGAGAGCACCGCTTGGTACTCGACCTTGAGACCGTGGCCTGGCGTCTCCTTGTTCATGCTGGCCCACGTGTTCTCGCTGCTGTGGGTGCGGCCGGGCACGCCGCTGCTCTCAAATAAGTGCGCGATGCTCACAGTCTCTCCAAACAGGTGCTAACGCGGGTCCTTGCTGCCCACGACGCCAGCGAGCACGGGGACCGAGTGCGCTTGTGATTTGCAACAAGTGCTTGTGCAGTACTAAGATGCTACGGTAATTGACATTGAAATGAGGCCAGCGTTAGCGACAAGAGAATACAGGATAACCAATCAGCCTACAACTACACTGTATTCCATATATGTAGTTCCTAGTTACTGACGGATAACTGAGAACGTCTTACGTCCACGCAGCTAAGCTCTTGGCCGACAAATTAAACCTGTCCGCCTGGATCTCGGGCAGCCTCGCTGCCATTATATCATCGGCTTCATATAAAAATAGTGGTCGGCGCTGCAAACACTTACTGCCTTAGTTCTTGGTCTACAAACTATAAAATCCGTCCGGTAGTCAGCTTCGCCGGCAGTAGATAGTTGGCTCCAAATAAAAAAGAAATTTCCGGATATGACTCAAAATGAAATTTCGCGCAAAAGGTGATACAAGGCTTTGTGCCAAGTGCATTTGGCCACCGATAGCGGCCAGCATCTGACTGCCATGCACGTCGCTGAATGCACCAATTGTGTCAGTATAGCACTGGGTAAACGCGAAGGCGGTGCCGGTGTAGGCATCGCCCTCTGCCTAATAGTTGTTCTGGTGGAGTATGGTCGCCTTCTGTGTCGCGATACTGCCCACGCTGCATAAAGCATGCTTGGATGCCTTACTCCCCATGCCGCCGCTGGAGGCAACAATGTCGTGGCCCAATGCCCTAGCAAATGCTGCTGAACCTGAAATATGTGCTCTCGACACAAATCCTTCTATCACCTTTTGCACCTTTGAGTCACCTTCCTGAAATTTCCCTAAGCAAAATGATGGTAGGCGCTGCAAATGAGGGGCGAAGCCCCTCATTTGCTACTTGCATGTGAACATAGTACGTAACCACTGTTTGGTAGCGCTAGCGCATGTATTGATGGTTGTTGTTTTGGATTTGGCTTAGCTTTGTAGTGGTGCCAAAACACTCGACCACTCAGTAGGCGAAGTATTAGCACAAGCATTGGCTACTTCGTAGCCAAAGAAGACATCTATTAGTTTCTTCAAAGTATTCCAGTATGGAAGATATAGTTGCACTTGAGTTGGTAAAATCGAGCTAACGTTAGATACAACCGAGCAGACTTTTTGGAATTTAATGTAGTCCTCCCAGCCTAACGGAACGCACCCTTGTTGAAGACTTCTTTATCTAATGTGAAGGAAGCCTGGTCAAAACTACTCTGGATGAATTATTCCTGATTAATTACTCCGGATGAATTATTGTGCTTTGCAGTTATTTTGCCGACCATTTTAGACCTAAAAATGGCAAAGCCTGCTCCTAAATATGTGTGAAAGAAGATACATGACCTGCTAAAATTATGCATAAATCCACCTCCTCATATTTGGGAAGGCCTGTCAGCCCATGCATTGGCCCAGTACACCACTGTCCATCACCCCCAGCACCTCCACTCTCTTATGCATAATTGCCGTGTGTGTAGGTGCTTGTGGATAAAAACCGACAGAATTGTGGCGCTTTTAGAGTAATTCTAGGCCTCCACCCATTTATGCACCTCGATTTATCGTGGTCGCCATAAATACAGCAAATCTCGCCTCATATTGCCAAAATCATTGCAAAGCACGATACTCCAGATGCACGAACTCTTATTATGAAATATGCATGTTTCAGATTGAGAAGCTTTATAGAGCTACCGGACCAAGCATTCAGCGCTAAGACGTCGAGGCAACGAGGTCTATATCCGTTCCGCTCTGCAAAGCTAAAAATATACTGCATGCTCTTGGGCTATCTAACTCTGTCTTCATTATCTTATTGCGCTCGAATCAGCAAGATGAAGATGCACGCGGCTGTGTGGCATTTCGCCGAGACCGACGGGAACAAGTACGCCAAGAAATATGCACGCAAGAGGAAAGGTGTAAATGCCACCGATCGGGAATCAAGCGCCAGTAAATGGCTGCGGAACCACGGCGGCAAGCGCATCCGGGACGCCTGGAAGGCGCTGTCTCCCAAGACGAAAGCTCGTTTGATGCAGGAGACGCCTGATGGTACGTTCCCTGATCAATCAGAGGGGATATTAGACGAGCGCACCAAGGCAACGGCACAACCGACATCGGTAGCGATGCCGTCCACGATTCAGACCAAGCGCAATACAAACGCAAGCTGTCTTCCTGGTGCAGAGGCGGCTACCCCAGCGTTGTCGGCTGCTGCGACTGAAGTGGCAGCATTGGGCCATGTATCTACTTCTGTTCGAGGTCCCAAGACCGGCTCCACCTTACCACAGAGTGAAGGCAAGGACTTGACACACCTCAGGGCTGTGCTCAATCGAAATCGATCGAAGTACTACGGCATGGTGTGCAAAGAGGAAGAGCTACAAATCAAGACGACCTACAATATTGGGAGCGTTGCTGGGGTCATTGAAGCTATGGCTTCGGGTGTAACGAACGCCATTTGTCTGGCGCATTCACGAGACTGATGTCAAACGAGCACAGACGCGTTTAGAGCTGTTTGCGTCCGGGTTGACTATGTTCTAACGAGCCCCATGTTGAACACCTCATTTCCCCCAGAACCCAATTACGGCAGCGATGCACCAAGCCCCGAGTTTGCTGCCGGAAGAATTAATCAAGCCTGGTGAAATTATCAGCACAGCGTAAAAGAGCTACGCTCCGCACTTGCCCAAAATGGTGTTGATGGTGATCCTGATCCTTCTTTGCTCGCATCCATCCTTCGCTTCAAAACCCAAACGCTAAACAATCGACATGAACCGCGGCCTGTATGAAAAGGAAAAGCGCTGGTATATATTGGTCATGCATTAAAGAATATAGATTTCATCATCTCAACACCTTGATCGGCTTGGTTCAGCTGCTGATGTCGCTGTCAGAGCGTATGGCGTCGCCCTGATCGTAGTACTCGGTTCGCTCATTCACACGGGCAAAATTCTCAACTGTCACAACGGCCCATCCATGACGGCGGTGGACCACGTTCGCGCGTAAATCAGGTCGCAATACGTTGCTTTGATCATCTTCGCATGATTCATCTTCAACTTCACTGGGCGAAGAATCCCCCGAGCTATCGACAGGGTCTGGAAGCGCGGCAGGTTTTGGGAGCCGAATTGGAAGTCTTTCAGGTGTCTTAGCTCTGCCCACTTCGATATCAGCCTCCACGTTTGCATATCTACGAGCGAATTTTTTCAATGCCCACCACGAAGTCGGGCAAGTTGGGATGGGCCTCGATAGCTGCGTTCATCTCCCTGTTGAACCGTTCGAGGGGGTTATTCGTCCTGGCGATCGTCGCTCTTGAGTAGGGCTCAAAATTCCATAGAGTAGGCGGGAACCGAAGAATCCACGTTCGCACAAAGTACCTCCAGAACTTTGTCCACTTCTCTGCAGAATATGCACGTCCTCTCGAATGCACTTGGACTCGATTTTGGCCTTAAGTCATGGTATTCCCTGTTTCTTCACCTTTTCTTGCTTGATGACAGTGAGAATATTCAGTACACCATGGCTCGTGACTTGAACACTCGCGGTCGGGAATGCCGTATACCTTAATCTTGCACCGACAAGCATGTTTAAAGTGGAACAAACATCCAAGCACGGACGTATTGGGAAAGTGATCCTTAATAGCGCGAATGAAGCCAGCCTCAAAGTCGCAGTACACAAACTCAGGGTCTAGTGCATAGTCCGTCTCATCCAGGACAAGTCGCATAACATGAAAGTAAGCATCATACTTCTTGGAAGAGCTCAACACGAAGGCAGCAGGATAGTACGACTTTGTGGGCCTGTCGTAGGTCGAAAAGATCACACACTGTTTCAACTTCGGTGGCAGAGACCTAAACGTTCCGTCAACAAACACGTCCGTCTTTTTGGAGTTGAGCATGTTCAAAAGAACCGGATGTGCCCAACCCAAAATCCGCTGTCGGCACTTGCTGGTGCGGTCGTAATAGGAGTAGTGGAACAGGAAAAACGTTGGACCCGGATGGAGTCCCGTCGTCCAACTGGACCTGCGACGAAGGTGAGACTTCGATTTGACCAAAAACAGATCCGCCGAACTCCTGCGCTCTAGCTCGATTCACACGTCGTAAGACTTCCTCCCTCGATAAACCGGAGATCGCAATGTTCGTGTTCGGGTTTCCGTAGAATTTGGCCCTCACGATATCCCAAATAACAGCGCGATTTGCTGTCGTCGTAACGGCTAACGTGTCACCCGTCCTCTTCATTGCTTCTCTCACATTCTGGTTAACGCTGGGACCAATCTGGTTTCCTTCACCTGATACTGAAGATGTACCACAAGTGTGCGGAGCAAAGTTGCAGTACGATTCCAAGCGGAAGTCGAAGTGGCATTTACCTTCGCAGTCCATGCTTCGATAATGGCTGCACCGGTAATAAACCTTCTTGCTCGTCTTCCGAATTCTTGTGTACTTATATCCACCAATCCACTTGTTCGTTCGTCTCGTCCTACGGGGCTGACCAGGCTCACCGAGACCAGCAGAACTGTCGTGGCTTTGGTGCTCTGAAACCAAACTGTCCCCAGTAGCGTCGAAATTCTCGTTCTGGTGCTTGTTATCCGGAAATCCGAACTCGTAGTCTTCATCAAAAGTGTCGTTTGAGTGTGATAGATTCGTTGTGTCCAAGCGGGGAGGGGCCGCAAACTCTGCATCGACTGGCTCTGGATTCAAAATGAACACTAGTGTGAGTTGAACACGTCTGGATAATAAGGCGTCGCTAGCGGCATTAAGCGGTTCGACATTAGCGGATTCGCGTTCCAGTGTAGTGTCTGGGACGAATCAACCGATATAGCGATGTGTTAGCATTCATGAAAAAGTTACCAAGATTAATCCGCTCTTTCAGTTGTTCTCCCCAACTTGCGCGTCTTGAGCTTGTTGCTCGACGGCAGGTTGCTCTGGTGCTAGCTGAGCGAGACACCGCGATCGGCGTCGTGTTGAGTGTGAAGCCCGCTGCTGCCGTGTGCTCCGTGAAGTGCGAGAGCGCGACCGCATCGCTGAGTCGCTTCCAAAGCTCAAATGATGGAAGGGCTGCCGGATGAAGTTGAGCTCTAGCGTCAGTTTTGCTTTTTAACCGACAGCAGTTGGTCACAGTAATTTTGCCCTTCCGCTATCGCTCATGTCAGCTTCAAGCTCACCGTGATCGAAGCAACGTAGCCTTCAACGCCGACAGCCTCGGCCGTTCCATGATTCTCATTTCTAAGTACTAGTATCTGGCCGACGAAATTGCAATAAAACATAAATAAACGTTAGCAACGCCACCGCTGGTGCACGGCCACAGAAACTATCACATGATAGAGCAAAACTCTGTAGTCAGTAATACACTTACGAGTTTACTACGTATCTAATGCACGCAACGACACGAGTCTGTATGAACAGCAACCGACGATATGCAACTACAGCCCTGATATCAGACCCAAACTTGGATTTCAATGCACCACGCCACGATGTACTCCCCAACTTTCCCTCCAATTATTCTAAAAGGGTACCACAAGAAACTTATGCGCATGTTGTTAGTTTTGCACGTACCGTAGAATCTCCTAGCTTACAGCCTGCTACTGGACACACCTACCAAAGCTGTGTCAACCGATACTGCTTCAACACGCTTAAATATGTATATACGAAGCACGTAAAAATACTGAATTTCATACAACGGCGTTAGTCGATTCATCACGTTTTGCTACGGCACAAACGAGCAAGGACTGTCATGGTTACTGCACTTACCACCCCCGCAGCAGATTCGTGAATGCAGTGAAAGTATCTCGGGCTTGTGCTAGCATGCAGTGCAAAATGTATCTCTTTGGCTCTTTTCAAAAAATAATGCCAAATCAGCCCGCTTGATTGGCTGTATTAGGTTGAAGATGGCTGGTCCCACTCCCTGATTGCACAACCGGTGTTACACCGGTTGTGGAGCCCTCTTTACTCTCTTCAAAACCGGTAGTATACCGGTGGACATACCGGTTTGTGACATCTGTCCCTCAATCGTCAGTTCTAACGAACTGCGAACTGCGAACTCCCTCCCCCCTAGAAATTCGACACACACACCCCAGGAACGGAGCCGGCGTGGTCGTAGGCATGCTTGAGATATGCATGTTCAGGCGATCGGTTGCTTCTGTTGGTACAGCCACGCGGCGGGTATAGCTGTGACTTCGTGACATCTGCGTTTCACTGATAGCTGTATTCCACTGAGAAACGACTCGAGCAATACGCTCTCTACTCCACAAGAAACGAGCTGGCAACCGTGCTACTGATATTGCAAGATTTATCCGTTTTTCGCTATGTTTCGTCCAGTACCTTCCCGTTGCGTGGTATGTTGGGCATTAGCGACAGCTCATTGTGGTAGAATGGTCTTCAGGTGTTGCACAGCTTCCTTCCTCGTCATGTCCCCCCCAACGTACCGTTTGTGGGTCATTTGGGTGTACTTGATAAGCGCGTCCCAGTTCACATGACTCTTGTTCCGGCGGAAGATCTCGAGCTCATTCGCAACCTTCTCGATGCTCAGCCTTTTTCCGAGCCAGTGTTCCAGCCATTCCGTCGCCTCGTCCTGCGTGCGCGCGAAGCCCTTGATGTTAGCAAACGCTCTCTCTTCCTCAACATCGTCCAGGACTGCTGCATTGTCAGTCCGCAGGAAGCGTTCGGCGTTCTTTTGAGCAGCATTGATCGGGTGTTCCACGGTCCTGTCGAGCTTCGTCGTGGGCACGAGAGCTTCGCTCGCTGCGAGGAGGGCGGCCGTAGCAACTAGCAGGAGGTAATACGAGCGCATAGCGAACTTGTGCGAGTTGGGATTGTCACTACTTGAGCGCGGGGAAGCAAGTTGCGGAATAAGTCTTGGAGCAAGCTGCAGCGACCGCCACCACGGCGTAATGTGATTGGTGTTCACAGGTCGAAGAGCTGTACTTGGACGGAGCTTTACTGTAACGTATTGAAACCGGGTACTTTTATTTCCAAAATCGGGTATTAATTAACTTAAGCAAGTACTTCTTAAAGCTACGAATTATTACATGTATGACTCTGCAACCCAGGGACCGGTTTAACTCTTAGCAACTACGACTAAAAGCTACAAATTGTTGTTAACTCGGTTCAGGGATTGTTTGCTAGATTCGTACATATCCAAGGTTAATACTAAAAACTACGTTGCTATTACTCTTTATTAAGAATTTTTCCAGGGTTTCACGATTTAACGAAGTGTTTATGGTACGCATCCGCTGAAGCATACTTTACTGCTGGGTGCTGCTTGTCAATATCTCATGCGTGCTAACCCATTATCTGCATATTGCATGATGGGTTGCGCTTCGAATGTTGTAAAGCTTAGTACATGTACACAGTACAATGTACTAGGGTAGTCCTTCATCGACAGCACTTAGGTATGAGGGTTTAACTTGCCCCCAGGGTACCAATATGGAGGCCAAAAAATTAAATAAATAATCCGCGATTTGGTCGGTATCATTTGCGGGAACCCGGGTTCCCGCCAATTGTTTCACATGAACATGTGGACTAATACCGGTAAGACCAGCAAACGCCGCTCCTTTAGCGAAGTTTTGACCACTGACCACATGATCACTAGTTACACGGACTAAGCTTAATAGATGTTACCAGCATTCTGACACATAGCAAGCCAGTAAGTGGAATCCCTAAATGTGTCAGCTCTAATGCCGTCTCCAAACTAGCTCATCGCGAACATCTGTCAGTTTATTACAGCATCGGCAGCTACACCTTGCTCAGGTTACCTACCTCCCATGCGCTAATTACTCGACTTTTAACGTACGCTATCTACATATAGTGTATCGCTATCACAGCTAATCAAAATGTTCCTGCAGTTGTGGAAATGTTTTTTTTACCTTATTCTAATCGATCTCAGCTGCTGGATCAAGTGGTGCTTATCACCACTGCGTGTAGTTTTGAGCATTTCACTACCCCAATCTCTGTGCGTGTCGAAAGAATGCCCGAGAAAAATGCAGTACAAGTAAACCAAATACCTACTTGCTTAAAAATGATTGCAAATTCAAGACATGTTACTTCTGCCCTTGTGGGTTGCTTATCTCACTACGCGTAACATTCCTGCGAAGTAGGTTTGCTAAACGTCTATCTTTATCAACTGCGTCTTGGTGGTTTGGACATCTGCAGTGAACTTTTCGAGTGCAAGAAGAGCGTGTCGAGAAGTAACGTGAGAACGTAACAGATAGTTTTGCTGCGGTTTGCTTGCGATTGACACACTCGATCTTCAAGAAACAGGGCGGGTAAAACCTGTTGATTTCTTGAAAAATCATGTACGTCTTTGGTTTTACCTTGGTTTTAATCAATACAATCTAGTTTTTATTGATCGAGTACACTTCGTTGGTAATTATCTGTGTTTCTTTTGTGTTCATGTTTCCTATGCAAGGCACATTCCCAGTTTGCTGTGGATGGATTATCGAAACGAGGAGAACATTTTTGAAAAAGCTTTGATATGCTCTCCTATTCTCGTTTCTACATCGATAACTTTGTGCAGGCTAATCGCTGTTTTTGCTGAATTATTATGTTTTTTTAGGGTTCATCATATAATTTTTTTTTATTCTCATTAGTCGGTGTCTCCAATAGTTAAAGTGGATACTTCTCTTGCCGGAATTTCTACAGGACGAATGACTCAGTTGTCATTATCGTGCCGCAAAACCTTATTTTCCTTAGTGTAATCGTCGTCGCTATCAACTTCTCTTTCCGTCATTGTTATTAAGAGTTTGGTGGTAAGAGCGGTAGCATTACAAGTTCTTAGAGGGAAACTTGACAAGCAATGTTGTTCTTCGTCGACATAGCGGACGTTGGACCTAAACTTCAACGACTTCCCAGTAAAACCAATCGATGCTTTTCGGAGGTAGGCAGGTTTTACTATAAAAGTTAAAGTAAGGCTAATACTTAAGCCCGTCGTACCAGTCCTACCAGGAAACAACAACCAGTGAATCCAGAGTCTCCCGTTGTACTTTATATCCCACCGCGTGCACACGAAAGTAAATTGCTGTTTAATCCAAGTTGGATCCATGTTGGATTCGGGAGTGGTTGGATAATCCATACCGTAACACTTGATGCCTGCATCTCCCCCACCTTTTCCCCCTCTCTTTTCATTAATTTTCGAATAGTCATTATTGTTGCTGTTGCCCTACGACCTGTGTACTCTCCCGGAGCAGTGCTCCGGGTAGCCTATCAAGTGCTTGGGACTGTGAGGTGCAACTTGCTTATGCTCGCTCTCAAGTCTTAAACCGATACATCCAGATGCTAGCATTGCTGTCGATACTAACTTACTGATAGGTACGGTAGGTGTCATCGGTCAGTCTATCCTAGATAATCATACATTAATCCCTATTGGCTTCTCGTACTACAGAGTAGCACTACTGTACTAGGATAAGGCCCCTGGGAATTCCCGAATTTTGTTGACTTGCAAAAATTGTGCTAATCTTGCATTGTCGCGTGTTGTGCTTATTTAGTCCAGCGTAATCCCTGTACAGTACTCGTACTACATGTGAATCACATGCTCAAGCGGGTTGTCGAATATATATTCCAAGCACGCACTACAGCGGAGAAGAATAACTTTTCGTATCAACCAGCTTTCGGCAACGAAAAAAAGCTTTAAAATAAAAAAAAACGTCTAACTCCGCATACATGACAGCCAATTCAATATACACTAAGAAACACTTTGCAAAAGCTAGTGTTAGCTGCTATACAGTTGCTGGTGTTTGTGCGAACACTATAATAGTTATATATTTCTGGCGCCCTTAGCGACTAAGTACGAACCCTTAACTATGGAGCACCGTGCCCGCTCTTCTAGAGCGCTGGCTGCATAATGTCACGTTTTCACTTACGATTTGTATTGGGCAAGTCACATGGGCTGTGCGAACCCTCCATATTACAAGATCGTGTGTGAACCACACGCCGCCGAGCAAGCGAGGCGGCAGGCTTGGCTTCAACTTTCGTCACGAGCCCCGCTCGCGGGGCTCCGCTTGGCTTGTATTAATACCAAACCCCGACATGGGCATCAAGTATTATGTGTTTTTGTGACGAAGCGCCCGTGCGTTTTGAAGGCTCAGGTTGCTAGACCGCTCGACCTTGGTCTTCGCTCAGCCCTTGCACCACTTGGCTCAGCCCTGCTTAGCGCGGCAAGAGTTCCGCTCAGCTCCTTCCACTGAACAAACACTCCCACTCCACTTCGCTAGACTTAGCCGCTTGAACGCTTGGCTCAGCTCCGACTCGGGTCGGGCGAGGCGTGTGTTCCTCACTCTGCGATCCCCTTGGCGGTTCTTTTGATCACGGCTACGCTGTGGGCCTAGACTCGCGTCGGCCACACCAGCTGCTGTCGATGTTGAAGGTCTCCGGAGGTGTTCCCAGACGAAACTCGCTCCCCACTTGGCGAGTCCCAGTCCGCATGTGTCATCAGCCCGAAATGCCCCGGGTTTTCCTTAATGAACACAACACCACACACAATATAGCCTCCACTTCCTCTCTTTGGTTCCGGCTCAGAACCACAACACCCCTTCTTTCCCGGTCGGCCTGGGTCTGGGCCGAGTTCGCCTTTATTTCTCTGAGCCTGGGCGAAGGCTCGTACTAGCTTCTCCTTTCTTCTCTTCGAGTCAAACAACGACCCGGTCTGGAGTTAGTGACTCGGTTTGAGCCTAGTCCGAATCCAAGGCACTCACACACACCCTTGGACTACCCGCGCACCAGGTCCACAATGAACTGATACTAATAATCACACAACGCACCGGGGTACGCCAATGTCCCCAAGCACACAATACAATTACCCTGCCTAAACCTCAGAATGGATCACCTTCCACCCGAAAATATGAAATACACCCTAAGATGTAACAGTAATATGAAATAACCGTACTGCCGTCGCACCGAAGCACTCCGACAATGTTGATATGTTAGCTTGAATTTGTGTGGATGATCGCCAAGACACCTTCTGGCTAAAGACCTCCACCACTTGCGTCCTCCGGGGCAAAACGAACTCTGTTTAATTGTTTACACATGCACAAACTAGGACTCACTAAGTGGGGGCGCGATATCCCCCTGGGTACACACTGACTGGCTGCGCGAAGAGCGTCGGCTGTATGCTTACCGGGGGCCCTTGAAGATCCGCCCGATATCCTTGGTCTTGGCTAATGCGGCGGCTCCACGTCGGCGGGCGTCGTCTTGGAGCCGCTGGAGGCCGTTGAGATCCGCTTGAAGTGTCCGCGATCTTGAGCAGTCGCATCCAATGTAGGCTGGCTCATGGCTGAATCACCGGATGAGTGTACCGGTGCCACCAACCTTGCCGTCAGTACCACTGTCTGGACTTAAGTTCAGCGCCTCTTCACCCGGCACTTCAACTGGACTCCTACAACTCCGCTCAGGTCCATGCCACTCCGCTCAGGTCTGCAACGCTCCGCTCGGCTTCTCGACTTGAGCAAAGACTTCAAACATCGCATTCGAGGCCGGGCTCGGACTCCACGTCACTCCACTCAGACCTTCGATCCTCTCCCAGCTTGTCGACTTGGGTGAAAGTTCCATGATCACAGTAAAAGCCGGGCTCGGGCTCGGCACGACCTCGTTCGGACGCCTGCTCCTCGACTCATCTCGGCATCTTGGACGACGGCCCCACAACCGCTGGGGAGGTTGAGCTCAAACTCCACCCAGCTCCGCTCAGCTCCTCGACCCGAGCGGGGACTCCGGTCATCACACTCGAGGCTCGGCTCAGACCCCGCGTAGCTTCTCTCTGGTTCCTGACTCAGCTCAGACTTGGGATACCCAACACCAGACATCTCGGGTCTCAGACAATCTTCGATCAAGCCCAGAGTCTGAGCGGAGCTCCGCTCAGACCTCGGGCTCAGCTTCCTTCGTCGCACGGATCGTGTCCGACAGTTGGTGGTCCAGATCCATCGCGGCCATGACGCACTTGAAGTCTGCTTGATTGATACGGGTCAGCATCTTGGATTGATACGGGTCAGCTGGACATGGGTTCGGTGGCGAAACCCACCGAGCCTTTTCACATTTTTGCTTTCATTTTGGACAGGTCGGCTAAGCGAGTGCATGCTACTCCTGTTGTACGTATTGTGTATCTTATTGACTGTTTAGTGTGCTGCGTGTGCATTTAGGTAAAGCGCAGGAATGGTGGAAGGGCGGAATTGGGTGTCGGGTCGACGACTTCGCCTGCATAGTAGCGCTCGCGAAACTGGCCAAGGAGGACGGAAAGGTGGCCTGCTTTGTGAAGCGCACGCATGGCTTTGACGACCGAGCCAACGGCTACAGCCTGTGAGCCTTGTACAGCCAAGTATTCAAGCGTCTTCTTCTTGGCTTCGACTCCAAGAGCGTGGACCTCCGCCTTGTACGCTGGCGAGGCCGGATCCAGCTTGAACCCAGAAGGTAAGCAGATCATCATGAATGCAACTGTGTGTCGTGACTCGTAAAGGATGGCTTAGCTAACTGTTGTTAATTCGTACATGCGTGGTACAGTAGTGAACCACTCGAACCACACGGTCGATAGCGCTTTGGCTGCGACTGCTCAAGGTCGTTGTGCTGCTGCTCCGTAGTGTTTGTTTTCTTGTCAATAGATTCTGCGTTCGCCCCCAAAACGGCCAGCCTTTCCTCAACGCGTGTTTGGCGGAGCAATAGCTCGTCGAGCTGCTGCGACAGCTTTTCTAGAACACGGATCATGTTTTGAGAGGACTCGGCCGCTGTTTCTTGTTTCTCTTCTGCAGGTGGATTGAATGCAGCTCGGAGGGTGATCGACCATGCCAACAGCTCGGAGGCCTGTATGTTGAGGACACCAAGGGCTTCATGAATGCGACGGACGTACGGGCTATCCAAGCGATGGCGTTCCATACCGTCAAAATTCCAACAGGGTTGGACTGCTTCCAACTAAAACCGGTCTAGCAACGGTATTAGGTTTTTTGGTTAGTTGATATTTAACCTCACGACCGCCGATTGGATTCTCGGCCAACAGTCCAGAAGCTTCCAGGTTAGTGCAGCGAGTCGTGCAACGCTGCTTGTGCTACCTATATGAAGTACGACAACTTGAATCGGAAGACCAATTTGAATCGTTGGCGCAGCGTGAATAATACGTACAACAGGAGTAGCATGCACTCGCTTAGCCGACCTGTCCAAAAAGAAAGCAAAAACACAAAATACTTGATGCCCATGTCGGGGTTTGAACCCGATCCTCCAAGCCCGAAGGCCTGGCGCTCAACCTCACGAGCTCCATGGGCGCGGGTAAGTCTCATCCATCAACAGCACCATACTCGTCCAAACCCTCGGCCACTTGAGCCACACGCACGAGCGCGCACAGGCGCAACTCAACACACGTCCCAGCAGCACAGACGGCCCAGCAGCACACACGGCCCAGCAGCACACACGGCCCAGCAGCACACACGGCCCAGCAGCACACACGGCCCAGCGGCCAGCAGCGCCTGTGTACACGCAGAGACAACAGCAGCACAGTCAGCACATACTTGTGATAATAGTTATAATAATTATATTATCATTGTGAAAAAGCACTACAGTATCATAGCGTGTCTTCTGGCCTGTCTATCAAATGTCCACGTCATGTACTTATGTATGCGCTTTCAATTGGGATACCGGTATTAATAGCTATGAACTATATCAATAACTATTAGTTATTGGTAATAGCGTTGGTACTTAGCAGTACTATTAGTCGAGTTCTGCGCTGCATAAGTATTTTTTGTTTTTAGTTTGTTCATTTTTTACAGTTGCGTTAGCACTTAGTGGATTTACAATGCGCAGCCAATATATCTGCTAAAGCTCTCTGGAGCGATGCTACCGTTAATATTCGTTTGCTATAAAATACTCATGGAGAAAATTGTCAATACGCTACCAGAATTATGAATTAGATTATACTGGAGTCCAGCTGCCCATAAAGGTGCTGTTTCAAAACATTGCTTTGTGAAATGCTGCACGCTCTGTGATTCTGCGTTTTTACTCTGTGAACATCCTGTTTCTCATGAAATTCGCTCGAATATGCCCGAATTTTGTTGACTTGCAAAAACAGACAGTGCTAATCTTGCATTGTCGCGTGTTGTGCCTATTCAGTCCAGCGTAATCCCTACATGTACAGTAGACTTTAAAACGAGTTTGTCAGCGCTCTATCAGATTCTTAGCAGTAAACGATTTTGCTATGGTACACTTATTGAAGACTGAGGTCGGTCCGACCGAGCTTAGCTACTTGCTATTGAAGGTGATCTTCGTTAAATACTTTAACAAGTCCGAATAGCTTAGCTCGGGGCGTAGGATTGATCTAATCGGTAGTTTGGCGCTATATCGGAAATTTCACAATAGACCTGGGAAAATGCTCAATGACTTCGCACGCTGTACTTGTCGGTCAAACTGGACACTTCTGGCCTTACTTGGCGCCGGTCTCGAGTGGCGCCGAGTCCACTTGTAGCCTGGTTAACTTACAAACGACATGCATGCATACAGTACGAGTACGTACAGTGTACAGTACGAGTACGTAGGTGTACTGTACACTGTACATGTAGGGATTACGCTGGACTGAATAAACACAACACTGTGTACGGTCCGTATGTGTGGTGTATTGTGTTCTAGCTGCAGTAAGCGAGCATACGCATCATTACTAGACGGGGGTCTAGAACTCACAAGGGAGGAACCTAAGTAAGAAGGTTAATTTGTACTTTTCCGTAATTTAAAATTAACGCTAGCTTGCTCTCCACATAGCTCCATTGAAGACAGTGAAGACGTAAGCATATTCTAAAACCCTATAAGAGTGAAATACGGATTAATGATGCATGGGAACGTAATGAATCATGTTTCGGTAACATTGTTTGGCTCAAATCATGAAGGCAATGTCGGGGTTCTTCCGGCCGTCACCAAAGTAAACGACGCCGTAGTTCGCAGACAGCGGTTGATGGAAGCAGAATGCGCCGGGGTACACGTAGTTGCGTAGTGTCGTGTAGCTGCCGGTGTTGTCCTTGGAGATGACCCACGCTCCATCCAGATCCTGGATGAGCGGGTCGAAGAAGTCTCCAGCGCGCACCAGCCCCTCCGCGTTCTCAATGATCTGAGCACGTTCAGGCAGATCCGGGTGTCGGAAGTGGAAGAAGTTGTAGAGCTGCAAAGACTGGTCCCACGTGAGGCCGTGGAAGGACGGGTTGGCGATGACCTGGTGCATCGGCGAGACGATGTACGCCCCCAGCGGCACAACAGACGTGGCGTGGTCGATCTCCTCGACGATGTACGCGAGTCGGTCGAGCTCGCAGAAGGGAGCCTCGCCCTCTTCCTGGTTCTGCGGCTCTCCAGCGTCTCCGATAAGGAACGCCGGGTCCCCCTTCAGTCGCGACGTCATCGCCGCCGCCATCGCGCTCTTCTTCTTGTTGAGCTGCGGGAACTGCTGCAGCTCCGGCGACGTGTTGGTACTGCGACAACAGTAGAACGAATCAGCACATTGTCCCATAATAGTAGAAATGCAACACGCCCTGCAGCCTACCAGAAGTAGAACTTCTTCTTGGGGTAGTCCTTGGCGGGGAGCACCGCGACGGCGATGAGGTAGTCCTGGGTCTCGCCCGAGATGCGCCCCCAGAAGCGCAGCGACAGCAAAGTCTCGGTGGCGTTGCGCTTGAGCATGCCCAGCTCCAGGTTGGAGCGCTCCTGCGGCGTTAGCGTCTGGCCCACGCATCGGCTCACGACGTCCAGCTGCTCCAGCTCCATGTGCTCTCTGTGGTCTGTAGTCTCTTCAACAAGTGAGTGAGTGTATCTATCTCTTCGATCGATCCGCGTCGCTTCAAGATCGCAATTCATTGAATTGCTGCGTGCGACTGTGTGGAACACACCACCTAGCACATCCGAGGATAGAGATGGGCCATTTCAATTTAGTCAGACAACGTTCGCAACGGCCGATGAGCGCGCCCGTGTGCCTCATCGAGGGCGGCGCCGACGGCCTGCGCGTCACGGAGGACGGCGTTCGGTGCGTGCCTCATGACCTCCAGCATTTTGCGCGTATGGTGCAGCTCGAGCGGCTCCCTAACTCTCAGTGTGCGCGTCGTTATGCCTGATTTACGCCATTGTCGCATTGACGCAGCCTCCTGGAAAGTCTACATGAGCCCGTGGCAATCGTCTGCCTGGCAGGACAATATCGGTGAGATAGATAGATTTCAATTGCGTCAATTAAGTTAGTTATTGTCATTATTGCTAGTGCTGCCTCTAACCAGCCATCGTCTGCAGCACGGGCAAGAGCTTCTTCCTCAACCAACTCGCTTCCCACCGTGACGACTTGCGGTGGATCGCCAACAGTGACACGGACCCGATGGTCAATAGTTATGTGGCCAATGGCAGTGCTACGTCCAAGGCCAATGGGTTTCGGGTGGGACCTACGACGGAGTCGTGTACGAGAGGCATCTGGCTTTGGTCACCGCAGCCTCCGGTGCGCAACCCGGCGGGGCAGCTCGTGTTGTTCCTGGACACGGAGGGCATGGCGTCGACTGATAACGATGAGAGCTACGACGCCAAGATTTTCTCGCTGGGACTGCTGCTGAGTTCACTTTTCGTGTTCAACACGATGGGCGTGATCGACGAAGGCGCCATTGATCGACTGTACCTCGTGTCTGAGCTCACCAAGCACGTGTGCGTTAGTACGCACCCGACAACGGGATCATCGTCGGCTAATGGGTTTGGGAGCAACAACTCAAATGCAGAGGAGGCGGCACTGAGTGATGACAAGCTAGAGGAATCACGGGCGTTGGCGCCGCACTTCCCGCCGTTCGTATGGCTACTACGTGATTTTTTGCTCGACATGCAGATCAATGGCAACGCTCTGACTGCGAATGAGTACCTGGAGAAGGCTTTGGATGCGCGTGAGGTTAGCACTACAGCATCCGAGAGCACTAGAATGCGTCAAGTGGAGCGGAATCGAACTCGTGCGTCCATTCGAGTTTTGTTTGGACGTCGTGAATGCCTTACATTAGTTCGTCCCGTGACCGACGAGCGCGATTTGCGTCGTGCAGCGGAGCTTCCGAATTCGGAGCTGCGGCCAGAGTTTGTTGACCAAATGACAGCCGTGCGATGTCGACTACTTTCGGCCGTGACTGCTAAAGAGCTGCTGGGCAAAACCCTGGATGGCCCTCAGGTTGCACAGCTCGTTCGCTGCTACACAGATACAATGAATAGTGGCGCCGTTCCTGATATTAAGGCTGCGTGGGAGTATGTGTCGGATGCGACGTGCCAAGCTGCGCTTGCTGCAGCCATCGAGTTGTATGATACTTTGATGGAGGCCACTACTGGTAAGAAGAAGCCCCCGAAAAAGGTGAACGACGAGGGTGACTCGGAAGATACAGACGAAGTTGAAGGGGAGACGGACGATGGCAGTGGTGGTGCAGATGGAGATGAACCGAGGATTCTGTCACAGGCCGAGTTTGAGACGATCTACAAGGAAGCCCAGGAGCAGGCCCTCAATCTGTTCAAGGTGCGCTCAGTGGAAGGTTCATCACGGGCGACGTGCTATCAGAAGCTGAAGCAGCACATGCACACGCGACGCACTGCACTCATTGCTCAGCTGCAGAAGCGTTCGAGTCGGTTCTGCGTGAAAGTGCTCGCCAAGCTGCGCGCAAAGTTTCTGACCCGTCCTCTGGCTGCTGGTGCGTGGGATGCTGCTGCCAACAAGGAAGGAGCGTTCCAAGCCACGATGGAAGTACTGGAAGAAGTTTACGAACGGAAAGCCCGCGGCCCAGCGAAGAAGAAAGCCTTCTACCAGTTTCTACGTGTCGACGCACTTGTGTTCTTCGAGGCGCTGTTTCAGCGGATGGCTAGCAACCATGTCCACGACCGAGCTGAATGGGAACGCAAGCGAGAACAACTTGGACATTTACATGAAAACGAGAAAATGGATTGGAAGCAGCAACTGCAGGCCAAGAGCATGGAGACCCAGCAGCTTCTCGAAACGAAGGCTCATCTGGAAGATAAGGTGGCCACGCAAGCGGAGCGAATTTCGGAGTTACAGCACGTATCACAGCAACAAATCGATGCAATTGGTGACCTCGAGAACCAGCGTAAGGGTCTAAACGAGGACATCGACCGATTGCACGCTGCAGCTGCAGAGTTGACGAAGGAACTGGAGAAGACCCAACTGCGACTACAGCACAAGGAGGAAACACTTGCTAAGGTTGAAGCTGAAGCGCACACTACAAGGCAAGAGCTTACCAAGCAGGTGGAATCGCTTCGTGCAACGCACCAAGGCGAGAAAGAGGACTGGATACGACGTGCGGCGGATCAGACAGCGGAGAAGTCGATGCTGCAAAAGCAGCTCAAGCAGGCGGATCTTGACGCTCAGCAACAGAATCGTGAGATGGAGTTACTAGACAAAGAGCGGCATCAACTGCAGCAGTTGTACGAGACTGAGGTGGAGACTCGAGTACAACTCGAGAGAGACTACGAGCTACTTCGTGGTGGTAATGAAGAGATACAACGCAAGCTGAAGGAGAGTGCAGCGCATCAATTGAAGGCGAAACAAGCTGCGGAGCGGGAGCAAGCTCGGTTGGAAGCTCGGTTGAAGCGCTTCCAGATGCAACTGGGAAGCATTGAGGGTGATCGTGAAGTTGAAGAAGTGCTGCAAGATTGCGTGGCCAGTGTTGTTCGTCAAGCCGACGAGGACAGGATAATAACGCTGCAAGAGGAGCGGCGGATGTTGCAGGAGCAGCTTGGTGATCTCCACGAGAAGATCTCCACCTTGCCAGACTTCTACGTGCGGCAGATTTTCTGTGCACCCGAACCAGTGACGAACTTTTTCGACGCGCTGACTTCGGTTGTCGGGGATCCCAGTAAATGGTAAAACGGAATTGAATCAATAATAAAATGCAAAAGTACTGCTTTCTTCTTTTACAGATCAAAGTGGCTGAAGTCGGAAGCGTTGGCACCTCCATCTATCGACAGGACGGCGCCTGCAATGTTCATCGACCTGTTTCGGCGCATGGGATTAGCGACTGGACTGCCCATTGCGTCCACAAATTCTGCATCGTCAAGACTGGCGTGTCGAGTACGCCTCCCCTCGCTGGGTGGTGGTGACGCGTAGTTTCGTGGTGTAGGAGGCGACTGATCCAGGTTGGACAAGTTCATAGAGCTCGGAGAGGTGTAGAATGAAGGCACACGACCAATGGCCTTCCGCCCACTTCGTCGTTCGTCTTCCAGTGCTTGCTCGCCTCGCAAGTATCTTACAGCGCGTTCCAAGGCAAACTCGACACGACACATGGTGCGAATTCGAGCGAGAGCAGGCCAACACGCTCGCTCACCGGCCAGCAAAATCTCTGGAAAAGTTTCACGGGACGGGTTACTTAGCACTGTCCGCAGTAGTTTCACAGCGGAGATCTTGTCAGTGGGGCAGATGGTGATGTCGCCCTCATACTTCTGAGTGATCAAAGGGACCAGCCCGATGTCGAGGAACTTCAGAACGGAAGTGTTTAGGCCAAACTCAGCGATATTTTTGATGTAGGCCTTCATCTGCTTCTTCAAGAAGCTCATGAGACTGCCGGTCTGTCCATTTCCAAACGCTGAGTGACCAGACACAATCTTGTAGTGAATGTTGACTTGGCTGACAATGAAGTGATTAACGTTGAATAGCTCCGAGAGACGCTCCATGGGCAGATCACACTCGACGCTACCGTCACTCCACTTCAAACCCTCACGGAAATAGGGAACAATGTTTCCATGCTCGTCCTTGGCCAGCAGCTCCACTGGACGGAACACATTAGGAATCGCACACGAAGCTAGGGATGCTGACCAGATAATCACGTTCGGGGCTGTAAGATAGTTGAGGAGCTGCGGATAATCATCAGCACTCAGCGGGGTCACTGTGATGTTGATGATCCGACCCGTTCTGTCATAGGCCTCTCTGAAAGTGTAGTCACCCATGGCACTTCGCAAACAGTCCCGGAGCGTTTTCGTATCCAGCACATAGTGCTTGTCTAGGAATCGACTGAGAAGAATGAAGGCATCTCGAATGACCTCGAACCCACCCTTTGGCAGCAGCAACTTTGCGGGGGACAGGAATGACGGCGTGTAATCGACTCGGTCCTGCTCCGTGATATTCGGTCCCAAGAAGTTCAAGTTCACGGATTCTCCTGATAAAAAACCCAGCGCCTCATCATCGTTACGAACTCCAATCGCCCCCGCCAAGATCGAACCAGCCGAGGATCCTGCAATCACATTCGGCAGCAAGTTATTCTCCACGAGTGCCTTGATCACTCCGGCGTGGTAGAATCCATGCGCTCCACCGCCTGATAGCATCAATGCTGACCGCCCAAATGCGTGACGGGTCTCGCTGAAGAACGCCAGCTTATTGTCAATGGACAGCTCGTCGTTGTTCTCTTCCTCCGTCCCTTTCGCGCGCAGCACGACGTTCATCGCTTGCACAATCGTGTCCAGATACTCCTCGATAAGGTGCTTCGTTCCAACTGTAGTTAATCAGAATAAAACACACAACGGAAGTAAGCACCACGAACTCACCCTATTTAAGCCAGCAGCGAGCGTACCATTGCTGACCGAGTACAGTCTCGGGTTGCCGAGCCCCCAGTGCTTCCTCAGCAGTCCGGCTCGCAGCGCGAACATGAGTCCCATGACGTCGTTCTCGAGCTTGAGCCTCTTGTACATCTGCGTCTTGTTCATGACCCTCTCGTAGAGGAAGAGTCCGGACGCCGGGTCCTCGCGCCACTTGTCCTTGCCCTCGAGCTTGTCCAGCTCGCCGGCGATGGACTGGCGTTCCTGGAAGGACTTGACGTTCTCCAGCTGCTGGCGCAGCCTGAGCGTGCGTCTGCCCTTGGCTGTGAGGCGCAGACATGCGTTGCCCAGCACCCGACGAGCCACCGACTGCAGCTCGTAGATTATGTGCAGCACGAATGTCGCGCACAGGTAGCGCGCGAACACGTCGGGCACGACCACCGCGCGCAGTGTGCGCAGCCAGAGCTCCACGAGCGTCATGGTCACGTGGTGCACGAACGCGCGCTTCTCGGCCGCCGTACGCACCACGCGGTGCTTGAGCTGCTGCACGAGGCGCCACGCCAGCTCCTCGTGCCGCTCCAGGCCCGTGGCGAAGATCCAGAAGCGCACCCACAGATGCAGCAGCGAGTGCGCGCGCTCCCGCAGCCGCGCCAGCGCGTCCTGGCGATGCGTGACGGTCACCGACCGCCCCGTGGACAGCGCGGCGCCCATCGGTTTCCTCCTATTGCGGCTGAATGCAGAATGGCGAGCCGTTTCCCTTTAAATGAGACCATCACTCTTCCGGCATAGAGTAGCCAAGTGTGTAGTGGAACTTCAACATGATTAGGGATGGGCCCACTGCGGAATCTTCAGTTTTTGGCGTGAAGTTATGTACGACAATTGATACATTTTTTAGGGGGTTGGCTATTGTAGCCGCCGTCTAGCAGTTGATGCCCGTGGCGTGGCTCGGGATGTACTTCTTGGCCCGCAGCACCTCGTTCGCGATCTCGCGCAGCTGCTCGTCGTGCTTGACGGCTGTCTTGATGTCGCCCAGCAGCGTCTGGATCTTGCGGGACGTCAGGTCGCAGTACAGAGTCGTCAGCTTCTTCTCGTGCTCGGCCGACTCGATACCGGCGCTCAGCGACGAGCTTGCGCGCGAGATGGTCGCGGTCATGGCGAACAGCGCGATGGCCGAGTCGGCGATCCGCTCTAGTTGCATCTGCTCGTCCACGATCTTCTTGCCGTGCTTGCGTAGCAGGAACTCCACGGCGTCTCCGAAGTCGGCGGTGCGCTTCTGCAGCAGCTCAGCTGCGCCTCTTAGGCTGCAGTGAACTCCATCAAGGGGGGCGGGCGAGAACTTACGCTGCAGACGGTCCAAGATTTCTTTTGCCGCGCTCGACGGGTCTGACAGCGGGTTCTGCAGCACCTTGCCCACGGCTGAGAGACGCTCGCCAGCAGTCTACAAGTACAACAAACACGCATCAGACTACAAAACTTTCATCAAGCAACGCCATAACCAACGTACCCGGATTCCGCTGAGCGCAATCAGCATGCGCAGAATCTCGTTCGTGCCCTCGAAGATAGACAGAATACGGCAGTCACGCATGAGGCGCTCGAACGGCCATTCCTTCATGAAACCAGTGCCACCCATGACCTGGATGCACTCGTTGATGCCCGTGAACGCCACTTCAGAGCCGTACACCTTGCACATCGCAGCTTCAATCTCGCAAGACGGGTCTCCGCGGTCAATCATACCCGTGGTCATAAACGCCATGGACTCAATGGCGTACGCATCGAGCGCCATGACGCCGAACTTCTTCTTAATCAGACCAAAGTTCGCCAGCGGGGCACCAAACTGCTTGCGCGAGTTGGCGTGCTCAGCCGCAGCACCCAGCACACGTCGGAGTGATGCACCAGCGCACGCTCCGAGCCCGAAGCGACCATTGTTCAGGATGTTCATAGCCACCTTGAAGCCCTGGCCAACACCAGCTGCACCGCCGGTCTTCATGTCGGGGCCACCGCCTAGCACGTTCTCAATGGGCACCTTGCAGTTGTCGAAGAACACCTGGCACGTGTTGGAGCCGCGGATACCCAGCTTATCCTCCGGCGGGCCGCTGGTGACACCTCCAAACGCACGCTCGACAATAAAGGCCGTGACCTTGTCCTTGCCGTCCACCTCCGTCTGTGCAAACACCGTCATTACATCAGCCCAGCCGCCGTTGCTGATCCAGATCTTGCCTCCGTTGAGGATAAAGTGCTTGCCGTCTTCCGACAACGTGGCGCGAGTCTTGATGGAGCCAGCATCGGAGCCGCTCGACGGCTCCGTGAGTGCAAAAGCCGCAATGTGCTCGCCCGTCGCCAGCTTGGGCAGGTATTTGGCCTTCTGCTGCTCGTTGCCGTTGAGCAGGATGCCCTTGAGGCCGATGGACTGGTGTGCCATGACCGTGACGGCCAGACTGCCGTCCGTGATCTCCTCGCACACGCGCGCGTAGCCCGTGTTCGACAGGCCGAGGCCCTCGAGCTCCTCGGGGATCTGCAGGCCGAAGAGACCGAGCTCCTTCATGTCGTTCATCACCTGCGGCGGGATCTCCTTCGTCTCGTCGATCTGGCGCGAGTCCACCGTGCCGAAGAACTTGTTCACGGGGTCCACAAGCATCTGCAGCGTCTCCGTCTCGCTCTCCGACAGACTCGGGTACGGGAACGCGCGCGCCGCGTTGTTCACGCCCAGGAACAGCCCGCGCGTGTACGACACGTCGGCGGCCGCTTCGGCGGCGATCTGCAGACAGCGCACGCCGCTCTGCAGCAGCAAACGGCGGCTAGGGCGCAGTAGAGACAACATCACTATGGTGGTCGGAAGTCGAAGTGGCTGGCGGTGAGCAGATTCGGGTGTGAAAGGACGCGAAGGCTGAAGATCTGACGTGGCTCACATCGGGCTCTTGTGAGCAGCCTGACGTGACCGAGTGATGGTCTGTTTGGTGTACACAACTTCAAGTTGAAGTGACTTGAACGGCAGCATTTACTTCGGCGACGGCCGAAAGAACCCCGGCATTGCCTTCATGATCTGAACCAAACAAAATTGCCGAAACATGATTCATTACGTTCCCAGCCACCATTAATCCCTAACGTGTTTCTTAGTCTTGCTGGTTTCAACTCAAACTGAAACGAGGCACCCCCCAAAACATGCAAGCGTGAACCGACAGCACGAGCTACACTGCAACCAGTGCTCTTCATCTCCCCCACATACCATCAACCTTTCATCTTCTCCATTCGCGACAGAAAGCAGCCGCTTGACTGTCATTACGTGTGCAGGCGGCCCAAGAAGAAGCTGAGATCGCGCACGTTCGATGACGACTTCACCTTGGTGGTGCGGTAGATCGAGTTCAGCGATTCATCGAGCAGTTGCTGCTCCAGGAGCTTCTGACACGCGCTAAACGCCGCAGAAGCTTTGGCACCAGCCTTGGAAGGCATCGGGTCGCTCCGGAAAGCTTCCAGTTCCAGCTCTATCGGCAGGTTCAGCTCCGCTGTGAACATACTCTTGCCACCGTAGCGCTCCTCCGAGAAGGAGTACAACCGCTTCACATCCACAGTGTACAACCGGCTCGGCAGAGACTGACAGAACTGGTTGATACACACAATGCTGCTGTCCAGATCCAGCACAGCGCCCGTGGACTCGATTTCGATTTTTTGCTCCCCGTTGCCCATCATTTGAGCCGCAATGGAGCGCGGCTGCTGCTGGATGGTCTCGACCCTCTCGTGCGAAAACTCGAGCTGGTTAATCGTTTCCGCCTCACGGACCAACTGCTTGTAGTACACCTCGTGGGCCAAGTCGCCTTCTTCAGCCAAGTAGTACACAATACCATCCTCGTGACGCGCACGGCCCTTTAGCTGCATCAGCATTCGCGAAGTCCCCACCCGATCCATCACCACGATCAATCCGCACTGCGGGAAATCCACACCCTCCACCGACACAGCAGTGGAAATCAGAACGCGAATAGATCCCGACTCAAACTTCCTCAGTGTCGTCTCCATCTTCGGCAGCTGGAACGACGCCGTATCACTACGCGACGCTCGTCCGAGGATGCTAGCAAACGGCTGGTCAACCGGTGGGACTTCTGGCATCAAGCCGCTCGACTCCACTGTGAGCTCTTCGTTATCAAGCTCCTCATCTTCCTCCACCGATGCAAATTTCTCGTTGAAATAGTCGGACAGCACGCGACATTCCGTGCGTGTGTTTACAAACACGATACCCTGCAGGTCAAGACGGGCTCTGCTTCCTCCTTCAGGCTGCTCCTCATTTGGAGTCGAGGTGGTTACATCAGCAGCTTCATTTTCACTGTCCGAGACGTCGCTGTTGCTCAGCTCTGCCCCCACCACCTCCTCCACCGTGGCCTGCTCCTCATCAAACAACTGGGCCCGCAAGATCGCCTCCACTTTCTCCACCTTAGCGGTGCATGCATAGTTGCACCCTGAACGCTTGGCTGTCAGCAGCAGCATCGTCTTAACAGCGTCCTGGTCCAGCCCAAACATACTCCCGGGGACAGTCAACAGCAGCGACGCCGCAATGGCCAGTCGATTGAATTCCAGCTCCGCAAACCGATAGTAGCACCAGGGTCCGAGGTTCTTGTAGATAGTGACGCAGTTCTGCAAAAACTTCTTCCGGGCCTTCTCCAGCTTGACGGGATCGTTGGCCGCGTCGCTCTTGCCCTTCTTCACCAGCTTCTCAAACACCGCGATGGCCTTCACTTCCTCCAGCTCCTTCTGCATGTTGTCATAGACCCAGGAGCCACTGGTCGGATCCCCCTCCACGTCTCCATCGACTCCCCACGGCTGCTGCACCGGGTACGTCTCGTACACCATCGGCGCGGCGGCCGCGAACTCGGCGATCTGGCTCTGGTCCAGATCCACCTTCTTGAGCTCGGCGTGGAGCTTCTCGGCGCAGTGGCGCGTGGGGCACGCCGTGGTGCCGAAGATGCGGGGCAGCGCGGCCGCGTCGTCCTCGTGGTTGAATATCTTGACCACCTGCGCGTACGGGTGGCGCTTGGTCACGTGGTGGCACTCGTCGAACACCAGCAGGTTCATGCGGCTGAGCGTCACGTAGCCCTTGAGCAGCACGTTGCGCACGATCTCGGGCGTGCACACGAGCACGCGCGTGAGCTGCAGCTCGCGCTCCCACTGCGCGGCGTCCCACAGGTCGGCCGTGCTGCCGCAGTACGCGTTGACGCTCAGCGTGCTGGTCTGGCGGATCTTGGCCGTGATCTGCACCACGAGCTGCCGCGTGGGGGCCATGAAGAAGGCGCGCTTGTCCCCCGAGAAGTCCTGCTCCGAGAGCAGCGCGATGGCCAGGAACGTCTTGCCGATGCCCGTGTCGCCCACCATCACCACATTCTTCTCGCGCGCCAGCTCCAGGATCTCGCGCTGGAACGCGCGCAGCTCCACCTGCTGCATGGCTACAGTGTACCGCTACTAGCTACCCCCTTGCGCCAATTAGACAAGGGAAATCTGGCGCATCAAAAAGGGGGAAACGCGCTGCGATTGGTGCAAAATGGGTACTGATTTAAGCTAGCCAACTTCGAGTGTGTGTAGCCATGTCTACTTCTTGCCCTTCTTCTTGGGCTTGCCGGACGGACGCTTGCCGCCGCCCTTCTTGCCGCCGGCGTTGGGCCCATGTAGGCCGGGCGCCGAGATCTTCACGGGTCCGACCATGCAGTTCACCAGCTCGTTCTCCGGGATGCAGCGCATCAGCTCGCGCTGCACGACGATCGGGTTCACGTCGGGCTGGGCCTCGTCCTCCGCCTCGGCGCCGCCGGGACGGTACGGAGCGCTCTTGTTGGCGTCCTTCTCGTCCTTAAAGTTGGACGCGAAGAAGTGCTCCATCGCCTGCTTGGCCGCCTTGCCCTTCTTCTGGCTGCCCGGCGTGAGCTTCACCTTGTACTTGAACTTGATCAGCGACGCGTACGGCGCACACATGGGCATCGCGAACAGCACGATGTCGTCAGCCAGCGGCTCGCCCGTGAACGCGTCGAAGAAGTCGGCGCCCTCGGCCTCATCCTCCTGCTCGTCGAGGTACTTCTCCTTCTTCTCACGCTGGTGGCGAATGTATTCCTCGCTCGCTTCCTTCTTGGAGGGGGTCGAGTCAGCAGCCTCTTCGTTTTCATCACCGGACTGCTCTGCGGAGTCGTCGCCATCCTTGCTCGGTTCCTCCTCCTCCTCCTGGTCCTCTTCAACGGCGTGACCCAGAGCCTCCATGCGCAGCCGTCGGTCTTCCTCATCCTGGTCTGCGTATTTCTTCTTCATCTTTTTCATCTTGCCCTTCTTACCGCGTACGCTTTTCTTCTGCTGCGGTGCCGAAGCAGGGCCCTTGTCCTTGTCTTTTCCCTTAGCTCGCTTCTGCTGCGCGGGATGCTGCTCGTCTATTGAGTCGTCGCGCGATGGCAGCTTGCTCTTCTTCAAGTCACGACGCTCCTTAGCAGACAACCGCTTCTTACCCTCGCGTTGCGGCTGCTGTGCAGGCGTCTCCTCTTCTGCATCGTTCTCCTCCTCTTCTTCTTCCTCCTGCTCGTTCTCATGGCCTGCAAACACAACCTTTTTGGTAACCTTCTGCTGTGCTGAGGTGTTCGCAGCATCCACAGGTTCGACCGCAGCTGCTGGTTCCTGCTCGTCTGGCTGTGTTTCTTCTACAGCCGGCGCACTTTGATCCGCGTCCTCCTCATCCTGTTCCTCTTCGTGGTCGTCTTCTGCTGCGCGCTGTGTTCTTCCCTCACCTTGCCGCGCGTGATTGCTAATTGAGCTCTCGTCAATACGGAAGAGAACCGCCAGTCCCATCTCAAGTCGTGATGGCTGGATGTAGTTCTTCTTGCCGCGAATCATAAAACTACCCGTAGTAAGGTACTCGCCTGCAGGGGCCGTCTTGGAAACTTGGTCTGCGTGCACCCAGTATGCGCCAGCAATCACCTGGCTAGTCCATGCGTTACTGCGGCACACGCTCATGCATCCTGCCTGCTCCAGCGTAGCCACCGGAATGGGAGGAAGCTCCTGTGTCTTCTTGTCCTTCACAGTAGCGTGATTTCGGACGATACACGTAGCAGCACCGTGAAGATCAGCGTGGACATACACATCACCCTTGCGCAGGTAGCGCTTCACCAGCAGCTCGTTCTGGTGAGCATCTTTACCAGCCACGACCAAATACTTTTCGTTGGTGAGGAACCAGTGGAACTTCTCGAACCAAAGCGTTTTGCGTCGCTGGTAGATCACGTTGCGCTTGGTTTGCTGCTTCTCCAACGTCTTCTTGGTGTTCTTCTCCGCCAGTGCAATGGCCTTGTCGGTAGCCTCCGTGGCTTTCTTCACCTTTTCACCGGCCTTCTTCTTCTTCGTGTAGATTTCACGTGCATTGGCCAGAGCTGACAACGACAAATCAATCCAGATAACATGCGCTTGCTTGTCTTCCTCGCCAGTGCCATCTCCGCCGTCTTCACCTTCGTCGTCATCCTCCTCATCACACAGCAGAATAGCCACGCGATTGTGCTCCAGATCGAGCTTGTGGATGAGGCTCGCCACAGGGTTCCCGTTCTTTTGCTCGTAGCGCACAAGCTCCTCCAGACCACGCCAGTCCATGCCGCTAGCCAAAGCGCTACGAATCACAAGAAGCACATTCTCCACATCTTGCTGGTTAGCTTCAATCAGCTGGGCGTGCTGGAAGCTCTGCTCCTGGACCTCACGCAGTTGGGCGAGCTGCTGCTGCTGGTTCTTCTTCAGCTTCGCGAGCTTGTTCTCGGCCGCAAGCTGCGCGCTCTGCTTCGCCACCTCAGCAGTGTCGGCCTCGAAACGCGAAAAGTATTCATCCACAGCCTCGTCAAACGTGTCGAAGCTCTTGACCTTCTTGTGAGCCTGCTGGTGCTGCGCATACAAGAACGGCGTGAACTCCTCGAACTGCTCGGGAGCGTTCTCGTCCGCTGAATCCTTCAGAATAATGAAACCACACTTCTGCGACGAAGCGCTCGAGGGCGCCTTGGCGACAGGAGCAGCCTCTTCTTCATCGCTATCCCCCGCATCGACAGTATCATCGTTCTGCACGGGCACGGGGCCGTTCACCGAGGTCTGTTCGTCCTGCAGTCTCTCCAGCAGCTTCCATCCTTCCTGGATCTCAGCCAGCAGCGCTGCCAGCTTGTCGTCGCCCAGAGCCGAGAACTCCGCCGCGTTCTTGAGCTTGAGCGTGGGGGAGATGCCCGCGCGCACCAGACAGTGCTCGATGATGACGGGGCCGAGACCACCGAACGTCGACTCCTTGACGAGCAGCAGCTGCTTGATGGTCTGCGCCTTCTTCTTCTTCTGCGTCTTGCCGGGCAGCGCCACGGCCGCCTTGGCCTCCTGCTCCACGAACCACTTGTCCACGAAGGCCGCGAGCTGCGCGGGCGTCTGGATGGCGCGCTGCTTCTCCTGATCGCCCAGCAGCTGCACCGGGTAGACCTGCTTGACCGCCATCTTGACGTTCTCGTCGAAGCGGTGCGTGCGCAGCAGCGACAGGATGCGGTAGTCCCCGTCCGTGAGGACGATGTTGCCCGAGGCGTAGAGCTCCAGGATGAGGTGGCACTGCAGCGCGTCCTGGCCGAACGTGAAGTCCACGACGCGGTCGCCCTCGAGCTGCCGCAGCCCCGAGAGCCGCTTGCCGCGCAGGTGCTTGCGCAGCTTCATGGTGAATTGGCTGGGCAGCGCGCTGCCGGCCTTGGCGTCGCGCGCGTACTTGCTCGTGTGGAAGCGCACGCCCGACTCGAGCAGCAAAAAGACCTTGGGGAAGGGCGGCTGGTGCAGCTTGAGGATGTACGTCTTGGCCGCGCCGCTCTCGCCCTGGCCCTGGACGTCGTAGATGTTGGTCACGCGCATGTTCTGCACGTTGGCGCGGATGCTGCCCACCATCGCGCGGATGTCGTCGATGGACATGCGCGTCTTCTTCATGGCGGCGCGCGGGTCTCTCTGGCTCAAGTGCGTGGCTTCGCGTTCGACTGGAGTGAACGAGGTGAGATCCTCGGAGTGGTACCAGAAGATTGGTACAGTTGTGTTCGTTACACCAAATGCCTTCAAGATCGAACGTGTTGAACGCGTCCAGCAACCCGAATGCCGACCGACTGCAGGTAAAGCTCGATTGAAGCTGCATCATGACACTGCTGATACACCCAGATTGCTACATGTACAGCACAATAGAATGCACGATGGAGAACGCTTTGAACAGAGCAGCGTGTCAAGTTGAAATTCAGCCGCTCATCGAGCCACGTACTGTAGCATTTGCTCCACAGCATACCCACCGACCGAGTGCGTGCGTACCTTACTTGTCATCCGCATGGATGAATTCGCGACTCGCAAAACCGTCGACGAGTTAGCGGCGCGTTCCTTGTCGATTTCCGTGGGGCAACCGATGAATCAGGACTCGCAGGATAGGCCAGTCCGGCACAAACTATCCTTATATCATCAGTCAAGAGAAAAGCACACGTACTAGTATTAGCCACGAGTATGCAAGCATTCGCTGCGATGGTCGCAACTTGCGGCCGCTGATGTGGCTGCCACGCTGAAGAAGCCCTTTGAAGCATGAACCGCGTCAGCATCCCGAGGTAGCGAGGAGCGCCAGGTGATATGCCATGGGTACAGAGGCAGCAGCCACTGGCTCAGCTGATCTCGAAGTCCGATACTCGAACACGAGCAAGCAACGGCGGCAAGATCCCAGCGAGCCGGCAACACGCTCCCCGCTCCGGTGTGTTCAGCGGATTCGGAACCCAAGCGGGCAGCGCATCCCCGCTCGGATTCGCGTGTTGAACGCAGCCGGGCCAAAACACGCTTCCATCCGGTTTCTATATTATTTAGAAATGTTTCTTAAGAAATCAACTGCAACAACACGCATGCACATCAGCTGGCAACAACGCTCTCTCGAGCAGGCATTCGCTGCCATGGGCTATCGTACTGACAAATAACGCCTGCCGCGAGTACTGGCGACAGACGGCTTGCTCTAAACATGTGCAAGCTTGCGCATGGCCGCTTACAGAACAGCGGCCGAATTGATGAATTCTATCTCGTTTGAAGCTGCTGAGACCGTGCTGCCATTGCGCGTCAACTGCAACCAGCTTCAGATGACGAGCTTTACCTAACGTAACGACAAACCTACAGTACGCTTGAATCGGCTGGCCAGCAGCGCTCGGCGTTTTCTCGTCGGTCGTAGCGCGAAGCCACTTGGCTCAGAATGAAGGCTGCTGGCAGTACGATGCGTGTTGGCCAGCCCGATCCGCGCGTGAATCCTTCTGCTCTCGCGGGGTAGAATTTCTGTGCGCGAACTCGTGTTCGTCCGGCGCTGTGCCCCGCTGAGACTGCGCCGGCCACCACCCATCGCTGAACGCGAATGCGGGGTTTCCCAACGACGACTCGTCGTCGATGAGGCCGGCGAGGCCTCGCTCAGCTTCTCGTGCACCGTCCTCTGTGCGGCGCACTCTCTCTGCATTTGCGCGTGTCGCGCTTGCTGGCATCCCATCGAATTCAAACAGTGCAGCACCATCTCGGGTTCAGCCTTCTAGTATCTAGGTATGTACAGTAGAAGGCGGTCAAGCGCTTCAATTGAGGGCCTCAACTCCTTCGTTACCTCACTGTCGTGGCCAGCATAACGCACGAAGCTGTCGCTTTCAGCGATACGTCTTCCGGTCGCCTTCACTTTTCTTTCCGGGAGGCCCGACAAAGCGAGATTTGCCGAAAGTTTTCTCGGCAAACGGGAGCTTCGGCGTGTCTGCCGACGCTGGCCGGCCCCGAGTCGCGCTTGATGTGTGGTTTCACACGTGGAATCCAGGTGCTCCGGCTTTCTGCCAGCAGGAAGAGCAGCCTCGCCAAAGTCTCATCTCTTCCTTCATCTCGACACTCCCGAGCCAAACTTTCAAAACTTTGGCGTGTTTTGGTTGGCCCGGCGTGTCGACTCATCAGCTCATCGCGCGCGGCTCGCAGCGCGACGAACACGGCTTTGCCTGCTGCGGGGAGTTAGGGTTTTCTCACGGCTGGACCTCCCGCAGCAGCCGGCCCTCTTCCTGCATCGCGTGTCATGGTGCCGCCAAGTTTTGCATTCATTTCTGAATTCACCGTCAAGTGGTCAAGTCGTTCAAAGTGCATAGTCAACCAAAGTTAACCGTCCAATATGCCAGGTGCTTCTCCTCGTCACTCGCACTTCTCGGTGTCCATGACCCCGCGGCAGCCCGAGGTGCTGCTGCCGGGCGGCCACGAGCTGGCCGCGTGGGAAAAGTGCCTCGAAGTCTCGCGCGTGGTCGTCTACTTCCTGGGCTCGCTGCTCTTCCTGCTGGGCTCCATCTACTTCTACCCGGAGTACTCGGTCATGTGGGACGGCAAGGCCGGCATCTTCGGTAGCTGGGCCTTCGTGGTCGGCTGCATCATGTTCTTCACGGGCGCCAACCTCGACTTCATCCAGACCATCCGCTACAACCACGGCACGCAGCTGCGTCAGGTGCTGCGCGCCTTCAACGCGCTGGCCAACTACATGGCCACGTCCATCTTCCTTCTCGGTGCGCTCTACTTCCTGCCCTCGTGGTACCCCAAGTCGCCCGAGCTCGGCTGCTGGGCCTTTATCGTCGGCTGCGTCCTCTTCTGCCTCGCCGCCATCGTCGAGATCCTCTTCATCTGCGTGACCCACGAGGATCCGCGCGTCACCGGCTTCAAGATCAAGAACGTCGCGTGCTGGGGCACCGTCGCCGCGCTCGGCACGTTCATCGGCGCGCTCTTCTTCATCCTCGGCAGCTGGTACTACCTTCCCCGGTACATCAACCGCGTGGACGATGGCACGCACTACATGAACAAGGCCATCACGTTCTACGTCGTGGGCAGCGTGTTCTTCATCATCAACAGCTTCGCGCTGGCCCCCGACGTGTACCGCGCCATCAACGTCAGCGCGCGGAAACACAACGACTTGGACGCCAAGGTATAAGTTATAATATAATGTGCAAAGCGCGCCACTGTGCCGCAATGTGATCTCTGTCCACCACGCCTTACACGGTACTTGTATGCATATATCTTACCCCCTCCTCGATTTTGAGACCATCCATCTCTATTTTGGTCTGAGGTCTGTCAGCGGTGACTAGAGGCTCACGAACAGTTTCGTGACCACTTCAAGCGGCGGGATGGCCACCCGGGCGACAAATTGTCGCCGACAATTCATGTACGTATCCTCGTGCTTTGACGCCACGGGACGATCGCCCATGGACACCTCCCGCTGCAGGAAGCGCTGATCTTGGCTTGACTCGAACCATGGTTTTCACATGTGACGGCGGTTGATAATACATGTATAAGAGTACGAACATGCGCAGGCAATCGATTCTCCGAGAAATGTTCGTCAGTAAGCAGCTAGCTACAGTCATGCGGTGCAGAAACGCTTTACGGCGTCCAATGTGGAGTCCTACCTCAAGGTGGTACTCGAAGACCGAGTCGTCTGCAAGTGCTGGTTTAACGAGGCTCGCATCCACGTGCAGCTCAAGCAAACAGTCGATAGTGACTCGCGTTGGCAATGCACCTCCGACGTCGTCCAACTCGTTTTTCGCATTGTATAGTCCCAACGGGACGACGGGTTCCAACTCGCAACTGGCATGTTCAGTACTCTGGTAATGCCGACAAACGTTTCATCGGTGATGCGAACAGAAGTCTGCAGGCGATCTTCATCTCAAGGGAAGGGGAAGTTAGCTCCACCATGATGCTCGGTACTCGCCCCAAAATCCTCGAAGCGTGGCTAGCTTCTGGTGAAAGGCCGTGCGAGTCTGCTCAAGCAAGCATAACCCGCTCGACCATGTACTTTCAATACCAGCCTACCTTTCGCCTTGCGGCCAGCGCGCCAATGACAGCTTGTACGCAGAGCGGCATGTTCTAGTAAGCAGGTTGAAGCGGTTATGTTGCATTTCAACCTTTATGTTGCGCAACTTCGTCCAATTTATGTTGCCCATTCCATGGCGGCTCCGTAGCCAACAGTCAGTCGTCAAGAAGGCGGGCACCAGCAGCGCCGACGTCAGTCAATCTCGGACGGAGAAGCAACCTTGTTGACCATGACCGAACGCAAGCGCACGGTGGACCTGGGCGACCTGGCCGGCAAGAAGAAGAAGCGCAAGAGCAGGTTCTCGGACGCGCCTCCCGCGCTCTCGACCGATGGCGGCGTGAACCCGCTGACGGGCGCGCCCTTCTCGGCCCGCTACCAGACGCTGCTGGCCGCGCGCCAGAAGCTGCCGGTGCACCAGTTCCTGGAGCAGATCCAGAGCGCCGTCAAGGCGCACCAGGTCATCGTCGTGGAGGGCGAGACGGGCAGTGGCAAGACCACGCAGATCCCGCAGTTCCTCACGCTGCTGCACGCCGACAGCGACAAGATGGTGGCGTGTACGCAGCCGCGCCGAGTGGCCGCCATGAGCATCGCCAAGCGCGTGGCCGAGGAGATGGACGTGCAGCTCGGCCAGGAGGTGGGTTACACCATCCGATTCGAGGACGTGACGAGCCAGAAGACCAAGCTGCGCTTCCTCACGGACGGTATGCTGCTGCAGCACGCCATGAGCGACCCGCTGCTGTCCAACTACTCGACCATCCTGCTGGATGAGGCCCACGAGCGCACGCTGAGCACCGACATCCTGTTCGGTCTGCTGAAGGAGGTGCTGCCCAAGCGCCCGGACCTCAAGGTCGTGGTCATGAGTGCCACGCTGGACGCCGTCAAGTTCCAGAACTACTTCGAGGGCGCGCCGCTCATTGCCATTCCCGGACGCACCTTCCCCGTCGAGATTTTCTACACACCCGAGCCCGAGCGCGACTACCTGGAGGCGGCTGTGCGTACTGCAGTGCAGATCCACATCTGCGAGGAGGAAGGCGACGTGCTGCTCTTCCTTACAGGTCAGGAGGAGATTGAGAACGCGTGCCGTCAGATCCGCGCCGAAGCTGATGCGCTGGACTCGTCCAAGTACGGCCCGCTCGACGTGTACCCGCTGTACTCGTCTCTCACGCCGCAGCAACAGCAGCTTATTTTCAAGGACGCCCCCAAGCCGCGCTACCCGGGTGGCCCCAAGGGCCGTAAGATTGTGGTGTCTACCAACGTGGCAGAAACTTCGCTGACCATTGACGGCATCGTGTACGTGATCGACCCGGGCTTCTCCAAGCAGAAGGTGTACAACCCTCGTATTCGTGTGGAGTCGCTGCTGGTGTCGCCCATTTCTCGCGCCTCGGCCAAGCAGCGTTCAGGTCGTGCCGGTCGTACGCGCCCGGGTAAGTGCTTCCGCCTCTACACCGAGCAGTCGTTCATGCGTGACCTGGAGGAGCAGACGTACCCGGAGATTCTGTGCTCGGAGATGAGCGGAGTCGTGCTTACGCTGAAGCAGCTCGGCATTGACGATCTGGTGCACTTCGACTTCATGGACCCGCCTGCCCCCGAGACGCTGATGCGTGCTCTGGAGATGCTGAACTACCTCGGTGCCCTGGATGACGAGGGCGACCTCACGGACCTTGGTCGTCAGATGGCCATGCTGCCTGTGCTCCCGCAGCTCGCCAAGATGCTCATCTCGTCGGCCATGTACCAGGTGCCGCAGGAAGTGGCCACTATAGTGGCCATGCTCTCTGTCCAGGAGCCCTTCGTTCGTCCCAAGAACGACGCCAAGGCCGCCAACGAGGCCAAGGCAAACTTCGCCCACGTCGACGGCGACCACCTCACGCTGCTGAATGTGTTCCACGCATACAAGCTCAACAACGGCGACATCAACTGGTGTTACGAGAACTACCTGAACCACCGCTCGCTGCAGAGTGCGTCGAATGTGCGCGACCAGCTCGTCCGCAACATGAAGCGTCTGGAGATACCGACGCAGTCGTCGCTCGACATCCACTCGCCTCAGTACTACCCGAACATCATCAAGGCGCTGGTGTCTGGATTCTTCATGCAGGTGGCACACAAGGCCGTCGGTGGCCACTACGTGACGGTGAAGGACAACCAGGTCGTGCACCTGCACCCTTCGTGCGTGCTGGACAACAAGCCAGACTGGGTTGTCTACAACGAGTTTGTGCTCACGAGCCGCAACTACATTCGTCTGAACACGCGCATCATGGGCGACTGGCTCGTGGACATTGCGCCGCACTACTTCGACTTGGCCAACTTCCCGCCGGGCGACGCCAAGCGCGAGCTCGAGACGCTCTACCGCCGCATGCATGCGCGTAACAACTCGAAAAAGCTTAGATAATTGCATTATGCGATAGATGAACCGGTTTCCCGTATGTACCATTGCAGTTTGTGTGGTTTCTATTGGCGTGCGTTTATTCATCCACGACACTACTGCTAGCTGCTTCTATCTACTCGGTCGTGGCGTGCGGATCTTGTGTTTCTGCAACTTCTTGGTGCCACGGCCGTATCCGCCGCGCTTGTGACTGGGAGGGCCTCGGCGTGGCTGCTTCTCCTTTCTGCTATCTGTCGTTGCTGTCTGCTGGGATCCTGCTGCTGATGTTGACATTGCTCCATCCTCACGCAGCTCCTTGATGGTGCTGTTGCTGCGCTTGGAGTTCTCGATGCTCATGGCTAGTGCCAGATCGTGCTTGGTCACAAGGCTGGTGACAAGCCCCTGCTCACCAGCTCTGCCCGTACGGCCAGCGCGATGCACGTAGTCGACAGCGGACTTCGGGAAGTCGAACATCACGACGTGCTTGACAGTGTCGATGTCCAGCCCACGAGCGGCCAGGTCCGTACACACGAGGATGTTGACATGGGGGTCTTCGGTGAACGCGTGGATGGCCTCGTGACGTCTCGCCGGCGGCATGTCGCCGTGCAGACACACTGCGTCCTGGAAGCCGTGCTCGCGCAGCATGTGCTCCGTCGAGCGCACACTGGCCGAGTTGCGACAGAAGACCATCGTCTTCGCCGCGCGCCGCTTGTGCAGGTGCAGTGCCTCGCGCAGCGCCGAGTGCTTGGACTCCGGGACCACGCGCACGAACTCCTCCCTGATAGTCGTCGGCGTCTTGTGGATTTTGTCGTCGCTTACCACACGCAGTTCCCCGAACTTCTTCTTCAGCACCTGGTCGATCGGCGATCGGATCGTCGCCGCCGCCAAGACCATCTGCAGTGGCTGGTTCCTCTTGGCCGCACTCGCCTGAATCGGCCCGAGCACCGCATCTAGCTCTTTCCTGAAGCCCATCTTGGCGTCGAACAGCGTGTCCGCCTCGTCCACCACCACCGTGTCGATGCGGGAGACGAAGAAGTCTCCCTTGCTGATGCACTTGGCCACGCGGCCAGGAGTTCCGATGATCAGATCCAGTCGACGGGCCGTGTTCCGCTGCTGAATGCTCTTGCGCTCTCCACTCGTGATAGTGCAGGACGCGAACTTGGCCGAGTGCGACAGCTGCTTGGCCACGGAGGCCACTTGCAGCGCCAGCTCTCGACTGGGCAGCAGCACCAGCGCCCTGGGGCGGCCCAGCACGACCTCGGCCGGGCCGGTCAGGCCCTTGGCCTCGTGCTCCTTTTGCATGGCCGCCTCCTTGCGCAGCAGCTGCTCCACCACCGGCACCAGGTAGGCCAGCGTCTTGCCGGTTCCTGTCTGGGCCGCGCACAGCACGTCGTGGCGCTCTAGGATGGCCGGGATGCTCTTGCTCTGGATGCCGGTGGGCGTCGTGATCTTCATCTCCCTGAGGCCCGCCACGATGCGCGCGTCCACGCCCAAGTCCTGGAAGCTCTGCGCAGCGAAGAAGCGCCGTGGGCCAGCCAGGGCCAGCGCTGGCCGCACCGCGCGCCCACGGGCCGCATGCCGGAGGAGCGACGTCGACGCGAGCCGCATGCTCAACGGTATCAATTGTATCGGAGCTTGTGGTGGATATGGGACTCCCATATATTTCGACTTGAACAAAGTATACTTAACCGCTCCCAATACTGGCCGCTTGGCCGTTCTCGAAGAGTCTCTAACCCAGCAAGTGGATGCGTCCCGCCGCGGGATTCCCGCGGGACTCATACAAACATCAAGTCATGGGCCCGCGTGTCAAATTGGCCACTTTCTTGAAGTTGCCCTTTCGACTAACCATTTTGACTCACAAACTTGGTCTGCAGCTTCTGAGGCTGGCTTGACGTTGACGCCAGCGGAGAGTCAACAAGACTCTGCTAGCTTGGCGCTGCTGTACAGTATCGTCCGGGGGCGACTGACTTCCGGACTTGAATTGAGGGCGCACGACAGCTTTGGAGGATCTTCTGTCGCTCGGTCGCTGCCTCCATGGTTTCGATGGACGTTGCGAGCTGCGAGCAGTCGATTAACACGTTGAATGACCTGGAAAATTGCGAGTCATGACGACCGAACGGAAGCCTCTATAGGCACAACAGGATCGCTGGATTTGCTCCACTGTTATCGCTCCACGCGGCGGATGCACGACAAGGAGGCAGGCCAAGCATGGAGTAACCGCGAGTGCGTGTTCCCAACAATCATGCGAGTGCAGCAAAACTCCTTCGCAAAGCGACGTACAGCACACGTACGTAGCCGAAAGGCAGCACGATCTTGGCACTGCTTTGTCTACACCTGATCTCACCACTCGCAGTCCATAGCGTAATGCTCGTCACGTCAACTGGCATTGTTCTCGGACGCATTGCTGCTGGTATAGTACTGACTGCAGCCTACTGCCGACGGACTGTACTGCAGCTTTGACGATGACGGCGGCGGCGAAGCTCAACATCGTCCATCCCGTCATCCCGTCGCGCTTCCGAGGAGGGACCGAGCCAAAGCACTGCTTTAAGCAGCGAGCGAACTCACGCTGCTTGGACAGGCTCAGGGCCTGTTCACGACGTGACGGCACCAAAGTACGTCAGACGCGGGCGGGCTTGTACATGCTGGGCAGCAAGCAACGTCGGACCGCAGCACAAAAACTTGCATACATGTACATACATGCATGGCTTTCTTCTTGGACGCAGGCGACCAGCAGCAATGCGCCAGTACACCTACATGCCATCCGATTCCACATGAGGCTATCGGCGCCGCACCGCAATGGCCCTCCTCGTGAGTAACGCAACTTCAGCTTTGTGGCCAGGAAGCCGGACTCGAATGATTGCCACGTCGTGGTCCGCTCTGTGGTCCACACCACCACATACAAAAATCAAGTCAACGATGCGGCCTCGCCTCTCATTATCGCCTCGACACACGATCGACAAGAGCCCCAAGCTTCGACCGCGCGACCGACGCCTCGCTCGCTCGCCCCGGAGCTCTCCCGTCCGCCGCCGCCCTCTTGCCCGCCCGCCCGCGCCGCGCGAGCATTTCCCCTCTCTACTCGACACCGTCGAGTCCCTAAATACCAGGCAGCCGCGATGTACTCGTCGTACTGGAAGCCCCACGACGGGCGCGAGTCCAACGTGCTGACGGACCACGAGGCCCTGCACCGCGATGAGGCCACGCACAAGGGCCTGCAGTCCGACGAGGCGGAGCTGCGGCCGCTGGACCTGGAGACCATCATGAGCTCCAAGGCCGCCGTCAAGTTCTGGTACCTGCACCGCCCCAAGACCATGGCCTACGTGCACAAGAACGCCACCAAGATCCAGAGTCTGGGCCGCGCCTACGCCGTGCGCAGGCTCAAGGAGCGTTATGGAGCTGAGTATGTGGCCGAGCTGGCCCGCCAGGACCAGGCCCGGCGCGACGCTGACGCGCTCAAGGACCTCACGCCCGAGGAGCGCGCGGCCAAGGAGCTGAATGACGCCGCCTACGACGCGCGCGTGGAGGAGTCCAGGCGCCTGCGCCGCGAGCAGATCGAGCGCGAGCGCCGCGCCGAGGAGGAGCTGCGCATGAAGCAGGCGGCCGAGGCCTCGGAGCGCCGCCGCATTGAGGAGGAGCGCAAGGCTGCGGAGCTCGCGGCCAAGCTCGAGGCCGAGCGCCTCGCCGAGGAGGAGCGCGAGCGCAGGCAGAAGGAGGCCGAGGAGGAGCGTCGTCGCCAGGAGGAGGAGGCTGCGCGTCTGGAGGAGCTCCGTCTCATTGAGGAGGAGGAGCGCCGCATTGCCGAGGAGGCCGATGCCAAGCGCAAGGCGGAGGAGGAGCGTCTTGCCGCGGAGGAGGCCGCGCGTCTCGCTGAAGAGGAGGTCATTCGCGCCGAAGAGGAGCGTATCCGCAAAGAGGAGGAGGAGCGCTTCGCTGCTGAAGAAGCTGCGCGTCTTGCCGAGGAGGAGCGTCTCGCGGAGGAGAGGCGTCTGCGTGAAGAGGAGGAGGAGCGTCTGCGTCTCGAAGAAGAGGAGCGTCTTGCCGAAGAGGAGCGCATTCGCAGAGAGGAGGAGGAAGTTGCCTTCATGGCTGCCCAGGCCCGTGAGGACGAGGAGCGTGCTGCACGCGAGGCCGAGGAGGCCCGTCTTCGCGAGGAAGAGGAGCGTCGCGCCCAGGCGGAGCGTGAGGAGCGCGAGCGCATGCTCGCTGAGGCGGCCCTGGCTGCGCAGCGTGCTGAAGAAGAGGCCGAGCGCATTCGCCAGGAGCGCATCCAGCAGGAGAAGAACGAGAAGTACGAGCAGTCTCTGTCCAAGGACGTTCCCGTGCTTGTGCGTCAGCGTGGCCCGGGCCGCGTCGTCAGCTACGACAAGGAGCGCGAGACTTACTCCGTCCAGATGGAAAACTCCATCGGCGGTATGCAGATCACCGTTCCCAGCGAGGATGTCAACCTTGACGACGACCGTATCCTGTCGCCGCGCACCAAGGTGGACACCCCGTTCGGCACGGGCGAGGTCGTGGGTCTTGACCCCCACGTCGGATGCTACGCCATTAACACGGAGGTGAACGCCCCGAACGACGACCAGTTCCTTGCGTTCGTGCAGATTAAGGATGTCGCCATTTACGTGGAGGAAGAGGAGGAGCGCGCCATCGTCGAGGATGCGTCACTGCCAAGTACGTTACCGATCTGTTCGTTGAAGATTGTGAGGGTTCGTCACTAATGACGAACTTGTCCGTTTATGTGTTTACAGTTCCCGACGAGATCGGTCTTGTGTCAGCCCGCATCGTCGACAGCCGCATTGTGAACCGCACGGGCAAGAAGTTCATCCAGTACAAGCTGGAGATCCGTACCAACAACTACGGCACGGTGTACTGCTGGAAGCGTTACAGCACCTTCCGGTACGTGGTTGCGGATCTTAAGCTGCTGAATGTGTTGAATGGGGTGCTAACGTTGTTGCATCTGCTGTTGTTTCTGCAGTTCGCTGTGTGACCGTCTCATGAAGGAAAACGGCATGAAGCGCCAGGACATTCCCGAGCTCCCGCACCGTCACCTGTTGGGCAACTTCTCGCAGAAGACGATCGGTGAGCGTGCTGAGAAGCTGAACCTGTTCCTGAACGCCGCCGTGAAGGCCGAGCACCTGCAGTGGGGTATCCGCGTCGACGACCAGATCGCCGTCTACAAGCGTCGCAACAAGCGCGCCACGCAACCCAGCAGCCAGCCCGGTAGCCGCGGCAGCCGCAGCATCTTCTCGCGTCGACGGTAATTGTAGTTAAATCTCCCGTCGCAGCGCAGCCACGGGAATTGTTTAGTCCAGTCAAGTTATCTGCGTGCAGATGCAGAACTGAGCCAGCATGCTCTCAGTAGGAGAGAGCGGCAGAACGAGGGTTGCAAGAGCTACAGTAGACAGTTTGGTAGTCCGTTCGCCTTCACATGCGACCTCAGCTCGATCGAAGAGCGGAGGTGGAGACGGCTACTACTGGAAAAATTGGATTTTTATCTTACCAATGCATTTGTTTGCTGTCTCTATCATCTATTTACGGTGGAGCGACTTCGTTGTGTAGTTGCAGCTCGTGTATGCAGTCAAGGTGGTCAAGGATTTCGCTAGCACGGTAATGGCTTTGTGGTTATTATATAGCTAAGCTTCAAAGTTCATTTTTTCTGGTGTTGTGTGCTGTACTCAAAGCCTAAAGCTCGAGTTGTGCGTTGTGAGTGAGTACCTTGATGCGTATCTGAGGATCATATCGTCTATTGAGATTTATACTGCTGGGCAGCAGAAAACCAGGACACCTCCGCAGAGCCGCCGAATTCCGGACAAACTCAGCTTGTGGTGGTGGCAGACACTTGATGGGGCCTTGCTGGAGGATTAAAGAAACCAGGGTTCCTTGACCTAGATAGATGGGTTGGAACAGAAAGAAGCTGCGGGCAGAAGACAAGGTATCGGCTGCTGAAGCGAAAATCGCCTGGAATCGCTACCTATACTTGGCGCTTGTGAGCCAGCTTGGTGACTCACGTCTCGGTGAAGAGGCCCTTGATTGGCAATACAACGCAGTACACACCACCAACCAGTAGTTGCACTTCGCCCGCAGAAGTTGTTTTGGAGACCGTGTTATCCGTCCACGTGATGGGGGCAGCATGCGGGATCGATCCCGGGTACCGCTCATCAAAGTGTGTCGAACGGAGCTTGACCTCGACAGCGCCTGCGATATCGTGACGCGGCACAAGTCACCTGAGAGGCTCAGCGTGAGCACATCATTGACAAAGCTCAGCGCTCGAATGGTCGGAAAGGAAATTGGCAGGACCGGTGGCAATGGCATTGTGCATGCATTGCGTTCCTGGTATGCTTTAGGCCGCACTAGGGTCCCTCCCTGCCCTACGAGGACCGCCCTGAGCCAGTGGATGATCGACCACCAGTGGATGACCGACCACGTCAGTGGTCGGTCTTGGTTGGAGTGGGCGGCGCCATAGAACCTACACCTGTTTACTGCTGCTTTCCTCGGTCGGGAGTGAATTATAGGTTTTTCTTACATGTAGATGAACATAGAAGCCCCTTCCGCGCTCTAGGTCCCAGCAGCCGAAGATCCTAGATCGGAAGATTCCGCGAACCGTTTCTGACGTGGCGGGCACTTCAACTAGCCCGAGCGGACGGCGATCGACTGGCTGGCGGCAGCAGCTCGCCGCTACCTTGCCATGTAGCGCTTTTGGCCGTGCTGTTAGCACTGATGGCCCCGCCCACAGCCGTGTCGGTGTTCGCAGCGGCGGTGACGGCATTTTTAGCGTGGAGGTAGGCCGGACTCGTCTACGGAGCGCCAAGTTGGCGCCGCCAATGCACCTGATCCCTGGAGGCTAACGCCCCTCGCTCGACAATGCGCCCCCGCCGCCGGATTAGGTGACGGCCACCGCGCGGCCAACAGAGTGCCCGTAGTATGACGGCGCACCGGCGATTAAAGTCTTCACCTCCAATGCGAGATTCGCAGGAAGTCGATTGCAAATGCACGTCCGACAATCCCCGCTTAGCATGCGAGAAGGACGGCAGTCTCCACGCCACCCAGGCAGTTGCAGCAGCTTGCCGCGAGGTAGGCTTCGCCCTCTACGGAACTCGAGCGCAGCCGATACCGCCGGCATGTAGTACGCTACCTAGATACTGTACCTCGAGCTCTTTTTTCTGATGGATGGTGCTTGGGCTTGGGGCTTGGTCGCTGACGCAGCGCAGATCACCACCTTGAAGAAATCCTCTCCAAGCGCATGAGTTCATGACGAGCGACAAAACGTGCACCCCGTCATCGCGCTCACTAACGTTAATTGCTTGCCGCTGTATGCGCGTCCGTGGCAAAACCTCGTTGTCAGGCGCTGGATATGGCAGCTCCGCGGCGGTTATGCGGTTCGATGGGGCTGTCGCTATCTTTAGAACTGCTTTAACTTTCGATTATCCTGCCGCCGTGTCTATCCCCCGCTGTAAACCGCTTCGAGCAGCTCCTCCCTCATAACGAAACTTGCCAGGAATCAGCCAGGAAGCTTTCGGCCAGCGTCACTCGCTCGTCTATAGAGGCGCCTCCAGCTGCCACTTCGACTCAGGCTCGAGCGGCGCGAAAGATCTTCAAAGCTTCAAGGCCAAGCGCACACCCAAGCCAGCCCGGTCCGCCCTCCCTCTCACTTTGCGATCCTCCGCGCTGAGCTGGGCCACCGCCAAGAGACACACAAGAGCTTGGCTAGCTACGTAGCAGCATGTTCTGGTCGGCGGCGCTGGACCTGAAGACGCAGCGGCCGCCCAGCCGACCGCTGGGCTCCTACGGCTCCTTCAGCCGCTCCGCCAGCAACGGCAGCTTCCACATCCCACAGAGCATCCCGGAGCACCAGCCCGTGTCGCAGTTCACGTCGCCGCTGCCGGACCAGCGCCGCGTCGAGGAGTACTTCGAGCGGCCCGACACGGCCTTCGCGCGCACACGCGCGTCGCTGCAGCTCTCGGAGCGCACGCAGACGGCGCTCAAGCTGCTGCTGCAGGGCGAGCGCAGCGGCGGCGGCCAGCGCCCCAAGCCCACACCGGCCTCGGCCAAGCCCAAGTTCGCCCCGGACATGTACAGTATGAGCAAGATCAGCGGCTACAGCGCGCGCCAGGCGCCCATGAAGAAGCTGCCGGAGCGCACACCGCTGCTCAAGCCGCTCGCGCGCGCCCACGGCCAGGAGGAGCCCAACCCGCAGGAGAACAGCAACGAGCACAACTACTGGATGCAGGAGCTGGAGAGGCGGCGCGCGGGGCTCAGGAGGAGCAGGCGCCGCACGTGCACGCCCATGTCGGAGCGGGCCACCACGTCACCCCTCAAGGTGGGCGTGGTCATGTGCTCGGTGCCGCTGGTGCTGGTGCTGGGCTTCGTGCTCTTCGTGATGCTCTTCGGGGACGGCTCCGACGCTTCCAGCAATGTGATGAGCGCGATGAACAACCTGCTGAGCATCGGCGGGGACCACGACCCGGATTCCATCGCTGTACGACACGACGCGATTGCGGAAGACAGAGGTAGGATCGCTAGGACCTTCGCTCACCCGCCCGAGGAGATACAATTGGAAGCGGAGAGCCCCGTGATGGCGCTGGACGTGTCGTCGGACCGAACCAGGCTGCGCGGCTCGCAGAAGGAGAAGGATGAATGACGAGGAAGTGGCGTGAGTGTGTGACGACTGAATGTACGACAAAGCGAAACAATAGCACAACCAACAAACGAGAGCTAGCAGAGCACCAACCACCTTGGAACGGGCCCGGGTCGAGCGGATCGCCGCGTGCGCTTTCAAGCAGCTGGCCTAGCCACCAGCCAGCAAGACAACGAGCAGCCATCTAACTTCGGACCCTGGCCGACGAGTAAAGCAGGCAAAGTATCCGATAAAACAAGAGTGACATGACAACATGGAAAAGTGCACCACGGCAAATACGCATTTGCTGACCTCACCTCAACCTACACATCTTGATCTACTCAGCAGCTTCCACCTCGGCTTGCTCTCCTCAGTTATGTGGTAAAGAAAAGGTTGAGCAGTCCCTTGAGGTACGCGACGATCTCGCCAGCACCAAGCTTCGACTCGCCGTAGATGCGGTCCACGAACGTGATCGGCACCTCGGCGATGGAGTACTGGCGTTGGCGCGCGCGCACGAGGATCTCCATCTGGAAGACGTAGCCCAGGCCCTGGATCGCGCTCATAATGTTTTCGATGACGTCGCGCTTGTACAGGCGGAAGCTGCCCGTCAGGTCCGTCACGGACGGGTTCAGCAGCACAGTGGCCAGGTAGTTGGCCACCCGACTCGTGAGCTTGCGGCGCAGGTCCCAGCCGTACACCTGCGCAACGTACAGGAAATTACCCGTGAGCATAACCACTTGCGCGTCAGTAAAGCTGAGAAGATCGACGTACGCCGCCGCCGGAGACGTAGCGCGTGCCCGTGACGATATCACAATTTTCCTCCGCCTGCTTTCTGTTTAACATCAACACGTCCGAGCAACGTAAGCCTTCAATGCTCATCACAAGTCAGCTCCAGCTGAATAGACTGACGTACTTGATAAACTCCGGGATGAACTTGGGCTGCATCAGAGTGGAAGCAGCATCAGTCTGTCAGTCAGCAACCTACTCTCCTCTTTCCTGCAACTATCAATTGAGCGCCAACTCACGTGGTGCGACAGGTCTGCGTCCATGAGGAACACGAAGTCGCCCGTCGCGTGCTTGAGGCCGTCGCGGTAGGCGGATCCGAGGCCGAGCTTGCCCTCGCGCGGCAGGATCACGATCTGATCCTTGCCGTAGATCTGCTGCAGGTCGCGCGCCACCTGCAGCGTGCCGTCGGGGCTGTTGTCCTCCACGATCACGATCTCGTAATTGAGCTGGCTGCGGGCAGTCAGAAGAAATCAATTAATCAATTAATTGATTGGATGGCTGCAACAATTCCGCAGTCGACGCAGATACGCACTTCTCGGTGAAGGTCTTGTCCAGCAGCCACACCATCAGCGGCAGGTTCTCGCGCTCATTGTACGTGGGCAGCAGCACCGAGTACTTGTGCTGCGCCGCCATGCTCCTCGATCCCTTGATTGAAAGTGTGTGTAGCGTCCACGCGGCAGCGGTAGTTGGTGTACGTCACGCAATAGTGTGACGATCATTTCAGTGCAGCTGATCGCTTGGGGTCGTTGACTCAAAGATCACCGAGATGAAGCGCAAGCCGTCGTCGCTGCAGCCTGGACCACGGCCGGACAGCAGGGAGCGAAGGTAAACTGCGCCATTTGCAGCTGCAGATTATTTAGCAGCGTGAACTTAAGCTCAAGTGCATTGAGGAACTAATGCTTCGTGCTGCTACAGACGAGTGGTGCGGTTCCGGACGTCGCTGCACAACACGGTGCTGGACGTGATGCAGCGGCAGGGCGGCTGGATCGAGACGGACAGCGATCTGGACTGGGACTTGCACTGGGCCGACGTGGGCTGGATCCGCGAGAACTTGGACGCCTTCACGCCGCTTCAAGATCACCAGGTGAAAGACGGTAAAGATCTTGGTAAGCGTAGGATAGAGCTGGAGACTCACTGCTTCACTGTTGTTGCTTGCAGCGGATCAACCACTTCCAGAACCACTACGAGCTCACGCGCAAAGACCTTCTGGTCAAGAACCTCAAGCGCATCAAGAGGCAGTTGGAGCGCAGGTGAGGCTAAACTGACTTTGTGTCACAAATGTAGCCATGTTGCTCAACTGCTACCTGGTGTTGAAGTGGAGACGCGGAATCCAGACGCGAGGCAGAGCTCTACGACTTCTGGGCAGCGACGTTTGTGCTGCCTCACGAGTACGGTATGTTTCTGGAGGAGTTCAAACGCACTCCAGGGGGCAGGTGGATCATGAAGCCTGTCGGCAAGGCTCAGGGACGCGGTATCTTCCTGTTTGAAAAGCTCAGCGACATCAGCGAGTGGAAGCGGGAGGCCTCGTGGAAGGGTGACGGTGCCATACAAGCCAAGACAGCGGACACGTACATTGTGCAGAAGTACGTCGAGTCGCCGTATCTGCTTGGCGGCAAGAAGTTCGACTTGCGGTTGTACGTGCTGGTGACAAGTTTCTCCCCGTTGAGCTTTTGGATCTACCGAGCAGGGTTCGCACGCTTCTCGCATACGCGCTACTCGCAGAGCAAATGCGACATGGACAACCTATTCATGCACTTGACCAACGCGTCGGTGCAAAAAGGTGCGGACGACTACGACGAGCGGCTTGGCTGCAAGTGGCCTCTGCACAGCCTCAAGATGTTCCTGATAAGTAAACACGGCCAAGAAGCGGTGGATCGGTTGTTCTTCTCCATCCAGTCGCTCATCACGCGCTCGCTCCTAGCAGTCCAGCCGACGATCATACAGGACCGACACTGCTTCGAGCTCTACGGCTACGACGTCCTCATTGACAGCACGCTCAAGCCGTGGCTCATTGAAGTGAACGCCTCGCCATCGCTGACAGGCGATACGGACGCCGACTACTCGCTCAAAGCGAATCTCGTGCAGCACACGCTCGATATCGTGGATCTTGAGCGTCGTAGAGAGGGCAACGAGCTGCACGTCGGTGGCTTTGACCTCATCTGGAGCAATGGCAGCGCCGTACCAAATGCCAAACCGAATGGCTACAGTTCATACCTGGGCTGCACGTTCGAGACCATGGACGCCCCAGAACGAGGCTAAATGGAGTTGCAATGAAGCAATGCTAGTTCATTCGACCCTGTATTACAATTCTTGTGTCCTAGCTCCGCCTGCCAACGCCGCGCTTCGGTTGCATGACGGCGATCGCCACACAGTTGAGCAGCAGCATTTTTCTAGTACTCCCGGCTGGACAGAGCGAGAGTCCTTCAGTATCTTGCCAGTTCCTCGCTCCCTGGCCTTCTTCCCCACACATTGCTTGGGTCTCCGAGCGAGAGGAGAAGAGCAATTTTAATCGCTCACTTTAGTCCTCGTCCTCGTCGTCGTGCAGCGAGGCCCAGGCGTTCTTGGTGGCCACGGCCTTGGTGCTGGGCGCCTTGATGCTCTGCATCTGGGCCTGGGCCGCGTCCGCGCCCAGCGACGGGAAGGCGCGCTCGTTGCCCAGCTGGATGCGGCGGTTCACGCGGTTGCGCTCCTCCTGCTCGGCCCACGTGGAGGCAACGGCCTCCTTCTCGTCCGGGTTCTTGTACTTCTTGGGCTGCTTGGCCCACTGGAAGGCCGCCTTTTCCTGCTCCTGCTCCTCCTTGTTCAGCGACAGGTCCGACAGCTTCTTGCCGGACGCCGTGGCAGCGGGCGCCGCGGCCTTAGGCGCGGGCTTGGGGGGAGCGGCCGCGGCGGCGGCGGCAGCGGCGCGCTCGGCATTCTGCGCGCTGGTCTTGACGATGACGTTGGCGTTGACGGTCGTGGATTTCTTCTTCTTCTTCTTGCCGAACAGGGAGTTGAGCTTCACGTTCGCGTTTGGGTCCGCCATGTCGAGTCGAGTCCGGCCTTGGCTTGTGACAATGGCACACAAGATATCTGTCTGGTGCACTCTGGTTGGCTCGGAAGGGCGCCCATAGTCGGAGCAAGTGGAAAATGTGGTGTACGCCACACGACGGCCAGGCGCTGAGACTTGAGACTTGCGAGTTGAGACCTTGCTTGAGTCGGGCCATGCGGTCGTCAGTGCGGAGGCCTTAACTCAAGGGCCCCCTTCCGCTTGGACTGCATGGGTGCTCCATCGCTCCATCGATCGGTGTCTTGGTGCTGGAAGCTCGTTCTCGACAGTGGATCTTGCACGACGTGGCGCCACAAACTGTTTGATCGAAATGCATCAAAAGCTGGAGACGCGTGACGCGTGGCGGGTGAACACCGAGCGGTTACCACGACTGCGAGCGCTTGGAGCTTGGAATGCCTTGCCTTGCCTTCGGGAATGTTCGACGTTGAAGCGCGCTCATGCAGAGGCAGAAACGGGCTGCTGCAAGTTGCAACCGAAAAAAATCTCGCGCTCGCGATTTGCCTCTCGGCACCAACTGCGCGTGCAGACCCACACACAACATCCCATACGACGGAGCTCCAGAATGCCCTGCACCGCACCGCGCTCGCTTTTTCACCTGCATGACCAAGTAGACATCCATCCTTGCTGGCCCAGCCGTGACGACACCTTGGCGCCGCTCATCGTTCGCCGAACCGCGTGTTGCAGCAGCCCGTCCCCTTAGCCACAATGTTTGTGTGTTGAAGCCGAGCAAAGCCGCGGATTACCATTTAATGGTACTTTCAACCACCAAAACCAGGTCCACTTGACCGCACATTCAGCGCAACGACTGCAACTTGCGGTAATCCGGCCGCGCTCTAATCGAGTCACGACGCTCGAAGCGGCGGACAGATCGCACAGACGCTCACTTCCCAATCTGAGCCCAAGCGCACACTTCCTCTTTGAGCCTTCCTAGCGCGTCCAAATGACGACCACGTCGCCCCTCCCGGCCGCCAAAAGCTGCCTCTCCTGCGGCACCGCCGACGCCAAGAACCGCTGCGGCGGCTGCCGGCGCGTCTACTTCTGCGGCCGCGACTGCCAGCGCCAGAGCTGGCCCAGCCACCGCCCCGAGTGTCTGCAGTCGCAGGCGCAAGCAACAGCGCGCAGCATACCGGCCCCGCCGACGCGCGATCCCTCCAATAGCATACAGTGCGTTGGTATACCCGGCGCTGCTGCTGCGCCCGTGGCCGTGTCGCCGCCCAAGAGCGTGCGCCTCGCCACGGAGCCCGTGCAGGTGGTGGAGATCCCCGCGGAGCCCGCAGCAGCAGCCGACGATGCTCAGGAGCTTGAGCAGCAGCAGCACAAGCCGCAGAAGAAGAGCAAGAAGCACAAGAAGAAGCGCAAAGCGCGCAGCAACAGCATGCACGTGGCCTCCACGAGCGCACCGCTGGCGCAGACGCAGCAGCGCAAGAACCGCTCCGCGTCTCTAGGCGCCAAGAAGCACATCATGTGGGGCGACGTTTCGGCCAGAGAGTTCGCGCGCTTCCCCGGCGGAGGCAGCGCGGTGCCCTACGACGGCACGTGGGCGCTGGGACTGGGCAAGAAGGTGGCCGACGTTCAGCTCGGCAGCGTGCTGGAGGTGGAGCAGCTCAAGGAGCAAGAACTGCAGGCCAGAGCCAAGAAACTGTCCAAGGCCAAGCGACGAGATGTCCGCGTGGGCGAGACGCGCCAGTTCGACTACCGCCGAGGCGTGGACAACCCGCTCTTCTCGAGACTGAGCGAGGACGAACGCAAGCAGGTCTTTACGCTGGAGAAACAGGCCCAGGAGGAGGACGCCATTGAGATCCAGATGTCCACGTCTCCGGAGGTGAAGAAGTCATGGCGGAAGTACTCGACTGGGTCGCCGGCGTCCAGTATCGAGGCTGCGGAGGAGATGGCGGACGCAGCGCTGACCACGCCCGACTTCGGCTGCGTGTCTATTGAGCAGCTCGATGAGTTTGCCAAGATCCGCGACTCGCGCGACGGTGCCTGCGGCTGCTCGTGTGGAGACCTGGTCAAGAAGGTGGCCAAGATGAACGTCAAGAAGCTGCGCGCCTTCCTGCAGGAGCGCAACGTGCCGCTTCCCGGAACGGGGAAGACAGAGTTGATGGCGGCCGCCAAGAAGGTGGCGCGCGAGCAGAAGAACTGCCAGAGCGCCGACTCGGACTGCGAGTGCGTGCGCAACGGAGTCCCATGTCACTCGGACGTTTGCGAAGGCTGCGCTGGCGACTGCTACAACCCCTTCCAGCGCTACGAGTACAAGAGCTCGGAGGTGAAGCAGTACCGCAAGCAGCAACTGGCTAAATGGGCGCAGCTGCAGGGCGAGCTCCAGCAGTCCAACGAAGCAGCCGCGCCAATCCGCGTTGCGTAAGCGGACTATGACAATTGCGCATCCGTCGTGCTGTGCTGTAGTGTCAATTTGATTCATCGTGTATATGACCCCATGTAGCATTGCTGCGTGAGAATGCGAGAAGTGCATCAAGATATGTATAACACCAGAAAAAAATGAACTTTAAAGTGCATCAAGATATGTATCGACAACATGAATCAACTGGTGTGTTGCGATTAATACCGGGCAATCCATATAGCTAGCTATCCGAGCTTACTCATCGTCCGAATCCTCCTCCTCAGATTCCTGCAGCCAGTCAATAAATTCCTGCACGTCCTTCTTGGACGCAGCAGCAAGCGCGTCCGAGGCTTCGTCCTCGTCCGCGTTTGCCTGCTTGGCCTCGTGCCACTCCAGAATGACGTCCTCACTGACCCACTCGAGGTCGTACACAGTCTGCAGCAAAAAGCGGAACAGAGGCAGCCAGATGACCCGACGCTCCTCCGGCTCGGTGCAGTAGCCCTCAAGCGCGTCCACCACAGCCAGCTGGTCCTCCTGCTCCACGAGGCAGCGCTGAATCACGGAGCTCCACTTCTGGAACTTAGTGCGCACGTTGCCCAGAATCGTCATGGCCGACTGTCTGTTGCCCGTCGGGATCAGGTCCAGCAGACCCGGCACGATGGCGCCGATCACCTCTGCGAACGACCGGTTCTGCGCAAACTTGAAGCTCTTGATTTCCATGAACAGGTCGTCTACGTTGTGGCCGGCGGCGTCGCCCGTGCACACGTTCTCGCGGATAATCTGCTGGAACGGCACCTCCACCGCCGTCATGTTGGCCTCGGCCAGGAGGTCGTCCTCGTCCTCATCTTCCTCCTCGGACGAGCTCAGCGTGTCCCATTCCTCCCAGCGGTGCATCTTCTTGGACACCACATCACGCGCTCCGATGAGCGTGCTCTTGAGCTTGTCCAGGCGGCGCGCCTGCTTCTTGGCCTCCGCGTGCTCCTCATCCTCGTCCTCGTCGTCGCTGTCCGAATCCACTTCAATGTCGTCCTCGTCCAGCGTCCAGATGCGTCCGACGCCGCCGACACCCACGTCCTTTGGGTTCCACTGCGCGGGCGCGCCGTTGCTCGCGGTAGGCTCCGCCTTCTCAGCCGACGCCTCGTCATCTTCGTCCGAGAAGAATCCGTCGTCCTCCACCTGCGCAAGGCTCTTCGTCACCTTGGTGTACGGCGGCAGCTTAAATCCCTCACCAATAACCACACCGAAGGACAGCACGCAGCCTTCACCAACCACGGCGCCGCGCTTGATCACCACGTTGTCACACAGAATGGCGTTCGTCACCACCGCGCCGTCCTCCACGACAACGTTAGACCACAAGAAGCTGCCGTCAATAGTCACGTTCTCGCCAATGACGCAGTCCTTGCCGATCGCGCTCTTGCGCACGCGCGTGTGGTCTCCAATGCTCGTGCCGGCGCCCAAGATGCACTCGCGCTGCACGTCGCACGTCCTGGCCAGCGTCACGTTGGCGTCCTTGTACCTCATGCCCCTCAAGTACTCGTAGTGGGTCACCTCCCCAGCTCCCAGGTAGTTGGCATCGGGCACCATGGGGAACACCCAGCGCTGCAGGATGGCCTGGGCCACCCCCGCGTACGTGCGCGGATCCATAACTCTTGCTGCGAACTCGTCCGTGACGATCTTGACGAAGAACTTCTTGCCCAGCTCGTAGTTCTGCACCTCGTTGTGCAGGAAGTCGCGGCGCAGGTCCTGGTAGTCAAAGTCCTCGGCGAACTTGAGCAGCACCTCGGACGAGCACACGTCGATGTAGCAGTCCAGCAGGTCGCTGCGCAGCGCGATCTGCGCGTGGTCCTCCAGGAAGAGCGTGGCCAGGCGCGTGCTGCGCTGCTGCGGGTCGTCCTCGTAGAGCACGAGCTGCGACGTGGCGGCGTCCACGCCCACGACGAGCTCGTCCGCCAGGGGGCGCACCTGCGACGCGCCCGAGTTGGGGCGCAGCTCCTTGAAGATGCTCGTCATGATGCAGTTCGGGTCCGCCTTCTTGCGGCGCTTGTGCTCGTCCACGGCCGCCTGCAGGTCCACGTTGGCCACGGCGTCGCCGCTCATGAGCACGAACGGGTTGCTCTGCACGAGCTGCCGCCGGTCCAGCTCGCGCAGCGCGTCGCCCGCCGTGAGGCAGCTGGGGCTGCTCACGCACGTCACGTCGAGGCGGCGCGCCACCTGCGACTCGTGCTCGATGAAGCGCTCGATGCGCTCGGCGTGGCCCGTGCAGAAGAGCAGCACCTCCTGCACGCCCGAGGCGGCCAGGAACTCGAGCGAGTACTCGAGCATCGGCACGTTGGCCAGCGGCAGCAGCACCTTGGGCAGGTCCAGCGTGATGGGGCGGAACGTCTCCGTGAACGAGTCCGCGAACAGCACCGCCTGCAGCGGCACCTCGCGGCGCGTGTCGTCGCTGGCGTTCGGAGCGGCGCGGCGCGGCATCTTGATGTGACAGAGTCGATGGATGAGTGGTATGCTGTGGAGTGGAGGCGAGCAATAGGTGCAATAATTGGAGGACATAGTGAAATGAGGTGTGGACATTATATGATTTGATAGGCTGATTTCGTACAATCATTCTTTATTGGTGTGTAGAGAATGAGATACTAAACAATTAATTAGTCCTATTACTGTGCCATCACAACAAACTTTAGTAGTACTGAAATTACTAAAATTTCGACAAAACACTACTACTACTACTACTATCCGTTTTCCGTTAGTACTATTAGAGACTAGAAACGCCTTGGTAGTTATTGTAGTTATCACTTCTATTTTCACCACTATATCGCTACTGTACATTCCTCGAGCTCAAGATGCCTGTGGTAAATGGTGCTTGCACTCGCCCATGACCAGGCATTATCCGTAGTAGCCTCGCCACAAAGTAGACAGTCGGTTCAAGGAATGTGTTGAAGCAACCACGTCCTAGCTTAAGGCAAGCTTAACAGTTGACTAGTATGAAATCACCATCTACTACTGAAATAAGCAAGTCGAAGGTATTCACAAACGCTATAGTGAGATCAGCAGCTTTGAGCATAATAGTTATTGTTTGATGGTGCAATACCGTGTAGCCGTTGCTGGGGTCTAGCCTACTAACGCCAACGCTCTGCACAAGGCAAACAACTAAGTACAGCAAGTAGGAATGGATGTTCATGGTTGTTCGGCAGATGCAGCGGTTTGTGACATCGGAGTAGTCACCTCCAAAAACACACGTAGGATTGCTTAGAGCAGCTAGTGCAAACTAAGGAACTGCTCAATACATATCGCTTCTACATTTCATTCGGGAGTGGGAACTGTTTTTCAGGCACGCATTGTTGTGGATCAGGGTCAGCCGCCGACCGATAATCGCACTTAGATCACTGAAAACAGCACATTTACGGCTTCACGCACAGTAGAAAATATGGATGCATACGTTGATCTTGTAGATGGACGAACTCGCACACTGGGGTTGATCGAGCGTGAGGTGGCTGGTGGATGATCCTTAGCTTTTAAACTGGGATAGGAAGCGCCGAAGTGCTGATAGCCCAGCCCAAAACAGGATTAATTCGGGCGCTGTCCCCCCATCTGTACAAACTGGTGATTAACCGGTAGTTTTAAGGCTTAATGTTGACTGACGAGAATGATGGCTGACGAGGCTGGCGACCGATCTCGTTTTTCATTTGAGATTCTTAAATTGAGAATCGCTCGCGCTCCGGGCAGATGCTGCGGCTGCGAAGCAGGCGCAGGAGATGCCCATGGGCCGTACAATATCGAGGTACCTTTTGACAATTTGACCTATATCTTCTCATGCGAGCACAATCGTGCTTAGACTTGCTTTTCAATTCGGTACTGCACAATCGACGAGTAAGCGCACCCGATGAAGTACCGGAGCACCTTAGTAACTGTGATAGCGCTGCTATAGTAGTGCTAGCGATAGTACTAATACTACTACTTCATTACTACTTCTATGCAGACTACTACCAAAGCCGATGCACTTCAAGAAACATCTAATCTTGTCCGAAGCTTTAGCTGTCTGGAGACGTGTACTGCGTGCTGTATTCTTACCTTTTAGCGGCGATGCCGCTGCGAGGCTCCGCGTCGTGTTCAGCGTTCGATGTGTCCACGCGCAAGGTTCCGTCACTAGCGCTGGTGCCGCGCGGGCATCTGAAGCACGCGGCTCGAGCCAAGAAGAAGGTGGCGGGCAGTCTACAGCCCGACCCAAGGGACAATGATCACGTCAAGCAGAGAGAAGAAGAAGCGCGTCGGAATCACCATACATACAACGATGTAGTAGAGAGAAAGCAATCGCTGCCGTCTCTTTCTCCGCCGCGTCCTACGCGCCGTCGGACGCTCAGTGACACGCTCGACGAGGAAGCAGAAGAAGAGAAGGAGAAAGCTGCTGCAGGACGGCAAAAGGACCCGCAGCAGATCAAAGAGGACGAGGAGGAGGAACAGGAAGAAGAAGAAGACGCTTTCGACGCTGACGACGGCCAAGCAGAGCTGCGGCTTGGCGAGCGGTTCTTGAACGTGATGGCGCTCATGGCTCGCCTTTCGACGCAGTCGCTGGGGGAGACCCCTGCCCCATCGTCTCCGAGTCCGAGTCGACTTGCCCGAACCAACACGGAGCGGTCGATCAGCCTCGTCCGGTCCAATACACTCGCGTCCTTTGCTCCTGCTCCTATTGCACCACCGCCGCCGTCTCCTTCACCGCAAATTCCATTGCAATCCCCCGTTAAATCCCCTCAAAAGTCTCCGAAGCACGCGGTGCGTGAGGTGAGCAAGCGCCTGCCGCGAGCGCTGCAAGGTCCGCTCACGTTCGACATCTGCATGCTGCTGCCGACCCCAATAGACGAGCGACAGAGTCCACTGCGGTCTCCGATCCGACGAAAGCGACTGCGGAAGCGTCTGCGCCGACGGAAGCTGCGACGTCGAGCGAGACGAACATGGCACACTTCTCACGCCTCGTGGCCGCCGCACGCCTCGGCCGACTACATCGTGGATCACTCGCGCCAGGACATCGCAGGAATCAGTGCCGCTCGCTTGGTGGAGCGTCTTGGTGAGCGCAAAGTGAACACGCAGACGCTTCCTCGAGTCATCTCCATGCCACTGCCGCCACTGCGTCAAGCCAAACCAAGCGTACATGTCACCAGGACACGATCCGAAGCAGACAGCGACGGCAATGAACAGGAGAGCGATACCCACGACAGCGAGGACGAACTCGACGAGGAGGAGGAAGGGGACGACGCAGACGACGATACTCAAGACGAAGAAGACGCGGAGGTGAGCAGGCACTGGCCTAGTTTCTTTGTGATTCTGCGTACGCTGTTCGCTATAGATGTCCACTAACTCTATGTGGCACTTTCAACGTTGTGCTCTGATCAGACTCCGCCGCCCAGCAGCGACTGCACCGAGGCCACCAACATCTCGTCGCCACAAGACGAAGTTGATGTCGACCGAGAGGCAGCATTGGAACCCAAGACGAGGCCGCTGTACCACCAGCCAGCCTGGATCTCGCCGGAGCTGCACACGTGGCTCGTCCAGTCGGGGCTCTTCGCAACCAAGCCGCGCCACGAGCTGCTGTCGTTGGAGCTCTGACCAGCACCCCAGTCCAGTCCAGGCCACACCGCCACGCTCGCACTAAATATTAACACCACGGCGTGGCCGTGTTTTCTTCGTCCGCTTCTATCCGCGGAGTCGTAGTCCTTGATTCCCCCCTGTACATCATCAAAGGAATAGTTGTCTTAAGTCTTGCCAGACTTGTATGTGCCCGCCGGCGGTTTGTAGCAGTCGGGCAGCATCTTGCGCTGCATCTCGTTGAAGGCGAACTTGTCCGCCTTGGTGTTCATAAAGACGTTGCGCCGGCGCACGCCGTACAAGCGCATGTTGGCGCAGAGTGCAGCGCCCTGAGACGCCTGCAGCTCCGCGCACAGCAGTCGCGCCTGCTCCAGAGTCACGGACATCGCCGTGCGGTCCTTGCCACTCTTGCAGCACGTCACACGCGCTCCACCCAGTGCTCGGCAGAAGTCTGACGAGTCCATCAGCAGAGCCACGTTCTTCTTGTACTGGCTCGTGGAGGAGCAGATGTGGTGCTCGATCTGCAGCAGGAGGTCGTCCAGAGCTTGAAGATCGTGTCGGTCAATCGCCATGGCCGCTTCATCGGCGTCCTCACCAACAGCAGATTGCGTCGTGCTGTTGGCCCGCATCCGACGGCTTTCGCGCACGCGATTCTCCGTTTCTTCGAGACGTAGCCGCCGATACAGCGCGTACACTCGCTTCAGCTCCACGAGGTTGTCCCGATTGACGCGCTCCTGAAGCTTCACAGCGCTGGACTTGTACGCGTGGACGAGACTCTGCTTCTCATTGACCCCCTGCGTGAACAGCACGCAGCGCACGTGGACGACACCATCACCGGAGACCAAAGACTTCGGAAGCACCGACATGTGGTCGTCGTCAACGCCCATGGTCAGCAGCAAGCAGTCGTTGTCGTTCGAGTTGGAGCCTGCAGGCGTGTACTTCTTGAGGGAGAAGAAGGTGCCGGTAGTAGTGTGCCGACGGAACTGGATAAATACGTTGCGCAACCAGCGCGCTCCGGCAGCGAAGTCCTCGAGCATGCCATACTCCTTGCCTTGCGTACTCAGCAGCGACTCGAAGTTCATGAGAAATCCGAACGTCGGGGCGCGATCCAGCTGCGCTTGGTGCAGAGCACTACCGCTGAGCGCCAGGTCCAGCGTTGCTAGTAAGCATGCTGCTGTAGCCGACAGGATCTGGCTGCCGATGACAGTCAAACGGTCCTGCAGCTCCAACCGCAACTTGAACGCAGCTAGAGAGTCGTCAGCAGCGGGTGCTGCTGGGGTAGACGACGCGCCGATGTTGGTTCCCCGTGATGATGACAAGGGTGACGTCGGGCTCGCCATATCGCCATCGTAGCTGTTTTCCAGCAACGCCTCGTCCTCTGCTGCTCCAGTCGGAACCACAGTTACGATAGGAGCCGACGCAGGGTAGCCACCATTCGCGAATCCCTTGGTGTGCGCTGCGGGGCAGCCCATCGTCATCGTATGCCACACGAACGGCCGAGACGAGAGAGGCGCGCTGGCTCCACTGCGGCTCGGCTTGTTCTGCGTTGGTGGCTTGTACGTGCAGAGGAACTGATCCTGCATGTTGGTGGCCAAAAACTGCCACAGGTTCAGGTTCTTATACGTGCTGCGCTTGAATGGCGCCACGGGTTCCCCACTATCCCCACCCGCAGCTGAAGCGGAGCTTGCCACTGACGAACTCGAGGCTCCTAACGACTCCCTGTCGATTGGTGTTGGTGTCATGCCCGCTCGCTTCGCAGCCAAGAAGAACTTGCCGTCCCTCTGCTCGTCCAGCAAACGCTTTTCCTGCTGAATCAGGAACTGGCGCTGCTTCAGGTACTCCTCCTGCTTCTTACGCAGAAACTCCAGCTCGATGTTCAGACGCTCGGCAGTGCGCGGATCGGGGCCCTTCGCATGCATCCGCTTCTGCAACCATCGCGATCGCTCCAACGCCTGCTCCTCGAGGAAATCCAGATACGCCACAGGCAGCGCGAAGGTGCTGCGGGGTACGCGTAGAATTTCGTCCACCGCAATGAACCGCAGATTGCCATTAAGCGAGTCGTTAAGACCGCCCAAGCCCGAACCTGTGAGGAACGTGTCGTTCTCCATAAACGTCCTTACGTCACTCCCGCGGCTGCTACCAGGGAAGTCACTCCGCGTTCCGTTTACCATCTTGGCCGTCTCGCGTCCAGGGGCCAGCGTCGTCGGGATCAGGTACTTGGCGTTGGCCATGTCCACGCCAGTCGTCGGGAGCACGCTCTGAGGAGGAACCGACCGGAACGCCTGCACCACTAGCTGCACACTCTCGCTGTCTGACGTGAGGCTGGACGACGATCCGCTTCCCGGCGCCAAAGGTCCTGCAGGCTCTCCAGGGTTCGGCTTCTTGAGCTGAGGCAACGGGTTGTTCGTCACCAGCGACTCCCTCGACGACGTGCTGCGCTCCGTGACTGCAACAGCGCAGGGCGTCGAGTTGAGCAGCTGGTCATCCAGCAGACACCTCCCCACTCCAATCGTCCCCTGTACGCTGCCCGGACTCTGCGTGAGCTGCGTCTTGCAGAGCGTGAGTCTCAGCTGGTCGTATCGCTCCAGCTCCGCCGTCATCACCACCGAGAAGGGCACGGGCACCTGCTCCCCGGAAGCCCCGGACGCGGCGCCACACGCCGTCACCAACGTCGTCAACTTGACGGCGTCTGTCGCCCCCAAGTCCACGAACGTGTTGCTGGTGCGGATGTAGCCACTCACGGCCACGAAGCACCCGGTGCGGTCCTTGTCTTTGTCTGCGGCGGTGATGTGCTCCACGGACCGTGCCAGTTTACTGCGTCTCCCCATGAGCACTGAGATGGACAGATCGTACATCCGACGTGGACCTCCGTTAACACTTTCGGCGGCCCCGACGGACCTGGTGGACCCACTTGCACTGCTGGCCGTGAGACGGTGCGCGTTCATCCTCCGGGTTCGCATCTCTAACGGTTCGTCGGCCACTCCACTGTTCTCTGTTGCGTCGTCCCAGTGTTGCGAGCTGGAGTTGCCGCTTGCCTCTAAATGTGCGGCAACATTTGCAACATTTTCCGTGTTGCGAGTGTTAACCGCGGTACCTGTTGCCCGAGTTGATGCCCCTAAAAGCGACGAGCGGCGGTTAGAGGCGTCCATGGAGAAACTCGACAGCGAGGTGTTAACCGAGTACTTGGACGCGCGGATGGCATCCGCCAGCTCCTGGCACGCCTCGATCCAGCGCTTCTGGTTCTCTCGGCTCTCGGCCTCCAGCAGCAGCGTCTGGGCGTCCGTGCGGATCTGGAAGCGGAAGGGCGCGTGGCCCCCGCCGCTGCGGTCCAGCACGATGGTGTCCTCGGTTATGGGAATTTCACCTAAAAGCTCGAGTTTGTCCTCCGAGGTGAAGTAGCATAAACTGGGGCAGTCGCTGCGCAGGATAAAGAATCGCGTCTTCCAGTTGCGGCGCCAGCTGCCCTGCTTAGTGAGCGTGCCGGCACGCAACACGTCGTCGGCGGTGAAGGTGGAGGGCGCCGCGGGACGCGCCGGCGTGCGCGCCTTCATGCCGGACGCGGCCTTGGCGGCCTTGCCACGATGCCGCAGCGCGCTTAACACCTTGGAGCGCTCCTTGGTCTCGAACACCTCGTTGTGGAACTTTCCGAACGTCGTGCATAGGTTTGTTGCGCGCGCGGTGGTTCCTCTCTAAAAAAGCGTGGAAGAAGTGTCACAGTTAGAGAAGACGGCAACAGCAACGGCAACACCTCGCTCGCTTCCCTCGTTTAGGCTAGTGTTAAAAGAAAATATTTTCCGTACCATGTTGCCATCCGACAGGTCGATGCTGCCCATGGAGGAGGTGGTGTTGTGCAGGTTCGAGAGGAAGTCGTCGTCGTCCACGGACATGGTCTTGTGCGCCGGGTCCATCTCCACCGGGTGCGAGATGGAGCGCGCGAAGGGCGGCGGGCCGTCAGCCAGGAAGGTGCGCAGGCTCAGCGGGTACGAGTCGTAGATGGTGGAGCCCTGGGCCACGAGTCTCGCTTTCCCCGCGGCAGGAGGAGGCGCCGCCATCCTCTCGTCGTCGTCTCTCTCTTCGAAGCGGCGACCGACACGACACGGGTTAGAGAGTGCTCGAGGCAAAAGCCCAGTGCCAGAAGGAAGGACGGGGAGAGGGAAATACACTTAAACCGGGACGCGCGCCGTCTGTGTCCTTATGAACCACGTGTTTGTATGTGACGAATTGAAGTGCACAACACTTAACGGGACAACCCGCTTTTTCAGGTCGACCGCCCAGCCCCTAATTGCGCGCGGCAAGACCTTGTCACATTGTCGTGCGTCTGTGCTCGCGGAGCCTGCGGGTGAGTAACGAGCGCGCCTTTATTGAAGGCGTGGGCGACAACGCCGGCGATATGCAGGCTGGGGGAGCACCAAGATGTATCTATCTCTTGCCTACCTATCCGTCCTTCGCGGCGGCTGAGAATCCAGCGCGAAAAAAGTGGCGATCTCCATTCGCACCCACATTGTCCTCTTGCCTTGAGCTGCCTGTTGCCAGCGGCCGACGGCAGCGGACGAGCACAATGCGGCGTTGAGAAGGGCCTGTTGGGCGATGCAGATGCCTCGCTATAGCCAGTGCGCGGCAAGTCTCCGGCAACTTGCAGCAGCACCGGCAACGGCAGCAGCAGCAACCGCCGACGCCACGTTGCCGCGGGCGTTGGTCTCCACACTGCCGGTAACTGCTTCAACGTGGGCGGAAGGAAGCGACCGAGCGAGCGAGCGTCGAGTGCTGTCCACAGCTTTCGCGAAACGTCCATCACGACGCGACGCGAGTTCCGACGACAAGTCAACGCACCGAAAAAACCGAATCTTCCGACATGGCTACATCTGAACTTGCACTTGCACCTGCAGAAGCACCGGAAATAACGTGGAGGTGAAATTTCGCTGACGTGGTCTCGTGTTGCCCCCTTCACTTTCCTCTTGAGCTCGATAGGGCAACAATATCCGCAGTGCAACGAAATTCACCTGCGCGAAAGATGACGAGAGCCCATCCCCCATAGTCTCCGATGTGTGACTAGTGTACTGTCACACTTCAACGTGATGGTTATCAAAATTGATGTTACAGTTGCAGTTGCCCTTTAAAGGCCTCGGCAAAGTCCTCGAAGCTCACGACGCCCTGTCCTCCTCTGTCCTTCTCGGTGATCCACCGCTGGATCTCCAGGTCCGAGAGGCGATGGCCCTGCCCCGCCGTCAGCTTGTCCATGGCCCGCCGCAGGTCGATGAAGCTGATGACGCCGTCGCCGTCCACGTCGTACTTGCGGAAGATCGCGCGCAGTGCCTCGTGTTGCCGGTCGGTAGTTGAGGTGGCAGGGCTTAGCCGAGTTCTGGGCGGTCGCTCGTCGTAGCTGCTGCCGTCCTCACTCCCGCTGCCACACTCCAATTTGCTCTCGTTGTCTTTCGCCTCTACCGGCTTCTTCTGCTTTGGAGGTTTCTTCCTATTAGTCCTCAACTTGCGCGGTGCCCGTCGTTGACGTTCGTCTTCCGATGAGCTGGTGTCGCCTGGCAATGGGGAGTACGCGTCCGAGTCCAGAGCGTCTTCATCGTCTTCAACAGCCTCTCGTTGTCGTCTTCGATTGGGTTTTTCAAGCGCGGCCGACCCCTGCTTTACGAGGCGGGGAGCTGAATCTGCGTCGATGCTCAACAGAGTGTGGATGACACTAGGTCCCTTCGTGGTGGCAACTCTGTTCCGAGCTTCAGTCTCGCTTGGCTTGGAGGTGCTAACCGTCTTGACGGGCGACACTGATACCAGGGGCCTGGCCAACTTGGCTCCAGAGACTTCGTCGTCCGATTCCAATATTTCAGTTTCAACCCCAGCGTGTGGACGCTCTGATGTTTGGGAGGCAGAACGCTGAACTCGCCGTGCAATTTTGACAATGCGTTGCTCCGATTTGCTCTTGCGTGAGGGCTCGAAGACCTTGTTACGAGTTAGAGATCTCGTCGTCACGGCTCCATAGCCCTGCCAATCTTTCCAAAAGAGCTCGACACGGGTGACAAGTTGCTGCTCGTTGCTCACTCCGTCAAGCTTAACATGTTGCGCCTGGTGAAAGGCGACGACCCACGGTGGAACCCCCACGGATTCGAAGTGCTCGAGGAACACGCTACTTGCAGCTTGAGACGAAAAGTCGACGCACAGGCAACACGCGAGCTGCATCACGCGCTTGGACACCGCAACGTGTTTACTACGACTTGTGCCACTCGAATCGAGGGCTTTGCGTACAGAGTGCGCCTCTTTACCGATGATGTCGTGGTGTAGCACAAGTTTGCAGGCTTCGGCGAACAGCATCTGCGTGTTGACACTTTCCCCTCGACGTGACGCGGCCCATACGAGCACCTCCAGAAGTAACACTGCCTCCAGTCTTCGGTCGAGGGTATTGAGCTGGTCGTCTGCATGGATTCCAGGACCAATCAGCCGAGAGAAGACCGCTCTGTCCAAGAAGTCGAGATCCAGAATCCGGGATGTTACCGTGCGGCTGTCGAAGTACAGCAACATGGACCAGAGCTGCTGCTTCTCATCGATCGACACCATAGTGTTATCTTCACTCAGTGCCTCGAGCAGAATCTCAGTGTCCACACAGGTGCTAACCGTTGCTAGAGCCACGTCGTCGTACTTCCTCGATTGGACAGCGTTCGTCAAGAACGTTGTAGCCCCCTCAACAAGCACAGACAACGCACTCCCTCGATGTCTTGTTACACCGCACGGCATGATGACAATCCACGAGAAGATTTCATGAAAAATGTTTGCCATTTCTTCGCCCTCTCCAGCGTCGAAGGTTGTCAACTCTGCTATGTCGTCAACCGTGGCCGACGGGTGCGTGAGAATGGAGTGGAGGAGCGCAACCCCCATTATTACCACATCGCCTTGCGCTCGAGAAAGTCTCACGGCCTTTTCATTCGCACTCGATGATGAATGACTCAAAATTGTACGCCACGCAGATTCCATCCAGCCCCAAATCTCCCTGCACACAGGTGCAAACACACCACACCGAACTCTCCCTGCAGTTGCCGTATAATGCAAGAACAACGCCCTGGTGTACGCAATGAGCTGGATCTGCTCGTTCGTGGTCCCGTTGAGCTGCGTGATGTCCCTCGCGAGATCGATCGCATGACCGACTTTCCCGTAGTCGCTACTGGCAATGAGATCTTGCTGGAAAGCACTGGCCGATGAATTATCGAAAGAACCTGCTTCTCCACGGAAAGTCCGTGACAACAGCAGAGTACGCATCAAGCCGATAGCGCGGGTACTGCCAACAAGGACAACTTCGTCCAGCAACAAACGAAATGGTGAGCAGTTCCGACCTGCAGACGCGCGATGGCTCAGACCCTCAGCCGCCTCGGAAGTTAACACTCGCCACTTGCTACCAGTTGCTGGATCGTGCTGCACAAGTTGCTGGCCTTGACGAAAGATCTGGTTCATCATGTTCGAGTCCTTGACCTTCACAAACGGCAATGAATTCGCCTTGCAATGGGCGACAATGAATTGGTCCATGCCTGCCACTCCCCAGAACTGCGTCGTTCTGTCACCACCGTGGAGACAATCAACCAGCCACGCGATTCCTACACAAAGGATCGCCACGAGTGGGTGCTGACTTCGGGATGCGCTGGATGTACCGCTTTCGCCCAAAACTTTCAGAGATCGAGTGGTTCTATCCAGGACGCGCTTCACTTCGAGCGTGACACTTTGGGAGCACAAACTTACGGCAAAAATTCGCTCTGAACATGAGAAGGTAAGTGAAGCTTGTGCAGATTCTGGTGCCGCCTCCTTTGACGCTGCGAGTCGTGGACTGCGCAATGCGTCAAACCGAAGTATTCTGGTGCTGCACTCGAGCAACGACAACGCGCCGAGTACGATCTTCTCGTCACCGTCTCGAAGGAGCGTGCAAAGCAGTTGATCAAAGGCCAAGTCTCTCCATACTCTTGCCACTAGAGGCCTGACCAGTACCAGTGGGAAGCACCGCTTACGCTCGAAGAACGTCGGTCCAAAGAACTGCTGCAGTGCGGCCAGCCGAAACTTGGGCACGTTGACGCCACTCGTCAGCTTGAACTCGATTTCTTTAACTTCGTAGACACACCGCAAATAATCCGCAGTCGTGGGGTTCTCCACAGTGTAGCCCCCTTCCACTAATCCATCTTCTGCCGCACTGCTCGGCGTATGTCGAGGGGTTTGCGGGGTGTGGTCACTCCACCACAGTGCGATTTCTCTATTCGGAGCCACAGGGACCTCCTCATTGTCGACAGACACCGTCGATACAAAGCCGAACGATGGTCGCCGAGAGTCCAGCCACTGCAGCAACACAGCATACTTGCTGAATGGAATCTCGATTGCTAGTAGGTCCCTGAAGAGCGGCTCACTCAGTCGCCAGAGCACTGCGTTTGTTGCACTGTCACGCTGAATTCGTGACACGTTTCTCAGTTTAGGAGCATTCCCGTGTATTGTTGGCGTTTGCCCGCTTGTTACAGATGTCAAGCATTCCAGCACTTGTTGCGCTGTACGCATCAGAAGCGAATTGGCACGCAGTTCGTCGAAGTTTGTGCTTTCCTCCAGCAGTTTGAACACGTCTGCAAACCTTTTCAGCAGTATTTCTATCGCTTGTCGCCCCTCCTCTCTGTCGCCACGCTTAGAACACTGCGTGAATGTTCGCATTGCGATAGCGCAAAGCTCGTAGGGAACGCAACTTTCCAAGGTTTGGTTCAGCGTTTGCTCGAATATCTGAGCGCTGTCACGACCAAACGCGGGTGATTTTAACTCGAAAATCCGATCGAGAAGCGCTATCCAGCTTTTAGCCACTCGCTGCAAAGTTGATACACTACAACCTTCGTCATCGCGCTCGTCACCACACACGATTAGGTCTTGCAGTATTCTTCGCAGGGGTCTTTGTAGCCCCACAATCGTCATCATCCGCCTCGACAACGCCTTCAACTGAGCGGATTCCTCGGAGAGCCCAGGTTTCCCTGCGTAGACCCATAGAGATGCTAGGTCTGGTCGAGTGCTCGCTGGCTGCAGAGCTAACAGTGCCAATGTGCAAAGGTTTTCGAGCTCACCACCTTCCCGAGTCCCCGCTCCACAGGCAACAATCTGAGCAACGCTAGAAAAATCCGTCAAGCCTGCGGACAGATTATTTTCATCGCTACCGTGGCTCGACATCACACGAATTAATTGACTTCTCATCTTGCGCAACAGATCTTCTTCATTATCCGATTCACCCGCTAATGCCAACGTATTCACCTCCAGGTTATCAGCATTGAAAAAGTGACGCAATAAATCGTAGATGAAGCAGCCGAGAGTTTTGGTCAGGGAATGGTTCAGTGAGTCCGAGTCCTCCCCATTCTCACCAAACCGGACGAACCTCCCACCAGCTAGTGAGCACAGTCGAAGGTCGCACCCATTCGGGGACACCAGGAGCATGTCCAAATCTACACAGCGTCGCAATGCAAACCGTTCGCTCTGCATTGTGAGCAACGTCATCAGAACGCGGAGACTCCACAACCAAAGCATCGGTGTCCACTGTTCCGTCGGGACGGAGGATTTTCGAGTAAACTTGATGCACTCCGATAACGAACTCCACCCACGCAAGGAATCCGTTACAATGCAGTGCATTTCATCGGACCCACTCGTACGTACCATCGACGCGTTGGCTGCTGGGAGAATGGGGGCGGTCATCAGTTCAAGAAGTGCAGGGAGGAAATACTCGCGTACTCGCAAGTGCTGCACTTTGCGCAGAAACGTCAGTTCCTGTTGGAAGTCCTCTTCGTTCTCTTCATCCATCTCCATGAACAAGTAGACAACCGATAGAGAGGCGAATTCGACTCCAGGGCCGGCTAGACGCCCCCTAGCGCTCATAACAAACCGATCTCGAGATACGATGGTGGCGCATCGATCCTCAAGGGTTATGGAGGACACGTTTAACGAGGCGCTGGGCAGTGGCGTTTTGAGTAATCTCTGGAGGTGCTGCCTATCATCGACGGTAGGTTCCAGGGAGGCGTCTTCGCTTCCAGAGACTTCACAGTTGAAGTCATTTTGACTCTGAGCCAGTTCACGAAGCTCTTGCTGCCACTTGCGGATCTGAATCTGGATCGAATACGATGTTTCGGGGTCCTTCTGGTGGTTCTCATTGTCTAGGAGTTCATTGATTTTTGTTTGTAGCTCTGCCATCTTTGCACGAAAGAAGGACGCGAAGCTTGTGCATTCGACAATGAACTCCACCACTGAGCGGGGTGTGAGTAGCGCATTCATTGTTGACTCCAAGGGAAGTTTGGGGGTCAAAGTTCGGTGAAGTTGTAGCATCAGACTTGGGAGTGACGACACTGAAGGAAACCCACGGTCGGTGCCAGTAATTGCGTCTGTCGTGGAGGAATTGAACGCATCTGCCAAACCAAGCTCCACCAGCAGACGGCCAACTTCTGCAGTAGTTACAGTGCAGGCTTCAATATGCCGCAGAGTCAAGCTTACCCAGCTCCAAACGCTGGCATTTGGTTTCTCAGCGGTGGCAAGCTCTTGGCTGACACGCTTTAGCCACGCCGAGAAGCAAACGCTTCTGCTTTCTTCATGCTGTATCAGCTTGATAAACCGTTGTAAATCTGGGCGTGATAGCTCGGAACGCCGGCTGTCGTTACTATTTGCCCTACTTCCACGAAAGAGCCTCAACAAAAATTGCTCAACTGGGTCGACCCCCACCCACGCACCGAATGACGCTAGCATCAACACATTCACGGCTTTCAGAAGGTCCTCTGCTACCACGTCTGGCCGTCCATTGTGCACGATAATATCTCGCACGTTGTCCTTTAATCCCCGCACCACCGCAGTGTGTCTGGTTCTCAGCAACTCCACGTGATTCTCGAGTGAGTAATCTTTTCGGAATCGTGCCAGTCGCTCCGCTTCAAGCCGATACGAGCTTTGCAAAGCCAACACCCGCCGTGCGTACGCCGAGTGACCGTTTTCCTGGTCAAGTTCACTGCGAGTATCCTCCGTAAACCAATTGAAGGCAAATTTCCACGCCTGGAACTGCGTCTGACTTTCTCCACGGGATTTAAGAGTAACTCCTAAGACGAGAGCGGGAGAAGGAGAATCCTCTGTGGACTCAATCGAATCCACTACCTGAGGCTTCGTTAGCTCCACCTTCTCACTGTCCCCAAATCTGTAGAACACCTGTAGCTCGACAACAACATTTTCCTGATATGACGATGCAAATGTTTTCATTTCGTCGCGAGTTTTCCACAGCAGGCCGTACTTTTCACAGTCCTGAAAGAAAGCTTGGACCGACTTTTGGGCGAAAATCCCGTCGCGAGAATGGTGCAAGGCAAGGAACAGCACGCGAATGATTCGATGCTTCTGTAGCGTCACGCGTCTAGCCGCGTTATGCTCGACACCACTCATCGGGGCTAAGAACACATCGAACTCGAACGCAGGATCGTCCAGAGTAACCAACCGCATGTCAAAAGTATCTGGTACCGGCAAACGGATAATCTCACCGTCGTCAAACAGATACAACGCGAACCGCAGAGGAGCCGGGTCGAGCTGCTGCAACACCTCGATCTCCCACCGATCGATGGCTGCGGCGCCACTATCCCCAACTTGAATTTTGTATGAGTGGCGTTCTCTAAACTCGTGTTGAAGTTGCCGGCAGAAGACTGACTGGAGCTCCTGATTGCGTAGTGGAATTTGAAGACAAACCAGCGGAGCGATGGGCGAGACTTGATCGGTTCCGGTGGACCAGACAATGACTGCGCCATCTCGCGACGCGACAAAGAGCAGATCATTATGTACAGCAAGATCCACGACAGTCGCCGCCCTCGACTTTCCAAAGCTGAAAACTTTCTTCCTTTCCAAAGATGTCATTTTCTCGGAATATTGAGGTAACACCCACATCCCAGCATGCCGATACGATTTAGCGGACGTGGTAGCGTACAGTTGAGTTTCCGTTTCGCCGCTGGGTAAGGACTTCTCAGCCATGTGAAAGAAGGCTCGGAATTTCCCCACTTGCGATGCTTGTAAGTTGGTGTGGCACAGTATTTTCCCCGTTCCAGCACACGCGATCCATAAAACCGTATCGAATCCTGTCTGAAACACCACTTTTGACCCATCGACCGTCATTTGGAAAGCCTTGATAACCCCGCTGGATGCAGCGCTACCCACTTTCTTCTCACTTTCATCTTTCTTGGTTGGAATAGTGAGATCCACTTTGAAATGCTCCACAGCCACTTGTCGAATAGGACTTATAAAGCTGCTTGCCACACGGAAAAAACGAAATGAGCCGCTACCAGACTCCTGCAAGATGGACGAGTTCACACAAACCACCGAGTCCCAGCTACAGAAACGAATCACTGCAGCAGAAGCCCCCGTTGAGCGTTTAAACTGCTGGATACGAGATGAAGCTCGTTTGGCGTGCGTGTTGTCCGCGTCTGAGCTCACTTCAGTTGCTTGATTCGCATCCATCCAGCACTCCATGAAGCTGTTACTGGTGTCCTCGGATTTTTCTTCTCCTGCTGTCGTCTTCTTTGTCGTGAACAAAACTTGAGCTGCCGCCTCCTGTAAGGATAGAGATACAGCAAACAGTATCACAACAATGGTCTATTTCCTGCAGGTCATGCGATGGAACTTACCTGCGTTGCGTTGTTGCCCGTAAGATTCCAAACTTCCACCGTCCCATCGAAATACAGGATCAATACCCTGGACGAGTGCAATCCAGGCACAACCTCGGCCACCTTCTTGTCTCCAACGCGCTGAGGCTTGGACAATGGGAAAATCCCAGGACTTGTCAGATACTTATGGTAACGCGCAAAGTACACAAGCTGCGGCCACGATATCCGTCCAATGATGCCTTGGCGATTAACAAAAGCCTTCTCCAAGCTTTGACACGTCGCTTGAACCACTTCCAAGCCCGCCTGGTTTTCATTCGAATCCTCCGATACAACTGGCGGATGGTCTTGCACGTCCTTCAAGACGCGCTGCAAGAGCTCTACTACTGGAACGGATTGAAACCCGTCAACGAGGAAGTCCGTCGTCTGCGCCAGAATCTGGAAGTGCTTTCTTAAATACGCCAACGGGAGTTCCAGTCGACTATCGCCTTCCTCCTCGTGACCCCTCAATAGAGGGGGAAGTCGGAAGAACTCGCGAAAGTTGCTGTATGTCATCTGAAACTCGTCACTCTTGGTAGTATTCACTGCTCTTGTGCTAGGCTCGTTTGCAGCTGTAGACAACAGGAGCGAAAGGTGTCCATTCCAGCGGGTAATATGCTTCACGTCCGTTAAACGCACTGTTTTGTTGGAGGTGCCAGCTTGAAGGACCAGTCCCTCCCAATACGCCAAGAGCTTACGGTCGGACAGTTGATCTCTGATGACCGACACCCCTGGAGCCTCATTCCAGGTGGCGAGATAGCGCATCGCAGGTCCAACGCGTAAGTTTGACGACAATTCCGGTACCGTGTTCATCACTTCGAATGAAGTTACGCGGGTGGTCCCGTGCTTGCCACGCCTCGGCTCCACTTGGTCTTGAATAAGGGGACTGCTCTCAACAGCAGCTGGCACCGATTCCACGATGTTCTTGATGAGCGCATGAATGATTTCCCTAGCGAACGTCTTCATATGCAAAAATCAGCTCTTTCCGATACTCATGTCAACATAAGCAAACAGCGCATCTTTTACCTGTGCGTCGGACGTCTCCAGGCGCTTCGCCAGCTCCGTCGACGGCAACAAAATCGTGGAGACCAACTCTTTGGCAGGGTGCAAGAAGCGAAGTGGCACCCCCAGCCGAAGTTTGGTCAGTCCGGGGGCGTGCTCCTCGTTGCTGGACACGTCAACCACCATGCGTTCCTCGTACAGGTCTGGAATCTCAGCCCCGACACGGACGTAGGCTCCACGAAGCACGAATTGGCCCTTGTGGACGACGATCACCTCGGCGCCTGAAGCTGCGCTCTCCGCTAGTATCATCGTGACGCCACTCTGTATGCACATGAAGGAGGCATCAAAAACATCGTTAGCATGCTAAACGCTCCCGTAAAAATTGGCGGTTCAAAGAGCATTTACTATACGGCTGGCGGTGGGTTGTTCGGTGGCCTCCGCTGCACCTGTTTACGCGTCACGGGGGCTCGGAGATGCCCCATAGTGCCTGGGTTTCGAGAGGATGATACGGTTGCTGAACGTCCGCGATTTAAAGTCTTTACCCCGTTGCCACGCGAGCTTTTGCCTTCATTGGAAGGGAATTCGGACAGAATTTCCTTCTCAATCGGATCAGTGAACGCTCTTACCGACTGCGGACGCTGCGTTTTAGAGGCCGCTCGCCTAGCCAGCCATTTCGCCTGGTTTGACGCTGGTGCTGCAGTTGCAGGACGTCCACGGGGCTGCTGTGTTTGATGGCGAGTCATTCCAGTATTATTTCTCACTTTTTCCTGGTTGGATATCGCTTTGGTAGGCGGTTTGGGCTTGGTTGCTCCATTTCGGACATGGTTCCGCTGAACTGCGGGCTCTCGAAAGCTTTGCTCCAAAACTGTTGAGGTTCCAGTATCGCTCACTTTGAGGTGCAGTAGGGCCAAGCCGACCTCCAGTTCGAGTCGTCGTGCCTTCAGTTCATCCAAGGAGGCATCAGCAGGAATCACCAGCGTACCATTGTCGGTCTCGCGAAACCCGATAGCCAGCAGCAGCTCCAGTCCGCCCTGAACACTGCCAACGATCTTGGTGAATGTATTGGTGGTCGTGTGGAGCTCCCGGTATCGAGGGTTGTCGGGCTGGTTTTCAATGTTCTTTAGACACTTTACAACCAGCTGAACGACGCGATTCCAGTTGTCGGAGCATCGATCCGAGGCAGAAACAGCTCTTGATACAGCACTGACATCACTCACGCTGGGATTCTTCAGTCCCCGATAGTGACCAGCCAGCATCGCAGCGATTGTTTGAATCCGAGATGTCGTGGCTGTGTCCAACGACGCTGGAAGTTCTGAGGCAGCCTTTGAGGTTTTGAAGCGCACACGCATCGGCTGAAGCTCGTAGGTCCTTGTTGACGCACCGGGGGCGTTATCATTCGTAGCCTCTCGGAAGCCAACAAGCCGAATCAACTCCCGTCCAGCCGAGAAACGAAGAAGCTTGCTGCCCATCGCTGCCTTGTCACTCATCGACCAAAGCGACGAGTTGCCAGGCTCCTGGATAATGTTGAACAAATGATTTAGTAGCACTTCCAATGCGCCAGCAGCCGAGGCGCAGCTAGTCTCGAGTCGGAGGTTGCCAACGGATATGGAGACGACTTCGCAGAGTGTCGAGTTCACTTCATCACTCGATGAGGACGCTACCTGGTCGCCACTTTTATCGGCTTTAACCTCGTACGGATGGTCCAAGAGCGGCCCTAATGCCGCTACGAAATCTGGGAAGTCCACTTTATCATCTTTTCCGATGTCGAAAGCGTCGAACCGAGCCCACGTCGGAAGAGAAGACGGCGATCCGTAAGCTCGCGAAAAATCTGCTTCAACCAAAAATCCCTTTTGATCCAGATCCAATCTATTGAACGCACTCCGTATCATTTCTAGCTGCAGTCGCTGGATTGACGTCTTGTTGAAGGTTTCGAGGGCGTTGGTGCCGTACGGATACATCTTAGCAACTGCAGCGTCGCGAATCTCATTGGTTTCTGCTTTCCTGGCCATCATACTTTCAGAGTTGTGGGATTTAGAGAACTTTCCAACGATATCGTGAAGATAGTGCATCTCGTCCTCGAGCAGACCGTCGATCTCCTGCTTCCGACGCCATAGAAACCACTCCATCTGGCTGCTCACAGTCGTAAACGCGAAATTGGACAAACTAGCCGACGGCTGCGCTTCCGTCTCCGACTTCTTCCCTGAATTACCACTAGCCACAGTCATTCCCGTTCCCCGGAGTGTGTACGCATTCCCGTGGGACGTTTGAACAAGGTCGAACCCAATTGACTCCATCAGCTCTTCAGCGTAAGGGAGGTATCCAATTTGCCGCTGGAACGTACTATTTGCCTCTCGAATGCGCCAACATCTCGAGTCTTTCGGGTTCTTGAGCACATTTTCAATATACGAAGACAAATTCTTCAAAACTGATTGGCATTCCTCAAGCGAAAAGTGTCCCCCCTCCCGCTCTCGTGCTTGGGAGACTCGCTGCAGGATCGAGCTGATGCTCTCAACGCCGTCAAAGAGAGAAAGTTCGCCATCCAGTCGCACGCACTTCTCCCGTAACACATCAAGTACCGGTTTATCCAGTGCGCTGACGCGTTTTCCTTCGGAATTCCGTGCCCCTCTCAATTCATAGTGCGTCTTCTGGTGCTCCACAAACCCCACGGCCTCTAACAGGCTCGTGGCACCATCAAAGCGTCCAATCTTCTGCTGGAAGGCAGCACTATCCGCTCGGATTCTCCAGTAGTCGGCGTTGTTGGGGAATCGCAGAATCTTGACGCAGATATTCCGCACTAATCCGATGATCCGACGCACCTCCGGCAAGTCCACGCGCATCCTCATCTTCTCAATAGCGTTGCGCACTGTCGGGGCTGACGTGACTTCATCGATGATAAACCCGCAGCAGCCGAATATTTCCACTAACGAGACTGCACCGGATCGTTTCCTTATCGTGGTCATAGCTGGCTCCAGTAGCGAAGGATCTGACGCCACTTTGGCCGCAAACGCCGACAACTGCGACGTCTCTAGTAGCAGCTCTCCATGAGGATCGACACCCTCCGCTTCAGTACTGAGCAAAGACTCGAATGCCTCTCGGAACCGCAAGATTAAATCCACTTGAGCTTGCGTCCTCCCCACTGACAGACGACGGACGAGATCTCCGTGGCGTTTACAAACGACGTCCCCATTCGAGAACAGACAAGACGCAACGAACGCAATCGGACGTAGCTCAATGGCCCCACCCCAGCGCGAAGAAGCCGAAGAATGCTCGGATCCATAGAGTTGGTAGTAACAGCACAGAAATTCAGGGAGTACCAGCGTCTGGTGCGGGAAGAGCTGGTGCTGCTGCAGATAGACGTCCAGCGGCTTGTTGGGAGCTGCCTGTCGGGACACCTGCTCGAAGATCAGCGAGAGCTCGGACACTCGGATACGAGACGGGATCATGTTGGGCAGCGCGTGGTCGTGGAAGTGGCGCTGGAGGGTCTCAAACAGTCGATAGCCCAGCTTTTTCTGCCACAGTTCGAGTTGCCGCTTGTTCTCGTGGTACGAGGCGAATCTTCCTTCCAACACGGTGGCGACGCTCTGCTCCATTCGCAGCTTCCCGAGTCGACTCTTAGCGTACGCGAACGCCAGCATGAGCGTCTTGAACTCGAAGTGGCGGTGTGTTCGCAGATCGTCGTGCGTCGCGAACCATTCCGTCAGAATGTGGCTGACCGAGTTGGAGTCGCCATCGATTCGGTTTGCGTTTTGATTCCCTCGACCGCTGTCTTTGGCTGACTTGGATGCTGCCATGAACTCTTCTACGAGTGCGATGATCCTGCTTCGGGATATTTTTCCTGAGCCCTTGACGTCATTTTCTTTGAACATTTGTCGATACGCTTTTAGGGTACTCGACTCGAGCAATCTTTTTAGCACCTGCAGACAACAAAGATACTTGAGTGTGAAAACGAATCGTATTGTAAAATTTGCCTTCCATTGTACCTTGTCGATGTTGTTTCTTGAGCTGGACTTTGAAGATCCCGGTCCACTTTCAGTACTAGACGATGATGAGGAAGACGACGAGGAGCTGGAGCTGTCTGCGTCGCTCTTAAGCTGATGAACCTTTGGCTTCTTCTTCAGAACCCCCTCCTCAAAAAGCTGCCAATAGTACGAGTTTAGTCAGTGGGGAGTACATTATCATTCATAGGGAGCACACACTGAGATACGAACCGTCAATGCAAGTTGCTCCAGCAGAAAGAGCGACTCGGTGCTGATCCCGTCGGTCCTTCGGTGCAGTTTACGCTTTCGTCTCCGACCTGCTGCGTCGCTCCGCCCTGAACTGTCGTCTGAGTCCGAGTCTTTATCCTTCTTGGCAACTTTCAGCGCTTCTGACGGCACATCTTCTTCGACAACTCCATCGCTATACCGAATCTACAAAGGAGCTCGTGAGTCAGCAGCGTACCCCCACTTGGACGCTCTCAAGTTATGTGTTTTTCTTACCGTGTAGGTGCCGTCACCATTCTTCTCAAGCACCGTGGCCTTGCTCCACTTGTCAGTCATCCGAGGCTTCGACAGTTTGCTCGATCGCCACCAGTTCGACAGAACGCGCTCGTGTCGACGGAAGGTGGGGCCTTCTCCATTTTGACGCCGCTTCTTCGTCGTAGATACATCATCCGAATCCTCCGAGTCGGAGCAAACGACCAGCAACTTTCTCGCAATCCGCTTTGACGTGTCACCGTCGTCGTATTTGACGTCGCAGCTGCCGTCTGAGTGCACTTTTCGAACCGTCCCCACACGGCGGGTCTTCTTGTCCTCCGCCTTCCGATACGTGACTCGACTCCCCTTCTTCAAAGGAGCTCGTTCCTCACGATCCGACCCGGACGACTCTGAAGACGAAAGTTTCTTCGGCTTCTTTGTGCTTTTCTCCTTCTTCTTCTTTGTCGATGATTCTCGATCCGAGTCGGAAGAATGAGCACCGGAAGACTTTGGTTTCGTCTTCTTCTTTGCATCATCGCCGCTTTCATTGCTCTTCTCTTGGTTGCCACCGACCGTTTTGATATCCTCCAGACGCACATGCTTTTCCGAAGCTCCGACGTCATATTCAATGTCGAAAGTACCGTCCGACCTCGCGCGCACAACTTTGCCACGATGAAACTTGCCTTTTCGCTTGAAATTCGCCTCGACAACGTCCCCAACTTTGACCGTCCCGCTCTTCTTATCGTTCCCCTTCTTCTTGCTCTTTCCATCCGAATCTGAATCCCCAAAGATGCCGTCTTTTTCCATGCTCGCCTTGGCCTCAGGCTTCTTGGCTCCAGCTACCAACTCGATAGCCGAGCTCTTGACGCGTTCCTCCCTATCCCCGTCATCATATTCGACATCATAGCTGCCGTCCAGCCGAACCTTGGTAATCTTCCCCGGGAACGCCTTCATCCCACCTTTGTATCTCGCGTTCACCTTATCACCCACGGCAAAAGCTGCCGACTTCTTGTCGTCTGCTGCCTCCAGTGATTTTGACTTCTTCTCTTCCCCTTCAATGAAGGAGCTCTCGACGTACATCTCGGTATCCCCATCATCGTACCGTATATCGTACGTGCCGTCTGCTCTCACTCGAGTGATTTTGCCCGGGAACAGCTTCGCCCCCTTCTTGTATCGCGCCCTGATCACGTCCCCAACCTCAAAGCGCTTGGCTTTAGTCGGGACTTCGGGGGAGTTCTCGCTCGCTTTCGCAGTCTCCGGCTCCACGCCAATGATCAGAGACGCGTCCACTCGAGTTTCCGAGTCGCCGTCGTCGTACTCAACGTCGTACGAGCCGTCAGACCGAACTCGAGCGATTTTGCCAGGGAAGAACTTGGTTCCTTTCTTGTACTTGGCCTTGACAGCATCTCCAACTGCGAAACCCGTTTTCTTCTTCGGTGAGCTGATGGGTTCCTCCGCTCTGGATTTGATGCGGGACCTCGGTACTCGACGGTCCGAGTCGCCGTCTTCAAACGTGACATCGTACGTGCCGTCGGAGTGGACGCGTGCGATCTTGCCGGGGAACATCTTGACGCCGTTCTTGTAGTTGGCTTCGACGGCGTCCCCCACTTTGAGCGTGTTGGGGCTCTTTTTGGGCGATTGCGACTCGCTCTCGTCTTCAGCTGCCTCGATGTCTTTGGCGTCGACGTACTTCTCCTTGTCGCCATCGTCGTATCGGATATCGAACGTGCCGTCGCGGTGGGCAGCAGTGATCTCACCGTTGAACAGCTTGCTGCCTTTGTTGTATCTAGCGCGCACTTTGTCTCCGACTTTCAGACTCTTTTTAGGCTTTGGAGACTTTTGTCTATCGTCATCGTCTCGTGATTTGTCCTCGGGGGCCTCAATCATTTCGAGTTCCACTCGCATCTCGACGTCTCCGTCGTCGTATTTGATATCGTACGTCCCATCGCTACGAACTCGAGTCACGGTACCAGCGCACAACTTCTTGCCTTTCTTGTACCTAGCTTTGACAGCATCACCGACTTTCAAAGTCACTTTCTTGGGCATCTCCTCACGAATATCTAGCTCTTCCTCAGCCTGAATGAGGTCGCCTGGAACGTTGCTATCTCTGTCACCATCATCGAACACGATATCGTAGGTCCCATCGCTACGAACCCGAGAGATTTTGCCTCGAAACAGCTTAACTCCTCTCTGGAAGGGGGCTTTGACCACGTCGCCAACTTCAAACGATATCTTCTTCGCCTTCTTCGGTTGATCATCGTCATCTTCTATATCGTCGACGCGCTGGATGAAGTCCACCTCCACTCGCTCCTCGACGTCACCGTCCTCGTACTTGATGTCAAAAGTGCCGTCCATCCGCTCGCGAGTGATTTTTCCGTTGAAGAACCGCGTCCCGCGCTTGTATTTTGCCTTCACGCTGTCGCCTACGCGTAAGGAGCGTCTTGTAGGGGCCTTTGAGCTAGTTTTCGGACTCTCTTCAGCCTTTATCGCATTGTCCCTCTCCCTGTCCTTGCCACCGGGCTCTGCCGATTCGATATAGCTGGCCTCCACTCGAGACTCTGAGTCTCCATCCTCATACCTGATGTCGTACGTCCCATTCATGTGAACCTTCATGATTTTCCCTGGGAACAAACGTTTCCCCTTCCCATAGTACGCCTTCACCCGATCCCCGACTTCCCAGCCTGCTTTCTTCTTGCTAGCAGGCGCGCGCTTCTTGTCGTCATCGGAATCCGCAAACATGTCGTCTTCGTCGTCGCTGACTTCAATCAGATTGGCGTCAACGCGCGTTTCAATCTCTCCGTCGTCGTAGTCGATATCGTACGTGCCGTCGGACCGCACCCTGCTGATCTTGCCAGGGTACAGACGCTTCCCCTTCTTGTACCGCGCCTTCACCTTCTTCCCAACACTAAGCGCCTTCGAAGAGGAAGGTCCTTTTCCTTTCGTGGGTTTCCGATCCTCATCATTATTAGCCTTGGGGTCACCCGTAGCCTCAATATTCTCAGCCTTGACTCGCTTCTCTTCGTCTCCGTCTTCGTATAGAATGTCGTACGTGCCGTCGCTGTGGACGCGCTTGATCTTCCCAGCGAACAGCTTCTTGCCTCCTTTGTACCGCGCTTTGACGCTCTGATCCACTCGAAACCCTCCGTTCTTCTTCTTCTTCGGGCCTTCATCGTCACTGTCACGCTTACGCGGTGGCGTCTCCGAAACGATCGCCTCGATCATGTCCTTCGCCACGCGTGTCTCCGAGTCTCCATCGTCGTATCGGATGTCGTACGTGCCGTCCGAGCGCACCCGCGCGATCTCGCCATTGAAGAACTTGGCCCCCTTCTTGTACCGAGCTTTGACCTTGTCGCCCACTTCAAAGCTCGAGCTTGGAGGCTTCTTGCGCGGGGGTGACGCACCCAGCGGCGTCTTGTCCTGTAGCTTCGATGCGGCGGCCTCAACGTCCGCCGCCGCCATTTTCCGCTCAATGTCCCCGTCGTCATATTCCACGTCGTACGTGCCGTCTCGATGCACTTTGAGGATTTTGCCGGGGAACCAGCGACTGCCGCCGTTGCACCTCGCGCGGACCGCGTCCCCGACGTCCAGCGCCGACGACGTCTTGAGTTTATCGGTACTTCGCCTCGTGTCGACCGACAGCGACGCGAGTTTGCCGGGGGATTTCCCCGGAGAGTCCGCGGCCCCACCGAGGCGAATGGGGGACCTTTTCTCCTTGGTGTCGCTCATATCCTTGGCTTCCTCGACGTCCTCCAACGGCACGTTCTTCTTGAGCGTGCCGTTGTTGAGCTTGATGACGCACGTGTTGGAGGACGCGCGGATCTGGATGAGCACGCCCATGTCCCCCGTCCCCACGATCCCCACCAACATGCCCGTCTTGAGCGCCATGATGAACGGACGCTAGTGTGGATCTTCAAACGATCTCACTCACTGGGGTTAGTCAAGATTTACACCGACATGGATCCATTCGTGTCGAACGTAGCGTGGATCCGTTACGGACACCACTATTCCTGCTCATTCACGGTCCAAGTTTAGGCACATGAGGGGTTGAAGACGTCCGTCCTGGTCGACAGAGGACCGACTGTCGATTCGGGAGCAACCAAGAGGTTGGCATGCCCTCGCTGGGGACGATCCAGCCCATGGACGCGCTCAACGCGTCGCTGGTGCCCGCTCCGGCCGTACCCCGCCAGAAAACTGCCGTGGAGCCCATGACGACGCGCAACTCCATCTCCAACAAGGTTCTGCAGAGCTTTGACAAGTTCCAAACGGTGCGCGGCAGCATCATGAACTCGACCGCGCTGTCGGGCCTCACGTCACGGCGACTGCAGTCGCAGGTGGTGCCCGAGGAGAAGCGGTCACGAGAGAGCTCCGTGTCCCGGGCCACCGCCGTGAGCGAGTTCATCTTGTTCCTCAAGGTCATGGACCAGGTGGCCATCCACCACATCACGCTCTACTTCATCAACATCAACACACTGGCCGTGATCCTCAAGATGGAGAAGTCCTTCGCCAAGTACTACGCCAGCTCGCAGCGGAAACTGTACCTGCGCGGCCTGCTCACGCTCATCGGCTTCATGATCTCCACCTTCGTCTACGACTACCTCGTGCTCTGGGAAGACTACGGCGTGGGCGCCAACGCGACGGCGGATGGCACCGTGAGCACCAAGCTCCCGAAATTCACGATCGTCGTCGTGCTCAAGCTCGCGATCGTGCTGCCTCTGCTGCTGCTCACCTTCTTCCGCGCCAGGAAACACCCGTACCACGAGGACGTCAAGCTCACGTGGCTCTGCATCTGCGTGGTGGCGTGCTACCCGGTCGTGTACAACAAGATCACCAACGACTACGGCGTCTCGTGGGTCTGCCTCGTCATCATGTACGTCTACAGCTGCACGCCGATAAGGTTCTTCCCCGTCTCGATCTTCTGCCTCGGCTACCTGGCCACGTACGTCGTCGTCATGCTCGCGTACGTCCCGGGCAGTGCCAGTTCGTCGTCCTCTTCGAGCCGTCAAGAGATCGCCAACGAGACGCTGTACGCGTGCTTGTTCTTCTTCCTCATCCTGCTGCCGAGTCAGTCCCGGGAGTTTGCCATCCGCGTGAGCTACATGAGCGAGCTGATGGTTCTACTGCAGCAGGAGCAGCTCAAGATGGAGGAGACGCGCTCCAAGGCGCTGCTCAATAGCATGTTGCCCGAGTCGATCGTCGTGCAGCTGCAATGCGGGCGCGAGCTCATCGCGGACGAATACCCGGAAGCCACCGTGCTCTTCGCCGAGGTGTGCGACTTCGACCTCTTCTCCTCCAAGCTGCAGCCGCAGCAGGTGGTCGAGCTGCTCAACATCCTCTTCTACAAGTTCGACAAGCTCGTGGACGTACATCACGTGCACAAGGTGGAGACGATCGGAGCCGTGTACATGGTGGTGGGCGGGTGCCCCGATGTGATCCAGAACCACGCCGAGTTGGTGGCGAATCTAGCGCTGGACATGATCCGCTGCATCCCGGAGGTCAGCGCCAAGATCGCTCGAAAGCCCTGGGGCAACATGGTGACGAACCTCAACATCCGCGTGGGGATCAACACTGGCGGCTTGATGGCCGGCGTCGTGGGCATCCGAAATCCTCGCTTCAAGCTGTTCGGGGACACGGTGAATGTGGCGTCGCGTATGGAGACGACCAACTTGCCCGGCCAGATCCAGATCACGGAGGCCACGCACAACGCCATCTACCACAAGTTCCACACGGCGTTGCGCGGCAAAGTCTTCGTAAAGGGGCGAGGCGATATGGACACGTACTTCCTGCGAGGCAAAGACGGATACATTGTGCCGCCGGCGTCGGTGGTGTCGCGGGAACATGAAGGAGCAGGCGAGGTGGTGGCTGACGATGCGCCTTCGGGTAGCAATAGCCCAACGTCGGGGCGTCGACGAACCAGTCGCATGCCCGGATCCAGCATCAACGACATCCCGGAGCACAAGAACGACGCGCCGGCGTTCACGCCTACACTCGCTCCCCCGACGAATTCAAATCCCCCGACCGAAGATATTCCGTCTCGACCTACGACCCCGAAAGCAGCGAACGCTCGCCAGCCTCGACGAGCTAGTCGCATGACGCTGGACTCGTCAAACAAGCAGAAGACCATCGCGAACCTGTTAGCACTAGCACCGCCGGCAGTGAGAAATCCGTCCATCATGCAGCTACCCGAGGGCACGAAGCTCCCGACCATCCCTCAGTCCGTCAAAGAGAATAGCGAGAACGCATCCACCACCCCCGGGGCGTCACCCTCGCAGTCTTTACTTGCGCTAGCGGATCAACCTCCGTCACCGTCGGCAGCGGCTCGAGTCTCCCATCGGCGGGGAACTGTGAGCGCGCTCAAGGGCCACAGCTTGAGTCAAATTGCCACGGTGCGAAGGTCGTTGTTCAGAGAGAACATCTTCGACATCGTTGAGGACATTGACGCGAATGGGGAGCCCGAATGCGATGAGAACGCCGTGTTCAGCACCACGATCATGACGCTGCCCAAGGGGTTGACCCGGATGGAGGTACTCTTCCGAGTCCACGGCAACCGCACGGGCTTCCGCAGCTTGACCAAGGAGGCATACGAGTTCGAGGAGAGCTACCGCCTGGAGAACCGCATGCGCTGGCTGCGCTTCCTTCGGCTGTCCGTCACGGTGTTTCTCGTGCTCAAACCTTTCCTGACGCTGTACCAGACCGTGCGCTTGTCGACGATCCGCTCGTTCGACGAGAGCCAACTCATTTTCCTGCTCAACTTCTGCATCATGTACCCGGGCATGCTGGCCTTCCTGCTGCACACCTTCTCGCCAACCTTCAGTAGTTGGGAGCAGCTCGAGTCCGTGGTCGTCATCTCCGTGGTTGCCGTGATCCTGTGCGCCGAGAGCCTCGCCACCAACTCACTGGGCCACGCGTACATGAGCGCGCTGGCGCTGTACCAGTGCTACTTCGCCAACGTGTCGTTCCTGCTGCGCGTGATCAACGGCTTCGAGATCCTGACGCTCTACCTGGTGGCGAATCTCCTCATCGCGCCCTACTTCGGCTGGGAGATCAACGCGACGCAGCTCCGCGTGCTGCGCAACGCGCTGTATATCTTCATGTTCTTCGCGGGGCAGGCGTGGGTCGTGTTCAACTCGGAGTTCAAGCAGCGCATCAACCACTACCGAGACATCACGCTCAACTCGCAGAAGCAGAAGCTCGTGGAGGAGGAGGCGCGCATCACCAAGCTGCTGCTGAATTTGCTGCCGGAGACCATCGTGCACAAGCTCAAGGAGGACCCGCAGACCACGATCGCCGACTTCTTCGACAACGTGACCGTGCTCTTCACCGACATGGTCAACTTCACGGCCTACTCGTCCAAGGTCTCGGCCATGGAGCTCGTGCAGTTCCTCAACGACATGTACACGCGCTTCGACACGATCGCCGAGCGCGAGGTGCTCTACAAGGTCGAGATCATCGGGGACGCGTACTTTGTGGTGGGCGGGTGCCCCATTGTGAGCACTAACAACGCGCTGGCGGTTGTCACGGCCGCCACCGACATGTTCGCGGTGCTGCCGCTGCTGCGACGCAACTGCGGCGTGCCCGACCTCAACATCCGCATCGGCGTGCACTCGGGCCCCGTGCTCGCGGGCGTCGTGGGCAGCAAGGACCCGCGCTATCACCTGTTTGGAGAGACCGTGAGCATCGCGCACTTCCTCGAGAGCAGCGGCGTGCCCGGCCGCATCCACATCAGTGAGAGCACGTGGGCCAGCATGAACAAGGAGACGCCCGGCCACGGCTTCAAGGTCGAGTACCACACGCTGCTCTCCATCAGCGGCAGCTCCAAGAAGCTCCGCACGTACTTCGTGCTGTGACGGGAGCGCCCCCCCCCAACTATTTAACGTCATTGAGCACGCAGTACCACAACATCCAATAGAGACGTTGAGCCGACCACCGAGATGTTGCCGCGTCAGTTGAACAGGTTGAAGTGACCGTTCGCCGGCGAATCGATGCGCGGCACTGACGTGTTCTCAACTCGGAAGCACTTGGCATACTTAGCATAACCAGGGGTCTGCATTGATAAAGAATTCATCGGGAGAGCGCGAACTTCACGCTCTCGCGCGTGGACATTCATCTCCGGTGTTCTTGCGCGCGCTGGGACAGGCTGGGAGACCGGCCTGCCGGGAGCTGATACCGGCCGTCGCAGGCACACGACGGACGAAATGCGTGGGTCGACCCCGCCTCACACACTCACCACCCGACATTGTCCACGCAGGCAACGGCCAACGCAGGACGCCCGTTATCAGATGCATCGCCGAAACCCTGTTGGTCTTTCCGCTGTCCCATACAGCAAGCAATCAACCTGAGGCAGCCTTTGCCACGGCGACAGGAAAATCCCGAGCTATTCGGCTGCTTGGCGGCGAATCTGGTGCTCTACTCGGTGTGTCGTCCTTTGCAGCGACTTGGACAGTGCTGGGGGCAACTGCAACGCCTCGCTCGCTAGCAAGCAAAGTCGGCGCCGACTGACGTGGCGGGCCGCATACAAAATTCCAGTCAAAGATGACAGTGGCGTGTCACGGCTATGAAACCTAGCCCTCTCGAATAAAAGTTTTTTTATCCAGGTATACACCACTTCAATCAACGACAAAACCTTTCAAAAGCTCTTCGTGCGGTCGAAACCAGGGATTGGTAGTAGTGGAAATTTTGGATAGTAGTCATACTACTACTACTATCCAAATTCTGGCAATATTAGAATGATATATCTATTAGTAGCAAGGCGTCGGTGGTACTAATATGACTACTAATGTGACTACTAATTATGACTATTTGAGCATCATTCCGAATTCCAACCGCAATGGTGCTTACTGGCCTCCATATGCGAAGTATGAACTACAACTGTAGGTGCGCGCTGTCCGGTCATCCTAAGAGGATCCTCACGAAAGACCCGGTTAGACGCGCTTGGCGACGAGCAGCGTTCAAGCACGAGTAAGTTTTCGCGATCCTCCGCGAACCAAAAGCACACGTAAATGCTTCCTCAAAGCTGCTCAACCCTCCAAACCTTTATATTGCGTCTTCTATTTCACACGATCTCCGGTATTGCACTCTACCTTGCCTGAATATTGCGGTCGGCGCATTGCTCAATCACAAGCGATAGAGTGAGGTACTTGATTTAGAGTAAAGTGATGACTTCTGACAAATGGCTTCTGGTTTCTTTGGAAAGATGCCATGCCCAGCATGGCAACCTAGAAAAAAGATGAGGAAGGCACAGCGCAAGTATACATGAGGAGGAGATCATCGTCATACATGTACTGACGAGAAGAGGTTAATAGGAAAGTTAAGCGTCGTCAAGCCAAAGACTATACAAACACCACCCCAGACTGCTTGTAATATGCTATTCACTTCGCTTGTGGCAGTGCAACAGCCAGCACCTTACGTTGATGTACCTAGCTTCTAGTTTATACAGCAAACTAATCCAAAAGAAATAATGTACTCGAAAGTTGAAGCATGTTACTCTTACTCAGAAGTCAGGAGAATACTTGAGAGTAAGGACAATTCTCAGATGTACAGTTGAGTGTAGGCTCCTGGGAGTCGGTATCTCCGCATTAAAGTCCCTGATAACACGAGTGCGGCCGCAAAATCAGTATGGCGAGCTACTTAGTACAATTGAAGCTACCAAGGCAACCACGAACAGCAACGTTACCTTTGAGATAACGTTAGCTTGCATTTGTCACACAGCACGTTGTTGCACAAATGATGCACCTGTCGGCCGACGGAAAAGTCTCCGATATGGCACTTTGGCGACAATCACTCTTCGCACACTTCATGGCACGTTTGCGTGAAGTTGGAAGGATCCTGACTGGTGCGTGGCCACTCACTCGTGTGATCTGCCGTCGGTTGAGGAATGGGTACATTAGTAGTGATAATAGTACTACTATCCATGTTTCGTTTGGCTACTATATAAATAGTACTACTAATGGCTCCAATCCCAGAGCTATAGTAGTATTAATAATAGTAGTAGTCATAATATGCCTACTAACGCTACTATTCTGGAGACTACTACCAAACCCTGGTCGAAACGCTTTGAGACGCGTCGAAGCTCAGTGGCGGCGAGAGGTCCCAGTACGGCATGATGAGCGCCAATACATGCATGCATATGTACGTGGTTGCTATCATGGTTTTGGCGACTTTAGGTACAATCGAGGGGGGGGGAGCTTGAGTCTTACATTTAAGGTGACCAATTATAATGGCGTCAGGTGCACATGCAGGTCGTAACAAACGTCGGTGACATAATGGTGTGCTTGCTCACTGGCAAGTCTGTGTTGAAGCAAAGCAGGGGACGCACCCATAGAGCAAGCCACCGGATTTTCGGCCAAGCTAGATACATGTAGATATATACAATACAGGGACAAAAGCTCAATCAATGCAATACAGCCCAACAGCGTGTTTTCTCAACGCTGTATTCGATCGACGACAGGCCAAAACGTTCACACCGCCGGATCTTAAGCTGTACTAGTACGTATGAATCTTAGAGGAAGTGATACACTAGCTACAACTCAGACTACATGTACACTGTAAAACTTTCAGCGGTATCCATAGGATAGGAAATCCAGAAGCAGCGGTCTCCAATTTTGTTTTTACTCAATGTTTACCACGGTGGAGTGTTGCTAGGTCACTGCAGCATGCAATGAACAAACCTCAGACTCATCAGGTAAAAACTTATAGCTTCAGATTCATTAGGTAAAATACTTCGTAGAGACGCGTTGGTGGCGAGTTCCTCCTCTCATGCCCTCGTCACCTCTGTGCACCGCCCCGCACAGGCACAGGTTGGTGTGGTCGTTCGTCGACAGCGCGTCTCCGTTGCATCGCCAGTGCACTCGTTCCGACCTCGGATCCGGATACCATTATACACTCCATCGCTTCAAGCGGATACCACTGCGACCTTGGCGCCGGCGTGCAGGCTGGCACATAATCGAAACGGCAGCCTCGGACGCAAGCGTCTCCGACATCGATGAGCTCCGACGATACGTCGCACGCGAACGGCATCGCCGCCGACCAAGAACACGCGCACGGCAGCACGAGCCCGCTCTCCCTCAACTCGCCCACCAACAACGGCAACAACGCCGACACCAATGCGCCGCTGCAGGTGCGCGTGGAGCCCGCGGCCGCCCCCAAGACGCCGCTGCTGAGCGTGCACGAGGAGGCCGAGCACCTGTACCCGGCCGTGATCGAGTGGTCGCGTCCGTGCGAGTCCGTGGGCGTCACGGGCTCCTTCAACAAGTGAGTTCTACCCCCCCCCCCACCTTTTAGCTGCTCTTAAACTGCCTGAATTGTGCCCTTCTAACGCTGCTTATTGCCTCCAGTTGGGGCTCGCAGATCCTGCTCAAGCGCCAGAAGGCGGCCGAGGGCGAGGACGGCGCGCCGCTCTTCCGCGCCAAGCTGTGGCTGCCTGTGGGCACGCACCTGTTCAAGTTCTGCGTGGACGGCGCGTGGCAGTACGACCCGGAGGTGACGTTCGCGCCCGACGAGTACGGAAACCTCAACAACTTCATCAAGATCGCGCCCAGCGTGGACCCGCAGACCAAGGACAAGCCGCTGCAGCGCGCCATCCGCACCATCATCCGCGACGCCAGCGAGGGCCTGCCCGTCATGAACCCCGTGGCCAGCGAGGAGCTCATGAAGCTGCGTCTCCAGACGTCCCCCGTGCTGCGGCCGCAGCGCTCGCCCACCTCCAAGACGCCCACGCACCACCCGCGCCACGACAGCCGCTCGGACCCCACGCCGCGATCCACGCCGCTCACGGCCCCGCGCCAGCCGCAGGAGATGGAGGACTCTGAGTACGGCATTGACGTCAACGAGCGCCGCATGAGCAACCACAGCCTGCTCGGGCACAGCGCCACCAAGCCCCGCTCGCGCGCCGGCACGCTCACGCGCTCCAAGAGCGAGGAGTCGCTCAGCCACGCCGCGTCCAGTAACAACCTCGCGGCGGCGGACATCTCCGCGGCTGCCACGCCCAAGTACACCAACTACATGGACGACGCGATCGCCAACTCGGTGCTGCTGGCGGCCACGACGCAGCACTTTGGCGGCGACTTGGTGACCCACGAACACAACACGCGCGCGCAGCTCGGCGGCCACCGCTCGGTGCTCGTGCGTGGGCCGCACACGGCGCAGACGACTCCGCAGCAGCGCAGCGGCGGCAAGCTGATCATCTTCCTCGTTGGCCTACCTGGTCGCGGCAAGACGTACATTGGCCACATCCTGGCGCGCCACTTGACCTGGATGGGCCACCAGTCCCGGACGTTCAACACGGGTGAGTATCGCCGAAGACTCGTGGGCTCGAATGTGAACCACGCGTTCTGGGACCCGTTCAACGAGGAATCGTTCCAGATCCGCACCGAGCTGTCCAAGAAGTGCCTAGAGGACTCGATCGCCGCGCTGGAGAGCAACGACTGCGACTGCGTCATCTTCGACGCCACGAACGTGACGCGCAAGCGCCGTCAGATGCTGGTTAACGAGGTGCACCAGCGCTACAAGTGCGAGATGATGTTCATCGAGTCGGTCTGCGATGACCCGGAGCTTATCGCGTCCTCGATCAACGAGATGAAGTTGAATTCGGCGGACTACGCTGGCCAGACGATGGAGGAGACCACAGAAGACTACTACAACCGTATCAACCACTACCAGTCGCTCTACGAGCCGCTTGCTGGAGACCTCGAGGGCGCGCCGTTTATCAAGATCATCGATGTGGGCCGCCAGATTTTCTGCAACCAGGTGTACGGCTACCTGCAGTCGCGTATCATGTTCCTGATGGCCAATCTGAACCTGAAGCCGCGCCCGATCTGGCTGAGCCGTCACGGTGAGAGCATGTACAACACACAGAAGCGTATCGGTGGCGATGCGCCTTTGAGCCCGCTCGGCGTGCAGTACGCTGAGCAACTAGACCGGTTTATCGACGCGTACTACCCGACTCCTGACACAGAGCTCGCAGTGTGGACATCAACGATGCTGCGCACGGGTATGACAGTAGAACGGATTGCGGCCCGTGGCCGGTCGATCGTGAAGTGGAAACAGCTAGACGAGATCGATGCCGGCATCTGCGACGGCATGACGTACGAGCAGGTGGCCGAGGAGATGCCGGAGGAGTATCTGGCGCGCAAGAACAACAAGCTGCACTACCGCTACCCGCGTGGCGAGTCGTACCAGGACGTGATCCACCGCCTCGAGCCGGTGATCACGGAGCTGATGCGCATGGACCAACCCGTGCTGATTGTGGCGCACCAGGCCATCCTGCGTGTGCTGTACGCTTACCTCACGAACAAGTCCCCGCACGAGTGCCCGACGCTCAACATCCCGCTGCACGTCGTGATCCAGGTCACGCCCAAGGCCTACAAGTGCGAGGAAGTGTGGCACCGCCCCATGTAGACATGAACCCAGCCAGATCAGCGCAGTTCCAACCCAGAAAACCCAAAACAAACCTAGCTCAAGGTATGACATCTCAAAATCTTTTGTCTGTCTAACGTCTGACTGGGATGAACCTACTTCACCGTAGCTAGCGACAGCCGTGGAACGGTAGACGCTGCTTTGCTGTGGATTCTGCGTGTTGCATACTCTTGCATTTTCTATCGCAGACCTAGATAATAAACCTCTAGCCGATTGTTGTTGGTGCCCACCGTTTGCTCGTCCAGCCTGCACTGGAGCTTGGTCTCCTCGTCCACGAACGCCAGGAACTTGTCGATGCCATCCTGGTTGCGTCGCTCCACGCCCATGATCACGACGCACTTGGGGTTCGCTTCACACAGCAGCTTCATGGTCTGCGCCAAAGCTCGCCACGACGTGCCGTACAGCGGCTCGTAGATGCAGTCGCAGGACAGCACCACGTCCACCTTCTCGTCGGGGTATTGCGCCAGGTACTCCTTCGTCTGCTGTACGCCCCAGCTCAGCGATCTCGCCACGATCGATCCCTTGCCATCGACATCCTCTCCAAGCTCTTCACCACCGGGAAGTCTCAGTACTTCCGCATTGGCCGCCAAATTCACGTGCATCAGGCGGAGCAGTTCGTCCTGCTCCGTGAGCACCACGTGCTTGGCACCCGCCACACGCGCCGCCATCCCCGGTACGCCACTGCATCAAAATCAGCATTACCATCAGTGATACTTCTCATTGCCAGCAAAAACTACCAACCAACGCACATTCCGGCGCCGAGTTCGATGACACGCAGGGAGTTGGTCGGATCCTCGAGTTGCTGGCGGTAGTCGGCCAGGAACCGTCGAGCCAAATGCACCGCGGCGTCCCACAGCAGCGTTCCGGCCCACGCCGCGCCGGAGAACAGCGGCGCGAGCTCGTCCGCTTGCTGCAGTAGGTAGTACATACAGTGCCATCAAACCGAGTCAGACGTGGCGTCGATCGAGAGGAGAGATATCTCTCTCTGAGCAACAATTTATGCAGCGAGAATTGGGGCGCGCACCATCAACAGCGTCAAGTTGAGCTCCTTATTAAGCACGCGCACGCGGGTGGACGCCTCCACCTTGTCCACGTTCTCCTCGGGGAAGACCTGCACGGGCGTCTCCATCATCGTCCGTCCACCCAATCCGCGACTTGTGACTGGGAACCCAGAAACGTCGGAGTATAAAACACGGTACCGTGTCTCGTCAGTAAAAATACCAACCGCTCACATACAATTTCCAAGTGTAATCGCTCCCAGCTCACCTAATAACTCGAAACCATTGCAGGATTTCCAAAACCAGAGAGAAAGCGAAGTCCTGGACCGATGGCCCACTGGTGGCGACGCGACGAGCTGCGCGCGCTGCTGCAGGCGTGGGAGCAATCGCTGGCGCCCCCGCGCGACCGCGAAGACATCGGCGGCGACGAGCTGCAGCGGCTGTACGCGCGCTTCGACGCGCTGCGGCCGCGCGACGCCGCCGCCATCCCCGTCCAGGACGTGGAAGCGCAGCGCCAGCGCCTGGTGCGCACCTTCCTGTTCCAGCGCGCGTTCGACGCCGAGAGCAAGCGCGGGGGCCGCCCCACGTGGTTCCAGCTGCCGCCGGCGCAGCAGGACACGCTGCGCCGCATGAACAGCCGCCTCGGGGAGCTGGCCGCCGTCACGCCCGACGAGTTCGAGCTGCTCACTCGCATCTGCGAGGAACCGGCAGCACCCCCGTCGCAGCTGCTGCAACCGGCACCTCAGGCGCCGACACCGGCACCGACACCGTCATTGATGGCCGACGAGATGCAGGCGGCGGCCGAGGCTTTGGCGGGGCTGCCCATGTTCCGTCCCAACAACCAGCCCCGACCCACCCTGTCGCCGTCATTGTCGCCCCCGTCGTCACCCATCCGTACGACCAACAAGGAGTCGGTGGGGCAGCAGTCCAAGCAAGAGGTGGCGTCGGATTCCGACGAGTTGTCGGTGGAGACGGCGTCGGACGCCGATGACTCCGAGTACGCACCGGCCAAGAAGAGCCGCAAGGAGAGGGAGATGGACTCGGACTACACCCCTCCCAAGGGCAAAGGCAAGGCCAAGGCCAAGATCTCCAAGTGGTCCAAACGCGACGAAAAGCGGTTGATTGCGGCGTGGCACGAGGTGGTGACGGTGCTGGCGGAGAACGGATATGCCGGATCTTTCGCGTCCCGGAACGAGGGGCTGCGACTGAACTCGCTCATTCACCAGAGGTATGCGGAGCTGTGTGACAACAACTCGGCGCGCACGAACCAGTCGACGGGGGCCAAGAAACACGCCATCATGATGGCGTTCCGGTCGCTGCGAGGGGTGCTCCGCACGCTGGCGTCCTTGAGCGAGCGTCCCAACTGGTTCGGGATGACCCCCGAGGAGAGGATGGAGCTGCAGAAAATGCACGGACACCACCACGAGCACGCGTGCTTGATCGAGAAGGATACGTACCAACAACTGGGCGAGATCGATCGGGCGCAGCGGCTTATTTCGACGCCGACGGCCAATGCGCTTCGGCCTCCGACCACACTGGACCAAATTCTCGGACGAACAAAAGACGGTGACTCCTTTGATTCTCGCAAAAAAGGCGGCAAGGTGTCTGGCAAGAGCAAGTATGAGGGTGGTCCGCCTCGAGGTTACGTGGTTACGCACCGATCTTCGGAGGAGGAGTCTGGGGATGAATTGTCGGATGATGGTGCTTCGACGCGAAATGGCCGAGTTGAAAACTCAAGTCGAGGTGGAAACTCGCGGGCAATCGTCTCATCAAGACATCCTCGGTCTTCTCCGAAGGAGGTGGCTCGGAGATCTAGTCGCGAGGTGAATCCTGCAGATGACATAGGAAGCACCGACGATTCCTCTCCTTCTAAGCGTCGTCGCACGGGGTTCAGCGATGCCAAGTGGGTAACTCGTCTCTTGGATGCTCAGACGCAGCGGTTCGAGGCGCTCCTCGCTGAGTTCCAGGAGGAGCGGCGACAGGAACGTCAACACAACATGGAGATCATCCTGGAGGCGCTCAAGCTGCGCAATGCGTCCGCGCAGAAGCCCGATCAGCCGTCGCAGTTCGTGGAGGCGTTGGTGGAGAAGCAGCGCCAGCACATGCTCGGCCTCTTCAACCAGATGCAAGACGAGCGCTCACAGGAGCGGGAGCAGGCTCGCATGCTGCTTCGAGAGCTGGGTGCGTCCCATCTCGTCAGCAGCGGCCAAGACGAAGGGCACAAGGACGGGTGAGTGGAGTGGCCGAGGAAGTGAGTTAGTATCAGCCCGCCATGCATGAATGGGGTAGACCCCTCTTTAGTCGTAACACTAGTCGCCTCAATTTCGACGTTGCATTGAATTGAATCGAACCGCATCCACCCCCAGCGTCGCAGCAACAAGCCTAGGGCAAGCAAGTAAACTAGATATCCCGCTCGAAACACTTCAATCCGTCGTCTAAAATTCCGATATTTCGTCTTTCCCTACAAACTTCAAGTGATCCATTTTTCAGCTTTTTTGGCCTCCATAGCCAGTGAGATTTTCGGCGACAAGCCAAAGCCGAAGACGGAGACGTCCAGGAGTCCCGCCGCTTCCAGAACCCCCACCTAGTTACCTCCCCGCCATGCCCCCTGCAAGCTCCGCCGCCAGAGTCAACGCGGCGTGGGGCAACGAAGAGCTGGGCCAGCTCGTCCAGGCCTGGGAGGAGGTGGTGGACGACCCCAAGGACCGACTCGTGCTGACCCCCGGTGAGCGCTCGACGCTGCACGCGCGCTTCTGCGCGCTGTCGGGCTCGAGCCGCCGCAGTCTGTCGTCGGTCACCCGGCAGCACCACCGGCTGTGCACGTCCTACCGCCTCATCGTGGACACCAACCGCCGCAGCCTGCGCGCCGGCACGCCCGGCTGGTTCGACCTGTCGGCGGCCGAGCAGCACGAGCTGCGTCGGGTGCACAACAAGAAGGAGAAGGGCATGACCGTGGTGAACCCGGAGCTCTTCAGCCAGCTCAACCGAGTCTGTGCCGGCACCGAAGCTGCAGTGACAACCCCCAAGCCCCCGGCCAAGAAACACAAAGGCAAAGAGGGAGCTCACCACCACCACCAGAAGAAGAAACCCGCTCCCGAACCGGAGGAGGAGGACGCGGACGACGCCTCGGACGTCTTGCAACCCAAGAACGCGTGGACCTCCAGGGACTGGACGCTGTTCGTGGACGCGTGGCAAGAGGCCGCCGACGAGTTCCTCGAGCTCGGCAATGAACCCGACGAGAAGGTCAAGCTGCCCAACTGGTTGATCCGACAGAAGTTCGTGGGCATGGGAGGGGCCCCCGATACGAGCGTGGGCTCGATCACGGCCAAGAAGCGGTGTATCATCCACTCGTACAACTTCATCCGCCAGTGCGTGGCCGGCTTGGAGGCGCTGGACGGATCCGACTGGTTCGACCTGACGTTCAACGAGCGATTCCGTCTGCAACGGAAGCTCGTGAGCCCCAAGTCCAGTCAGCGCGTGGGCTGCGAGATCGACCGCGATACGTTCCTCAAGATCGGAGCTATCCTGGAGAAAGAGGACATCCTGGGCGCGGTGACGGGCCGTAAACGCAAGCGCGGCCACAAGAAGGTTCGTCAGGAGTCGGTGTCGTCCGAGGGCTCGCTAGATGAGTCGCTACCGCGGTCACCCAGTCCCTTTCCATCCCGTGACGATGACGAAGTGTCGGACCCAGAGGAGACGCGGCCGATCACGAGGTATCCGCAATCTCCGGTGTCAGAGGACGAAGAGGAAGAAGAGGAGGAGGAGCTGTCCCCAGTGGACGAAAAGGTGGTGGAGTCGCTGCTCGAGGCGCAGAACGCGCGCTTCGAGCAGCTCATGCACGACCTGAGGGAGGAGCGAATGGAGGAGCGCAAACAGAACCAAGCCATGCTGCTGGAGATCCTGCACCAGCGGACACCGGCGGAAGACCCGAGTCAGAACGTGTCCTTCATGGAGTCGCTGGTGGGGAAGCAGCAGGAGCAGCTCCTGGATTTATTCGCGCAGATGCACAAGGAGCGGCAACAGGAGCGAGAGGACTTCCACGCGCTGCTGCGTCAGCTGTGCTCCCGACCAAGATCCTAAGAAGTGTCGGTAGTGCGAAGGACGTAGTACTTTGATTTAGGAGCATAGGTTGCTAGCGCATGAGCTGAATTGCCTGCCAAAACATCTAATACTTCAAGTATCACTTTATTCTCAAGTTGGTTGGGACGCTGCGATTGTCAAATTCCGCCAGACCGTCAGTTGGAAGACTTTAAGGTTCATCAAGGAGCCGAGGCGCTTACGTAGCGATGGTGAACGTCAACTCCTGGAACGAAACAGAGCTGGACGTCCTCGTTCAAGCGTGGAGCGAGGTGGAGGCCAAATATCCATTGATGCGTGGCTCCCGTAATGCTCACACGCTGCACGCGAAGTTGTACGCGTTGTTCTCGAAGCGGAGCAAGTTTACTCGGACGCCGACGGCACTGGAGCGTGTCAAGTATCGCCTCCGCAATTTCGCGTTGTTCGTGAAAAAGTTTGACGAGGGCCGTCGGAAAGATGGAGGAAGGCTCTGGTTTGACCTCAGCGTTGACGAGCGAGAGCAGCGCAGGAAGATGCTGCCCTCGAAAATCCGCGGATTGACGTCGAGCGTCAGTCGAAAGGCGTTCGCCACACTGCTGACGATGGAGCGAGCTCAGAGGTGGTTGGAGACCGCCCCTACCGACAGCGAGCAACACGAAGGCGCCCAAGACACTGAAATGAGCACAAGCTTTCTCTCCTCGCTGCCGTCATCGCCTCACCTTGGGCCACCGACTGCAACGCCAAAGGACCAAGACGCTGAAGAAGATGAGTTTTCGTCTCTGTTCGAGTCTACCAGCCCAAGTACTGGACTGCGTGATAGAGGGCTGGAAGAGGGTGAAACACCCAGCGAAGGCAGCTCGAGCAGCCCGATGTCGACTTTGGACGAAGATGAATCATCTTTTAAGTACACCATTGGCAAGACTTGGGCGTCGACGGTGGTGAACGGCAAGCGCGATCAAGAACCGCAACGCACTCTCAAGCACCGGGAGTGCAACGTCCTCCTCGAAAACATGGTCAAGCTGCAAAACAACAAAATGCGTCGAGCAGTGAAGAAGTTGCGAGCGGACATTGAAGGCGAAATCCAGCGCAGCTCCGAGATGTTGCGCTCTATCAGCAGCAACCAGCCTGACGAGGAGGAAAGCGAGGATGCCCCCTTCGTGTCTAAAGTGCTGGATATGCAACTGCAGCAAGTGCAGGACCGCTTTGACCAGTTCGAGGAGAAACAAAACAGCGAAGAAGCTGCCAACCGCACGCTGCTCAGCCGAGGCTTTCAATGAATGGATGGCCTGATGCATGTGTCCCGCCAACAACAGAATAGTATTTTGCAAAGATAATGTAGGGGTGAGTGAATGAAGATACTGTTTGGTTTTTCATTTTTTTTTCTTTTCAATGTTAATATTTGCGATTCTGCTGGGACCGTGCAGCAGAACGGAGTACACCGGCACCTTCCAGTTAAGACGGGGATCACTAGCAGCCATGGCGTGCGTCCTTGCCTGGACTAAGTCGGAAATCGACATCCTCGTTCAGGCCTGGAGCGAGGTAGAGGCCAAGTATCCTTCCTTGCGCTGTCCTCGTGGCTCAGGCACGCTCAACACCAAGGTGTACGCGTTGTTCTCCAAGCGCAGCAGATTTTCGCGGTCAGCTCTCGCGGTGAAACACACACAGCAACACATCCGCAACTTTGTCTTGTTTGTGGACCGGTACGACAAAGATCGTCAAAAGGATGGAGAGCGTCGCTGGTACCAGCTCAGTGTCGATGAACGTGAGCAACGTCGTGGACTCGTACCGCGCAGGGCACGCGGGTTGACGACAGCCCTTGGACGAAGCGCGTTTGCCAAGCTGCTCAAGATGGAGCGAGTTCAGAGGTGGCTGGGCGGAGGGTCAGGCGAGGAGCTGCAACAGCAAGAACAAGCTGAAGCGGCTTCGCCCACCTCAAGTTTTCACTCCCCGCGGTCCGAGTCACCCGAGTCCGAGTTCGGTGCTTCACTTACCCATACTTGCTCTCCGCTCTCCGGGGATAACACACCGGGTACCGAGCACGATACTGAAAGGATCGAGGATCATTTCCAGATCCCGGAACCTCACAACTCTGACACCAGCACGTGCAGTTTGCACTCGAGGTCGGGGGATGAAGACTCGCCGATGTCTACTGCGTCTACCGCGAGCCAAGGCGTGCCATTAAAGCGTGTTAGTACAGCTGAGAAACCAGGGAAAGTAAAGAAGGTGAAGACCGACATGGAGGTTCAAGGCAAACTCAAGCACCGAGACTGCAACATTCTACTGGAAAACCTGATGCAGCTGCACAACACCAAGATGCGTCGAGCTGTCGGCAAGTTGAGAGCGGATATCGAGGGCGAAATCCAGCGCAGCTCGGAGATGCTGCTCTCCATCCTCAGCAACCAGTTCAAGGACCCCAGTCGCAGTGGCGACGTCGCTTTTGTGACGAAAGTGCTGGGTATGCAAAAGCAACAAGTGCGCGATCGGTTCGACCGGTTTGAAATGAAGCGCGCGAAAGATGAAGCTGAGTGTCGCGCGCTTGTTGGCCAGCGCTTCGTGTAGGTTGGTAGGAAGGTTGTTCCACCAACATTCATTTGTCGTTCAAATAACCCAATAACAAGTTGTTCAACGCCAAAGGCCCTTTCTCATTTTCGCATTGCTCCTTGTTGGGAAAACGCCCTCTGTGTAGGTAGAGTAAGTAGCTATGAGCTCCATGAAGCCGAGGAAGAAGCACGTGGCTCGACTCGGCCCCAGCTTCCTCCATCCTGACTGGACCAAGTCGGACATTTCTCTTCTGATCGAAATCTGGAGCGACCTGGAAACCGGTGTCGCTGCCTGCCGCATTGACCCGCAGGATTTAGCCGGAGGTATGGACAAGCGCATCGCTGCGTTGCTGCCGAAGCAGAGTAAAACTCCTCGCTCAGCGACGTCTATCTCGTGTCAGCGCCAACATTTGTACAAGGCCGTTCGATTCATTAGCCGCTTTGATGAGTTGCAACAAGAATCGGGCAAACGCTCGTGGTTCGACCTGTCGAAGGAGGAGCAAGATCGAGTGGAGGTCCCTACTCGGGAACGGAAAGCCTGCGAGAATCTCACGCGGGAGTCGTTCATCAAGCTCCTCAAGCTGAAATCGGTCAAGAAATGGGCAAACGCGAACAATATCGCGCTATCGAAGCCCAAAGTTGTCACTACAGCTGTGGCGGTGAATCAAAAGACCCTCAGCTTGTCGAGTTGCCACTCTTGCTGGTCTGCCTCGGAATTGAGGGATCTCGTACGGTCTTGGAGCCTCGTTATGAAGAAATCGAGGACTCCTGTAAGAGACTTCGTCACGCAAGAGTACGACCAGTCTAGCGCAACGCTGTACACGTCGTGGCATCATTCGACCACCAGCGCGTGGCGCAAAATGAAGCGACTTGCAGCTTCGTATTTGTTCATTCGGAATTTTGACGTGCGGAATGCGCCGGCGCAGTGGTTCCAGCTCTCGGATGGAACGCAAAACTCGTGGATGGATTGGAACGCACTTCCACCAGACTTTGAAGATATCCCTCGAGAGATTTTTGACGAAATTCAAGCCGTAGATGCTGATTTTGACGGTGTTTCATCGGCCAGTGTGAAGGATCAAACGTCTTACACTAAGCCACGAAATGCCGTGATGAAGTGGAAGGTATCCTCTCCACTATCCGACAACTATTCGAGTTCAGCAGAAAGCTCTGAAGAAAGCAAGAAAGGCCGGTGTTTATCTCCACCAAGGCCCAAACTGCGTACCAAGTCGCCACATCTTCCCTACCGAAGCCCAACCAAAGCTGAAGATATTCCCAAGCGAACGGGCTACCACCAGGAGTGCAACACCCTGTACGAAGAAGTTGAGCAACTCCAGAACAAGCAGTTCAAGCAGAATATTACCCGGTTGCGGACGGATATCGAGCGCGACATCCGCCTCAGCGCTGACACGATTCGCGCTGTATTCTTTGAGCGACTTGGCGAGCCGGGCCAAAGCGGAGACGCCACTTTCGTCGCGAATATACTCGAGGGGCAGCAGCGTCGAATTCACGAGCGTCTCGTCCAGTTCCAGAGGGAGCAGTGCGGAGGGGTATCTGAGTACGTGTTTAATAAGCCGCTGAAGCGTTGATGCTGAATCAAGCTGGAGAAAACATTGTGTTGTTGTATTGTTGGTATCTACACCCGCCAAAGATTACTCAAAAGAATTTTACTGTTGCTGCACGACGCTATCATCCTCCGTTTGCTGGACGGGGTTCTCCGCAGTTTGTGGAGTGGAGCTTCCATCGCTCTGTCGACTGGACCCGCTGCTACTCTGGTTCAATTGTGAGAAGTTAATCTGCTTCTGTTGAGAGGAGTCAGTCTGTGTCTGCGGGGCTGGAGTAGCACCAGGAGTAGCAGTCGGTGTGCTCTGCGATTGCTGAGCATTGCTTCCTTGGCCAGATCCCTCCTCTGCGAACATGTAGACGGACGAAAGTGCCTTTGCGTACGTGTCCGGCCAGTTGTCCCAGTTGACACTGAAGAGCAGGTTCGACCCGCACGCACTGCCCAATCCCGGCACCGAGATGTAGCCTGGTTCCCAGTAGAAAATGCCAGCCCCCAGCCCATTCGGCAAGCCTTCCAGCACGTCCATGATGGCCATGACCCACTCACGCTGGCCGCGCGCACTAACCGCGAACTTCTCACTCAGCGTGACGGTCGTGCAGTTCGTGGGCCAGTCCGTCTCCGCGACGTAGATCGGCTTCTTGTAGGTGTTGGCCATTTGAGTGAGCGACTCGGTGAGCGCCTTGAGCGTCGCGTTCACATTGTAGTACGGGTAGTACGAGAACCCGAACACGTCCACGTCGTCGGTAGTGACCGTTCCTTCAGCGAAAAGCCCTTTGAAGAACCACGACACGACCTCCGACTCCCAGCCGTTGTCCAAGTGAATCATGATCTTGGGCTGCTTCGTTCCAGCGGCCACAGCATCGGAGACGCCGTCGCGCGCAGCCTTCCAGAGCTTGGCGAAGGGGCCAAAGTCCTTGCCGATCTTGCCCGTCGGGTAGAGGAACCCGTTCGTGATCTCGTTGCCAATCGACAAGATGTCGAGCTCCACGCCGCCCTCCGTGAACGCCTTCAACGTCGAGCTGACGTGTTCCCTGCACGCCTTCGCCAGAGTGTCCACGGACGAGGCGTCCCAAGCTGACGGAGTCTGCTGGTCGCTAGGCTGAGCCCACGTGTCCGAGAAGTGCATGTCCAGGAAAATCTTGTAGCCGGCCTTCGAGAAGCGCTGAGCCAGCGGCAGCGTGTAGTTCAACGCGTACTCCTCCCCAGTCCAAATACTGCCGCAATACCAATAAAGTTAGGGCTATGTAAACGTTGAAAGCCTAGCAGATTGCTACGAACGCACCGCAGGCGCACGCTGTCCATGCCGCCAGCTCCGAGGATGTCTTCGATCGCGGCCTGCTTGCCCGCCGTGTTGTACCAAACCGTCCCCTGCTCCTTCTCCATGACCGCGACGGAAGATAAGTCGTGGCCCTTGACCAACGCCTGGACGCCATCGACCAGCAGCGCGGACGCACACGCTGCAGCCCCGAGCAACGTCCTCCGAGCGAACATGGCCCAAATGTGTTGCTCACGGCGGAAGAAACTCGAATTGACGCGAGCACATCCGATGCGCTGCGGGCGAACGCACGACCATAGAGGTCGGAGATTAGAGAACGAACAGCGCAGCGCAGCCCTCTCATCTATGAACCACCGAAGGCAATGCGAAGGTCCCATCCTGAGCTCTTGCTGCCCTTGCAGCTGGTGCCGACAGTCAACTGAGCTGCATTGGCCCAAGAGCAAACAATTAATGCCATAGTGATGGCGACGGCCAGCCACCTCGAAGTCCAGGTATCTCGTCGCGGGTGGAGCAGTCGATTATTCCCATCTCAACTTTGCTCAGATGGACTGCATTTAGGGATTAGGGCATGACCAATACTGGAAACAAGATAAACAACGGTTATTAGTACTTTTTGGCTCAGCAATTCCAGCTCACTTTCAAACGTCACTTTGGTCTCCGGCCGTAGGTATTCAGGCGAACATGTTGACCGAGGAGAGCGCCGTCGCGTACGTCTCGGGCCAATTGTCCCAGTTGACGCTGAAGAGCAGCGCGGACTCGCACGAGCTGCCCAGACCCGCCACCGACAGGTATCCAGGCTCCCAGTAGAAAATACCGGCGCCCAAATTGTTGGGCAGGCCATTGAGCGCATCCATGACGGCGATCACCCACTCGCGCTGGCCCTCGGCGTTCACGGGGTAATCAGCACTCAGCGTGACCTTCGTGCACTCCGTGGGCCAGTCGGTCTCGGCGATGTACAGGGGCTTGTTGTACGTGTTGGCCAGCTGAGTCAAGGACGTTGTCAGCGCGTCGATCGTCGCCGCCGTGTTGTAGAACGGGTAGAACGAGAACCCGAAGACGTCCACGTCGTCCGTGGTTACCGTTCCTTCTGCGAAGAGCCCCTTGAAGAAGCTTGACACGGTCGTGGACTTCCATCCGTTTTCCAGGTGGATCATGATCTTGGGCTGCTTCGAACCAGCGGATACGGCGTCGGTCACACCTTGTCGCGCCGCCTTCCATAGTGTAGCAAAGTTACTGAAGTCGTTGTCGCTGATCTTCCCAGTCGGGAAGAGGAATCCACCGCTGATTTCGTTGCCCAATGACAGGATTTCGAGGTCGACGCCTCCGTCCGTGAAGGATTTCAGCGTTGATGTCACGTAGGCCTGAATATCGGCTGCGAGTGTTGTGACGGACGAGGCGTCCCAGGATGAAGGGATGGCCTGCGCGGTGGGGTCCGCCCACGTGTCGGAGAAGTGCATGTCCAAGTAGATTTTGTAGCCCGCCTTGGAGAACCGCTGGGCCAGCGCCATAGTGTAGTCCAAGTCGTAGTCTCCGGACGTCCAAAGACTGTTGAACAAACTGTGAGCTGTTTGCCAAAATCGTACAGCTAGATGTCGTTAAGCTTAACGTACCGAAGTCGCACCGCGTCCATGCCTCCAGCGCCAAGGATGGACTCGATCGTGGTCGTGTTGCCGGAAGTGGATATCCAGTTGGCGCCTTGGCTGGTCTCCATAAGGCCAACGGACGATAAGTCATGGCCCTTAGTCAACGCAGAAGCTGTGTCGAGCGTAGTTGCTGCGCATATGCCGCCGAAAAAGAGTACTGCCTTGAGGAACATGCTGCGTTGTGTATCGAGCCGTGAAATCGGGAAATGAAGTCTGACCTCGACTAACGCCGACTTCCGCACCCTGGAGATATTTTACACTCAAGGAAGATACCTCGGGCAGGTGGCGATACTTTACATGACCCGCGAGATCTAGCGGGCATCCAGCTGGAAATGTAGCGAAACTCGATCGGGATTAGCTGGTGACTGCTACGGAAGACACGCCACGAGCTGGCGAGTCAGTTCTTACGAGTAATGGCCTTCGGAACTGGTTTGTGGTTCGTCCTCGCGATAGTGCTACGAGTTGACCCCACGGTGAGGTTCTAAAACATTGAATACGACGTTTTTTTTCAAGAACCAGCAATGTACATCACGATTTCAAGAACTTTGAAGTTGTTTTTTTTCATGGCGAATATACTGAGCTTCCCAGCCAGAGTTGCGGGTGACAAGTAGTTAAACGAAACCAAGCTCTCGACGTTTTGTTCGTTCACCACCAGGCTCTCTACTGTAGATTCGAAGCTCTAACCAAATTTGAGAGTCATCTCGGTTGAACCGTTCTCGGCTAGGCAAACATGTCGACGGACGAGAGCGCAGTAGCGTTCGCCTGGGACGCATTGCCCCAGTCTACATCGAACAGAAGCGCCGACTGGCACGAGCTGCCCAGACTCGCCACCTTGATGTACGCGGGTTCCCAGTAGTAAATACCAGCGCCCAGACCATTCGGCAATCCTTCAAGCACTTCCTCAATAGCCTTCACCCACTGCACTTGGCCCTCGGGGCTCACGGGGTAGTCCGCACTCAGCGAGACGTTCTCACACGCAAGGGCCAGTCGGTCTCCGCCACGTAGAGCGGTTTGTTGTATTCACCCGCAATTTGTGTCAGCGAGGTGTTGAGCGCCGAGATCGGGTAGAACGAGAACCCGAACACGTCCACGTCGCTGGTAGACACCGTGCCGGTCGCGAAGAGCCCACTGAAGAAGCTCGACACGGTCGTGTACTTCCAGCCGTTGTCGATGTGGATCATGACCTTGGGCTTGGGCGTGCCGGCGGCCACGGCGTCGTTCACGCCCTGACGCGCCGCCTTCCAGAGCGTGGCGAAGTTGGCGTAGTTGCCCGACGAGATCTTGCCGGTCGGCCACATGAAGCCGTAGGTGATCTCGTTGCCGAGCGACACGATGTCGAGCGTCACGCCGGCGGCGGTGAACGACTTGAGTGTGGATGACACGTAGGCCCTGGCGCTGGCGGCCAGCGTGGTGACCGACGCGGCGTTGAAGGACGTGGGCGTGGCCTGCTTGGTGGGGTCGGCCCACGTGTCGGAGAAGTGCATGTCGAGGTAGATCTTGTAGCCCAGCCCGCCTTGGAGAAGCGCTTGGCCAAGGCCAACGTGTAGTCGAGGTCGTAGTCACTGCTCGTCCAGGTACTAAATCGAATTGTAAAGCATGTTAATGGTAAGATTTCCTGAAGCTATGAAGCATGGGATGAACGTACCGAAGTCGGACGCTGTCCATGCCACCAGAACCGAGGATGTCTTCGATTGGAGTCCCCTTGCCCTTCGTATTGTACCAAACTGCTCCCTGTTCCTTCTCCACGAGCCGGACGGACGACAAGTCATGGCCCTTGGTGAGCGCCTGCACTTCGTTCATCAGCAGAGCTGTAAACGCTACAACGCAGAGCAACGGACTGCGAGAAGACATGGTTCACTGTCAAAACCCGAAATGGTACATTTTGAGGATGTGTAAGGCTCGATCATCCCAAGTCAGAGTAAACACCAGCTGACTGCCACTCACACCCATGCTGTATCTGTCTGTATCTAGGTGCTCATGGCTCTAGGCTACATCATCCCCATCTTAGCGGTGTTCATCGAACCGCATTTGGGGGGGGTCAGCTCAGAGATCAACTGGAAATCACGGATGCGAAAGCTACAATATAATAAGATCGACGCCCGTAACTTTGATCCACACGGAACAACCCCAGTGCTACATGTCTGTTTTAACTTTGGTTATGCGAGTCTAGCGGGCTCTCTTCTTGTACACCATTTCTATCGTTACTCCTAGACCTTGCAAACAAATACTTATCCACGCACGACACCATCCTACCGGTACTTCAATCCTCACACGATCATCTCGCGGCCCCCTTCAGTGCAGCACAACATCGCTTGGATCCACGCGCGCCACAACATCCGGTCCAGTCGAGCCATTGCGCGGTGGATCCAGTCCAGCACCCAGCAGCCCTTGCATCAATGAGCGGACTTCAGCTCCATTCTGACTGCAGACCTCATCTGCGTTGCGAAGCGCCGACATCAAGCGGTTGCTCTGCTGGCTCATGACTAGCTCCATGTGCTTGAGCAGACCTGCTCTGTTGGTCCACGCGCGGTGATCAAGTTGCATGGTTCGGATGCATTCTAGAGTGCGTTCGTCTTCTTGCTCCAACACGTTTAACAGGCGATGAAACCCCTCCTGTACGTCCTTCCTGTGTTTTTCCACGGCCGACAGAAGGGAACCGCTTACATTAGTGCAAGGCGTCACCTCCGCCGGCTCCAGATCAACCGGCTGCATTTTAGGCGCACCTTCGTCTTCAATGCTATCGCTTGCCTGGATACTCGGTATCAAACGCGTATCGGGTGTCAAGGCTGCATAGTTCATGGAAGGCAGAACAGCCACCGCTGCTGGCTGTAGCACCTCGAATTCGCCGTCCAAGTCGTCGTCTTCTAGCAACAACTGATCAAGCGCAGTGTCGGAAGTGGCAGACGCATCCGCTCCGATCCCAACGTTCGCCGGGCACAGTAGAGCCAACTGCACGAGGTTGGGCGGTATCAGACCGTCTTGGAGTGGTGTTGAGATGGCTTTGGGCGACAAAGGGGCGACGAGTTCGGATTCGTTCTTCAGCTTGGGCTCCACCTTCACCTCTCCCCAGTACTTCGGCGCGGCCTGCTCCATCGCGTCGAACACTTCCTGCTCCAGCGCCTCGAAGTTGTCTGGCAACTCCCCCCACATCAGCAGGAAGTCTTGCTCGTCGTCGTCCAGCTCGAACCACCCAGGCTGGTTCTGCGCGTTAAACGCGCTGATGAACTCCCAAGAGGCCACAAGCGCGTGAAGTTTCTTCCACGAAGTTAAGGTCGATCGACCGGGACACGCGAGACGCCTGTACGTTCGACTGTCGTACTCCATCTTCATGAACTCCGCCAGCATAAGCCCGTGACGCGTCAGGAACTGTCCCCACTTCTCCGCCAGTAGAACCTCATCCTGCGTCGACCAGCACCGTTGGCGCTTGGTACGGACTTTCACGCGCGGCTTGTCACTCTTTGGGACTCTTCTCGTACGCTTCAAGAAGCCGCCAAATTGCGCTTCCATGGGCAGAACGGTGTCCTTGAACACAGTGAACGACTCGGGCGTGAACGTCGTGATCTGGCGCCTCCACTCCATCGGGATGTCGACCTTGAGCTGCTCTTCGCAGGACAGCTCAAACCACAGACGCCCTCCTTGGGTCTGCTCACTACGGTCGAAGTCAGACACGAACCTGGCGAAGTGCACCATCCGGTTACGTTGAGTGTCCACCGCGGCAGGAGAGCGCCGGAGCTGGCCCGTGCGGATGCAGCGGCTGTTGTAGCGGTCGAAGATGGCCTTGCTGCGCCGCTCACCGGCCAGTGCCTTGGTGCCGGGGGTGGAGCACACTTTTGCCCACTCCTCGACCAACATGGTCACCTCCTCAGCCGTCCACCGCACCTTCAAAGCGGCCTTGCACTCCATCGTCCGTTGCTCAAATGATGTTGAGCGACCAACATCGAAGTCGAAGTTTTCGTTGGGACGGGCCAAGCCTTGAGACTCGCCGCGGTGCTCGCCTACTTCATCCGCCAGTTGACTCGGAAAGGGGCGCGCAGGTTCTCAACGCTCGTGACTCGGTGTGGTGCTTGGTCCCTGGTGGCGAAGTCTACCGCGGGCACCCGAAAAAATAATACTCATAAAAATACATTCGAATACTTTAATTCAATGATTAATTTTAGACCCTCAATTTATTTTTGAATTGCACACAATTCGTATTTGAATTGCTCAGATGGAGTTCGTTGCAGCCACCAGTGTCCGCCGAAGAGTCCACCACCAACCACTCGCCGATCTGGCACCACTTCACCGCACCACTCGCAGTGGAGACTCCTTCAGAAGCAAATTTGCTTTCTTCACCCCTCACCGCCCAAGCCCTCGCCCCACGTGTCCACCATGGTCCTCACGAGCAGCCAAATCTGCTCCATGCTTTTCACTGATGTCGGCAACGGCTTCTACAAGTGTACATCCTGCGACAAGCAGTACAAGAAGGGCAATGGCTACACGAACCTGCTGAGCCACCTGCGGCGCAACCACGACAACTACGAGCAAGAGGCCCAGGAGGCGTCACGCCGCCAGAACCCGCTGCGCCTACATCTCGTCAGCACACGGACCAGGGACCTATACCACTGGCTCGAGTGGGTCGTCTGCGACCGCCTCCCGTTTGCGTTCGTAGAGCGGCGGCTCACGCGCCTCAACGCCTCCATCTCTCTCGTGTCGGAGGACACCCTCTCCAAGTACATCGTGCTGATTTTCAAGCTGCTAGAGCTGCGCGTCGCTCGCGAGCGCCCTGCATCGTTCGGCCTCGTTCTAGACGGGTGGACCAGTGGTGGTCGTCACTACATCGCGATATTCGCGGTATTCGGCAGCGACAGTACCGGTATTACCGGTGGCGGCGCTGACAACGAGTACTATGACGATCTCGAGTGCTCATCGCGCCGCTTCGTGCTGTTAACATTCGCTCCAGTAGAGGTCGAGGAAGACATGGGTGCGCAGAGTCAGTACGACCTGATCGCTGACACGTTGTCTCGCTATAACAAGCCCTGGATCGCGGTGAAGTTCATGGTGGGAGACAACTGCTCTGTGAACCAATGCATCGGCCGGAATGAAGGGGCTATCCCCTTCATTGGATGTGCTAGCCACAGATTCAATTTGGCGGTGAAGGACTTCCTCAAGACAGAGGACGAGCTCATTGCGAAGGTGCACGCGCTGATGACCAAGCTCCGGACGATCAAGGGCCGCGCTCTGCTTCGCCGCGTCTCCCATCTGTCGCCTCTGTTGAGGAACGACACCAGGTGGTCGAGCACGTACGAGATGGTGGCGCGCTATGTGAAGCTCCAGCCCGCCATAATCAAGCTGGGCCATGACCTTCTGGTCAAGTACGAAGTACAGCCGCTTTTGCTGCGGCGCGCCGAGCCAAGGCGTTGGAGAAGGACCTGGAGAAGTTCGAGGTAGTCACAAAAGAGCTACAGAGGTCTACGCTAACTTTGTCTGCTGCGCGCCGTCTATTTGAACAGGTCGTGAAGGAGTCCCCTGCACTCAAGTCACGACTGGCCGCAACGGCTCCGATCGTCAACAACCCGCATTTAGAACTGGGCCTCGTCAAGCTTCAGCGCGAAGAGGCGTTGACGGCCGCGGAACGGTCGGCGTGTGCCGAGTTTAGATTGACGACCCTTGAAAGGGCACCAGCGCGGGAGGACGGCAACAGCTCTATCGTCAAGGCGGTGTTCAAGAAGAGGAAGGCACCGAGGCGCTCGCAATACGTGGACGTTGCCTACGTGCCGCCGACGTCCAACGAATGCGAGCGCTTTTTTTCGGCGGCGAAGCTGGTGCTCACAGACGTGCGGAAGAGTCTCTCCCCCACCATGCTCGAGATGCTGATGTGTCTGCAGTACAACCGCGACTTGTGGGACGTCAACACGGTGGAGCAGGTTCGTGCACGAATTGGCAGCAATTAATGGCAATAATGCAATGATTAATTTTTGCCCGCAGTTTAGAAGTATTAATCTAAGTATTGCATTCTCGGGTGCCCTGGCGTGGTGATTGAACATGGTGACGAAGCTGGAGTCATTTTCATGTATCGTTGCCGTGAAATTCAAGTTGATCGTCATACATCCCGTTGCTCACTGTGCCAGGACGCTTTGCACCGTCAACGACTTCAACCAAGCAGAGAAACTACCGAAAAGCGTCGGTGGCACGTGGCACGTTGAAGACCGGAAGCGCGAGTGGTAGCACCGGGTGCTTCACCATCGGACCAGATCGAGGCAAACTAAACAACTCTGTGGCGGTGGTGGTCGTGGACGCCATGGTCTCCTCCCCCTCCTTCAAGGAGTCTCTGATCTACGAACACTAAGTGCACTCGAGGTGCTCGAAGGCAGCTCATTCATTATCCATTTCCAAGCCTCCTTCACACGTCGTTCAAGCCATCGGAAAACAACCGGCACCATGTTCCTCAAGACCGCGGTGCTCGTTGTCGGGGCGTTGGTCGCCAGCGTCTTCACCCCCTCCACCACTGCAGCGCTGACCAAGGGCCACGATCTCTCCTCCGTCGCTATGATGGAGTCTTCCCAAGGCGCCAAGTGGATCTCCACCGCCGGCAAGACGACGACCATCGAAACGATCCTCGGCGAGGGCGGCATGAACGCGGTGCGACTCCGGTACGCCAACCTCTTTTCCATCCTATAACTCTACGCAGACATCTTACTGTTACTGTTGTTGCTCCGCAGCCTTTGGACGGCCGGGCAGTACGACTTGAGCTACACATTGTCCCTGGCCAAGCGCTTCTCCAAGGCGGGCTACAAGATCTACCTCGACATGCACTTCTCCGACACGTGGGCCGACCCCACCAAGCAGGCCACGCCCACGTCCTTCAACGCCGCGTCGGTCACCACGCTGGCCGCCAGCGCCAGGGCCTACGTGTCATCCACACTCAAGTCGTTCACCGCCGCCGGCGTGACGCTCGACATCGTGTCGCTCGGCAACGAGATCACCTACGGCTTCATGTGGCCGACCGGCAAGATCTCGTCGGGCAACTACGCCAACTTCGCCACGCTCTGGAAGGCGGCGCGTCAGGGCGTGAACGACGCCGTGGCCACCGGCACGCCCAAGCCCAAGGTCATGATCCACATCGACAACGGCTGGAAGTACACGACCGTGTCGAGCTTCTTCAGTGGGCTCTTCGCGACCGGCACGGTGTCTACCAGCGACGTGGACGTGTTCGGGTTCTCGTTCTACCCGTTCTACAACACGGCGGCCACGATCTCGGCGCTCACGTCGTCGTTGACCCAGATCGCCAACACGTACAAGAAGCCCATCTACATCGCCGAGACCGACTGGCCCACGGAGTGCACCAAGGTCATGCTCAGCGCCTCGTACCCGATCAACGCCAAGGGCCAGCGGGAGTGGGTAGTCGCCATCATGGGCGTGCTCAATGGCCTGCCCAACAGTTTGGGCGCCGGTATTTTCTACTGGGAGCCTGGATACCTGTCGGTGGCGGGTCTGGGCAGCTCGTGCGAGTCCGCGCTGCTCTTCAGCGTCAACTGGGCCAACTGGCCCGTGACGTACGCCACAGCGCTCTCGTCCGTGTACATGTTTGCTTAGCTTTGAGGTTTGAGCATCGGGCGTTTGGCCCTGGATCGTTGTTAACCAAACCGTGAATTGCATTGAGTTTTGCTGGTTGAGTGTTGTCTTGCCCCCAACCTACATATACAGAGGCGATTCGAAACATACCGTACGCATAGCCAACGTGAGCGATGCGATCATGGTTGATTTGAAAATGTGGGTCGTCTTTTGGTCGGTTGTCTTCAACGTGCAGTGCAGCAGTGATGGCAGCACCGTGCTGCTGAGCACGCGCCTCGCAACAGCAGCACGCGTCAACAAACGGGCCTCACAGGTTGCAGAAGCCGTCACCAAATGCGCCAGTCGTATGATACTTCAGCCAGAGCGCTTTGCGCGTTGGCCTTGAAGCGAGATCTTCAACCAAGCGGTCTGGTTAGATCTTGCGTCGTCTACAGCAGCGTTGCGTTCGAACAGTGCAGATTGAAGTTTCTGCTGCCCCGAAGTTCAAGGCGATGCTTGGACAGTGTGTTGAGGTACTACTCGTACTCGGACCTCCGATCAGGCCTTCGTAAACAACTCTTGGCGAGTCAGGCTGCATTTCTACCGCTGCCTGCTGCACCCATCCTTCCTCTCAATTACGAACACCAGTCCACTACCCATTCCATTCCCGATGACAGGGATCTCATTCCCCATTTTCCACTCTCGGCCACAAGTCGCACGTCACACTCAAGAGAGAAGAACCACGAGCGGCATGTTCCTCAAGACGGCACTTCTCTTCGCCGGCGCCTGCGTTGCCGGTGTGCTCAACTCGGCCTCCGCAGCTTTGCTCAATGGCCATGACCTGTCCTCCGTCTCCATCATGGAGACCGCCGAAGGCGCCCACTGGATCGACACCTCGGGCAATTTCTCCACCATCGAGACCATCCTCGGAGGTGGCGGCATGCAGGCTGTGCGTCTCCGGTACGTCACCCATAATAACACTGTCACCTCGAACCACAAGCTCACCATATCCTCTTTGTGTATCAGCATCTGGACGGCCGGCGACTACGACCTCAACTACACGCTGGCCCAGGCCCAGCGGTACGCTAAGGCCGGGTTCAAGATCTACCTGGACATGCACTTCTCCGACACGTGGGCCGACCCGCACCACCAGAACATCCCTGCAGCCTGGGACAACTCGTCCGTGGAGACGCTGGCCGCCGACCTGCAGGCCTACGTGACGACGACGCTCCAGGCCTTCACGGACGGCGGCATCGACCTCGAGATCCTATCGCTGGGCAACGAGATCACTATCGGCTTCCTCTGGCCGACCGGCAAACTCGACACGGACAACTACAACGACTTCGCTACGCTCTGGAAGGCCGCGCGTCTGGGCGTGACGGACGCCGTGGCGCAGGGCACCAAGCAGCCGCAGATCATGATCCACGTCGACAACGGATGGGACTACGACTACGTGACCAAGTTCTTCACGGGTCTGTTCGCCAACGGTACCGTGACCCCCGACGACGTGGACGTCTTCGGGTTCTCCTTCTACCCGTTCTACGGGGTGGAGGCCACGATCGACGCGCTCAACTCGTCGCTGACTCAAGTCGCTAAGGACTACGATAAGCCGCTCTACGTTGCCGAGACCAACTGGCCCGTGGCGTGCGAGAACGTCTCACTGAGCGCGGACTACCCGGTGAGCCCCGAGGGTCAAGTCCAGTGGGTGAACGCCATCAAGGAGGTGCTCGAAGGCCTGCCGAATGGTCTGGGCGCTGGTATCTACTACTGGGAACCCGCGTACATCAAGGTGGCGAGTCTGGGCAGCTCGTGCCAGTCGGCACTTCTGTTCGATGTGGACTGGGCTACCTGGCCGATGACGTACGCTACGGCGTACTCGTCCGTCAACATGTTTGTCTAGAGTACATGTAGACGAGGTTCTGATGAAGTTGATGACTACGCGTAACTTCAAACTAAACGTGAATTCGGAGTAAAAGCCTCTGCATCATTGTTACCTTGCTCGACAAAATGGTAGTAGTACTAGTATTCATATCCATAGGTTGTATTCACCATGAACTCATGAGTTAGCCACGCTAACTTCGAGATAATTTTATTGATGGATCGAGGTTAGACCATGGCGGACGTCGAGTAACTTTTGGGAACAAGCAAAACAATGAAGTGCAGTTTCTAGCAAAAATAGGATTGACCTGCAGCGGGACAATGGCAACGAGTGGGGTATTTCAGGCAGCGCCCAGGACCTCGCGCGGTAAGTCTATGTGTGATGGTCATAGCCCAGTCTGCCAAACCTTTTGAACTTGCGGTAGCGACGAATCGGCAATGGAGGCACACCACCGAAAGAATCACCATGAGCTGCCACCGACTCGCCTGACGAGCTCCGAAGGGGATCAAGTCCCCGATCAGACCGAACAAGTGAACCACCGCCGAACGTCTTTCGATCAAGCGTCCGATCACAGTCTAGCAGCACATTTGAGTGAGCTCATGACTACTATTTACTCTCTGTCTAACATACGCCACGCCGCTGCAAGCGTTCAAGTCCAGCCTGTCAGCTCAATCTCACGAAAATCTTCACTAAAAGCCAAACTCAGTCGCGTCCGGTCTTCCATTCGAGTCGTTTACTTCAAGGAGTGCTTTTACGAAGTCTACGGCACGCTGGGACTGGTCATGCTTCTAGCTTTCACGCTGTCGTTCCTCGCCATGGTGTACATGACAGTGGCGCAAGTAATGCCCAACTGGATGGCGAACTTCCTGATGGGCACGGCAAGTCTCGACAAGGGCGAGTTCCTGCTGATGTCCAAGCCATCGCAAGCTATTGTCGTGACGTCTGCGTTGATGCTATCGGTGTTCGCCTGCTTGTACCTCTGGCTGATCGTCTTCATGCTCTCGTACAACAGTGAAACCACTGTCAACAACCTGGCTCAAGCTCCGAATCCAAAATCGCTATCGTATCATGTGATGCAAAAGTTGCTGCCACTATTGAAGCGTATCCAGGCCCAAACGAGACGCACACCATACCAGACACCAGCCGCGGTTGTGACTACTCCGCCAAAGAAGAGATCATTCGAAAACTTGGGAATGAAAGTGAACCGAAGTTCACTATCCAGCTCCCAAACCCCCCAGACCTCGTCGATTAGCTCGCGTACTTCGTCATTTGGCTCACGTACGGCCAGCAAGTTGATATTCGACTTCACCAGCATGGAGGGGATATATCACCGCTACTACGTACGTTTAACTTCGTAGACAGAGTTGAGTGTGAATACTTACACATCGTTTACGTGGCTAGGACGCGTTGCTGGACTTCCCAAAGCTGATTTTCCAGACCATGAGCCTGTCGGGGTATCTGAGCAAGGGATTTCCATTGCCGATTATCTTTTTCTACGTGCTGCCGCTGGGGTTCAACTGGCTTATCTCATTCTACAGATTCCAGCGGAATAAGCCCGATCCGATGCTTGTGGTTGCTCGAGTGTTTTATCTGTGAGTACTACATAGATTCACGTTGGATATTGAAGCACCGGGTGCCAGCTAATGTGCGTATGCTGCAGATTTGACCTCTTTTTTGCAGTATTCGCCCCCATCGTAATGCTGCTCTACTCGTACTACAATTTCAACATGGAGCGGGCGAACTTCGCCACCCGAGAGGAGACTTTAACCCCAGGCAGCTTCGACCGGATCGCACGATTATTTGCTGACCCAATCCAGGTCCAAATGGCCAAAACGAGCCTCGCGAACTTGCAGATCACGGGCGGAGAATACATCCTGGTCAAGTGTTTCTTGAACCTTTTGGGCATTTACAAGTGGAAGAAGGTCATTGCACACCTTATACTTGCCAACCGCGCTCGGCGAGAAGAGAAGAACGGTGCCAAGGCTCACGCCCATCCACACTCGAGAGTGCATACCATGATTGGTGGCATCGTATTCATCTGCTGCAGTGTGGGAATTGCTATCTACACAGCACTCGCTCTGTCAACGAGCATCACCAACTGCTCCCCATACACACATTGTCCAGTGTATTCGTATCGCTGGGAGTGGGGTCAGAAATCGACTTGTCCCTGTATTGTCTTCATCGATCGCGAACTGGCGCCGAAAACCTACGACGCGTGGATTAATGCCCCCGACGTGACGGATTCTCTGAGTGCGCTGGCATCGAATGGGCATTTACAAACCGTACAAATCATCAATCGAGCGTTGCCTGAGCTTCCCGAGGCGCTGCGCCAGTGTACAAACCTAAAGGATCTGTACGCTTGTGCCATCGAATTGCAGTTCGTCGAGGTTGATACGAGTCTAAACGTGTGTCTGTATTCACACAGCATCCTCATCTACACGAAGACGCGGCGATTTCCTGAATGGGCCAAGGAATTCACCCACTTACAGTACATGTAAGTACCGTGGCTCTATCCTACGAACTGCATGAATGGCCTAACTTGGTCCACCACCCTTCCTCCTCATTAGGCACGTCGAAAACGACTTCTTGCATTCAAGCTTGCAGTACCTACCGCCTGATCTTTTCACCGACATGCACAGCCTACGCTTCATCCGCACGGGTGGAGCGTCTGGTTTAACCGAGTATCCGTCACTCAAGGGTCTTCACAGTCTATCGACGCTCGTGATGTCTATCGTGCGTGGACTGGAGGAGCTGCCCAACCTCGACGATCTCTCCGGTCTTACCACCCTTTACATCGCGGACGCCATCCACGTGAAGCGCCTACCATCTCTCATTGGCCTCACGAGTCTCAAGAACTTTGCCATCTTCCGACGCAACGAAATCTGCTGCAACGGGTGGGCCACGGGCTACTGCGACCTCACCAACTTCCAGTGCCTGTCTCGAGCGAACGAGCCGGCGGTGCAATGCGTGAGCGACCGGATCCCAGCTGAAGACCTGGAGGTGGTGGATCGCATCGACGGGTTTCTATGCGGTACGAACATCACGCAGGACTTGGAGGCGTCGGAACCGTCGTTGCAGTCCACAGACGGAGTGTGTCAAGGGGTACTGTACCGGGAGTGCTACCTGAATGGAACTCGCGGCATCTGCTACAATGGGCGCATGCAGGTGGTGCATTGCGACGTGTTCGGCGAGTACGAGAAGATGCGGCGGCTTCAAATTGCCAGGGGAGTGGGCGACAAGTGCGACCCCGAGGTCGAGGCGTGGCTGGGCTGCCATGATGAGTGACTTGCTATCTTAACTTACGTTGAAGTCAAGATGGATACTTTTTTAACTCCACTGATTGGATAAAAACTCGTGTTAAACGACGCGGGTTAGGGTAAATGTATACGGGAATATTACCATCGGATACAACCATTCCCGGTAACTTTGCTATCGGAGCTCTTCGCCCACACATTTCCAGCAGCTTCAGTGCAAATGCTCCGCGTGCTCGGCCAGCGTCTCCTCCCGGCGCGCGCGGCGTGCGGTCGCGCCCCGCGCCTCTTCCACGCGTCGGCCACCGCGCTGCACGGCGACATGTCCAAGTTCGCAGCCAATCCGACGTACGCACAACGATCATGATTCCGCTAGAAAACGAGGCGTCACTAACTCGTGTATCATTCCTCCCATTGCTTGAACTTCATCCTTCCAGGGTGCACCTCAAGTTCAGGCTGCGCGACGACTCCATCAAGGAGGTGGAGGCCAAGACGGGCATGTCCATCCTGGACGTGGCCCACGCCAACGACATCGACCTCGAAGGGGCGTGCGAGTCGTCCATGGCCTGCTCCACGTGCCACGTGATCCTGGAGGACCCCGTGTTCGACGAGCTGGAGGAGGCCTGCGAGGACGAGGAGGACATGCTGGACATGGCCTTCGGGCTCACGCACACGTCCAGATTAGGCTGCCAGGTGTTCGTGGACGAGGGCTTCGAGGGCACGACCGTGACGCTGCCCAAGGCCACGCGCAACTTCTACGTCGACGGCCACGTACCCAAGCCGCACTAAGGTGGTGGTGCCTCTCTCTCTCTTGCTGGTGTTGGAAGACAGATCGATGGGGTAAGTACACTGCGGCCGGGTGTGCGTTTATTTAGATTCAAGGGGCGGGAGCGCAGCGACTTGCTTCGTCATCCCCCGCGGTGCTACCCGCGCGTTCTGTTTGCTACACGCCACATAAATAAAAGGATATTGTGCATCGCACGGCTAGCTAACTGCGTTCGTTGTCTTCTGTCAGGCTGTGGTGTGGTCGGTGGCTGCTTCAGTTGCTTGCAGGCGTTCCAGTATCTTCGGGCTGCTCCACACCGCGGTTCCTGTAATTGCTGGGCTGGCCAGCCACTTTCACTTCCAGTTCCGCCTCCAGTTCGGCTTCCAACGAGAACGCGGTGTGGTTCTTAGGCGGCGAGACGCTGCCCATGGGCATGACGGAGGTGAGGCCGGAGCCACCTGGTGTTGATACTGTGCTGGAAGCTGTACTCATTGGACCTGCGGGATTGGGAGTCGTCCCAAGCCCAGCCGTGTTGCAGACGTACTCGACCGCTGCATGCACGCAGTAAACGTAGTACGACTCCTCGCCGTTCGCGTTGTCGGCAGTGATGGCGAAATTCTCCAGGAGATGAAGTTGTGCGTGGATGGTAGGCAGGCGGCAGTGCACCAAGACATACGCCAGCAACGGGAAGAACGTCTCCACCGAGAACTGGGTGGTGCCTAGCACAAGCGCCGCCTCGTGGTGAAGAATCACGACGCCATGCATGAGCTCGTCCAGCAGGTCACACGGTACAACACTTTCCATGCTGTTGAACGCCTCGATGGCGCGAACGAGGAAAACTCGCCGTTGGCTTGGACTGTTGCCGCCATTGCCATGCGACCGAATACAATAACTGGGCAACTTGGAGCGGATCTTGGCCACAAGATCGGGTGATACGCCTAGGTTTTCCATGGGTAGGCCACCCAACTCCGCGCACTTCTTTCGCCATAGTTTATCTTTCCTTTGGCAGTCACGAGTCGCTCGCTGGTTAAAGCAAAGAACAGCAATGCGCGGGAATACGGTGCGCTGAATGAACCCGTGCAGACTCTTGCTGACGTCCGACGGTACATCAAACTCACGGCGCACTCGCATGGTCAACCGCTCAAGAAAGTCGAGGATCTGCTCAGGTGGCGGATCCTGCGTCCATGACGCATGGTTCTGGTTCCCATTGACACCTGCCTGTGAGCCTGTTCGTGAGCGTAATCCACCACTCTCGTTCTCCTCCAATTCTTCGTAGCTCACAGCCGCAACATCTTTCGAAAGCTGTAATACCCACTGGCAAATGCGCGAGTTCTTGGACGAGAAGATGAGGTTTTCAAAGTGGGCCTGGGCAATCTCCCACCAGTCTGGCTGACACATCAGCTCGTTGAAGTCCGAGTAGAACTCCTCACCTGCAAGGACATCCAGAATCTTTTCCACCTGAAGTTCCTGAAGGCCTCCTGAGCTGGGGGCAGACGACGCTGTGGATGCTGGAGCCGACACGGCGCCAACAGAGCTTGACGCTGACTCCTCGCGGGCATTACGCTGTACCAATCTATACCAGCTCACAGCCTCCAGCAGCTTGGACAACATTACACTCTTCACATGAGGCTTCTCGAAACAGTCATTTCCGTTGTGAAGTTTCGCCTGAGCAAGCGCGCGTCTCCGCTGCGTCACGCTGGTTGATAGCAACTTGTGCTGCTGGTTTAGCACGCAGTACTTGATATCGTTCGCCAGCATGGCCTCGGCCGCTTCGAACGAGTCGAGCTGCCGCTCGGTCAACTCCAAGTCGGGGTTGTGTGCAGTCACGATTTGCAAGATGCCACGCACGTGACGGCGGTGGCGCTTCAACTGGTTCAACGCGCGGTGCGAGACAGCCACGCCCAGTTTATCCGTCAAGAAAGTCAATCCATCAGCCTGCGACGCTTCCCCCGTCCGTGCTCCACAAAGCAAGCTCCACATGGCATTGGCTGAGCCAGCAGGTTCCTTCACTGGTGCCTTCTTGGTCACGCGTCGTGCTTGGTTCAACCTCTTGTGCTCCTCCGCGATGCGATCGTCCATGTCCCGCAAGCTCTCCTGTAGTTTCGCGCGCAGCCTGCTCGTCGTCGGCGGGGAGTGTGGGCGGTCCAAGCTGTCGAGATCAGAGGACGACGCCGCGGGGCTAAGCCCTAGATCTCCTCCGCCCTGCGGGTTCTCCAGCATGGAGCTAGCTCCCGCCCTATCATTTGCAAAGTGGTGGTCCAGCGGGACTGGTACCAGCCCTCCACCGATACTCATTGTCCGCCGCATCCTGTTCCACTGGGCGTAGCCGGAGGCGCACGCGTTGCTACTGCTGCTGGTATTGTCGGTGCTGGCGCTGCTGACCCCCATCGTCGCGTGGCGGTCGTACAGCGGGCTCTCGCCACCCAGCCCGAGGCCCTCGCCGGGGACCTCCTCGCTCGTGTCCGTTGTGCAGGAATAGGCGAAGGAGCCGAACGGACGGCGCGTCCGACTGGTGGCTGCAGCGAGTTGTCTCCCCTCGTCTTCGTCGTCACTTGTCGTCTTGGCGTCCGCGTAACCGCAGCAGCTCTCGCCCAGCGTCGTTGTGGCCGTGGCGTTCATGGGCGAGCACATGACCTCGTAGAAGGAGCTGGCGCGCGCGCGCCGCGCGTGGCCGTAGAAGCTCTCGATGACCGGGTGCGTGGCCCAGTCGGGCGCGATCCACACGGCGGGCGCGCCCACGTCCTCCTGCTCCTTGGAGCGCAGCCGCCGCCGCGCAGCCAGCGGCGACTTGGCGGGCGACGAGCTCCCGGACGTGGCGCGCGACTTCCGTCGGCGCGCCGCGGCCTGCTGCTGCTGCTGTACCTGCACGTGGAAGTCGTCCAGCGAGCGCATGTCCTCCGCCTTCTCCTCTACGCAGCCAGCTAATGCTCTTGTGGGTCTTATCTGCCTGTCAGCGGCGGCAGAGCGCGGTGCTAGTGACCAGTCGCCACTGGAAAGATCGCCTGAAAATTCGCGTTTCGCCTCGCGCTCTCGGCGACTTCAGGCGGGCGCGCGGGCGGCAGATGCAGCGTAGAGCGCGCCGGCGTGTGGTGTGGGGCTTCAAGCAGCCGACGCGGCAGCAGGAGAGCGCGGATCGGGCTCGTAAACGAGCAGCTATTTAGCTGGGCTCGCCTGCTGATAAGATTGCCAGACGGCGAAGGGGGAAGAACGGAGATGGCTACACTTGTTATGTTGCGCGAATGTCGCACCAAGGCTGCTGAATATGAGGATGGGGCTTGGCCTGCCACGCACGTACAGGTTCAGTCAAACTCTCTGCCTTGTTTCGGCGTTGCACGTTCGAGGCTACATGCGCGTCGCGATGAGTTGGTGTAAATGCAGTGCTGTCCTTCGCAGCGCCGCCTTCGCCGCAGTGGCGAGTGAGTGCATGCTCGCGAGCTTGTGTCTGCTCGTGGCTACTCTTTGTTAGCGGGACGTACAGAGCCCGCGCGATTGTCATGATGGGGAAGACACCTGGGAGCTTTTTTCACCGTGGTGTGCAGCCACAACCGGCAAGCATCAGTGATGCTTGCCGGTTGCTGCATCAGGCGCTCTCAGCACATACACTGAGCAGCAGCAATAAGACCATCAATCTACATAGCTGCAAAAGGGGGCTGCGCTTCGCTTACTGATGGTCGTGCAAGCCTCGGGCGACGTTGCCAGCCAGCGGAGCCCGTGCTCACTCAAAGGTCTTTCCACTGGGTCAGCGGAGAGTACCACTGTTCATTAGCTTACGGAGACTATGTGGCCATATCTGTTATTTGACAAACTATGGCAGCTGTATCGGTAATAATGCTCAAGATATATCATACAAACACCAAGTGGTGCCCAAACCGAGTTGCAATTGTGGGCATCAGTGCCGCGGCAGGGGGGACACCCACAAGTGGGTGCCCAACTTGTTGTAAGGTTGCGCACTCGAGGAAGGCGAGAACTCAGGCAGGGCAGGGCAGGGCAGGCAGGCAGGCGTCGACCGAGGCCCGCTTTGCTTCTCGCTTCCACTGGCCGGCGAGACAGAGCCATCGGCGCTACACAGACCACGATGAGCGACATGCGGCTCTTCATCTACCGCAACGAGGCGGGCTCCGAGGGCAAGGTGCGTCCGTGCGTGGGTGGGTGATAGACGATCGCAGTGAGGCAGGGGGAGGGGGGCTCACCCAGACGTTTGCGGGTACTGTATCGCATGGCAGGTCATGAACCTCAAGTCCAAGGACAGCATCGCGCGGCTGAAGAAGGTGGCGAGCAAGAAGCTGGGCGTGCGCGCCAAGCGGCTCTTCCTGGCCAGCGGCGCTGAGATCTCGGACGTGGACGAGTTGCAGAACAACGACACGCTCTACGTCTCGCAGGGCGAGGCCTTCTACAAGTCACTGGGTACGGGGATCTGTTGTTTCTCGTGTGCTGCCAATGATGAAGCTGGAGAAGCTGACGGTAGGGTTCTTTTCCCTCTCTGAGCAGGTCCTGCCAACGGACAGGAGACGTTCCACATGTCGGTGCTGGGCTCGGGTGGTGTCGGCAAGAGTGCGCTCACGCTGCGATTCGTGAGGGACTACTTCGTCAAGGACTGGGACCCCACCATCGAGGACGCCTACAGGAAAGCCATCACCGTGGACGACGGACTGTGCATGCTCGAGATTCTGGATACCGCAGGGCAGGATGTGCGTTCAAAGCGCTGGATATTGTGTGTTACCGGCGATGTTAGTTGCTCACTTTACGGTGTGTGTGCTTTTGGTGCTGCAGGACTTCGAGTCGCTACGAGGCCAGTGGATGATGGACAAGGATGGCTATGTGTTTGTGTATAGTATGGACTCGAGGATCTCGCTTCACGTACGTGCTGGCCGGAAGTCATGGTTGCGTTTGCCTTGTCATTCGAGCGACTGACTCACATTGTGCTGCGTATTGGTATTGCAGGAGTTGCAACCATTCTTCGACCTGCACCTCCAGATCAACGAGAGCCGCCGCCCGCTGCCGCCGATTATCCTCGTGGCCAACAAGAAGGACGTGGTGGACCGCGACCCGAGCAAGTGCCAAGTGAGCACGGAGGAGGGGCGGCGGATAGCACACTCGTACAACGCGCGCTACATAGAGACGAGTGCGCTCACAGGAGCGAACGTGACGGCAGTATTCGAGACGTTTGTGCGCGAGGTGCGTCGGAAGAAGGTGCCCAAGCAGAAGAAGAGCTCGTGTATGATTCTCTAGCGGCTCTGCAACAACACGATCGGCAGTCGGTGGCTCATCCATCCATCAGACATGACCCGACCGGCGGTGGTGGACGAAGCGACAGCAGGACACCCGAGATGCCAGTATAGACACTACTATTAGTAAATAGACAGCAGCAGGAAGGGCCGAGGCTGCGACGACAGCGTCCCAGCGGCAACTGGAGCGGGCGGGTGAGCAATTGCATTGCACCACGGCACCAGCATAGTGCTGGTGCTCGCCAATGTGAAATTTCATTTTTGACTTCCCACGATTTTCGCGTTTGGGTCTCCAATCTAAGTACATCACCAACTGTACCAATAATCAGGTACACATATGTTCAAAATTCAAAAGCCCGCGCCATCTTTATTGCGCCTCATTATTGCGAGGAAAGGGCGAGCGAGCGACTTTGCAGCATGGGCGACGCCGTGCTGCGCGTGCGCAGGCAGCTGCAGGGCCTGGCGCGCGAGAACTGGTCGAAGCTGGAGACGCAGCACGCGAGCAACGTCGCGCAGCTGCGCGACGAGCTGGCGCAGATCGCGCGCTCGCTGGAGGTCAAGGCGCGCTTCGAGCACTCGGGGCCGATCGCTCCGGCGCCTTTTCCCAGGTAAATGACGCGGATTTGAAGGCGTTAGCGGGTGTCTAACGTACAGAAGACTCACGCGCAGCTGTGTACGCTGTTTTTTGCCGGGTTTTGCGGCTTGTAGGAGCCTGGAGGACGCGTTTGAGGTGAAGGCGCCCGCGCGGAAGAAGCAGAGGACGGAGCAGTCGTCGGAGACGCGTGGAAGGACCCGTGAGCAGCCGAAGAGCGACGCGCGGTTGTCTATGAGGCTGCGGCCGAGGGCGGAGAGTGTGGAAGTGGCCGATAAGCGGACGCGGAAGAGAGGCCGCCCGTCCGAAGTGGTGCTGAAGGACCCCGGCTCGCTCAAGGTGGCGGAGCTGCGGTCCGAGCTGAAGAAGAGAGGTCTTCGTACTAGCGGCCTCAAGGCGGTGTTGTGTGACCGCCTGCTGGGCGCGCTGGAGGAGGAGAAGAAGGAGGGCAGCGCACACTTGAACAAGGTCGTGGAGGTAACGGAGAAGCAGGACGAGCAGGAGCAGAAGCCGCCAGAGGTGATTGTGATTGACGATGAGGACGATGGAGCGGACGAGATTGTGCGAGAAAGTGTGGGCTCCAACAAGTCGCCGCGCAGCCAAGAAACGAGTCAGCCGACGTCGGCGCAGACTGTGGAGGAGAATCACGACGAGGACGAGGTTGTGGTGGTGGATGCTCCTGTGGAGGGTGATGAAGAGCCGCAGAGCTCACCTACAAAAGATGATGAAGACGAGGAAATGCAGGCAGTAAACCCGCCACAGACCGAGGAGACGCCTTCCACAGGGCTGGATACAGCAGAATCGGCGCCGGAATCAGGTCCAGGTGATGAAAGGGTGGAACCGCCGTCTACTGAGATACCCAGCAGCCCCACTAGCAACAACTCTAAACATGATGTGGAGTTTGCTGGTCGTGACGCCGCAGAGGAGCAGATTACCCACGACGAGCTTAAACTCACGCGAAAGTCCATGCAAGTTAGTGGAAAGAGTGAACTCACGAGTCCGCTCGCTTGGAAGCGGAAGTCGATTCTGCGAAAGGCGTCGTCACTGGCACCAAGCACGCGGGGAACTACTCGGAAAGTCAGCTTTGCTCCCACTGATAAGGTGGACATTATAGTCGAAAGTTCACAGGCCGAGTCTACCCAGTCCGATCCCAGTCCAGAAAAGGCCCCACAGACGCCACGTGATGAGAGCAAGTCTGCTGGAGCTGAATCAACTCCAGGACCGGAAGCGAAACTGGCATCCGTCAGCACCCCTGAGGCCTATGTACTGTCCTCGATTTCGCCCGCTAATGCAGTGTCGAAAAATGAGACTGAGGAGCAGAGGAGGAAGCGAGAATTTGAAGAGAACGTCGCACGCGAAGCTCAGAAGCTTCGAGCGGCTGCCAAACTGTCCGCACAGAAACGGCTTGAGGAAGCTAAAGCAAGCAAGGCTTTCTGGGCCAAGCGCGACCAGCTCAAGGCTAAGCTGCGGGCTTCGTCGGCTGGAGACAAGAAGGCACAGGCTCGGACCCCTATTGCGTCATCTTCTGAGAGGGTTGCTGTCGATCACGTTTCGCCACCTACTTCCGAGTCGTCAGCTACCACTCGAGAACGCGACTCCACGCCTGCAAGCGCAAGTCGTCAGGCAACTTCGGCTTCGAAGGAGGTAGCACAACTTCCTCAGTCGGGGGCGACGAGTACTGTGCAGGACGTGGAAGAAGCGAAGGATTACGATTTTATGCGATCTATGGCCCGTCACAACGAAGTGGAAAGTATCTCGGACGTGTCATCAGCACTCGACAGCTCACTGCGCGATTCGAAGACTCCAAGATCGACTTTCTCTGTTGTTGTTGAAGAACATCTAGTCGAGCGCCCCCTGCGTGATCGATTGGCAGACAAGCTAGCAGCGAGATCTATGCCAGCTACTGCAAGCGTGACAAAAGAACCGGCAGACAGACCAACGCAGCGTGCGAGTGTTGAACGCTCCCAGCAGGATCCACCGGTATTCGAACCACCCTTCTTGTCTTCCAAAACATTGTTTGGAGCTACTAAGAAACTGGACTCGCCGAGGGCGCAAACTGCTGAAGCGTTGGCGAACCGAAACAGGTCAGACTCGCTATCTTCGACAGTATCGTCAATTCCCGAACCATCCGTTGTGGAGAACGCATTGACGTCTGGAGCTCCGGCAACCACCGCTGGCACTCGAAGACCTATCTCGAATTTGGTCAGCGGCTTGCATTCTTTCACAACGTTACTCGAGAAGGATACTAGCTCTCAAGACAGCAACAGTGGTCGCAGTGCCCCCGTCGTGAATGCGCTCAAGTTGGCTGAGAGGTCACGCCTTCTTGAGGAACAGAAGCAACAAGAGAAGGAGAAGCGCAAGGCTCTTTTAAAGAAGAAGCTGGAGGAGCATAGGAAGGCTGCGGCGCTGAAGGAGAAGGCCGAGAAGGATGCTAAGGCTAAGAGGGAACAAGAGCGCCTGAACGAGCGCAAGAAACGTGAGGCCGAGCTAGCGAGAAAGCGCCAGCAAAGACTGAAGGAAATGCGTGCTGGGCTGGAGAAGAAACGAGCTATGCTTGCGGCTGAAAAGAAAGCCGGCCAGGCAGCGAGCTCGACGACAGCATCTAAAGTTGCGTTCACGGCGTCATCGCAACAAAAGCCTCGAGGCTTTGCGAGTGCATCTGCATCTTCCCAGCCTACCGCAAAGCCAGCAGCAAAACTATTGCAGAAACCTGTTTCCAAGCCTGTGGCCAAGCCAGCCTCGAAGCCTGCGCCAGTATCAAAGCCAGCGCCACAACCCGTGTCGAAGCCCGCACCCAAACCTGCCCTGATGTCACCCCAACCTGCGAAGCATGCGCCAAAAAGCCACTCGCCCGAAATCGTGAACTATGAGATGTCGGACAATGCGGAGTCATCAGATGGCGAAAGCAGTGATTCGGACTCGGGACGCCACGGAAAGAAGAAGGTGCCGCGGTGGGCCCAGAAGGATCACCTCAACAAGATCTTGAGCGCACAATTCGGCAAAAACGCTATCGATCCGTCGCCCGGGATTTTCCAGGACTTTGTGGACACATGCAACCTGGAAGCGATCTTCGAGACGACCGACATCCGAAAGAAGAAGAGGTTCGCTAGGCGGACAAGTAGCGGCAACTGGTTGGCAGATCGTCCGACGGCTCGAGACAGAGCGCTGTACCAACGTGACATGGGCTATGACCGGTGAGCTGGGTAAGCGAGGTAGGAGTGGAGGGAGAATTATGTGCTGTGCGTGGTGGCATCTGTACTTTGGTGAAGTGATTATAATATTATTTACGAGAGTTGCCACAGTTTACTCAAGGTACAAGGAGAAGCAGGCACTGCTTCTGCATGGGGTGGAGTCACTGTTGTTCATGCCGCTTTTAGGGCCGAAACGCTGCGAGAGGTGCCGAGAGCTGATCGCTTTTGCTCGTTCTTGGAGGAGAAGGCAACGTCAACAGCTTTTCGAATGGCGGACCTGTCTCCCTTGAAGTTGGCGCTGCGAGTGAAGAATTCGTCGCTGGAAGCGAAGCTGCTCGATCGCCGAGGCCGCGTGTGCACGGACGAAAAGAGAGAGCCCGAAGCTACGGTGGATGAGGTGCTGCTAAAGCCGTCGAACGACGCGCTCGGAGCAGGGAAGCTGTCCGTGGCGCTTGATGCAAAAATCTTGAAGTCTCCTGACGCGTACACGCGCAAGATGGTTTCTTCCTGCGCCAGCAAGTCCATGACGTGGTCTGCGAGGTTCTCCAACGTGACGTCCATTTTGGCGGCAGCAGCAGCGGTACGTGGTCGGGTGTCAAGTGCCACAATGCATCCAAGAGCTGGTCCAGCTGACTCACGAACATCAAACAGTGGGGAAGCTCCGAAAAACTGGAACGTACTGGGATCAATGGATGACGAAGAAGACGGCGAACTGTTGGGATCAGGGACGGTGAAGGCGTTTTGAGTGCTCAGCGCTCGGCTGCAGATGGAGAGAAAGGTTGGGTCCCGCAGAACGCGCGATCGGAGCCCCTTGTGTGCAATGACCCACAGGTGCTGGTCCTGCACCAGAACGATAGCTCCACCGACGCAGTCGAGATAATCCACGAGCAGCGAGCAGACGGAGTGAAGTTTCTGGTTGCGGTACTGACTGACAACCACATCGAAGTCGCGCGCGCTCTGGGGAGGGGAAGCAGTCGGGGTAATCGACCATGAAAACGAGCATGGCGAGACTGGAGTTGGCGACTGTGTGCAGTCGCTCATCGTCATGGTCGCAAGCGAATCGGCAGATCGACTCAAGTGCAGTCTGGAGCCCTGCGAGTCTCCGCTGTAAGGCCAGTTGACATCTCCGACAAGGGCATGCTTGCTCGTGTTCTTCTGCACGCAGCGAGCGCAAGTGTACGCCAAGTCCACGCCTTGCTCCGGGACGTCCACCAAGCAGAATCCAAGACACCGACGACAGCAAATATCCCCACACTGCAGTCATCGACAATGTGAGTACTCCCATATCTGGATCCGGTCTATTGAATTCTATCGCCCAAACTTACAGCTCGGCAGTGGTGCTTCCAGCGCAGCAGCCCGAACTTCTTGGCACAGATCCCGCAGCGCAGTACCTTGTCGTCCTGCTTCCACGACGAGACCGGCACACCGGGTACAACCTTGGGACCTGAGCGAGCCGACTGCACGCAGTTTGACAGAGCTGGGAACGAGAGCGGCAGACTATCGGCCATTTCGCTGTGGATCGACCTTTGGCGTTCTCGATCCGCGGAGCAATTTGAGAAGTGGCAACGAGCCTGGCTGGCGAGGCCGTTGAAGGTCTGGACGACGGGATCACCATTGCTGCGTGGAGACTTGATTGTAGGCTTCTAAAATCGGCTGAACTACTCAACGGCCCAGCACCCGTTGGTAAGGTTCCTGCCACTCGCCGGACCGTTTCGAGTATCACGGCGTGGCTCCTGCATCAAGTCCAGCACAACCTCGCACTAATGCCACCCTGCTGCCCCCTGCTTGATAAGAGCGGGAACGCGCGAGGAAGGAAGGCGACGTAACGGCTACGAATTTTTACCCAGACGCGCGTTGCGGTGCGTCCAGAGCTCACCCGGAGATAGCCGCCTCTTCCCTGCCTCAAACCAGTTGCAGGCTTGCTGGTTTGCCCTGCCAGCCTCGTGCTGATGAATGCCCCGTCGACTTATTTTCAGCGCCTTGCAGAAAATATCACGACGGAACGCTGACGCCGACAGTCTGCAACATCAGAACGATGACGGCGACCGCGGTGGATGTGAACGACAGCGACAAATACCCCACTTCGACGCTGGTGTTGCTCGGAGAGCAGGAGTTCGTGCTGCGAGCGTCGCACTCCCGCGTGGTGTTTGAAAACTATAATCGCGCTGGAGAGGCAAGTGCAGACGAAGAAACGCTACGCTGCCTCGAGTCTTTCCTGTCTGACGTCACGTTGTGCGTGTCAACATAACATTTTCAGGCGAGTATTGAGCAGTTGATCACGCTGAAACTCGACAACGGACACGCACAGCAAAAACAAGTCGACAGTCCAGCAGCGGATGACGACGTCAGTGTTCCGATCATTCTCTCTGCCCCCTCGACATCGCGATTCGAGTTAGTCCTGCATGATTCAACATCTTCGTTCGAGACTGTGTTAAGTCGTGGGTCTCCATTGACCTGCATCATCAGGTTTAAACGCCCCGGGGTGTCTGAGAGCGACTACGCATGGGATGACTTCCAGGATCGGCTTGTGGTTCACACGAGGCTGAGCAAGCTCGTCATCCGCCTCGAAGCTTGGAAGAACGAGGTGATGTCGCTCTCGCGTGACCAAGAAAGTGGTTTATTGTTTCCAGCCTCGCTGCCGGAAGTGAAAGCCCCGCCGCTAAGGCTATTCGGTGCAATCGAGCGAAACGCCGTACGCCAGCGTGCATCTTCTCCAGGCCTAACTGAAATCACCAAGACTTCGTTAGTATTGGAGCAAAACAGCGCTGCATCCAACAACTTGGAAGCCTCTCGAACTCCACGAACAGAAGCTTTGCCCTCTCTATCGCGCCCTGGATCAAGTGAACGGCAGCCGAGTCTCTCAGTTTCGTTACCAGGAAATCTAGTGCTATCGTCATGTGTAAATGCTGGTTCCCTACCTCCTTCTGAAGTTACTGCGATCCAGTCCCTACGTGAAGCTCGCGAGGTTATCATGAAGCTGCGGCGTCGACGAACAGTTCGAAGCAACTCAAGAGCTTCGGGTGGAATTTCTCCTACTTCTGTCATGGAGACCGATTTGTATCCGGAAACTGAAGCCCTGGATGCTAAAACGAAGGCTGATCTCGAGGAATTCAACAACCTGGTGCTATCGGCAAGGGATCAAGTAACGAAGGAGGCTGTGAAGGCGAGAAGCGAATTGGCGTATTACCAGCAGCTCATTCCAGTGCCACCACCTCGCGGTTCGACCCCAGAAATGCCATCTCCGCTTGCCCAGAAACCAAAGAAAACCCGGCAGATGTCTGCAGCGACTAAAAGACCGTCCAAGTTGCCGTCACTTGTGCGGCCTTCCTCCAGTGCAGCAACTACTTCCGCATCAACCGAGATCGACCCTTTGTGCCCAATGAACAACCAAGAAATGTCCCCACTTGAACAAGTATCACAACCTCGAAAGTGCTCTGCACGCCAGCAAATCCTGAGAACGACAAAGCTGAAGTCTCTGTCGGCGTCGGTAGATGGCGCTCAAGGCGCTCAACAGCAGAAAGAAGCCGTCAAGGTGCCAGCTACTACCTCAAAACGTCGGAGGAGCATAAACAACCAGCTGCAACAAGAGCAAGTAGACGAGCTGAGCGATTTCGACGACCCCGATCCGGAAGTAGACGATGCACCGATTCTTCCCGATGAGCTTAGTGGCGTTGCAGCCTTGGAGGCCGACGAATTGCTTTGAGAAATCTCACCAAGAGGCAAATTCAAAGAGTCGGAAACGAAGACGGTTGAGACACTCGCTGCTTCAATCTTGGCCAAGGTCTTCCAGTTCTCCGCGCCTGACTCACCTAGTCGTCGGACTTCATGTCCGCGCAAAAGTTCTTGCGATCACGACCAAACTCCTTGACCGATCCGGCTGCCCAAACCTGCAAGCGAAACTATCCGAAGAAAAGAAAATGGATAATACTTTGCACTCGGTTTCAATCGTTTGAAGCCGTAATTTACGACTAAAATTTTCCTCTTGTTGACCAGCGTTCAGCTTCCGCGGTAGGTCGAGTACCCGAAGGGGTTGATGAGCAGCGGCACGTGGTAGTGCTGCGAGGGGTCCTTCACAATGAAGGCGATGGTCACCTCCGGGTAGAAGAACTCCGAGACCCCGTTGCGCTCAAAGTACTCTTGGGTGTAGAACACCATCCGGTAGGCACCCGCTTCGAAGGTCTCAGCTTCCGGCACCAAGTGGGAGGCGACGCGCCCGTCGGCGTTGGTTCTTCCTTCGTTGACGCGGAGCCACTGGCCGCTCGACTGCAGACGCTGCAGCTCCACGCGCACGTCGGCGGCAGGACGCCCCAGCGAAGTGTCGAGGATGTGCGACGTCACGGGAGACTTGTAGCTCATGGGGGAGGGCGAGAGGTGGCGGCGGACGGCGTCAACGCGGCGGGAAGCGGACGACATCGAAGGGAGATCGCTGAATGCGAATGTAGCCATCTGATTACAAAATCTTACTGTAATATTCGGAATTTGTTACGGACATTTGATGATGTATTATGAAACTTGGTCATTGTTTTATGGACTTTTCTCCTTTACAGCATGGCATGGCCAAGACGGCGATGATGATGTAGGTTTCCAGTCCGATGGGATCTCCCTTGGCGAGCCATCCGTCGGCCATTCGCTCCACTACAGCGAACCGCCGAGCTCTGAGCTCCCCCTGGCCGCTCTCGAGCGGGAACATTTCTTGGTGGAGTTTGGCGAACTCCTTGCCGCTCCAGAGCTCCACGACGCACTGGAAGGGCCAGATCTGCACGTGTTTGAACCCGGCCGCGGCGAGTCGGCGGCGTAGAGCGGGTAGGTCCCTCCCCATGACGAAGTTGGAGTGCTCCGCCGTGTTCTCCTCGAGCCCCAGCTCCTTGTTGGCAGCAGCGTTGATAGTGAAGTTACCACTTCGCTCGGGCGAGCCCCAAATGGTGAAGCCCGCAAGTCCGTCGGGCGTCAACACCCGGCTGGCCTCACGGAGCATCGCGTCCGGGTCGGGCGCCAGTTGCAAGCAGAGACTGGCGATGTAGCGATCCACTGAACCCGTGGGGACGTCGGCCAGGTCTTGACCTACACAACATGGATCAGTATAAGGTAGTCTGAAAGGAGAAACACTCTACCCTCAAAACCTACCGTTGGCTTCCCTGCAGCTGATCTTGATACTGTCCGAGTTGATTGCACGCAGGTTCTCCTTGGCCATTTGGATCATCACGGGGGACAGGTCGGTGACCGTGAACGTCCGCTTGACTCCTTGGGACGAGCTCGGTGGCCCTCGAAGCATGTGCTGAGCAACGTCGAGCGAGCCCAACCCAGCGCCGGCGGCGATCTCAAGCACGCTCTGGGCGCGATCCAGCTGCATGAAGGAGTGCAGGTGCTGGGCGCACTGCAGCGTCATGGACTTGTTCGCCGTCTCAGTGTAAACGGCAGCAAAGTTGCTCCAGTTCTTCCGCATCGTGGCGACCCGTTTAGCCATGGCTGGAGCTACGGCGATACAGCTAGTACTTGCGTGTTGGGGTGATACTTCAAGACTGACATCATTTGGCGAGGCAGCTCGGCGGCTGCGCATGAGAACCTCAGCACTTCAATGTATACGAAGCACACCGCAATGTGCCTGACCCCCACCATCCTCACGATGAGTATGAGTCATTTATGTACGAATCAAGTGTAGTCGGTAAGTTTGAAAGAACCTCAGGCGTACTCGTGAAGTGAACGTACTGGAAACAAAGCAGTCTCTCAACTGTGTTCTGTTCCTCTGATTGGAATCGATGCATGCATTAATGCACAAGCGGCATTGCTCACTTCCTACGAAGAACAATGCACCGACGGCCTTAGTGGTGGCTGTAGACGAACGGGCTGACGCCCTTCTTCTGGTCCAGGTTGGCGAACGCATGGTTCACGTCGCGGTGGTTGGCCTCGTCCGCGCGCACGCACTTGACCACGTCGTAGATGGACGCGTCCTCCGGCAGCTTGTAGTACGTCTGCGCGATGAGCGGCGCCTTCTTTTCCTTCCACGCGTCCAGGTGGCCGTCCTCGATGTCCTGCAGCAGACACGAGTACGTCTTGACGGCCTCCTCCTCGAGGTAGCCCACGAAGCGGTGGCACGTCTTGGGCGAGACGAGATACGTCAGAAAGAAGCCGTTGAAGAAGACGCCTTGCGCCCCCACCACGAGCGCGCGGAAGAAGTAGCCCGGCTGCTTGATGTTCATGAAGATGAGCAGGTGCATGCGCTCGTTCTCGGCCTCCTCCAGCAGCGTGTGGATCCAGCCGTAGTCGCGCTTGAGCAGGCGCAGCGAGCGCAGGTGGCGCAGCATGCCGCCCACCATGCCGGGCACGCCCGCCACGGACTCGAGGAAGAGGCAGCGGTTGAGCCAGTCCTTCTCGGTCATGGCGCCGCCGGGGCCGCGGTAGCCGGAGATGACGTCGAAGCCCGTGCGCAGCGCCTTGACGGCCATGTAGGCGACGCGCTCGTGCATCTTGACGATGGGGTGGTGCGTCTGCTCCATGGTGGCGATCTTGTCGAGGTCGTACACGGCGTGGTTGATGGGGTTCTCCCAGATCGGCTCGCCATTCTCGCTGGTTGGGATGCGAGACAGCGTGAAGTGCGCCTTGTAGGCGGGCTCGTTGGTGGCGTTGGTCGGCTCAAGATGAGCAGCCTTCTCCGCGACGGCGGGCTTCACTGCCGCTTGGGCCGTGGGGGCAATGGTCGAGGCGAACCGGTAGGTGAGGGAAGAAGCCATGACCGAGTCGAAGCGCTGACGCTTGAGTAAGCCCATGGCCTGGCGACGGTAGAGCTGCGTCATGGCCGATCGCTCCATGAACTTGGCGGCGGTGGAGTAGTGCATGGTGATGCAGGACTTGAACGCTTGAGAGCGGGCGGACTGGTTGTTGTTCTTGCTCGAGACTTGGAAGTCAAATTGAGGAATGAGCACGGGAGGCCAGGCAGTACGCGTCCACTGTCAAGTGAGAGGAGCAGTGCCTCAGACTTCAGACTTCAGCTTCTTGTCCCGCAAAGTACGGCGCAACTTCAGCCACTCGACAATTGTCGTTGAAGCTCGCCATTTACAAGCAGACTGCACGCGACGGAGCGGATCCGCCTGACTTTTGTCTGCTGCAATTGGCTTGCTCGTGTGTTACCCACCACCGTCGGAATCTCACGATCGCCATGCGGGATCGTGTGTGGAATCGAGCTTGGTCGTCGTCAGGCAGCGCGCAACGTCGGGTTAATGCGCCTGACTTTCAGATCTTGATAACGTGGTTCCAGGACTCTTGAAGTGGTACGGGTTCCTGAACTCGAGCACCAAGCAACAACAACACCGTACATGTTGCTGTAGCTGTCCAAAAGGGTTGGCCGCCAACGCTAAAGATACCTTGAGCCAAGTTGTCAGACGATCAGGCGGTCTCACAGTGAAGGCGCGCAGAGATATGCTTCGGAGCGCTGCTCCAATCATTTTGCAATACTCGTTTGCAATACTCGGCGGACAGCGGATAAAGATCTTTTCAAGCATGAGCGACCAACTCGAGCAGGTGCGCGAGCGCTGGAATGCGTTCGCCCCTCGCTTCACCGAGACGGCGAACAGGCGCATGACGCTGCAGTGCTCGCAGCACTTGCACTCGCACATGCAGCTCGACTGCGCGCAAAACGTGCTTGAGATCGCGGCGGGCGCTGGCTTGGGGTCACAAGACGTCGCCCAGTACCTCGCGGACGGCTGCTCCAAGCTCCCACGCGAGGCCAAGCGGACGTTCACGGTCACGGACCTGTCCCCCGTGATGGTCGGACTGGCCGAGAAGAACTTGAGCGGCGTGGGCTCGGCCAACGTTGAGATCAAGTGCCGGGAAGCCAATGGTACGCTGCTGCTTAAGTCCGTTTAACGGCACAGCGCCCTCCCTGCACTAATAGCAATGATGAAATTGCAGGTCAGGACCTGGTGGGGGTGGCCACGAGCTCAGTGGACCGCTACATTGCCAGTCTCTGCATCCAGCTCGCCCCTGACCCAGACGCCATCCTCCGAGAGGCCAACCGCGTCTTGACGTCCGACGGCATCGCGGGGTTCACTATTTGGGGGTCACCGGAGCGCAGTGGCAACTTCACCATTGCCTCCGCCGCTAACAAGGAAATGGGCTTCGAGGAGGGCGCGGGCGAGCACTCGAACTTCGCCATGGGCAAGGACCTCCCTGCGCTGCGCCAGCGGTTCGCAGCGGCTGGGTTCACGCGCGTGCAGATTTGGCCGTTCCAGTGCGTCGTGGAGCTCTGGAGCGGCGAGGAGTTCGCCAAGTTCCTCGAGAGGACGCACCCGATGGAGGACGGGGCGCTGCGGGCCAAGCACCACGCGATCGTCACGCGCATGGCCGACGAGTGGCTCGCCAAGGGCACTCCGATCGGCCTGGAGACCTACATCATCCTCGCGCGGAAGTGAGCTTAGAGAGAGAGAGAGAGGAAGTTCCAGGGCCGAGCTCTGGAAGTCTAGGATCCCCTAGGTTTTGCTTCAACATGGTCGTGTTGGGTAACGCGGTTTGCAAGCGAAGTCGAATGGAGATGGCGTCGGCCAGGCTATCCAGTCTGGATTCCTGCCTTCCTGGCGGCACGCGCCATCGTCGAGTAAGCAGCGCGTTTGGTGGATGCACGTGGCGATCAATGTCGCCCCGCCACCACATCCTGCGCATTGTTGACATGAACGGATTGGCTTAGGGATCGGCAGGCCCCAGCTTTTGAGCAAACGTGGTGATTGCACTCGAGGGAGGGCTCTTGCTGCTGATACCGCAAAAAAACACCCCAATGCAAATCGTGTTTTTTATCATGGACATACTTTGGCCCAGTCTGGCAGCTACGGAGGTCACCCACGCCAAATTCCCAAAGTTCCACGAGTGCTCTAGGAAATGGAACGGCCTGAAGGCTGCACGAAATATCATTAAGTGAAGTTGGGCTCGTTGGAAAGCTAAAGGGAAAGTTACGCTGAGCCCAGACTTGCCTATAGTTAAGGGGGCCCCAGGTTCGGTAGGGGCGAATTTGTGAAATCCTGGAAATCGCTTTCACCTGCCCCCCTACTCCGGCTTGTAACCCTAACCCGCATTGAGACACATAGATAACCATACAACTCACACAGTTCGTGATACCGCAAAACACACTTAGCGCTACAGTTTTGCGGTATCAGCAGAACTTCTCGGCAGGGAGGGGCTGTCATTCCGCCATTGCGATCTGTTCCCCTGCCGTGTCTCGGATTGCAACGCCGCGAGTAATGGCGGCGAGCCGTGGCCCCACGTTTCCAAGCCGTGAACTGAAGTCACCGCTACGGTGCGCTATGTACTGTACCGCGGAGTCTGCACCGCAGCCTTGGCCGAGCATCCTGCGTGGGGGCAGGCTTCGCGCAAGCCTGTGAATCGCATGGACAGAGTGCCCTACGGTCACTTCGGCAAATGGGTTTGGGCCCATGTCTAGCTCAGTCCTGCCGCCCAAACGCGGTTGAAGCAGGTGGTTGATTGCACCTGGACACTCAAGTCGCACCTTTGAGCCCATGGACACGCGGCAAAAAGTCTGCTTGGTGAAATTCGGTGGTGCACCCTACAACACGAGGTTGAAGTTGTCCTTCTGCTGCATCTGCTGCAGATAGCTTCACCGATTCAGTCTTTTCATTGCGGAGAAGTGCTCGGTCCATTGTCCAATTCGACAGACAAGTCTCAAGTGACCACAAAACCCAGCTTCCCTTTCCTATCGGCGAGAGGATCAACTCCACTCCACCTGCCATGCACTACGCTACGACTGCCAAGATGATGGAGCGTTCCATCACGCATCAACACTTCCGCCGCCAGGCTCTGAGTCTGTTCAAGCGCCAGCGATCGCCATTTGCCGTGACTCCGATCTCGCCCGCTCCTTTTGCATCGACCACAACGTCTCGATTCGCGTCGACCTCCGCCATCCACCCGCCCAAGCAAAGTGAGGCCATCACCGAGGAGCCCACCAACGCCACCAATGAGCCGGCGTACAAGGCGCACTTCAAGCAATCGCCATCGCGCCACCCTCACGGACCAACAACTACCGACGGTGAGCCGATCTGGGAGAACCCCATCAACCACGCCGTGTACGACCTCGACAAGATCGCCACCATGGAGCAGACGCACCACCCCATCGTCAAGATGCACGAGCGCGTCGCCTACATGGCCGTCAAGGCGCTGCGCACGGGCTTCGACGTCATCTCCGGCTACCGCGGCCCCGGCGGCGCCATGACCGAGAAGGACTGGCTCAACCGCTGCCTCTTCCTCGAGTCCGTGGCGGGCGTGCCCGGCATGGTGGGCGGCATGCTGCGCCACCTGCGCTCGCTGCGCCTGCTCAAGCGCGACTACGGCTGGATCCACACGCTGCTGGAGGAGGCCGAGAACGAGCGCATGCACCTGCTCATCTTCATGAACATCAAGCAGCCGGGCTACTTCTTCCGCGCGCTCGTGGTGGGGGCGCAAGGCGTCTTCTTCAACGGCTTCTTTCTGACGTATCTCGTCTCGCCCAAGACGTGCCACCGCTTCGTGGGCTACCTCGAGGAGGAGGCCGTCAAGACGTACTCGTGTCTGCTGCAGGACATCGAGGACGGCCACCTGGACGCGTGGAAGGAAAAGAAGGCGCCGCTCATCGCGCAGACGTACTACAAGCTGCCGGAGGACGCGTCCATCTACGACGTGGTCAAGTGCGTGCGCGCGGACGAGGCCAACCACCGCGACGTGAACCATGCGTTCGCCAACCTGGACCAGAAGAAGGGCGTCAGCCCGTTCGTCTACAGCCACCACTAAGGCCGTCGGTGCATTGTTCTTCGTAGGAAGTGAGCAATGCCGCTTGTGCATTAATGCATGCATCGATTCCAATCAGAGGAACAGAACACAGTTGAGAGACTGCTTTGTTTCCAGTACGTTCACTTCACGAGTACGCCTGAGGTTCTTTCAAACTTACCGACTACACTTGATTCGTACATAAATGACTCATACTCATCGTGAGGATGGTGGGGGTCAGGCACATTGCGGTGTGCTTCGTATACATTGAAGTGCTGAGGTTCTCATGCGCAGCCGCCGAGCTGCCTCGCCAAATGATGTCAGTCTTGAAGTATCACCCCAACACGCAAGTACTAGCTGTATCGCCGTAGCTCCAGCCATGGCTAAACGGGTCGCCACGATGCGGAAGAACTGGAGCAACTTTGCTGCCGTTTACACTGAGACGGCGAACAAGTCCATGACGCTGCAGTGCGCCCAGCACCTGCACTCCTTCATGCAGCTGGATCGCGCCCAGAGCGTGCTTGAGATCGCCGCCGGCGCTGGGTTGGGCTCGCTCGACGTTGCTCAGCACATGCTTCGAGGGCCACCGAGCTCGTCCCAAGGAGTCAAGCGGACGTTCACGGTCACCGACCTGTCCCCCGTGATGATCCAAATGGCCAAGGAGAACCTGCGTGCAATCAACTCGGACAGTATCAAGATCAGCTGCAGGGAAGCCAACGGTAGGTTTTGAGGGTAGAGTGTTTCTCCTTTCAGACTACCTTATACTGATCCATGTTGTGTAGGTCAAGACCTGGCCGACGTCCCCACGGGTTCAGTGGATCGCTACATCGCCAGTCTCTGCTTGCAACTGGCGCCCGACCCGGACGCGATGCTCCGTGAGGCCAGCCGGGTGTTGACGCCCGACGGACTTGCGGGCTTCACCATTTGGGGCTCGCCCGAGCGAAGTGGTAACTTCACTATCAACGCTGCTGCCAACAAGGAGCTGGGGCTCGAGGAGAACACGGCGGAGCACTCCAACTTCGATCTCGCCCGCTCCTTTTGCATCGACCACAACGTCTCGATTCGCGTCGACCTCCGCCATCCACCCGCCCAAGCAAAGTGAGGCCATCACCGAGGAGCCCACCAACGCCACCAATGAGCCGGCGTACAAGGCGCACTTCAAGCAATCGCCATCGCGCCACCCTCACGGACCAACAACTACCGACGGTGAGCCGATCTGGGAGAACCCCATCAACCACGCCGTGTACGACCTCGACAAGATCGCCACCATGGAGCAGACGCACCACCCCATCGTCAAGATGCACGAGCGCGTCGCCTACATGGCCGTCAAGGCGCTGCGCACGGGCTTCGACGTCATCTCCGGCTACCGCGGCCCCGGCGGCGCCATGACCGAGAAGGACTGGCTCAACCGCTGCCTCTTCCTCGAGTCCGTGGCGGGCGTGCCCGGCATGGTGGGCGGCATGCTGCGCCACCTGCGCTCGCTGCGCCTGCTCAAGCGCGACTACGGCTGGATCCACACGCTGCTGGAGGAGGCCGAGAACGAGCGCATGCACCTGCTCATCTTCATGAACATCAAGCAGCCGGGCTACTTCTTCCGCGCGCTCGTGGTGGGGGCGCAGGGCGTCTTCTTCAACGGCTTCTTTCTGACGTATCTCGTCTCGCCCAAGACGTGCCACCGCTTCGTGGGCTACCTCGAGGAGGAGGCCGTCAAGACGTACTCGTGTCTGCTGCAGGACATCGAGGACGGCCACCTGGACGCGTGGAAGGAAAAGAAGGCGCCGCTCATCGCGCAGACGTACTACAAGCTGCCGGAGGACGCGTCCATCTACGACGTGGTCAAGTGCGTGCGCGCGGACGAGGCCAACCACCGCGACGTGAACCACGCGTTCGCCAACCTGGACCAGAAGAAGGGCGTCAGTCCGTTCGTCTACAGCCACCACTAGGAAGAGACTTTAGACTCTGACAGCCCGGTGTAAGTTTTGAGCTTGAATCTCCGCGAAAGGATACTTTTTCCTGCCTCGTCACATGCGATTGCAAAAACGACTGAACCGGAGTAAATATCTTCTATTACTACAGTAATAGCTAGAGCTTTTTATGCTCCGGTTTTGTCAGTTGCAATCCACTTCAACTTCATTCGCGGGGTACGGCGATGGGTCGACTGTCTTACCGCCGTCTCCCACAGCCTTCTCTCGCTATAAACACCAGCTTCAGTCTTGAATCTGCCTTTGAAGCCACATACACACACCGAATACCTGCAGACATAGCCCACCATGGTGGCGATGTATCAGCTGCGCCGGCAAGCTCGAGGGGTGGCCAAGTCTCAGCACTTGCTGTTCCCATTGCTTCGAGCTTCCTCCAACCTCTTCTCCACTGCAGCTCTCCATGACTCAACGCCAACACCAGGCCCTACGAAGAAGAAAAAGGATACCAAGAGCCGCCCCGAACCTGTCGACGCCTTCAGCGAGCCAGCGTACAAGACGCACTTCCTCGAGTCCAAGAACGTCCATCCGCTCCACCCCACGACCAAGAGCGGCGAGTCTGTTTGGGACAACCCGATCAACCACGCAGTGTACGACCTGGACAAGATCTCGGACATGCAGCAGACGCACCACCCCATCGTCAAGATGCACGAGCGCGTCGCCTACATGGCCGTCAAGGCGCTGCGCACGGGCTTCGACGTCATCTCCGGCTACCGCGGCCCCGGCGGCGCCATGACCGAGAAGGACTGGCTCAACCGCTGCCTCTTCCTCGAGTCCGTGGCGGGCGTGCCCGGCATGGTGGGCGGGATGCTGCGCCACTTGCGCTCACTGCGACGCATGAAGCGGGACTACGGCTGGATCCACACTCTGCTCGAAGAAGCGGAGAATGAGCGGATGCACTTGCTGATCTTCATGAACCTCAAGCAGCCGGACTGGTTCTTCCGCGCGCTGGTGGTTGGAGCGCAAGGCGTCTTCTTCAATGGCTTCTTCTTGACGTACTTGGTGTCGCCCAATATCTGTCACCGATTTGTCGGGTATCTGGAAGAAGAGGCCGTGAAGACGTACACATGTCTGCTCCAGGACATTGAAGGGGGTCATCTGGACGCGTGGAAGGAGAAGAAGGCGCCGATCATCGCTCAAACGTACTACAAGCTGCCAGAGGGGTCCAACATCTACGACATGGTCAAGTGCATCCGTGCGGACGAATGCAACCACCGAGATGTAAACCACACGTTCGCCGACCTGGACCAGGACAAGGGAGTCAGCCCTTTTGTTCACAGCCACCACTAAGCTCTATCGACCTACCGCGACCGAAGTAAAGAGCTACTGGGACCAGTTAACAGGGTACTTCGCTCGCGATACACTGAAGAAAATCGCTAGGTGTGTTCCTACAGCGCAAGCAGGGTTTGAAGCACTTATTTTTTTTCATTTGATTAAATGAATCCATTGCACTTTGTCATCCAAATCGACTGGGGGATGTGCCCCAACCGTGTTCACGGAGAAGGTTTGAAAAAGCAATATGTTGACACGCCGGCAAGTCAACCGAACCAATTCTGGTTGATTTTTTCTTTTTAGGTCGGACTACACGTTCAAGTTCGCTTGGCTCCATGCTACACCGTGGCTTTCATAAATGAGAAAAGAGTTTCGGGGCATGGGATCCTTGAATTTTGTTTTTGCCGATCTAAACGCTTTTTCAGCTTGCAGCAACTTCAGAAATTCCATGATGAGTGCGTCTATTCATCGCTCGGTCAAATTGCTGCAAAAGCCACGAGCGCTAGGACTGGTAAATGAATTTTGCCTGTAGTTTGCTCTGGCTAATCGTCCTTAGATCACCGAAGGCATGCCTCGCAGCGGGTTCGCAGTGAATCTGTGCGAGGCAGCCCCCGATGAAATGGCGAGGTGGGCTTGGACGGTCGCCTTGATGCCCCGATGGGTGCTTGGCTGGAGTTGGTTGTTGGGTGTGTGATGATGCATACTTGAGTGGCTTGGTCGCGATGGTCGCCGCATGCCCTTGAACGAGCGAGCTTCGTGACAGCTCCGTTGTCCGTGGCAGCTGGGCGCCTCACCCCAGGTTGAAGAAGAGGGGCGAAGGTGGGGAGGACGCCGGAGCTGTCGAGACCATCAGCTACTTGTTGATGCTGCGGTTGATGGGCTGCTTGGACTGCCGGAGCTGCTGTTGGAGGTCCTTGGTCGCCGGGATCCACGCCGACGCCGATGCCACCGTTCGCACGATGGGGCGTAATGGCTGCAATGGCGGTAGAGTCGCCTGCGCATGGGCGACTGGCTACTTGAAATGCTTGGGCTGCTTGGTCTGGGGAGCGTCCACGCCGGTGCCGATGCCGCCCTCCGCATGGTGGGAGCGCAATGGCAGCCGACGGCGGAGCCAGCCGTGGATGGATGCTTGGTGTGCTGGGGCTGCTGGTGCTGGTGGGGCCGCTTGGGGAGGGTGGACGATGGTGCTTCGACGGCTTGGAGGGCTTGGGCTGCACGGGGAACTTGGGCCGGGTCTAGTTCTGGCACCACGCGCTGTGGGGACCTAAGGGCTGCAATGTCGGCGCAAGGACGGATGCTTCATGGGGACTTGGTCGGCTTGATGGGCGCGGGCTGAAGGTGGGCTGCTTGGGCTGTTGGGAGGGCTTGTGCCGGACTGGGCTGGACTTGGTTGCTGCTGCTGAGCTTAGGGCCGCGATGCTGAGGCCACCGACAGCATGGTGAAGACGCGGGGCGGAAGTGCTGGAAGACACAGAGGCTGCTAGCGCGCCATGGTAGGGGGGGGGCGGGCCGCTCTTAAAGTCGGCCAGCTGGTTGGCCTGCACGCAAGCTAGCTGAGGAACGCCGCCCCCTAAAACTAAAACTAACATGTAAGCTGCCTACGGCTGGCCAGGCAGGCCTAGTGCAAAGCCGTGGACTGTTGTGGTGTCGAGTTCGGGTGGCTCACTTCATCTCTCGAAAAATGGGTTTTCCATCGCTGCGCTTGTACAAAACACCTATTTTTTCTTGCCATAGTGCTGCAACGAAGCCTCTATGTTGTAGAACACCCAAAAGACAAGCTTGGTCTGGATTTATTCTCCCTGTTTTTCCAGCACGAACGCCAGCTGACGCACCGCTGAAATGTGCAGCTTTTGCCACAAGACGATAAAAAGAACGGCAAGAGATACTAGCTGCAAGGATCCGTACAACATGATGTTCCCGATGGTGTTCCATAGATGCTCTTTGTCCATGCTGACAATTTGAGAGTAGTAAACGCTGTTCGGAAGTTGGTACATTACGAATAAATTCGCCGCTGTAAGTGGGATACCTTAAGTAGTTAGAACCAAACATGGGCATCCATTGACAAGCCTTGGGTAGACTTACAGAAAATAATGGGGACAATGACTTCCACGTAGTTGATCAGCAGCATGAACTCGGTCATGTAGAGCAGCTTTCTCGCCTCCATTGCGTACGCCTGTTCCAACTGCGAGTTGTTCGCGCTCCTCTCCACGCCGTCTACGCGAGCTACAAACATCTTGCGACTCGAACTTCGAGCTTTCATCAGTGTCGATTGGGTGATGCGCCTTGGCGAGTACGGGAGCACCCTCTTGTACCTCTTGTATTGCGGCTGACTCGCACAGTTCACCGCTGTAGGCGCGGTGACGATCGCGGATATAAAGCGACTGGAGCTGACTGTGTGGATCGGTATCGATTCATAATTTCTAGCGTATAACCAAGAATCGTCTTCTCTCGTCGTCGTGTATCCTCTGGGCCCATAAGATTATTGAATAATGGATTCGCATGTTTCGCGTCAACACATTGCTTCAGTATCTGTAAATGCTGATGTACAACGCCGACATCCCGCATTGACACCAGCATCTGAGCCCCATCGATCTCAAGTAGCCCCAATGTTGTCGATATAGACGGCGAGTTCTGCAGACAGTAGGACATGAAGAGCGCGTTGAACACCTCCACGTTCATCAGAACCACCTCGGGGATCTTGTCGTTTAAGTGAATCACAGTGCATGCCATGATGTTGCGCATAAATTTTTTGATAATAGGCAGTAGCACTGTAAAAGGGGACTTCGCGTTGGCCGGCAGAGTCGTGAAAATGTAGAAATATGTGGGGTAAATGAGCACCAGACACTCTTGGACTACCCACGTTTTCAGCGTATTAACAATCTGAAGCCAGACTTCTGGATCGGAACGCGCTTTTCGGATGAACGAGGCGAGAGGAACAAGCATGAACGTCACCCAGGCCGGCGATGTCGTGATAAATGTGAACGGTACTGGGAAGCCTACGGCGACGGTCACAACATACAAAGCTCCAAACGAAAGAACAGCAGTCAGGACGGCGTTCGCCATTACGCGCGCGTTTGAGAGTCCAACACTTGGCACTGTGCGTCGGAACTGCAGACTGATGACGACGGTGGTGCAACGTGTTGTGAGCCCCACACGCTTGGGGTTTGGTCGCGACTGTGCTGATGCAGTCCGAAGTCTGTCTGGCCGTCAGTGTCCAAGCGTAAGACACTGCGCCGGTGCGTGCCCGAGTGGCAGCACACCTATTTTATTTAGGTGAACTAGTACGATGTAAGCCACCGACTAACTACAATACACGCTACTTTACGTGTACAACTTGAGTGCCGCTCGTACGCCTGCTCTAGCCACTCGGGTTTATGCCCACACGCGCCTACCCTACTCGTCGCAGCCGTCGAGAGACTTGGAAGCAACGTGCCTCCTAGTCCGTCATTCCGTTGCCGTACACGCCGCTGTAGCCGTCCACCGAGGTCGCCGTTAGCGTCCACCGCCGTTCGTTCACCTTCTGTCCGTCCGTTCGTCGCTTGAGTGCTCGCTGCCGAGCACGTGTTCGTTCGGCCTGTTCGCCAGCCGTCCAAACCAAAAGTCGTGCGGCTTTTTCGCTAGCCGCCGATTTCCAAAGTGAGCTCTGTCGTGGGGCTCGCAGAGCCCGGAGGTCTCGAGGTCTTCGGGGATCCCGTGCAGCAGATCCTGTCGACCACACGGCCGACCGGGTTCTCGTTCCACGCTGGCGCTGACTTCAACGCCGTCAGCTGCCGACGTCACGTCTGCCGCCTCACGCTCCGCCGAGACGCTCGCCTCCTTACAGTGGAGATCCAGTAGATAAAAAGAGTCCGGATGGCGAACTGGTAGGAGCCATTAGTCTCTTGAACCGGTGGAGGCAAAGAGATCGCGTCGGCGAGGAGCGTGATAATAACACACGGCCACGGCATGAGCGCCATCACAGCAAGCGCACGGAACATGCTGATTCGTTCGCTGTACTGGATAACTTCGCGAACTCTCTCGACGGAGTAAACTCCACAAAGCTCCACCTGTGTAGCTTCCCACATATCGGCAACTCTCGCCAACAAGAATCTCATTTTGAGGGGGGGGGAGACGAAGGAGACCGAAGGGAGGTGGTTGCTGAAGGCCTCTAGAAGATGACGACGCCAGCTACAGCTTAGGCTGATATTTACGGTTCGGATGGAGAGCTTAGATTAGACAATCGTCACCTCAGTGAACGGAAGACACGAACCAACAGGCATACGAACACGTTTAAGTCCAAGCGGATGCCCCTTCAAATGTCCACCCGCTTTTGGCTTTTCAAGCGGTGCGGTGCAGTGTTGCTAATACTAATAAGGGAGAAGGAAGATACGGAACCGTGAATTGAAGTGGCCAACGAGCTCTACAAGCACGAGAAGCCTTGTTCAAACTCTCAGATCAGAGTATTTCAACCCATCACCACAGCGTGGTAGCGGCGAGAATAACTTTTCGAGGGCCTGGTCCCAAACTTTTGGCGAGATACGGCGTCGTCTTCTCGATGTTTTTCATTAGCATGCGTACTCTGTAACGTTTGGAGGACTCCGTGGGCTACTTCACAATCGGAATATCCGGAGCTTACGTCTTTATCATCATGGCCAGAATTTCTTTCGAAACAGGGGTTTTCAACTTGTTCAAATCTGTCGCCTTGAAGAGTTTCTATTCTGTGGTCTCCATTCTTTGAAGCAGTTTTGTGTTTAGGCTATCATGTAAAGCCGTATACATTATATAACTCGCGCTGGAGGGGTAACCTGAGAAATTTAGCGCCTGCCACTCGATACGGTATACATCAGCTGAACGACGTTGGGTTCTCTGTTGCTATGGCCTGGTGCTTATGCCTAGCCGAGTTTTCATGAACTCTAGCGATTGATACCCTAGGTAAAAGGTGTGTTGTTGGTCGGTGCAAAAGCCCTACTTTCACCGAGAAAGCATTTTCTTGTATTGAGCTTCGCATGCAATGCCAGCGCGACCCTCGCATTAGCCGCTGGGTCGTCAACTCCATGCAGCTTTTTCAACGTGTTGAATTGCACCGTGGAGACTTCAGCTAAGCTGTAGTAGAGCTGATAAGAAAACAGAATATCTGTGGCAACCAACTTGTTGATGAGAAAGGAAATTCAATTCTGACAGCGTAGACACATGCAAAGCTCGCTAGTCCTCGACTCCTTGCTGCTCACAGGGAGACCTTCTAGTCCTGCGCTCCACGCTCCCTCTGCTGCCTTCTTGAGATGCACTTAGGAACCTCTGAGATCAGCAACACCTACTCAAGGTTCGGCTGAACTTGAACAGCATCTTGGCGAGGTTCCTGAGATTCTTGGATGGATTCATTTTGACTCGGACTGATTCGAACAGGATCTCCCCAAAATATCTTCAACTCCTTTGTCATGACCCAGAAAACCTGCGACGGCTTCGGGCTTTAAACCATCACCCACCCATTGCTTGAACTGGAGGCGCTGCAATTCGTCTCCAAACTTTTTCGAGAGTGGACTTCCACGTTCGAAAACTCGTGCGTTCCCTTGTCTCTCATGTACTGCTTCGTGAAGCGAAGCCACTTCATCAAGTTCGGTTTATCCGCCGACAACGTTGTTGCAGCAGCCGTCTCAAAACCCAGCGCCTTGAAGAAATCCGGCGGTGTTCTTGTGGCCAACTGGTGTGCGTTCTCCATGTCCGCTCCAAGCTTCTTCAGATCAGGTGACTTCCTGAGCGATTGAAAGAGTTGCTCCAAATTCAGCTCGGACATTCCTTGCGCTAGCATCGAGTAGACCGAGCCTTCAGGAAAGGACGTCTCCCCGTGCTTGGCATTGTAAGCTTTCGCGAACCGAAGCCACTTCAGTAACTTCGGACTTTCTGCAAGATCCGCCCCCGCTTTATCGAGATCAAGGTCTGGTAGTAGTGGGAATATTGGCTAGTAGTCATACTACTACTACTATCCAAATCTGACAATAGTAGAATGCTATATCTATTAGTAGTAAGGCATCGGTGGTACTAATATGACTACTAATATGACTATTTCATTCCGAATTCCGACCGCAATGGTGCTTACTGGCCTCCATATGCGAAGTATGTACTACAACTGTAGGTGCGCGCTGTCCGTTGTTATCCTAAGAGGATTCCTCACGAAAGACCCGGTTTAGACGCGCTTGGCTACGAGCAGCGTTCAAGCACAAGTAAGTTTTCGCGATCCTCCGCGAACCAACAGCACACGTAAATGCTTCCTCAAAGCTGCTCAACACTCCAGACCTTTATATTGCGTCTTCTATTTCACACGACCTCCGTTATTGCACTCTACCTTGCCTGAATAGTGTGGTCGGCGCATTGCTCGATCACAAGCGATAGAGTGAGGTACTTGATTTAGAGTAAAGTGATGACTTCTGAGTAACTTCGCAAATGGCTTCTGGTTTCTTTGGAAAGATGCCATGCCCAGTATGGCAACCTAGAAAAAAGAAGAAGAAGGCACAGCGCAATTATACATGAGGAGGAGATCATCGGCATGCATGTACTGATGAGAAGAGGTTAATAGGAAAGTTAAGCGTCATCAAGCCGAAGACTATACAAACACCACCCCAGATTGCTTGTAGTATGCTATTCACTTCGTTAGTGCCAGTGCAACAGCCAGCACCTTACGTTGATGTATGTAGCTTCTAGTTTATACAGCAAACTAACTTCAAAAGAAATAATGTACTCGAAAGTTGAAGCATGTTACTCTGAAGTTACTCAGAAATCAGGAGAAAACTTGAGGGTAAGGACGACTCCCAGATGTACAGTTGAGGGTAGGCTCCTGGGAGTCGGTATCTCCGCATTAAAGTCCCTGGTAACACGTGTGCGGCTGCGAAATCAGTATGGCGAGCTGCTTAGTACAATTGAAGCTACAAAGGCAACCACGAACAGCAGCGTTACCTTTGGGATAACGTTAGCTTGCATTTGTCACACAGCACGTTGTTGCATAAATGATGCACCTGTCGGCCGCATACACAGCACGGAAAAGTCTCCGATATGGCACTTCGGTGGCAATCACTCTTCGCGTACTTCATGGCACGTTTGTGTAAAGTTGGAAGCCTAATGATGGATCCTGACTGGTACTCGTGCGATCTGCCGTCGGTTGAGGAATGGGTACATTAGTAGCGATAATAGCACTACTATCCATGTTTCGTTTGGCTACTATATAAATAGTACTACTAATGGCCCCAATCCCAGAGCTATTGTAGTAGTAATAGTAGTAGTAGTCATAATATGCCTACTAACGCTACTATTCTGGAGACTACTACCAAACCCTGACATAGTGTGTGGAGTATCTTTCGAAGAAAGCCGCATTTTCATCGCCAGCTTTTGAGCAGATGGACTTTTGATCTTCGACGTTAGCTCTGCAGCCGTTGCCAGTCCCGGAATATTGACCCTCTCTTCGCCGTCTTCAGCATCATCGAAGTCGTAAGACCTCAAGTGTCTTGTCGCCGTAGCAGCCTTGTCGCCGATGAGCGCTTGAGATTTGTCCACAGTCGTCGAAGTGGTGGAAACTTCAAATATGAATATAATACCCAACAGCAGCAAAGCACAATGCATCCGCATCCGCATGGTGTCTTCGAGTCTGCTTGCTTGAGTGCTTCGAGGCAAATTGCGATGTGAGATAGAACGATTTGACCATAGGCTGTGGACCTATGGTCCAAAGGTTTTTACTACCGGGTGGTGATAAGCGCGACTGAATTACACTATTATATAGGATGCACATTCTGTCGTCAAAACGAGATTACGCTGATGACCAAGACTATTTACAACTACATTACACCAAGCTTTATCTGTAGCATGCGCATGGACCAGCCACCTCTGGAGGCATCCTACCTACGGTAGGTGCAATTGACTGGTCCATGCAGTTATTGTACCTTGCAGAAATGTTGGCGATTCCGATGCTCTGGAATGTTACCTCTGTCTGTGTAGTTTCCCAAAACTCGGTAAGCTGTTGCTGCTGGCATTTACGGCTTCGATACATTTCAACTGAGAGCTTTGATTAAACAATCGTCACTTCAGCAAGTGGAAGCCACGAGTCATGAGGCGGCTACTTTCACGTTATTAAACAATTAAAAGTGTTTTTCTTAGTGGATAAGCCTTAAAATGCCTACCCGTTGTTTTTTTTGTTTTTTTCGAGTGTTGAGGAAACTAAGGCGCGCTCTGCGCGCATGCTTCTCTCAGCGAATGGTACCTGCAAGTTGCCATTGTATCACGCAAATACTACGAAGCGTAGTATCACATGTTGCTCGATGGAGAGCTTATGAGATTTTGTACTTCACTTAGTGTTGTAGTAGAATGTGCTACATTGAATTGTAGTTGTCAATAGTGTTACCGCAACTGTTCTTTAAGCTGCACCAAACATGTTAATGTACGTAATTACATGTACATTAGCACTTTGTTAATTAGAGCTTGACCGAGGTTAACGCTTTCATCCTCGACGCATTTTCATAGTAATTTCTAGTAAGACGGTGTATGCTGCGCTTCTAAAAGTACTTCTTCTTCTTCTTCTATTACCAGTATTAGTGTAAATAATGTTCTTCTGTAGTTTGCAAATATTACTACTGTACAATTGACCCCATAAATTACATGAATGTTGCCTTTGTTGTCGCCCCTCTGCTTATGTACGGTTTTGATGTTGCGTGAAAGTACGTTAGAACGTATCATGTACTGCGTTGACAGTTTAGTGAACTCATGTGTGCGCGAAGTTTGCTTGTTATAGCATCGCACAAAGTCTGCCGCACTAATAGTACGACTGCGCCTGTCGCCAGTACATTTGAATATGAGAAGAAATAGTAATCTTATATACTGTGGTAGTAGTAGTAGTAGTAGAAGGAGGAGAAAATATACTACCAGTGCACGAATAGAAATACTGGTAACATCGTGAACAAGACGCAAGAATAAATGACATCCATATTATACTCTTTCATTCAGCGTGTAAAGAATACAGTATCAAACATTACGTACGTTTCTGTCTACTATTATATTGCATGTAGAAGTAGTGCTTTGGGATAATCTATTCAAGGACAATTTAGCAAGACTATATTACTATGCATCTTGTGGGAGTATTAAGCTCCTGGGTGATATCAACTGCAATGCCGTGGTGGTGAACTTATGCGCTGTACACTGAACCTGCTAATATACCTGTTTACAACGGCAGGTATCGCAGAAAACGAGCATGCTGTTTGTAGATGCTTGTAGTAAGGAGGAGCAACGATGCTCTTTGTAGTAAGGTAAAGCAACCGCGAGTTTAGGCGCATGTAATGAGGTGAAGCGAGTCTTTTGACGTTGCTGCCAGCAATTAAGTGAAAGCTCACGCAGACTCCCAGTACTGAGAAAGGCCCGAGTGGCACGTTGTAGCCTGCACTTGCAGCGCGTGCTCGTATGATATCGATTGCAACAGTGTGGTGAACTTGTACGTTGTACATTGAACCTGCTAATATACCTGCTTACAACAGTAGGCTTTTTGCATATGCTCGCTGTAACTGAAGCAACAGTGAGTTTAGGTGCATGAAGTGAGATCTCTTACACTTCAGTAAAGCTCGCGCATACTCCCAATACCTGAGCGTCAAGTTATAGCTACACTTGTGTGCATAGTGCAGAGCGCGCTCGCACAGCTGCGTGGGATAGCCGCGGTCGTCGTCTCCGTACACAATGACGGTGTCGGGGCCCTAATTTACCAGGCGGAGGAGAAAATACACCGTTTACAAGCCCAGCACCTCGCTGGTCCAAGTCCATATCCGGCACGATGAGCTGGAGCTTGTCCTGGTGCGGATTCGCCCCCCCCCCCCCGGTATATGTGATCGCGCGGCGCTCTGAGCTAACATGTTTAGAGATTTCAGCGTAAGCAGTAGCTTTTAGTGGGTAACAGTAGCTTTTAGTGGAAATGTTAGCAAATTATGGATTCGGAACTATAGAGGAGCTGCATCAAACTAGATTTAAGTGAATGAAACTTCTTCTGGCCAATACTTTATTCCAGTTGCTCTGAGTGTTTACTTAAAGGCGAGGTTTTACTGGGGCGCGCTTCGCGTGCGGGTCTCTAAGCGGACCGAACAATTTTGTGTTTTTTGCTACTAAAACGGTTAGGACGCGCCGCGCATCAGCGCCAGTCTGCGCTTGTTACTGTTATTAAAATTATCACCAATATTTTTGTGAGTACTATACATGAAACGCTTCATATTACTACAAGAAACTTAAATTTTCATACTATTATAATTGATGTAGACCAGCTTGGTCATTTTATTCATACCCCTGGTCAGACCAGGGGTATGAATAAAAAATTTCAATATGAAAATTGTCAATTAATATGACGAAAATATGTGTTATTGGCAAGCGCCATATTGAAATTTGTATTATTGGCTCGTATGATTTCAGGGAATTCAAAAACACAGTCAAGGCGCATGGAATTGAAATATTTAATCAGTATAATAATTAGCTTTGGTTATCGTCATATTTAAATCATTATTACTGTCAAGCAATTTTACCAATTCAATATAATACTGAATTGGAGGGGCCCTGATGTTGACAACATCATGTTGCAATTGGTATTTATTGCAACTGCCACTGTCGCCACCACTGCCATGCTACAGCTACTGCGGCTGCTACTGTCACTGCTACTGCCACTGCTTCAGCCACTGTCACTGACACTGGCACTATCGCTGCTGCTCCTACTCCTACCTCATCACTACTTATATTGCTATACTACTCATATTCCACTATTGTTAAAGATATTGCATTTGTTATGCTACCTGTGGCGCGCGTTACTGCTGGTCACAGGCACTATCTGCTTACCACTACTGCAACTACAGCTGGAGCAGCTGTACTACAGCTACTACAACTACTATTTCACTACTGTTAATGATGTCATAGTAATGTTGTCATTGATATTGCTTGTTCGTATCTGCTGCTATCGCTACTGCGACTGTTTATTATCTGCTGCCACTACCGCTACCGTTGTTATTTACGCTACAACTACGATCTCAGCATTGATAATGGCACTGTAATGATATTGCTCCTGCTTTCTTTTTCATGCCTGAGAAAGACTGCCAAAATCTACTCCATACTGCTTGGCTTGCTGCATAATATCACGGGGCATTTCATGGCTTGCTCAAACTAAATTTATAAATAGATGCCATCTGAATATCGCCGTCCACCGTGGTGAAAACGACGCGATCCAAACATTATCGATGATCTTATCGTCCTTTAGACCCTTGTAAATCACTCTCCTCTTTTCCAAATAATGTGTGTGACTTGTATTGCTGCGTAAGTAATATCAATATGACGTATTGTGTCTTTCACGTATTTTGGCGCGTGAGCTGTTAATTCAGGCGGAGTTAGAGTCATAAAAGGGTGATCAACGCTTATTTAGTGCTAATTATGCCTAAGATTGTGAGCGCTTCCCCTAACATCCGCGATCAGCATTTGAGAGCTAATCGACGGAGATACGAACAGAATGGCATGGATTGGCGGATAGGAAACCGCCAATCGCTCTGTTTCCGCCTATTAATAACGAAGGCTGGATTAGCTTATTCCGCCTTGAGTCGGCCTCACCATCGCCGCTCCTAATTCGGCCATGGAGGAACGACCCGGAATTAACATGGGAATTAGCTAACGCGGGGCATAATTAAGGTCGATAACGGATTAGAGTTATGCCAGAATTATCACGGCAGAATAAGTGAAAGGCACAATAATTTTTATTCGGTATATTGCTATTGGAATTGTTCGCCTGCGTCACGATCACTGCCAGCTACCACTGCAACTGCCCTACTGTCAATGCCACCGCTATTGCAACCGCTATTAGTTACTGACTTTGAAACTGATATTGTTATCGCTATTTCTGTTACTATTTTTTTTTTGCTCACCCCACGATCAGGAAGAAAACTGTCAAGGTCTACAGTACTCCATGGTGCGTGAGTTGTTGCAACCCAGTATAATGTCATCCAACGAGACTTCTTCGCGAGCCGCACCTAGTAAAATACCTCTATTTTTACGAACTACATCTGCAGTTTACACGTTACTGCAGTTATAAAGTACGCGGTGCAAATTGGCGCTAATTTCGCTGCGCCATGCGTTCATATTGCTTTACTTAGGTTCTTGCTGCAGCAAACATCACGCCCATCTAATCGAGCACTCTAAAGTGCACCACCATGGACTTGTCCGTCTATATCAATGTAGATACTGGTACTCAATATGATGCGACGTCCAGAAAACACTACGCATACTACTGTGGTGTGACGTCCGGACACTGCCTGCATACACTACTGTCGCGCCATGCGCACTCCGTTTTGGATTCCGCAGCCTGCATGAGCCCCAACGTCGCACAGTACCACAGTATGCATCGTAATGGTGGGTGTGAATTAAACCGCACATTTTGTTTTGCTTAATTAAGTTTTATTCCAAATCCAAAACCACGTCAAAAGCATCGATCCGGACGCTGTGCTGCTTTATACCGGTAATACCATGAGATTTTGGATACTCTAGTTCATATTAAAATGTACCGAATGTATTAAACTGATGGTCTGACAAGAAATGACGCTGGCTCTAAGCTATCCGCTTAGAGAATATTGGGTGCTACCTACTTAAAGACGCTTTAAACCCATACTTTATGCAAGTCATTTTTGAGTGGATACTTACTAACCAGTTTTATACTGACGGTCTTTCACGGAAAGCTGCTGGCTCTCAGCTTTTCGCTGAGAGAACAAGCTTAACTGTTAATCCCCAAATCGAAATGTAATCGAAAAAAACGCGACCTGCTAAAGGTTCTTCACCGCCTCCCCGTGTGGAACTTGTACAGCACGCAGGTGAAGAGAATCTCGAAGGCTACCGCATTAGCCGCCACGATCGCGAGGTCACGTCCGAGACCCGCGTCCTCCATGCCGAACTTGGTCAGCAACCGCTGCGCTTCGGCCGACGTGTCGTGCTGGAACTGGTTGTACAACAGCGCCTCGAAGCCGTAGGACAGGAAGCCGAGATAATGGCCCCAGATCCAGTAGTCCGGGATCGCTGGACGCGGCACGAAAAGCCCCATGCACAGGATGTACCAGCCGAAGAGAGCGGCGCCAATCGCCATGCCGATGATAAAGTGCGACACACACGCGGCTACGAGGTGCATCAAGCTCTCGGCCACTACGAGCGACAGGAAGACGATCAGCAGGAACATGCCGTACGAGTTCAGGCCCGCCAGGTACCCCACGAGCAGCGTCGAGCTCAGCGCGATGAGGAAGATGCCAGGTAACGCACCCAAAAAGTTGGCGACGACGTAGCTGAAGACGTTGAGGTTGCTGTTGGTGCGTTCGCGGAGGAAGACGGCGCGCTGCTCGATGAAGAAGGGCAGCACGGCGATGGACATGAAGACCAGGAAGCAGTTGGCGTACGTCAAGAGGTACACGACGTCCCGAGGCTCGATGCGATCGTTGGTCGAGAGGAACATGGTCCCCATCATGAACGACAGCACCGTGTACATCACCAGTCGAACCCAGAAGATGCCCGGGTTGCGGATGTTGTCGAGCGTGTTGCGCTGCAGCAGTACAAGTAATTGGCGCAGTGGGGAGTTCGGCACGCGCTCGATGGCTTTCATAGTGTGCGAGCCCGCTGCGTCCGCTTGAATGGCGTCTTGGATGCGCGTAGCTACTGAGCTGGCAGCGTATCCAGATACTAGAAGGGGGATATCGCCGTGACCTTCGAAGTCCGTATTGGCGATGCTGATGAAGTGCTCCGCTGGGTCCTCGTGCTCGGGACAGACGTACCCCAACGACGCAAAATGGTGCAACATATCAACGCGAGGACCGAAGTAGACCGTCTGACCGGCAGTGAGGATCACGACGTTCGTGAACATGTCGTAGACCAGCGACGAAGGCTGGTGGATGGTGCAGATGACCGTCATGTTCTCCTTACACAGTCTCGCCACGAACTTCATGACGTTGTAGGTCGACGCTGAGTCCAGACCCGACGTTGGTTCGTCTAGCAACAAGATCGACGGCTCGGACAGCAGCTCAATGGCGATACTCAGTCTTCTCTTCTGGCCTCCCGAGATGCCCTTACGGAAGATGTCCCCGACCAATGTGTGCTCGCAGACTCGCAGCCCCATCTCGTCGATCACAGTCTGCACTCGCTCGACAACCTCGCGGTGGGTGACAGAGTTCGGTAGACTGAGCTTGGCCGCCATCTCCAGCGTCTCCAACACGGTAAAAGACCCCAGTAGCGAGTCTTCTTGAGCCACGTAGCTCGACACGGCTCGGAACGTCTTGAGGTTTCGAGTCTCGCCGTTGAGAGCGATGTCGCCTTGAAGTGTGCCCGAGCTGATGCGGTCCGCGAGGATGTCGAGCAGCGTCGTCTTGCCCGATCCGGACGGCCCCATGACGGCCGTGAGCTCACCGGGTGCACATCGACCCGTGACGTTGGTGAGGATGGTCTTCTTCCCGTCCGGGTGCTTTGGGGTCTTCTTCTTCGTGTCGACAGTGTAGCACATGTTACTCCAGCTCAATGTGCACGGGTTACTCGTCACACGAAGTGGTTTGCCGGCAAAGCTGGTGTTGCTCTTGGTAGGACTGTGAGCCGCTGTGGAATTCAACGTCGGAAGAACCACTTGGACGGTGACGGCGGCAGGCGCCACAACTTCAGCTTCCTCCCCCATTTTGTTCAGTCAGGTAGGTTAGTTTCAAGTCCACGGTAAGTCGGGGTCTGCCTGCCTCTCGCGATGCTAGATAAATAGTGGTAATTAAGATTAGATGAAGTTGTGGATAAGAAGAGTAGCTAGCACCCACGTTGAGTCCTTGTGTCCGATAATAGTTGATTCCCTCGTTCGATTCTGTTCACCCCACAGTGCCGTTGCCGCTGCCGTTGCCGTTGGCTTTCCTGAATTATAGAGTCACCTCAAATATTCACAATGCAGCGTAGCGATGTACCACGTGACGAACACGTGCAGGCAACACCTCTAAAGTGTCTGAAGTAAAAATGTAAAACGTCTTGCATTCTGTCTTATAAGTTTATGGTGTGTGGATAAGCATACAAAGCTCGCTACGATCTAGCTGCTGCATTTACCTACGGCCGGTGTGGAACTTGTAGAGGATGAAGGTGAAGATGAGCTCGAGTCCGATGGCATAGCAAGCCAGGATGATCATGTTCTGCGGCGTGTCGACGTCCTCCATGTCCAGCCGCTGCAGGATGGCCTTGGCCGTGGGGGTGTCCACCTGGTTGAAGTGCTCGAACACGAACGACTTGAACGAGTACGAGTGGAAAGCCAGGTAGTAGGCCCAGATCCAGTAGTCCGGGATCGTCGACTTGGGCACCATAAAGCCCTCGCACAGCATGAACATGCCGTAGATGCCAGCGCCCAGAGCGATGCCGATGATGTAGTGCGGCACGGCGGCACCAATGACGTGCATCAACGACTCAGCCACCACCAGCGCCAGGAACAGGTTGAGCAGGAAGTACCAGAAGCCGTGGAGACCCGAGAGCAGCACGACCAGGAACGTCGAGACCGCTGCGATCAGGAAGATACCCGGTAGAGTGGCGATGAAGTTGGCGACCACGTAGCTGAACACGTTGAGGCCGCTGTTGGCGCGTTCCCGCATGAATACCGCGCGCTGCTCGATGAAGAAAGGTAGAACAGCCACCGACATGAAGACCAGGAACGCCTGCACGTAGAATAGCAGCGGGATCATGTCCTCCTCGGAGATGTCGTCGTTGGTGGAGAGGTACATGGTGCCCACCATGAAGGACAGCATCGTGTACATGGCGAGTCTCACCCAGTAGATACCCGGGTTGCGGACGTTGTTTAGCGAGTTGCGCTGCATGAGCACGACGAACTGGCGGAGGGCTGAGGGTTTCACGGGGATAACCGGCGCTGCGTTGTGAACACCGGCAGCGTCCTCGTCGATCTTCTGCACGATACTTTGAGCGATTGAGCTGCTGCTGAAGCTGTTGACGAGTTTCTTGATGTCCGCGTGGCCCTCGAAGTCCGAGTTGACCAGACTGATGAAGTACTCGGCCGGGTTCATGTACATGGGGCACGAGTAACCAGAGGCGGTGAAGTGGTCGAGAATCTGCTCTCGAGGGCCGAAGTAGACCGTCTCACCGGCCGTGAGGATCACGACGTTCGTGAACATCTCGTAGACCAGCGACGAAGGCTGGTGGATGGTGCAGATGACTGTCTTGTTCTCCTTGCAGAGCTTCGACACGAACTGCATGACGTTGTAAGTGGAGGCCGAGTCAAGCCCCGACGTCGGCTCATCCAGTAGCAACACGGACGGCTCTGACAGCAGCTCAATGGCGATACTGACTCTTCTCTTCTGACCACCAGAGATGCCCTTGCGGAAGATGTCGCCGATCAACGTGTGCTCACACACTCGCAGTCCCATCTCGTCGATCACAGTCTGCACCCTCTCAACGATTTCGTGGTGGGTGACGGCGTTCGGGAGACTGAGTCTCGCCGCCATCTCCAGCGTCTCCAGCACAGTGAACGAGCCCAGTAGGGAGTCCTCTTGGGCCACGTAGCTCGACACTGCGCGGAAGGTTTTCGCGTTGCGGGCCTCCCCGTTGAGCGAGATGTTTCCTTCGATAGTGCCCGAGCTGATCCTGTCGGCTAGGATGTCGAGTAACGTGGTCTTGCCACAGCCCGAGGGCCCCATGACGGCGGTGAGTTCACCGGGGGCACAACGGCCACTGACGTTGGAGAGGATGGTCTTCTTGCCGGTGGGACATCGCTCCGTCTTCTTGGTCTCGACAGTGTACGAGAGGTTCTTCCAGCTCAGAGTGCACGGGTTCTTGGTCGCAGTCAAGGTGTCCACGGGTAGAGCGAGGTCCGTGGGTTTGGCCTTGCCGCTGGTTAAAGTCTCGTAGGACGTGGCGCCACTGGGCGACGCTGGGTTGGTGTCGGCCATGAGTGGCAAGAGTTTGGCCTTGAAAACTCGAAAGTGGTGGGAGGTGGGGCAATGCGGAGGTGTGAGGGCCCCAGATCTCAATTGAAAGTGGGACCTCGCGTCCTTATTGCGGGTTTCAACGGCCGCGACCAGAAAGACAGAGGCGTTGGGTGTGGGTGGTCGTTACTGTATGTAGTATTCAAATTGGCTGCAGGTGTGGGCGCCATTGACTTGGCCATGAATAGGACATTCGACGCTTCACCTTGGCTGCAGGATTCAGAGGAAGGATAGCTGTCACGCCGGACAGTGGCCTCCCTTCGCCAATGCTCGAAGAGCGCAGGTGCCAATCAATCCGCTCTAGGATTTCACACCTGCTATCTCACAAGAACGATCTCAGGTGTAGCCGCAGGAGAAGGTGACGGGCAGGAGCAGGAACAAACCGCTAGCGAGGCTCGAATACGTTGAAGTGCACGTCAATCTGAAATATGCACAATAGTGAGGGCTTGCCAGCCGACGGTGTGGTAAAACGCCTCACCAAAGACATGGTGTCGGGGGCTCGAGCGCATAAAACTTGCCCGACTTCGGTGGCAAACGCCTCATCAATAACGGCCCTGAAACTCGAAACGAATTGCACGCTGGTGCCGATGGGTTCATGATAACCAGTACACTGCCTACGGTAATTAGTCTGACCTAGACTATTTTTGATTGAATGGCTCATTGCTCTTAGACAATAAATAGTCTGACCTAGACTATATTTTTGCTAAGACTACTTATGAAGCAACACACACGAAAGAGAAGATGCGGGTAGAGCTGGCCAACCGACCAGGAACCATCGATTCCAAGTGAAAGTCCACATCGAATCATCGCCTTGCGCGCATAGGACATGCCATTTTTATCCTTTTGAAGGTTGACGGCTTTCACCGCCTCTGCAGCAAGTTGGAGGAAAAACTTTTTCCCTGGATTTTGAACCACAAACAACAACAAAACTTGTGTAATGGGTCAGTCGTATGCGGGCCAACGTGGGCGAGTATTTCGTTCACGTCGCGGATGAAGTCACCTTTTTACTTGTACCTTTTAGAATCACACGTATTTCGCAAATACTAAGTATGCAATTTATAACCAAAATGATCAAAATCATTTTCATAAATACACTACTCTAGTACAAATCGAAATACTGAAGCTCAACATCTTTAAATCAATTATAGGTATATTTAAATACACATAATGGATTTCAATTTCAATACCAATATAATTGCTAAACTGTCTGACCTATTTTTAGTAGGTTTCACGAATGATATTTCCGGCTAGATTTAGAAACCCATGTCTGTCACCTTTGAGTGCCCCCCAACACATTTGTTGCTGCCATCTTGGAACGAGCTCAAAATGGGGCTGGCGTTCATATTGGGGAAGCTACGCAGGTGGAGCTCCAGGGCTTTTACTCCGTCGAGCGAGTTCGAGAATTTATCCAATACAGCGGACGTACCAGCATGTTTCGAGCACTTGTAGTGATGGCGATCATGCCGTGGCCTTGCGTCATTATCACACTTCTCGCTGACGTAATGCGTTTGGGTCCGCCGTCTCAAGAGACTAGGGATTCCTATCAGTTCATCGTCCGGACTCTTTTCATCTATTGGATTTCAACTATCACCATCACGCTACAGTTCCGACACAGCGTCCCCAGCGTCAGACTCTCGAACGCGCGCGTGATGCTAAACGCTGCATTTACTGCTGTTCTTTCGTTTGGTGCAATCTACGCGCTAACACTCCTCATCGGCTTCCCATTACCGTTCACGTTCATCACAGTATCTCCTGCTTGGGTGACGTTCATGCTGGTCCCTCTCGCCTCGTTCGTAAAAAAAGCGCGTTTAAATCCAGAAGTGTGGCTTCAGATTATCAACACGTTGAAGACATGGGTGGGTCAGGAAAGTTTAGTGCTGATCTACCTAACGTATTTCTACGTCTTCACGACTCTGCCCTCCAATGCGAAAACTCCGTTTGCCATGCTTCTGCCAATTATCAAGATATTCATGCGCAATGTCATGGCAAGAACAGTGTTGCACTTGAACGACGAGATCCCAGAGGTGGTTCTGATGAACGTTGAGATGTTCAATTCTCTCTTCATGTCGTATTGTATGCAGAATTCGCCTTCGATTTGGACGACACTGGGTCTAATCGCGATCGATGGTGCTTAAATGCTCGCATCCATGTATGATGTGAGTGACGTTATTCACCGCTTGCGAATCCTAAAAGAACGCGTGAACGAGGAGCAGGCGCGTCTGTCAATCGACAATCCGACCGGGATAGAGGCATCGGGGCTGCGCAGGAAGACGATTCTAGTCTACACCGAAGATATACTGGAAAGATATCAAGCCACTCACCCACAACCAGCTCCAGCTGCAGCGGCGAAGTTGGTTACGGAAGGATCTACTCAGTCGATATTGCCTAAAGCAGTGCACCGAGATGGAAAAGTCAAGCCGAAGACGTACAAGAGGGTGCCCAAGCACATCCTCTACTCGCCTACAGTTCTCTCTCGCTCTCTGAAGCGCTTCAGTCTGACTCGGAAGGTTCCAATAATTTTCGGTGCGATTGACATGTGAAGAAAAAAAAAGTAGTGTGCTAACCGAGTTGTCTATTTTCCTTGCAGCGGCGAATTTAATCGTGATGTATCACCTACCAAACAGCATTTACTACGCCCAGATCACCAGCATGGACGATCGGCACTTGTGAGACACGATCGGGAACGTCATGCTCTACGCCTTCCTGCAGCTTGTATCGCTCGTATTGCTCTTCACGTTACTGTGGCAGAAGCTGCACATCTCTGCGGTGCGTCAGTTGGCGTTCGTGCTTGAGAAGCAAGGAGAGCAGGTGCAGACGAAACTCGTCTTCTGGATTTTCTACAACGTTCAGGCTTCGCTACAGCACTACGGTAAGAACAGCCGATGCGGTTTGAGCATAATATCATGCCTGACAACATCTCATCTGGGTATTGCTCGTTTATAATTCTTTGTAGCATCAGACTACTCGTTCAAGTTTTCCTGGCTTCATGCCACGTCGGGATCGCAGGTTAATTAAGCTATGCAATATACCTCAAGAAACTCAGTTCACACAGGCATGGTAATAAAGCGGTTTTAAAGTTTTGCTAACGAGTAAATTATCGTGTTGGCGAGTTGTGGAGCCAGACAAACTTAAACGTGTAGCCAACATATCCGGGAAATCGGTTCTTCTGTAGAGGCATACAACGACGACTTCGACTAGCTAGCTATTTTTTTTTGGTTTAAGTGGCCTTCTATTTGAGCTTAATTAACTGACCTATAGTAGCCTTGATATGTAGTGAGACGATCTACAACTAGTTAGCTATAATAAGAAGGCCCATCTCATAAAACGGTTTTTCGTACTGGCGAGCGATCCCTCAGGCGAGCTGAGGCAGACAACAGGTTTCGCCGTCGCCAAGCGGAGATTCGTCAGGATGGGGCTCTTAGCGTCTTTTGGAAGAATCGTTGCATGTTGGGAGGCAGCACAGGTCGAGCTGCATGGCTTTTACTCGGTGCAGCGCTCTCGGGATTATATTCTGTACAGCAAGCGAACGAGTATATTTCGAGCTCTTGTGGTGCAAGCGTTGATGCCGTGGCCGTGCGTTGTTATCACAGTTCTTGCTGATATCATCCCGATGCGCCCACCGACAGAAGGAAACAACGCGACTTATCCCTTCATCATTCGGACGCTGTTTATCTATTGGATCTGCACTATCGCAATCAGTCTGTAATTCCGACACTGCGTTTCAAGTGCCACGCTCTCGAACACGCGCATCATACTCAGTGCTGCCTTCTCTGCAGTCCTATCTGTAAGTGGGTTGTTTGCACTTACGATTATCATTGGATTCCCTCTACCGTTCACGTTTATCACGGTGTCTCCGGGTTGGGTGACTTCGATGCTGATACCCCTGTTGCCGTTTCTGGCAAAAGCTTGGTTAGACCCGGAAGCACGCCTTCAGATTATCAACACCTTGAAATCGTGGATATCTCAGGAAATCCTGGTAGTTATCTACCCAGCATACTTCTACATTTTCACCACTCTACCAGCAAACGCCAAGACCCCATTCGCGATGCTCCTGCCGATCATGAAGATCTTCATGCGCAACGTCACGTCTCGTACTGTGATTCACTTAGGTGACGAGATTCCTGAAGTGGTGTTGATGAACGTGGAGGTCTTCAACTCGCTCTTCATGTCCTACTGCATGCAGAACTCGCCCTCGATATGGACGACTCTGGGTCTTATAGTGATCGACGGAACCCAAATGATCGCCTCAATGCACGACGTCGACAAGGTCATCAAACGCATGCAGATTGTCAAGGATCAAGTGACCAAGGAGCGAGCCCGGCGTATCGCTGATAACCCAACGATTGAGCAGATTCTAGAGCTGCGCAGGAAGACAATTCTGGGCTATGCGCAAGACATTTTGGAGCGTGACAGCTCAACCCAAACTGCTCAAGTTGTTGTGGCATCCCAGAAGACAATGAGGCTGTCTCCAACCAACGTACTACCTTTGGATGCCGAACTCACAACGTCGAAGCATGTGCAGAAAGAACCACGACGCTCATCAGGTTCTCGATCCAAACTCATGGGGAGTTTCAGTCTGGGTAAAGTGTTCTCGATGCCGAAGCCGAAAGCTAACGACGCTACGAACGTGACGAAGCTCGAGCTCGACTATGCTCTCAATGTCCGGAAAGTGCTGTACATCACGGAGTTTGTCATCTTGCTCAACTTTGTCGAGGTGATTGTCCCCATTATTTTCTGTAAGTTCTTGTTTTTCAGATCATATTCGTAGGCGGTCATTATCTCATTTCGCTATAACTGCGTCCAGCGGCGAATCTGGTTGTGATGTACCATCTTCCCAATCGCAACTACTACTCTCAAATCAAGGGAATGGACGATGACAAGCTACGAAAAACTCTTGAGAATGTGATGTTGTACTGCTTCCTGCAGATCCTATCGCTTGTGGTCTTATTCTACGTCCTGTGGCACCGACTGCGAATCTCCGGACTCCGCGAATTGGCCTTCGTACTGGAGAGACAAGGAGAGCAAGTGCAGACGAAACTCGTGTTCTGGGTTTTCTACAACGTACAAGCTACCATGCAGCATTATGGTGAGTGGAGGCGCCAGTGGTGCTAAGAATTCGATCTGATATTTTTTTTATTTGTGCTAGGGTCGGACTACTCATTCAAGTTTGCTTGGCTTCGCAATCCAACGACTTGATGAATGAAATTAGTACGTAGTAACGAATTAAACCTCCAAATGGCATTAACAACGACAACAAAATTCTTGAATTCTAACGCCTTTTTTAATTACTGAACAAAGCATTCATACAGTATCGCTCTGAGTTCGGAATGAACTAGGTCGTCTGCGACTTAGCTAGGAACACTTATGAGAAGAAGTGCTGTATTTGGCAGTGGTAGATGTCGAAGTGCCAAGTTGAAGTGCTTATCCGTCTTAAGGCCTTTCGCGATTAAGATGAAGTCCAAAGCACTATATTGTAATTGATATAGCGATTGATTCCTCTAGAGCAGCCAGCCTTTCCACTTGCGTCTGCGATTGATCGATCAATTTCAATATTTTCTTCTCGAAAGTGGCTGTGTGTTTCTTTCAAAACCGAAAGCCATTGGAAAATACTTGCACTCGGTAGTTCGTACAGTCTACGAAAAAGGTGTTTTTGTGCCCTCCACTCTTTTGATGGCCCTATGAAAGTTACACGCGGCTTCCGGTCGATACCCGTGACAGGGAGCACTTTAGCACACGCTGAAGGAAAGCAGATAGCGTGACCACTACTGTGCTTGCCAGATAGAGAAAATTCAAGTCCAAAGCACCGAGCAGGGGCAATACAGTTTTTCCCGACTGCACTCAGTTCTGGAAGGTCTGCGTATCGTGGTCATTCGCAAGACTAAACTTCGATTTCCGGGGATTGTGAGCGCACCTTGAACATAAGTGAATTCGTCCTTTGTCTCTAACGAGGTCCGGATTCAGGTAAAATTTACGCCCATCCGGCATGGCAAGCACTTGCGCATACTTTTTCACCCTTGTCGTCAGAAAGATGACTATATCGCTTGTTATATTCATCACTTGATACTTACGATGTTTCTGGTAGACGAGAACCGTCACCTCGTTGCCGCGACTGTTTTTCTGCAAATAATACAACAACCAATCCATCAGAGACTAGAATATAGCATCGTATCGAAACAATACCATGATATTTTTTCTTTTCTTCTCCGTAGCCCGGGATGCACGCAAAGTATCTGCAGGCCGCTTCAACTTTTTTTGCTTTGTAGCCATCTCTGCAGGTGCCATATCGTTAGAACCACGTCTATCTGCTACACCCTCTCGGCTACTGGCGAGTGTCTGCTTGCGCTTCGCGCGGTAATTGCACATGTAAAGAGCCTGCTTGCGCTTTTTATCTGGCGCCGCCACTCCAGCTGATGTTTCAGCGCTCTTCGTTTAGTAGCTTCTGTTGATACGTTGCCGTCAATATCGCACTCGCGCCGCTCGCAACTACTTGCCGTGACTCGAGAGGAGCCCTGGTCGCTGCTACCGACGGTCGTTTCTGCCAAACCACCACCCGAACGCGTTGCAATCTTTATTCGCTTGTGTCTGGCACGGTAATCCCGCATGTAAAGGGACCGCTTCTGCTTCCTTGTGTTAAGCAGCTCTTCAGCAGCTGATTGCTTAGCGTTACCACGCTCGCGTTTCCGACGCCACTACTTCGCCGGAATCAATACTGCTCGCAGTTGAAAGCCCTTCGATAGTATTCAGCACTCGCCTGCCTTCGCCAGGGACGGCGCAGCCAGCATCCTTAGACATTATTCCGCCTTGAGATCAATAGGCAAACTGTCAGGAGTCAATCAGATCTATTCAATTCAACCTTGCTGGGTCAACATTCACTATTCGAACTGTGCCGCGAAGGTTGCGCCAAGTTACGCTTACGCGTCCAATTTATCCGTTGGGAGCGGTGTTCCCAGTATAATACAGAGATATGTGCCAAACAAAGTCGTGCTGTGCACGAAGAAGCTCTGAAATTTCGGCTGTGAAGTCCAAACTTTTATCTTCAAGTGCCTACTACTTTCTTTGCGACGTTCACGCTTTCTTGGTGCATCTTGCTCTAGGCTACTTGCACTTTAGGTGTTCGCCATCTTCTGACAAACCTCTTGGTGCTCGTCACGTCATTGACAGTTAAATTATAGTTTAACCCCCCATCCCTCAGGCACGATTAGAAAAAAGCTTAATGTTGTAGCAGACACGTTAAGGAATTATATACTTAGTTTTTGTATGGGGCTATACAAACTTGTCGTCAACGAGGGGTTGGGATCATCCTCTGTCCTGCACAATTTTGCATAGGCTGTGCACGGATTTACATAAGTGTGCGAAGAGTAAGATCGCCTCCAGCATTTCAGTCTGAAGTCCATTGCGTTCAAGAGTGGGTGAGATACAATAGCAAAAACGGCGCTATGCTAGCAGATGCATGCAACAATGATCGAGTAAGCGCTCAGAGGCACACACTCGCCCCTTTCATCAATATACTTTTTACTTCGGGCAGCGCCCTGTCCGTAGATGCGGGGGTCGATCACATCGATTGCTTCGGCCATGATGTTCCACATGTCCAGCTTCTTGGCAAAGATGGCGTCGCTGTCCACGACCATGAAAAAGTCGCCCGCCGTCGGTGCGTAGCGCGTCTCAAATGGCACGACGCGGATGTCGCCACCCCCAGCAAGCCAGCACCACCGGGCTCAGCGTTGTGATGAGCGGCTGTCGTGTTGGCCGCGGACACGTCCGCGTATTGCCTGGACTCCACGCGGTTCGGGGGGCCTTCCGGGGCTTCATGTCCGCTCGATGCTCACAACGCGGTGCCAGTAGATCACTTCTGCGCATGTGCCAGTATCCACCGCGGCGGTGGGCGCCTCGTCATTACTCGCTGCTCGGTCGAGTAATTCAGAGATGAAAATTCGGCTTGTGTCGATTATCCATGGGATAAATGGAAATTTGCATTTATCCCAAGAAAAAACCCACCTAATAAATTACCGATTCAATTACTTGCAGTCGCAGGATGGACGCGTCGCCGACGGGGTCACCATTCACGTGGGTGATTCATAAAGACCAGAGGTATAAGATACTAGAGGTTTTTCATATTGCACAACTGTTTAGTAGGGCTGTTTCGTGCATATTCATCAGACCTTTATTACGGGGATAGCCCATTGAGACATCAACTGCTTTTCTCTACTAAGTACGATTAAAGCTCTTGAAATTACAGGCATAACCCTACCGAAACTGGTGCACGAAACAGCCCTACTGTTTACTTTGTATACTTATCGATAAGATCTTCGGACAATCAGACCCTTTAAATTACGAAGGCTGTGTTTTTTTAACAAAACTTTATTTATTGTGCTTTGTAGTTATTTTGCCGACCATTTTAGACGCTAAATATGGCAAAGCCTGCTCCTAAATATGTGTGAAAGAAGATACACGACCTGCTAAAATTATGCATAAATCCACCTCCTCATATATATATATATCGACTTGGGAGGGCCTGTCAGCAGCCATACATTGGCCCAGTACACCACAGTCCATGATCCCCAGCACATCCACCCTCCTATGGATAATTGCCGTGTGTGTAGGTGCTTGTGGATAAAAGCCGACAGAAATGCAGCTGCACAGCCACAATTGCACTTTCAAAACTGCAATTGTCGCGCTTTTAGCGTAATTCTAGGCCTCCACCCATTTATGCACCTCGATTTATCGTAAATCTAGCAGGTGGTCGCTATAAATACAGCAAATCTCGCCTCATATTGCCAAAATCATTGCAAAGCACAATATGAGGTTTGAGAAATGGGTGACCCGTACAGCAGATTTTTAATTCAAGCAAAGAGGGCGTCGCTAAACTTTGATTTATGTAATTAGCGCGGAAAGTGATATCACCGGTAGACTCTGAAATAAATTTCAGAGAACTCCCGAGATCGCGATAACTCGAGAGGAAGGAGGCCAACAGTTTCGAATCTAGTGTTATCATTCCACGCTGCAGCACATTCGAGGTAGGATTCGTCTTTGTGCTACAGTCAACCAGCATCTATAGGTTTGACATCATTTCTGTATTTGCAAGTTACCAGACCGGACGATCGTATAAATAACTAGTAGTACAAGCTGCAGTTGGGATAAGAAGTAGTGCATCTCACTCTTATTGCCGCTTGCAAATACTTTGTCCTCTAAAATAGACCTCTAAAATAAACCACGCCTGTCTCTTCATATCAAGGAATGTCCACGCATGCCAAGCTGAATATGAGTGGACACGAGATAGGCGAGGGCTGTTTTAGCTTTGTGCTTTGGTGGAGGCCGCTTTTAGGCTCAGAAACTCGGTTTGGCCTGTCTAGAATGGCATTTCTGCGTTTCCAAGCCGCAGAAAAGCGTTTTGGTCGGGAGAACAGAGCCTCAAGCTTGGATGTTAAACCGTACTGGCGAGATATATAAATCAGACCTAGGTTTTAATTAAGAGCTGTCTGGATTAAAGTCGAGATTATTAACGAGATAATAAGCATGCGTTGGCCAAAATATCTGCAAACGGCAATATACAATCAGCTATATTTCTGGTGGAGGCTAAATATAACACGCCATCGCGGCCAGCACAAGCAAGGTTTTTCTCTGTTACACTAGTCAGACACCGCGTCCATCGTGCAACGCGAGTTCGTCAGGATGGGGCTCGCGGCTTGGATCGGAAGGGTCACGGATTTTTGGGGGGCTGTCCAAGTTGAGCTCCATGGGTTTTACTCGGTCGAGCGCGTTCGCGACTACATCGCGTATACCCAACAGACCAGCATGTTTCGAGCTCTCATGGTGCTATTTCTCGTACCTTAGCCGTGTGTTATCGTCACGATTCTCATCGACATGATCCCGTTGAACTCGCCAGCTGAAGGGCCAGAAGGCAACATTTTATTCTTCGTTCGCACATTCCTCGCGTTCTGGATTTCCACTATCGTCATCAGCCTCCAATTCCGCCACTGTGTCCCAAGTGTTTCATTCTCAAACGCCCACATATTGGCCAGTGCCACCTTCACAGCAACACCGACGACGTGTGTCTACTACGGAGTATCACTGCTCATCGGGTTCCCATTGCCGTTCGGAATTCAACTGGTGTCACCCGTTTGGGTGACCTTCATGTTGATTCCACTTGTCCCATTCCTCAAAAGGGCATACTCCCAGTCTCCAGAGTGGACCCAGATAGTTAACACCCTCAAGTCTTGGGTCTCCCAAGAGAATCTGGTGCTGATCTACCCGACCTACTTTTACGTCTTCACCACGCTCCCCGCCAATGCCAAGACTCCGTTCGCGATGCTCCTTCCGACCATGAAGATACTCATGCGCAACGTCATGTCCCGTACTGTGGTTCACCTGAGCGATGAAATCCCCGAGATAGTTTTGATGAACGTCGAGGTCTTCAACTCGCTCTTCATGTCGTACTGCATGCAGAATTCGCCCTCGATTTGGACGACATTGGGTCTAATTGTTATTGACGGGACCCAAATGATCGCGTCGATGCACGACGTCGACAAAGTTAGCAAGCGTATGCAGGTCGTAAAGGACCGAGTCACCACGGAGAGAGCCAGGGGCGGAGCCAGGGGCGGAGCCAGGGCCAAAATGGGGGGGCGTATGCCCCCCCCCCATTTTTTTGGCGACGGCGTTTCGATTTTTTTAGATTTTTTTATTTAGACGGCACATACATTATATTCTGGAGATCTGCCTTCTCCTAGCAAAACAGGAAATTGCATTTCGGGGCAGCAACGAAAAGGTATACGAGCGATTTAATTTTTATGTAAGAAATGACAACACTGGACTAACGTTTTTTTACTATGCACAGGATACGTCACAAAATAAAGGCGATTTTCTTGAGATTGTTCAGTTCATGGCACAGCACGCGCCATCGTTTTCTCGCGCAATGTCCTTAGCTGGGGAAAACGCTGTGTACACGTCGCCACAAATTCAACGTGAACTGATCAAATGTGCGGCTGATGTTGTTCGAAAGCATTTTATGGAGGTCGAGATTGCAGATGGATATTTTTCTGTTCTGGTGGATGAAGCAAGCTGCATCGCGAAGAAAGAGCACATGACTATCGTAATTCGTTTTGTGTGCGCTGCAACGGGGACTAGTAGAGAAAGATTTTTTGGAACTGTCCATTTTTGCGATACGAATGCGGAGGCACTGTACGATGGTTTGATAACGCAGTTAGAGAAGTGGGGATTGCTTTTGGCGAACTGTAGAGGCCAGGGATATGATGGTGCGTCCAACATGTCGGGTGATTTTACTGGTCTTCAGTGACGTCTACGCTCCCAGTGTCCTTACGCCAACTATGTTCACTGTTTCGCGCATCGACTTAATCTCGTCCTAGTTGCAGTGACTATGAACACGGTCTCGGTGGTGCAATGCTTCGACACCGTGCAAGGGATTCACACTACTGTAAGTGCTTCGTGTAAAAGGAAAGATCAACTTCTTGACGAAGCCGCTGTGGAATTGGAAAAAATGCTTGATCAAGGACATCTAGAATCTGGTAGAGGTTTAACCCTTTGTTCACCGGGAGTCAGTGCGTACAGTCCAGTAGACGTCGCTTGTAAGAGCCTCCGACAACATTATATATAGTTTTTGTATGAACTTTATTAAATACGAAAATATTGGAGCGTTTATGTATGCACATCATTGTTTTTGGCGCAGTACGCGGTACGACCTCCTACATGCAATTCCGTTTTGATGCTCGTTTTCGTAAGACATGTCAGAGGAGCTGACGGTAAATCGCAGCAACGTCAGCACATAAATAGAACTAGCATCGTCCTTTGTGGCCAGATGGCTACGCAGCTCGTGCAATCTACTCTCTGCACGTTGGCGGCCGTGATGGTCAGGAGCTCGAGTTGTTCAATATCCATACCGGCAGCATCGCGCGGTTTGCCAAGGTTTGACGAGGCGATGTTTGCGCTGCTGATCCTGCCTACAGTTCTATTACTGCTGCTCATGATGGCCAGATAACTCACACCAAAAATGGAGATAGCGTCGCACCGTCAAACATGCTTCGGTGCCAATGTATTCATGCTGTTATGAGATGCTGCTTGCAGACATGATAGCCACGCAGCTCGTGTTGCCTGCGATGAAGATGGTCGCCAGTGCGGTGATGTCCTGATGCTATTGTACTACGACAAGTGGCTGGCAGCCACTGGCTTTCGCCCTTTAGCGATGGTTGGTGCTGAACCAATGGTGCACAAATGCATCAACACCGCAGCCACTGGCTGCTGGCCGCGTTGCCGACACGGCTTGTGTTGCCTGCGATAGCGCGGCGCCCTTTAGCGATGGTTGGTGCGCAAATGCATCGACACCGATCTTGCGGCACCACGAGTTGACCAGGGAGCCTAATACGGAGGTGGCGTGGCCCAGTCTACCGGGGTTCCTCAAAGCGGTGCATGGCATACCCACGCTTCTATTACAGCTGACGGTGACGGCCAAACTGCCCGAGTGGAGCGCGCCGATGCGGGTGGCGCCAAGCGTGTTGCCTTGTCAATGGCTTGGAGCACGGAAACATAGTACTAACAGTACTAATGGTAGTAACGGTAGTAGTAACCAGGTACTACAATCACTGTCGAATAATAATAATGTACTTAGAAATAATGACAAATTTGTAAAGAGTAGCACAGCCATGATCAGGATTGATATAATTCCATCTCCATCTCGGTACCTGGTCGTAGTATAGCTGCGTCACTACCGGTCCACCGCCCCGCCAGACGGCGCCACGCGATCTCCATCGTGGACAACACGAGCTCCACGGCCAACACGGGCAGCGGCAGCACGTCGTAGCACAACAGCGCCGGGACCTTGGCACACCGACGAGCATCTCCATCTTTGCATACACGAGCGGCTCGGCCACCATGAGCTGCAGCACCAGGCCGTAGTAAAACTGCGTCACTACATCGACGCACCGATCGGCCAGCCCCGCCAGACGGCGCCACGCGATCTCCATCGTGGACAGCACGATCTCGGCTCCACGGTCAACACGGGCAGCGGCAGCACGTCGTAGTACAACAGCCTCAGGACCTTGGCACATCTCCATCTTGGCCTACACGAGCGGCTCGGCCACCATGAGCTGCAGCACCAGGCCGTAGTAAGACTGCGTCACTACATCGTCGCACCGATGAGCGCCGGACTGCGGGACGCCTTCTCCAGTTGGGCAATGCGAGTTGGGAGGCTTTGGCGCGACGGTACTTGCAGCTTTGATTTGTGGTACGTAGCGTTAGGATACTGGCACAGGTACCTCGGGCAGACTGGTCGAGGCCACCAGGGCAACATCACGATGAACGGACTCGGTCAACTCGATCAAGAGGCGCGATATCTTTGTGATAGACCAGCGCCCCTTCAGCATCCCGACTCTTCTTCAACCCTCGTGTGGCGTTTGCTAGATCGCCACCAACGGACGGTGTTCGTCGCGACTCAGCGTCGTGGAGAGTGTACTCGCCACCGGCGAACACCGGACGACGCTAGGACCTCCTTGACTCTCGAGTGGCGCCTCAGTAACGCCACCGACGCACGGTTCTCGTCGCGACCCTGCATCATCGTGGAGAGTGTACTCACCACCGGCGAGCACCGGCCGTCGCTCAGACTCCTGTCTCCCTCCCCATCTCTCGGCTACGCGGCAAGCGCACGGTGCTCGGCGCGACCCTGCATCATCGTGGAGAGTGTACTCACCACCGGCGAGCACCTGCCGTCGCTCAGACTCCTGTCTCCCTCCCCATCGCTCGGCTACGCGGCTAGCGCACGGTGCTCGTCGCGGCTCTGCATCATCGCAGAAAGTGACCAGCTTCAGTACCAAACAGACACTATAACACCTACGACTCGAACAGCCGAAATAAATTAGCATGATATTTAAAATTAAACAAGAATATCTGAATCGACACTTCTCTAACCGCCCTTTAACAGCTTTCCGTATGCCATACACACAGCAACTTGGTACCAGCTTGTACAGCTTGGTAAAATGAATTATGGACATGGCTGGAAAGTTGCGGTTTTATAGCCGGTAGTGACGTCATAGGATGATGTAATAGCAGCCATATAATGACATCGGACTTGAATCTATACAAATTTAGAATATCTGTAGGGGTTTCACCCCCACCATGCTATACGGGTTATTTTAAACAAAGTATAGCTAAAAACTTGGGTATATTTCATGATCAAAAATGGGTAGGGACCCATTTTTGTGACTACCATACATTCTTTAGTATACCACATATTTCCAGGAGGGGTGAAACCCCTACAAGACTTGACAGTTTGTATAGATGTAGATGGCATCCGCAATTTGTGATGACGTCATTTCATGACGTCAGTGGTACATATTTTTACCACAGCCTGTGGTCCCCACGCTTCTGACCATAATCAAAATACCGAGAAAAGGTGGATAGAACCTGAGAACATGGTGGTGTCTAACCTTTTGTGTTCCACGTGCTCTTGAGCTCACCAGGACCTAGCATCGCAACATGTAACGTTCACCCCACACTGACGCCCCAATCGCGCCAACCCAACCCAACTGAGGCGACTTAAGCTCCCCGGTGATCATGGCCAGCGGCAACAAGTAGTAGTAGAACAACAGAAGCAATAATGTAGCGCACCGATGAGCGCATGATTGGTCTGTACATCGCCAACATTGAAGGCATGAGCTGCGCGGCCATCGTGGCCAGTGGCAACAAGTAGTAGTAGAACAACAGAAGCAATACTGTAGCGCACCGATGAGCGCATGATTGGTCTGTACATCGCCAACATTGGAGGCATGAGCTGCGCGGCCATCGTGGCCAGTGGCAACAAGTAGTAGTAGAACAACAGAAGCAATACTGTAGCGCACCGATGAGCGCATGATTGGTCTGTACATCGCCAACATTGGAGGCATGAGCTGCGCGGCCACCATGGTCAGTGGCAACACCCAGGAAGGGCGGAGTTAATACCATTCTCAGCGCGATGCACCGCAAGAAATGCTGGCCTCGGTCGGTTAGCCACTTCGAGTACCGTACTAGTAAAGCTGTAAACGATTGCAAGACCATTTATAAACTTGTTTGTAGGTGATGTTTCATTTTGTAATAAGTGCATTTGTGAGGGTTCTCCAGCAACTAGAACCACTATTACGGCTACAATGAATGCGTACTAGGTTACGCGAAGCACCTCATTCTAATTCATGCCATTAGCTTCTACCGTGAGTGTCGTCCGGCAGCAGCTACTTCATGCACGCCGACGTAGACCCCTACAAAGTGACACACAATAGCGAACAATAGGACGCAATGCTCCAAAAAAACGCGCGGGGTGCAAGTTCGGCAAGTGCAGAACACAATGCTCCGAGTGCAGCTAAAGCGGCCTGGCCCTGCCCTCCCATGGTGTCCATGTTGCGCGTGAGGAACGACCAGCGCAGCCAGCCGACTTAGCCAACGGTGTGCCCTGCTCGTTGATCGCCACCAGGATGAGGCCACTATGACCTCGTTCAAATTTATTTTCAACGGCAGCTGGGACATTGACATGCCGGTGGTGGACAGCATGTTGGCCACGTCCGCGAAGGTCCCTGCCGCTGGTCGACACAGAGTGGCCTGCCACTCCTATGGCGCAGAGTGCAGCTCGCGCTAAAGTTCTTCGGGCAGCGATGATCTGCCCGTGTGCAGTCAGTTTCTGCAGGCTCTGGTCACCACCGGACGGCCAGTACACCGCACTTGGACATGTGCTATGCCATATCATGCACACACTCCATCGCCATCATCGCCTACATGGACTCAACCAGCTTCAGGTGCTGTCAGGAGAAGGCGACGCCCAAAGCCGACAAAGCCGTCGCTATAGTAGACGGGATGCCGCTGGAGCTCATGTATCGGGCACTGCTCTTATACAACGCACCAAACAACCAAACCACTGCATTTGAGATTAGCGACGTCAACCTTACTGCAAGCGCACATGTACCCCGAGCAAGCCACCTCGATTAGAAGAGCTTACACCCATCGCGACGGCGTCCTGCATGAACTTCGGTCAGACTGGCGTTGGTGTGAGGCCCCAATAACAAGCTTGATTTAGCAGGCGAAAACCACACTATTGTTGTCGTTTATACAGCTACTACAATACATATATACTGTATACAAGTATTTAGTCATTTGATTTGCAGATCGGTACATCGCCCTGAATCCACCCATTCCAAATGCTCATATAACTACTGGAGGCCACAACAAGTTTGCACTACTAGATGCAGGACGTAGGCTCGTCGCGCGGTGCTCGTGGGAGACAGAAGACAGCACGGACGAAGCAGGGCCCACCGCCTCCGCCGAAGACCGGTCGCAAGACAGCTCAGTAATTGCGTGGTGTAAATAGAGAAGATGTTGGACTCGAAGTGGAGATCGTAATAACGGCGCGCCCAGCAACACAGTCTACGGCGAAGTCAACGAAGAAAAAGAAGCCTACCCCGGACCCGTCACTCTATATGTTTGCAGCACGAGAAGGATATCTACAATCGGCTAGTTCACCGACTACTGCTGCACGACAAGGCAATGGGCAATCAGCTAGTCCACCAACTACTACGGTTGAAACGTCTCGTAAACGCAGCTCAAGTTCGTTACCGACTACCCCACAACAGAAACGCCGTGCTATTGAGATGCCAGAAGAAGAGAGAACGCCGGGTGTGTATACCTCTGCAGATCGTTTCAGCGATAGTGCCTTAAGCGCAAGCTCGGAGTTCTCTGACGAAGACGAGGAGGCTGCAGAACGTTACGACCAATTTGCAGCAAGCTGAGGCAAGCGCTGCAGTGTCGGCTGAACTACAACAACGTCTCGCTATCTCAAACCCTGACGTCGGCACATGCTTCGAGAACATCGTCGGTTCATATGATTACATTCGTTCCGATGATGAGATCGATGGAAATGAGTCGGCGGACGATGAAGACGAATCTTGTTTAACTAACGAGATGAATCGCGAGCCGATGGAAGAGAACGAACACGATTGGTATCTTGATGAATACGGCATCGACATTAATGACGACGACGAGCTGCTCAAGTTGGCTAAGAATCGCGATGAAATCAAGGAATGGGAAACGGATGGATGGGAAGAAGGTAGGCTACATTGTTGCCAACTACGTCCTTTACAATTGCGGATTTACTCACAATATGGTTTATAGTTGACCCGTCGGTGGAGAGCCAAACCGAATTCGGTAACATCTACAGCGGAAAATTCGGTCCGACGCAGGAGCTGGTGGATATTGCGAATTCACCCCTCAAACTGTTTTGGTATTTTCTGCCACAGAGCCTCTGGCAAAACATTGCTGACGAGTCGAACAAGTATGCGAAGCAAGCGGTCATTACCCGCGCTCGACGCATTCGAGATCTCCACAAAAAGCTCAGGCGGAAAGGTGTCATGCGAAATTCACCAGTGGAATCGCTTCGCGAAATCCGACAGCGCTTGAGGAAAATGCCTCCCATTCAGCCTTGCGAACTCCACGTGTTTTTAGGGCTCCTCATTGCTCGAGCACTGGCACCGATTAGGCATCGTTTATCTGCGCATTGGAGTACAAGTAGCATCGGGGCGATTCCTAGCGGAACATTTGGCAAGTGGATGGTTCGAAACCGGTATGATCTGTCTTGGAATATTACTATAATGTACGACTAACAGAACGATTGTACTTGTCTTGCTTGTAAAAGGTTTGATCAAATTAGTCAGCATCTTCACTTTAGCGACAACAAGGACCCCTGAGCTGGTTTGGACAGGGCTTGGAAAATTCGCCCCATCCTAGATGTACTGCAAAGGACGTTTAAAAGTGGATATGTCCCGGGTGGTGTACTTTCATTCGACGAAGGCATGTTGCCATCGCACTCCAAGTTCAACGGTACCCGCGTTTTTATGAAGGACAAACCCCACAAGTGGGGAACGAAGTTATTTCTGACCTGTTGTCCCAAGACATCTTACTGTCTAAGGTAAGACCCCAACTTTAATTTTGCGGGTGCAGCAGTTTCCTCTCATGTCTGTGAATTATTTTCTTTATAGGGCGGAAGTGTACTGCGAGAAAAAAAAAACACCTTGGCGGACCCCAGACAATCGATGACAAGTCGGGACCCTCTGCAGTACTACGGAACATGGCGCATGTCATTCCGGCGGATCGCGAAGAATGGCATATGATGGTTACTGATCGATTCTACACTTCGGTGGCGCTATCGTTGGAGCTACTTTCACGGAAAATTTTTACGGTTGGAACAATTCAAACGCGGCGAATCGGGTTTCCTGAGGCGCTGAAGGACGGTAAAAAAAAGCGACCAGAAACCATCAGACGCGGCGCATACAGGATCGCGCGAAACAAGAAGGTACCTGAAATGGTAGCCTGTGTTTGGATGGATTCTAAACCAGTACATCTGCTGGTGACTGGTGCCAGTACACACGAGCAAACAACTGGTACGTTTGATGATGTTGTAGCGGATGTATACCCTTCCAACTTTTTTTTGTAGTTCGCACAACTGGCTACGGCCAGCCAGAAGATGTACCTTGCCCAAAATTAGTCAAGGATTACCACGCTAACATGGGTGGGGTGGATGTCCATGATCAGCTTCGTCTTCAGAGGTTTTCGCTCGAGTTGTGTTTTCCCTTCAAGAAGTACTACAAAGGATAACGTATTCATTTATAATTGAATATGTGGAATATGAACTAATTTTATTATGATGTAGCCTGTTTCTAGGTCTCATCGACTTAGCGCTCACTAATGCATACATTGTGCATCGTCAAGTGCAAGCAGCCAACGGCAAGCGTGCCATGTCGCATTTCCAGTTTTTGGCAGAACTTCATGCACAGTTACTGAATGTTCAGCCCGATGACTTCACACGGAACACACGGGTACGTATCGTGCGGTATCGTCTTCTTATTGATTGTTCTTGTATTTCACGCAGGATACACTTTATACACCCACTATTCCCACACGACCCTCAACAGCGCACGAACATCTTCCTGAAGAGACACAATATTTTACCAAAGAGATTGGTGATCCACGTCGCAAACGCAAACATCGTGCTTGCAAGGTTTGCTCCTGTATTGCGGGATCTACTGACAAACGGGGAAAAACACCAAGTGGTTCTGTCGAGCGTGCTCCATGGGCAAGTCAGGCGAGTAAGTATCATCCAGACCTATACTCCACTGTAACCTGCCTGACCTTGTTTGTGTTGTATGAAGTGTGTACTTGTGTCAGCACTATCGGCGCCAAAGTGGCGGTATCAAGAAGTCCTGCTTCTCTATATGGCACGAAGACTGGGAAAACGGGAACGAGATTCCACTGGAATATTCAAAACGCCTTCAGTTTAGGTTGCCTTCCCAAGCAAGACGTACGCGAGCTCAAACTTAGTCAAATCCGAGTTGCCCAGGTGCAAGAGCCAATACGCAGCGTGTTCCCAACGATAACCCATTGAGTCAACAGAGCTGGTGAGCACGAAGAAGTCAACTTGAATGTTGAAGTAGGCGATACATGTCAATACACTTTTTTCATCACCTTGGAAATGTATCACTCACTACATTGTATTGAACAAACATAAGTAGCTACGCATGAAAAGTCGTGTTGGGTGGGTTTCGTGTGTTAGGGTTCGACTACATCTAAGGTAAGCCTCCTATACGCCGGTTTTCTCGGCGTTGATGCTCTTGCTGCGCGATAATGAAGTTGTATACATCCTGATGCATTCTATTGTACTCCTCCACAATCCGCATACCAACGTTGGTATCTTCTAGTAGGTGTTGTAGTATTTCCGTAATCTCTTCGATTGGAAAAATGTCCTGTTCGTCGTGCCATTGGGTTCAGCAACATCTGAATATGATGCCCTCGCTTTGCGCTTCCTGTCCTGCATAGGCAATAGTTACAAGCCAGCATTAGTTTCTACATAAACGAAATTAATTGTCTGCTAGCGCATACTGACCGCTCCGTCAACCATCTCGATCCTTTCCTTCAATCTTTCGGTTGCCACGGTGCGAAAGTTGTTTCGCAAGTCGATCGGGTTCCCAGTCTCTGTGAAGCGAAGAAGAAAGTTTCCCGGGTCCAAATCTCTCGTCTTGCGTGTGACGTAGTCAGCTTGCCCCGCTACGATCCGGATCCCGTGCCTCCCACGAACGCTCAGAGGAGGGTTAATTGTCACCGCAAGGCCATGCACCTTGTCTTCGTTTGGAGCGCAAGTTAGCCGATTCTCCATACTCTCGAGGCGGGCCATAATGTCCCCATGAAGAGCCATGATCCCGTTCAGGCGTTGTTGAACACCCCCCAGAAGCTGCATACGCTCAGCATGGTGAGTGTTTATCAGCGTCACAAACTGAACGTGGTGCGTGAGTGTCATCGCGGCGATGATATGATTCTGACGCGCGATCTCGGCCTGGGCAGCCCTTACTTGGTTTCGTAGCAGGTTGTTCTCTGCCCTTAGCGCTTCCATCGCTCTTCTTGTTCGTTGTCGCTGTTTTTCTGGTTCTGAAATGAGGGGAGGGGATCCTAATCGCTCTCTCAACAGGCTCTATAGCAGATATTTAATTAACTTTACAGAGAATAATATTATGGATAACCGTACTTGAACCAATAGTATACGTATTTTGCTTTTGTGGATTAAGTTTTCAAGTGAATTCAATTCAAGAGAGCATCTGACAACGTACTTAACGTAAACGGAATTGTGTAAAGTACATAACCCATTATGTAACACAGAATACTGCTGGCCGCGCACCAAACAATGACATCACGCGATGGCTGCTCCGAGCATCAGGACACCACGCGACTATTTAGGTTCTCGGTGCTACGTGCTAACAACACTTGGCTACCCCGACGGTGCAATTTGTTCATCATGGTAGCAGGTCCTAGCGGTGCACGGTCGCGCCGAGCACCGTGCGCTAGCCGCGTAGCCGAGAGATGGGGAGGGAGACAGGAGTCTGAGCGACGGCCGGTGCTCGCCGGTGGTGAGTACACTCTCCACGATGATGCAGGGTCGCGACGAGCACCGTGCGTCGGTGGCGTTACTGAGGCGCCACTCGAGAGTCAAGGAGGTCCTAGCGTCGTCCGGTGTTCGCCGGTGGTGAGTACACTCTCCACGACGCTGAGTCGCGACGAACACCGTCCGTTGGTGGCGATCTAGCAAACGCCACACGAGGGTTGAAGAAGAGTCGGGATGCTGAAGGGGCGCTGGTCTATCACAAAGATATCGCGCCTCTTGATCGAGTTGACCGAGTCCGTTCATCGTGATGTTGCCCTGGTGGCCTCGACCAGTCTGCCCGAGGTACCTGTGCCAGTATCCTAACGCTACGTACCACAAATCAAAGCTGCAAGTACCGTCGCGCCAAAGCCTCCCAACTCGCATTGCCCAACTGGAGAAGGCGTCCCGCAGTCCGGCGCTCATCGGTGCGACGATGTAGTGACGCAGTCTTACTACGGCCTGGTGCTGCAGCTCATGGTGGCCGAGCCGCTCGTGTATGCAATGATGGAGATGCTCGTCGGTGTGCCAAGGGCCTGACGCTGTTGTGCTACGGGCAGTTGCCGCTGTCCGTGTTGGTTAGACAGCTGATGTGCCTGAGATGGATCTGGCGCTGCACAGGGTGCTGCCTCCGCCGATTGTGAGGCGCTGATGAACGGTCCTTTGCTGGGTGTTGTCCGAGGCGTCGCTCAGTCCGGTGACTGCCAGTGACTGGTCAGACAGAGTTCTTCTTCGCCTTCTTCGCCAGAACGGGGTCCGACAAATGTCTTCTTCGCCTGAACGGTCGGTGTCATGGGGAGCCGGAATACAGTCCGACGTAAGCTATTGCGGCAGCACAGGAATGGTGGCCGCCGGCGCGCTCATCCGCCGTACAAACTGGAGCACAACCAAAAGCGTCAAAGCAAGCAGTACGAACAACGAGAGCTGCTGGATCGCACCCTGCTACCAACGCGAGGTGAGCGACGGTCAGTGGGAACGTTAGCTGTATGAAACACTTGCGCTGCCGGGTCAACACGGTCACGAGGTGCGTGACGACCACCGAGGGCGTATGAATACGCTGCAGCAAGTTGGGCCACGTCAGTCCATGAACGGGCATAGCATGCTGCAGGATCAACCAAAGGACATAGACGACCATCAGCGACGCAAATATCTACAAAAGCACCAGTATATGGGGCAAAGCGAGGGACTGCGCGAAGAACGCGAACTACCAGATCGAAACACTTATCAGGAGGGCGCCAGGCGACAGAGGGATCAACATGGTGGGGTAAGCTGGTCCCAATCTGGTCCGCGCGAAGGCTTAGACCGTCACGGCTATCTGCCTCAATCAGATCTCAGCGGGGGCCAAGATCGCAACGGCCAGCAGCAGCATCAATTCAGCGTCGAGCAGCGGCGGCTATTCTCTCCGACTGAGGGGCACAGCGTGAACCAAGACAGCAGGAGCTCGACCCAGGCGAAGTTCTAGCCGAATCGTGCCTGCCATACCGATCGGATGTCGGCGAGAAGCGCCGTCCGAGTCGCCAGCCTGAAGAGCGAGGGCATCGACCGCGCCAGACTCAACTTGATCAGCGCAAGCTGGTGAACCGTCACGGCCCACAGCAGCTGGTGACGATCGAGGAGAGACAACGGGACCCGCCGTCTCACGAGCAACAGGGTGGACCACGCCTGCCTCCGTCGGACCACAGCGGGGGCCAAGATCGCAACGGCCAGCAGAATCATCAATTTAACGAGCAGCGGCGGCTGATTCCATCGACGCAGGATCCGTCCACTATTGCGCAGGGGATGGACGATGAGCTGTTGTTTATTCACCCGGAGCAGGATCATTCGTTCATTCGGCCGCAAGAAGAGCACTCATTTATTCGACTACAGCATGAGCGGCGATCAACCTCACAGCAACATGGGACCGACCCCAGCCGCGACAAGTGGCCGTGGTTACGGGAGAAGTTATTGACTTGACTGTACCTGAAAGCCAGCGACGCCGTGTTCCTCCGCTGCGTGAGCGGGAGCCCAATGCACGAGGTGGTCATGAAGGACAGAGACGGTCAAGACAGAACAACGTCGGGCAGAGGGATGATGAACGTGGTCAGCAGCGAATGTATCTGTACAAGTACATTACAGGCGTCCGCTACTCACCAGCAGGTGAACTACAGGCGCATGTCCAATGGGAACCTACCTTTGAGCCACTTACCTCATTACCGCTTGAGCTGGCCAAGAGCTACCTACCTATACTGCGAGTACGGCAAGCGCTTCCAGACGGCGACGAACCTTACTACCGTATCAGAGGAATTCTCGGTATTGACTTCACCAACTCCAACGAACTTCGCGTGCTTGTTGATTGGGAGGGCACGTGGGAGCCACTATCGAATCTGAAGCCGGAGCACGCCCAACAGCTGGAACACGAAATGCGTCGATTTCGTCACCATATCCGCGAGGAGATAAAGTATCCATTGTTCCGTCGCATCGTAAACGATAACTAATTGCAAATGGTAATGTTACTACTCAGCGCTTGATACCAGCAATTCCATCACCAACATGATCTGTGCAAGCCGTCGAACCATTACGGCCAGTAGCAACAGGTCGCAGATGAGCAGCAAAACTACAGTGATGTACGCAACGAGCGCCAGACTGCCCCACTTCCACACAATCAAAAGCAGTCCGAGCACCCAGGCCTGCTAGCGCCAACAAATCGTAGTAGAGCGGTGTGGCCAACACACTACAGTCGAACCCCTCAGTAAGCGCGGTGGGGTTTTGGAAGCGATTTGAAAGGGAATCGGAAATACGGAACAGTGGTTGACGCAGGCTATGTCCTTCGTCTCAATCTGCTTTTACGGGTATTTGAAGGTAGTGGTGCGCTTACCGTAAAAAATGGGGATTGAACCGGTCGTCGTAAATCATCGTAGCAAAACGGCGTCGTGGCATCAGCGCACTGTCGGTCATCTCCATCGCAGGCAACACGAGCTTTGTGGCCAACACCTCCAGCAGCCACGCGCCGTAGTACACTAGCGATAGTACATTGGGGCGCAGCCGACCAACTCCATCGCAGGCAACACGAGCCGTGTGACCAACGCGGCCAGCAGCAACTCGTCGTAGTACAGAAGCGTCAGCAGATTGGGGCACATACGAGTCTCCATATCGGCTAGCACGAGTGGTAGGGCCTAGCAGTCGTAGACCTGTAGGTAGGATCAGCAGCGACGTGAGTCGCGTCGAGGAAGACTGCAGATCGCAGTATGCCGGCGAATGGGAATTCACGGCCCGGTAGAGAGGCGATGCATGGGCTCCATGCATCGCGTTATAACAATTTTGCGATATGTAGCACGAAGTGCAACTAATACTTGAAATAGTATCGTAGGTACTAATATCGGTGACGTGGAATTTGTATAGAGAAACATTGATAATGATCAGGCTTAGTGAACATATAAAACGCATGCTAAAAGCCGTCACATATCATTATTATCCTACATCGATTAGATACTACTATTACTACTACTACTATTACACTATGTTAGCCAAGCAGCTAAACGCCACCCGCATCGGCGCGCGCCACTCGGGCAGTCTAGCCGTCACCGTCAGCCGTAATAGAAGCGTATGGACGCCATTCACCGACTTAAGGAAACCGAGTAGAATGGGCCACGCCATCTCCGTATTGGGCTCCCTGGCCAACACGTGGAAAGCCGCAGCTTGCACAGAAGTATCAAGCCGCAATGTGGCGCCATCACGTCGGTGTCGATGCATTTGTGCACCAGGGCACCACACGCAATCGCAGGCAAATCGAGTTGCGTCGCCAACCCGGCCAGCAGGAAGTCGTCGTCGTACAACAGCGTCAGCACATTGGCGTCTCCACGAGCATTTCCTTCCTAGCCTACACGAGCGGCTTGGCCAACACGGTTAGCAGCAACTCGTCGTAGTTCAACAACGCCCACACATTGGGGCGCAGCCGACCATCTCTATCCCAGGCACCACGAGCTGCGTTGCCATCACGGCTAGCAGTAAAATAAAGAGTAGGTGGAAGCCGTGTCATGTGCTGCGAGACGCTAAGTACATATACTTACAAGTACAGTACATGAAGTACGAGTACATAATAGAGAGTTGGACGTATTATTGCCGCGGGCGTCGAGTTTCTGCATAAGGATAATTTAGTACACCTAGCATAGCTGTGGCCATCTTCATGTCCACCCCTCCGACATATCCGGATTTGGTGTTGTAGGATCCTCCGACGATAGTGAACAAGGGGTTAAATCAACCAACTTCTACCGAGGGTCTTAGCGAAACAAGGTGGAATTGCCACATTCGCGCGTTAAGAAAAGTCAAGATGCTTTGGGACCCAATTAAAAGTTTGTTAGAGCGTGTAGTGATCGATGGTGTGAACCCCCACAAACGCGCTGAGGCGTCAGGAATTTTAGAGAAGATGTGGACTTTCGACTTCGTATTTCATATGGAGATTCTCACCGCAGTTTTGGGAAAAACAAATCCGCTGTCAGAAAGATGACGTCGATATCGTGTCAGCTGTGAATATGACGAAGCAGGTATCCAAAGAACTAAAAGAAATGCTCGATGATAGTTCTATGACTGGGAACTAGCCAAGTTTTGAATCGATTTGGAACTCATCGGTCAACTTTTGCAAATCAATACAAGTTGACGACACCCCTCTCATTCCTGACAAAAAGGACGTGTGGAAACGACGCGGAATGAGAAGTCGGGTGTGTGGCAGGGCTGGAATTCCAGGAGCGGACTCCTCCAGGGATGGTGTCCAGCCTACACAAGAAGCTCACTATCGTGACGAAGTATATAACTGTATCCTTCGTGACCTGATATCTGAAATGGATTCACGATTTAGTGAAGAAGTCCTTAGTCTCATGGAATTGTGCGGATCGCTCAGTCCACGTGATAATTTCAGCGCTACTAAAATTGTTGAGCTGGCTAAAACATTTATCCCGATGATATCACCGATGAGCTGGACGACCTTCGAGAAGAGGCCACTCGGTTTCGCAATTTGGCAAAGATCGACAAAAGTTTCCAAAAATTGAAGACAACGCAACAACTATGCAACCAACTCGTCGGGACCGATAACAACGAGCTGTTCCCGACCTTGCACCGAATTATTAACTTGGTGTGCGTGCTGCCTGTAACAACTGCTACTACGGAGAGGTCTTTTTCAGCCATGAAATGAATTAAGACGCGGCTCAGAACAACAATGGGAGATCTTTGGATGTCAAACCTGATGGTTTTGGCTATCGAGCGTGATCTTACAAAAACCATCGACAAAGACTCGGTCCTCGAAAAGTTTAAAGGGATGACAAAAAGAAGAATCGAAATGTAGGTTGTGGATTTTACTTTTAAAACAATCTATGCCCCCCCCCCATTTTTTAAGGCTGGCTCCGCCTCTGGAGAGAGCTCGACGGATCGTCGATAACCCAACGATCGATCAAATTCAGGAGCTGCGCAGGAAGACGATCCTGGGATACGCTCAAGATATTTTGGACCGCCAGAGTCCGGCTAAAACTGCTCTAGTTGCTGTTGCGTCTCCGAGAACAAAGATTCTGTCTCCAACCAACGTGCTGCCTTTAGATGCAAGTCTAACCATGGTGAAGCAGGAGCAAAAAGAACCTAAAAGCTCATCTGGCTCTCGGTCCAAACTCTTGGGAAGTTTCAGTCTGGGTAAAGTATTTTCGATGCCGAAACCAAAAACCAAAGACGCGCCTACTGTGACGAAGCTCGATCTCGACTACACTGTCAACGTCCGAAAAGTGGTGTACATCACGGAGTTCGTCATCTTGCTCAACTACGTCGAGGTGATCGTCCCCATCATTTTCTGTAAGGCCATCATTCATGTGCTGCAATACGCTATTTGTTGGTGATTTCTGGTCTTCTCAACATTGCGTTATTCATTGTTTCACATTTTAGCGGCGAACTTGATCTTGATGTACCAACATCCTAATTGAGTTTTCTACTCACAACTGAGCACCATGGACGACGAAAAGCTACGCCAAACGTTAGGGAACGTCATGCTGTACTGCTTCCTACAGATCGTGTCGCGGCTTGTCCTGTTTTACGTTCTGTGGCACCGACTGCGAATCTCCGGACTCCGCCAATTGGCCTTCGTGCTTGAGAAGCAAGGCGTCCAAGTGCAGACAAACTCGTCTTTTGGGTTTTCTACAACGTACAAGCTACCCTGTAGCACTATGGTGCGTGCTCATTGCTCTCGTCGTGTTAATGATTATTTTCTGATCATTTGTGTCAGACACTAGGATCGGACTACTCGTTTAAGTTTGCCTGGCTTCGAAACCCTCCAACGTGAGGGAACCCACCGCGAAACCCGTTTCATGACACTAATGGAATTTAACCTTGCAGGGAGGTGTACGCCTGCTTATAAACTACAACTATTTACGAAGTACGACTTCTTGATACCAAAAATAGTGGCGTCCTTCATACATATACATCGACGTGCACGCTTTCTCCTTTGTCTACTCTTTGCCGCTGCAGCCCGTGGAATCAATCGTTCTGAATGGGATTTGGTTCATGCTTTGCCCGACTCACGGATTTCTGGGAGGCAGTGCAGGTGGAGCTTCATGGCTTATACTCCGTCAAGCGCGTCCGGGAGTACATCGCCTACAACCAACAGACTGGTATTGTCCGAGCGCTCTTCGTGGCGGCGATCATGCCCTGGCCGTGTGTTATTATCACCATTCTTGTCGACTTGATGCCGTTGCGGTCACCCAGCGACGGCCTCCACGCCAATTATCTGTTCGTCGTCCGGATCTTCCTCTCCTTCTTGGTCGCCAGCGTCGTCGTGAATCTCCAGTTCAGGCATAGCGTGCCAAGCTCGCCGCTGTCGAACCGACGAATTCTCTTGACAAGCATTATTATCGCTGCCGAAACTACTGGTGTGCTGTATGGACTGTCTCGATGCATTGGCTTCCCGTTACCCTTTGGAATTATCACGGTATCGCCCGCGTGGGTCGCGTTCCTGCTAATGCCTTTGGCTTCCTTCCTCAGAAGAGCTCGAACCGATCCAGAATTATGGCCACACGTGATTAATTCACTCAAGGTTTGGGTGTGCCAAGAAACTCTCGTGGTCATCTACCCCACGTACTTCTACATCTTCACGATACTGCCTTCAAACATGAAAACCCCCTCCGCGATGCTTCTTCCGATAATTAAGATGCTGCTGCGCAACATCATGTCACGTACGGTGGTCCACTTGAACGACGAGATCCCGGAGGTTGTCCTCATGAACGTTGAGGTCTTCAACTCGCTCTTCATGTCCTATTGCATGCAGAACACGCCGTCACTATGGACAACCCTGGGCCTTATCGCGGTTGATGGCGCTCAAATGGTGGCGTCGATGCATGACGTAGGGAAAGTCATCAAGCGCATGCAGGTCGTGAAGAACCGAGTGAACGCCGAGCACATTCGACAAATACTTGCGAGTTCTTCGCTCACGCAGGTGCAAGAACTACGCAGAAGCACCATTCTAGAGTACACTGAAGACATTCCTGAGCGCCACGCCTCGAGGCGCACGGCACAAAGTAACATACAACCTCCTAGAACTGAAGACCCAACCACCACTGAGGTGATGCCGTTCAATGCGGTGCTGAAGCCCAGCAAGGAAGCGCTAAGGAAACTTGAAAAATCGCCAAGTGTTCTCCTGGGGCCAATGTCAGGTGGAAGCTTCGGTATGCGCAAGGTTTTCCCGTCACCGGAGAAAAATGCAACCGTCACAAATTTGGAGTTCCAGTATGCAATGAATGTTCGCAAGGTGCTGTACATCACGGAGTTTGTCATCTTAATCAACTACGTCGAAGTCATCATGCCCATCATATTCTGTGAAGGGAGCACTCGTTGATCCTGCACGGGTTGCTCCTTGTAGTGGTGCCTCGCACCTGGTGTATTGCAGAATGAGTTAGGTTGGATGATGCTAGGATGTCTGTGCTAGGCTAATATGCATCGGTAGTTTCGTGTTGTGTAGCTGGAGGGGTCGTTGTGGTCGTTGCAGGCCGTTATCGTCGCCACTGCACTCATCGCAGGTGGCGCCAGCTCTTGCGATCTCCAACAGTCCTCCTCGACTAAGATGACCCGAGTCTACAGCTTTTCGTTGTGCGGGTTGATAAGCTTATCATGGCCAGGTTGCGCTCGTGTAGGTTTGCGACGAGGGGCTTCGTGAAAATGTCGGCCTTCATCTCAGCCGTAGGGCAATAGGTCACGCTGACCTCCTTCTTGCGAATGGCGTCGCGTATGAAGTGAAATGTTATGTTGATGTGCTTCATGCGTGCAGTCGTCACGTCGTTCTCCATGTTTTTGATCGCGCTCTGGTTGTCGATGTACAAGTCGATATTATCATCTTTGCCGTGCAGCTCAAGTTCATTCAGGAGCTGCTTCACCCACAAGCAGTCCTGCACTGCCGTCGCCCCAGCGATGTACTCAGCCTCGGCTGTAGAGAGGGCGACCGTATATTGTTTCTTGCTGTACCACGAAATGGGCATGGCGTTGATGGTGAGCAGTCCTCCTGAAGTCGACTTTGCGTCCTTGTGCCCGGCCCAATCTGCATCGCTGAAGATGGCTGCCTCAATAGTGTGTCGGGGTGCCTGCGGCCGGGGAAAGTGCAACCTCAACTCGCGCGAGCCGCGCAAGCAGCGCGGGATACGTTTGACTGCAGTCCAATGAGGCGACGTAGGCGTTGAGACGAAACGCGCCAGGAAGTTCACAGGCATCGTGATGTCTGGTCGAGTGCAGTTGCTAATCCATAGTAGTGACCCAATGGTCTCCCGCATGATGCTAGTGGCTCGCTGTCCTCTCCGTTCAGGTCCCGAGTTGACTCCATCGGCGTAGTCACGGGGCGGCTATTCTCCATGCCGCACTTCGCCAGCAAACCGTCAATATTGGCTGTCTGGTGGAGGTAGATGCCGCAGTCGCTCTGCTCAATGTTAATTCCCAAGCACTTCTTGGCTGGACCCATGTCCTTGATCTGAAATTGATCGGCGAGCTTCTGGATCGTCCAGTCGGAATCGCCCTCACGCTGGCTGACGACCACCACATCATCGACGTAGAGGCCCAGCACAGTTAGCTTGCCTTCATGCCAACGAAAATACAAGCACGGGTCAAGCTGGCTCCTCTTGAAGCCAAGTTCCAGTAAGTAGCGGTGTATAGTGTCGTTCCACAACTTGCCGCTCTGTTTAAGGCCGTAGAGACTCTTTCGCAGCAGTAGGCATTTGCCCTTGGGTAATTGGAGTCCGACAGGGGCGCGCATGTAGATGGGTCGATCGAGGTCTGCTCGCAGGTATGCGTTAGGAACATCTCCTTGTCGAATGACGGCATGATACTGAGATGCGAGGGCCACAATGAACCGCAGGCTCGCGATCTTGAGTGAAGCCGCGCGCTACCAGCCCCGCTTTGAACCGTTCCAATTCGCCTTTGTTGTCAAACTTGAGCTTGAACACCCATTTTGCACTTATCAGATTTCCATCAGTAGGAATGTCCAACAATTTCCCAGGTAGCGTTCTTCGATATTGCTCGAAGCTCTTCTTCGATTGCCTGCCACCACTCCTGCCAATACGGGCTGTTCATTGCCTCCTCTACAGTTACTGGCTCCTTGATCCCGTCACGCTCTAGTAGTACCGCAAAGGCAGTACCCTCCTTGAGTACGATAGTGAGCAGGACAGATGCCGGAGTGGCGAACTCTTCGAGAAAAGATTGGGGCAGCCGAAAGTCATCGCGTGGTAGTGCTCGTGTACCTCGATTCAGGCCAAAGATGCGCTGGATGGCACGCGACGTAAGTTGATGCTGCTCTGCAGGGCTACCAGCCCGTGCTTCCTCACCATTAGCGTCATGTGGTGTGTTGGTTTCGTGCTGTTGATCGCCAGCTTCCTCCTCCTCGCCGCTATTGTCTGCGTCGACAGCGTCCATGTATCGCCCCACGGCTCGCGAGTCCAGACGGTCAATGTTCCGGATGTGTGTTGTAGAAATAACACGTTTGGTTCGCGGGATGAGAACACGGTACGTTTTCTTCTTGAAGTCGATACCAATAACAACTCCTCTTTCAGCGCGCTTTTTCGCTGATCGCTTCGTTGCATGAGCGATGTGGCTCGTACACTTCGAGCCGAATTTGAGGATCTGCGAGACACTGGGTCGTTTTCCGGAGAGGGCCTCAATGGGAGACGCATGGTCGGCGTTCGCTCGAGTCGGCAGATAGTTGCGAATGTAGCTCGCATACAGAACAGCATCGCCCCAATATCGCTGTGGCAATGCCGAGGCCCAGAGCATCGCTCGGGCGGAATCCATGACAGTCCGGTGAAAACGCTCTGCTTTTCCGTTTGATGATGACATGCCCGCCTCCGTTTCTTGGTGGAGAATACCCCGGTTGCGGAGGAAGCGGCCGAGTCTGGTGCTGCCAAATTCACCACCACCGTCTGAGCGAATCATCTTCACCTTGGTGTCGTATTATCGCTCAAACTCGCTAACAAAGGCCTCCAAATGCCCTTCCGCGTCCCTCTTTTTACGGAGCAAGTAGACGCGATTGTAGTTCGTAGCGTGGTCTACAATGGTCAAAATGTGTTTGTGACCGAGCCGATCCGGGGTCATGTCCGTCTTCAGGTCAACGCACAAGGTAGCGCCCGGATCGTCCGTTGGGGCAGATGTAGAAGTATCCTGCTTGTTCTTCGCGCGTCGAGCTTGTTTCGCTTCAGCGTAGTTCATGCAGAAATCCACCTTCCGATTAGAGGCAACCATGCCTTCACGAGGTTTTTGTCAATCATGCGTACCAGATCCTGGTAGTTCACGTGCCCCAGGCGTTCATGCCACTGCTGAAGCGTAGAGGTCGTCATTGCTGCGAAGGAGGCCGCGCCTTGCTCGATTCCAACAGACCAAAGCCCAGTCGAGGCTGAATTACCCACTTCGGCAACAATCTTGCCCGTCTTGTTCGTAATTGTACACTGCTCCTCACCAAAGGTGCAGGTGTAGCCTTGAGCGGTGAGGTGAGCCACTGAAATCAGGTTGCGGTCAATACCTTTTAGGAAGTACACGTTTTCTAACAGGACAGTACGAGGCACTCCTTCTGCCATCGTCGTGATGACAGTCTTTCCCTTCTCAGTAGCGGCGACACGATCTCCATTCGCCGCTCGCACCGACAGGAATGCTGGCTCTATCGCGAAAAGTTGGTCACGGTCGATGCAAAGGTGGTGAGTTGCTCCCGAATCCACTGTCCAAACATTTCCTCTCGTGGCAGAAGCGCCGCGCTCGGCATCGTCGGCAGCGAATCAGACATAGCCTTCACCATCAGAATCTCTGGATGTGTCGTCATCATCAGCAGCGGCTACATTCGCACTTCCTCTGGTGGCTAGTTGTTTTGCCTGTTCCACGAGTGGACACGTCAAAATCTTGCGACCAGGCTTCCCGCACACATGGCAATGTATTTCACCACGATGGCCAGCGGCGGCAAAGGCTTGGCCGTTATTTTGCTGCTGCGGACGTCGATCCGAGTTGTCGTTGTTGTTTCGCTGGTTTCGCCAATGCTGATCATCATTGTGGCGGTTTCCGCTGCGGTGGCCATGTGAATTCGGGTTCCGGCGGTCAGCATGACGGTATTTGCGTTCATCTCGCTTCGCACCACATCTGCGCCCGTCACCTTTCAGCTTGTATAGTAGTCGCTTCATGCGATCGGTTTCCGCAACGTAATCGCTTGCGTCGTCGGGCACTGAAGACAACGGCGTGGGCGCTAACTCGGGGCATGCATTGTTTCCGAACACCTCCATGACCATCTTGGTCTGATCACCTTCCATGAGGCTCTCGATGAAGTTCAAGTATCCCAGGTAGTCATGCCACGTATCGCCTTCACGCTTGTTACACTGCATCTTCGTGCTGAGTTTGAGTTGGCTTAGTTTACAGCTAAACTCTGCACGCATCGCGCGCTTCACATCTGAGTACGGCATGCTGTCACCATTATGACGGCGCTGCCACTCTGAGTTCTTCTTGTGATAGTACCTAGACGCTTTCCCCTCGAGGAAGTTGACAATCACCGATGCCTTGATGTCGTCGGTCCAGGTGGATCCGTTCACGAGCTCCTCCGTCCTTATTGCATGCTCGAACTCGTGGATGAAATTCTCGAAGCCAGGTCCTAACTGTGATGGGGCACACAGCACTTCTTAACAGAGGAAGCAGGAGTATACAAACTCCAAGTGAACAGCCGTTCACGTGTCCCTGGTCTGAAGGGGACGACTTGACTTGAAAAGCGGTAGATCTAAGACTGAATGTATTTATAGGTTGGTACAGATTTGGCCTGCATACAAATCCTAACTTCCCTATAGTTTGTGTCATACAAAATGTATCTGTTGGCTCTGAGGCCACTTGGGTCACTATCCAGGGGAGTGACCGATGTAGCCATCCCGGAATAGTGACAGCGTCACTATTCCATGTAACTCCGTTACATCCTCCCCCACTTAGATTCGATCTTATCGACCAATCAGAGCGAGGTTACGCCGGCGACTCACATTTCACTCGTAAAGTCGAAATCCATCGACAACGGCGCGAGCTCTGGCGCCTCGGCTCCCGGGCCTCACAGAGCAACTGGCGCATCGCCGAGCAAGCCGCAGGGTCTCCACGTCGACCGGAAGCATGCCTCCCAAGCGCAGTGCGCGCAGTGCGAAAGCACCTCTGAAACCGCGGGCCGTAGGGCCGAAGACCAGGGCGGCCAAGGCCAAGGACGAGTCGTCCGCGCTGATGGAGGCCACGAAGGCGGCCGAGGAGGTGGTGCGCTCTCGTAGCAGCACGCCGGAGAGTGGTCGTCAGGCCAGGGCTCGGAGCAAGTCTCCTGACGCCGCGCAAGGCAAGGAGGAGAGTCCTCGGGGCCATAAAAGCCCGGCTCGCGACTGGGAAGCCGCCGTCTTTGACTGCACGATGGTCCAGTACTCCGGTGAGAGTTCACCCGACGACGAGAACGTCTCGGAGGGCAGCACGCACGCTGCCGAAGGCACGGAGCTGGCGGCAGGCGACATGACCAACGCCTCGGCCGACGCAAAGGCTTCGTCAGAGAAGGAGGCGGAGGACGCCGAGGGTCTCGTCCCATATCGCAACAGCCTTCGGGCAGTCTGCCTGGAGCTGCTCAACGGGCTCCCACGAGTTATCCGACTCAGGGTAACCCCTCCACTTCACGAGCAGCTGGCGCTTGCCATGGGGCCGCCGCTCCCGGACGACTCGTTCCACGTGGTAGTGGATCTGCCCATTACGATCAAGGAGGGCCGGCGTTGGCTTCGCACGGCCATGGTTACGAGCCTGAGGCGACGCAGCCGTATGCTGGGGCCCCGAGTCAGGTGGTGGCCCTGCAGCAAGAGGAGATTCGTCTTCTCCGGGACCGTGTGTACGTCCTCGAGATCGCACTTGGCGTCGGTCTTGGTGGCGAGGCTGCCGTTCGTGCTGGTCAGCCTGGTGCCGTGGAGCGGCTCCGTGAGGATGTTGCCCAGCTCTATCAAGAAACGCGCAGTCTCCATGGCCGTGTGGATCGTCGAGCCGACCTGTCGTCTTACGACTCGCTGCGAAACCAGCTCGGTGGCATTTGGGCCGAGCTTCATGGCCACGCGCCGTATCCGGAGCAGCAGTAGCCCCACTCGTATCAGGCCCAGTTTGGCCAGGGCTCGTACGGGGCCCCTGCGTATGCTGCTCCGATGCACGCCGCGCCGTCTTACGACCAGCGCGCGTATCAGGCGCCTTACCGCGACCCGACGCCGCACTTCGAGGAGCTGCGCTCTTCTCCACCGGGCCACCCACCGCTTCCTGCGGGGCAGCCAGAGCCAGAGGGTCATGATACCTCTTAAGACGACCCACGAAAACGTCGGGTGAGTCGTCATCGACTTGGGCAAGTCTATGGTGTACGCCGCGCCATGCCGGCTGAGGACCGTGAAGGGTCCAATGAAGCGGTGCTTCAGCTTGTTGCTCTCGACCGTGCTAACAGTGTTTAGCGGTAGGTTTCTAGTATCTAGGATAACTAAATCCCCAACCTTAAACACGTTCATGTTTCCGCTTCCATTTCGGTCAGAGTACTCCTTCTGTTTATCTTGGGCTTGCGCCATGGTGTTTCGCACCCTGCTGATTATGTTCAGTCTGTCTTCGGCAAACGAGGACAGTTGCTTCCGCAAGGTGGCTGGACTCACGTCCGAGACTTGGGAGGAAAAGGCTTTCCGAGCCTCTCCCCCACTTAGGACCGAAGCCCCGGTACTGCCTCGTAATGTGAGCGGCACCTGAGGGTGGCGCAACCCGTTCAGATAAAGGGCGTAAAGCCCGTCGATGCATGTACCGCATTGTTGAGTGCGAACTCAACCATGGGCAAGCGATCAGCCCAAGAGCGGGGCATCTCCGCGCAGATACTGCGGAGCGTGTCTTCGAGCACGCGATTGACGCGCTCCGTCTGGCCATCCGTCTGCGGGTGGTCCGCCGTCGACATCGACAGTCGTGTGCCGAGAAGGCGAAACAGCGTCTGCCAGAACGTAGCGGTGAACCGCGGGTCTCGATCAGAGACAATGGTCTCGGGCAGACCGTGGTGTCGGAAGACACAGTCCATGAACAGGCGAGCGACCTCGTCGCCAGTGACGGTGTCACGAACTGGAGCAAAGTGGACCATCTTGCTCAGACGGCACACGAAGGCAACAACACCAGTGTTGCCACGGTCATCGGCCGGAAGTCCGAAGACAAAGTCGAGACTCATCGACTTCCAGCAGTCCGCTGGGACCGGCAGGCTCTGCAATGGTGCCAAGGCGTGACCGGCAGGCTTCACGCGCTGGCACGTCTCGCACGTACGGACGTAGGTGGCGACCCACTTGTATACATGTGACGCCACCAAAACATCTGCGAGACAGACGCGTACGTCTTCTCACGGCCGAGATGGCCACTGGATGCAGCGTCGTGCGCCTCCATCAGGATGTCGTACTTGAGATCCTCGTCGTTGGGCACGACAATACGGGGAGGATCCTCGGGCTCGACACTATAGTGGAGCAAACCATCAGCCCACTCATAGCGGTGCAGCCTTGCATGTTGTCGGGGCGTTAGCCACTCGGCCTTGGCTTCCGAGCCAGCGGCCAAGAACCGCACAAGAGGTCCGCGACTGGCATCGTCTCGGTACCCCAGCCTGATGCGATCATACAGATCCGTCGTGACCCGACTAATATGAGCAAGCTCGTAGTAGGGTCGGCGCGACAGCGCGTCGGCAAGCACGTTCAACTTGCTCGGCTTGTACCCGACACAGAAGTTGTATTCCGCGAAGAATGACAGCCAACGCGCCATCCGCTGTGAGAGATGCGGCGTGTTGACGGCAGTCCACAAGGACGCGTGGTCTGTATAAACGACAAAGGGCGTCGAGCCCAGGAGGTGCACTCGGAACTTGACAAGAGCGTACTTCATGGCAAGTAGCTCCTTGTCGTGGACTGGATAGTTCCGTTCGGATGCCTTGAGCTGCCTGGACTGGAACGAGATGACCCGTTCGCGGCCTTCATCGTCGGCCTGCATAGCGCACAGCCAATTGCGTAGTCAGACGCATCACAGACTACGCTGAAAGGCTTCGTCTCGTCCGGCAATGCCAGGACTGGCGCGCGCTGTAAGCTCGCTTTGATGTCGTTAAAAGCATCTTGATGGCGACGCTCCCAGCGCCAGTCGACATCCTTCTTCAGGAGATCCGACAAAGCCGGTGCCAGCTCGGCGTAGCCTGCACTATACTTGTGCAGGTAGTTGGCGAGGCCCAACCACTGTCGTAGGTCCTTCTGCGACCGAGGTGGCGGCCAAGCCGCGATGGTTTTCACCTTCTCCGGGTCCGCCCAGACCCCGACGCTGCTGACGAAGCAGCCCAGGATCTTGATCTCCTCAGCTGCGAACACACACTTGTCGATGTTGGCGTACAGCTTGTTCGCCCGCATGAACGAACACACGTCGAAGGTGCTGGAGATGCACCTCCATGGCCGTCTGGCCTGCCTCGGCACGGCTGTGGGCGAAGATGTCGTCAAAGTACGTCTGTGTGAACGCACGCAAAGGTCGGAACAGTTGTGTGACCAAGCGATTGAACGTTGCCGGGGCGTTAGAAAGCCCCTGAGGCATGACCAGCCACTCCCAGAGCATACCGCTCGGCGTGCTCACAGCCGTGAGTGGGACGTCGCTCTCGCGCATCAGGATCTGGTAGTATCCGTCCACCAGGTCCAGCGCGCTATACAGCGTGCAGCCGACCCTGTTGCTGAGCAACACGTCCTTGCGCGGGATCGGTGTCTGCGCAGGCACTGTCGCGCTGCCCAGCTTGTTATAAGCATGAACCAGACGCCACTTTCAATTCGGTTTGCGAACACAGAAGGTAGGCGTCGAGTGCGGGGGCTTCGACTCCCGCACCATGCCTGCCTTCGCCTTGGCGGCAAAGAAGGCATCAATGACTTCACACTGCTCCCGGGGAAGAGGCCATTGCCTCGTGACACAGTACTTCGTGCCCGGCACGAGATCGATCTCGTGCCTGATTCCCCTGTCCGGAGGGAGATTGGACGGTGGATCCTTGGACACCACGTCCTCAAACTCCTTCACCAAGGGGTACACCGGGTCCCGGGGGTTCTTAAGAATCTCAGAGCCCATGCGCGACGCGCGCTGTCTCTGGAACTCCTCCAGGACTGCCTGGTCCATGACCGAGGACGAGTTCAACTCGGCCGACGTGGACTGCGGTCGGAGGAGAACCAACTGTGCGATCTCCCCGGCCTTTAGCTCGGCCAAGAAGTCCTCCATGGCGAGCTCCTCAAGGTTCAGTAACTCTGAAACCTCGGGCAGAGCTGTAAGCTCGACAGCTCCTGTCTTGACCCGACGACCGGTCACGCCGTCGAAGATGGGATAACACTCTTCGGCGGCTGGAGCCTTGGCTGGAGGCTCGGAGTCGCTGGCGACTGGCGTCGTCGGCCACACGACTAGGCCCGGCTTACGACGTGACCCTCGGGTGTCTTCGTCTCGTGGCGCCGCCTTGACGGCACCACCGATCTTCTCGATCTTGTGCGGAACTACGTTACCCGCCTTGTCCTTGAGCGGAACTTGGTTACCCGCCTTGCTGGGTGGAACTATGTTACCCACCTCGCCGTGTGGAACTTGGTTACCCACACCAGGAGCGCTTCCAGCGACTCCCGCATCAGTTATCGTCTGAGTGACCTCCTGTGGAACTATGTTACCCACATCGGAAGCGCCTGCAGTGCCTTCCTCATCCGTTACGGTCTGAGTGACCTCGCGTGGAACTTGGTTACCCACGCCACAGCCCTTGCTGCCTGCGGTACTTCGTTACCCGCGTGTGGACCTACGTTACCCACCTGGTAGGTGCTGTCCGGCACCTCCACTCTCAGGCCTTGTCCGGCCCGGTCGGAGTCGTCGTCAGTCTCGACGGACCCCAAGAACTCATTAGACGCTGCTGCGCCCTGGCGGCCTTCGCGGGCGCCCCAGCTGCTGCCAGAGGTGGGAACATGACTCACCAAAGCTCTGTCAGAGCGTGGGGGACGGTTGGCCCCGATGGCCTTGCCGCGCCAGTCGATCCAAGGCTCGTGTTTCTCCAGCCACGGCATGCCAAGGATCAAGTCGTACTTGTCCATGTCTAGGACCAAGAACGGCTCCGTGCTGTCGAAGTCCTCGAACTTGACAGTGAGGTCCATGTGGACCCGAGGTACTTCTACCACCGTACCGTCGGCCAGTCTTACCGAGACCAGCCCGTTGCCTTTGCTGCCTCGTAGCGCATCGGCGTACTTGTCGCGATAGCGTGCGACAGTCTGGCGGCGCGCAAAGTTCTTGGACGCCCCAGAGTCGATCAAGATTCTCAAGGGATGATCGTATCCCGGTACACTCGCGTGCACCACAAGCAGCCCACCGCTGCCCTTCTCCGCTTCGAGAGTACAGAGACTCTCAGGGGCTAAGTCCCCATGGCGTGCGCCACCCCCACGCCCCTCATGAAGACTTAGTGTTTCTCCAGTTGGGCGCCCCGCCCCTACTGGTGTCCGGCGTTTCCCTGGTTCCTGGGGCGCGGCTTCTGCCAGCGACCCCTAGAGCCAAAGGGCTTCGAAGAGAACTTCTTCTTCAGTCCTCCCGCGGGACAAGCACGTTTCATGTGCCCAAGCTTGCCACAGCCGTAGCAGCGAATGTCGCTCTGCTCGGCCATGCCCAGATCCATGGGAACCGGCCCGTTGATCGCTCCATTGCCGGAGTTATCATTAGGCGCACCGCCAGAGGCAGGGTTGCTCTGCCATACCGTGGCTGGGGTACGAGCCTGCTTGTGGCTGTACTCCTCCTGGAGGGCGATCTGAATCGCCTCCTCCATAGTGTTTCCTTGCACACGGAACAGTTGCGTGCGGGCAGGTCCGACACGCAGACCGTCCATGAACACGGTCACCTTGATGTGTTCAGGCAGGGGGTTCCCCACCAAAGAGGCAGTGAGCACTCGCATCTCCTGGATGTACTCATGCAGCTCGCGCCTTCCTTGTTTGCAGGCGAGGAAGCGCGAACGCTGGCGGTACTCGTAGTTCGCCGGAAAAAACGCGGCCCGCAGCTGCTCGCACAGCTGGGACCATGATGCGAAGCATCCAAGCGTCGTCGCTTCGCGCGTATACGCCCAACTCTTAGCGCGACCACTAAGGTTGGAGAGCGCAAAGGCGACACGGAGTCGCTCGTCCGAGACGAGAGCCGCGTCCACCGCGAGTTCAACCTCTCGAACCCAGAAGTGAAGGTTTTCTCCTTCCTTCCCTTCGAAGGGGTGAACCTTCACCAGGGGCTTCGGTTGCACCGGCTTCGGCGCGGCCGCAGTGGCCTGCAGCCCTTGAACGTGGACGATGAGCCCTCGCTCGTAGGTGTCGAACGCGTTGATACGCTCAACCTGCTCAGCCGGCGTCGCCGCCGCTAAGCTACCCAGGGCATCTGTCCCAAAGATGCCTGCCATCTTACGAACGGACTCGTACTGCGAGTCGTTCAGATGGGGACACTCCGTACGATCCATCTTGGCTCACTCGATGAGACCACAGAGGATTCAGGTAGTCCAATCTACCCGCGTAGGCGTAGGATTGACTACAAGTGCTTCCAAGTGTAATGGGGCACACAGCACTTCTTAACAGAGGAAGCAGGAGTATACAAACTCCAAGTGAACAGCCGTTCACGTGTCCCTGGTCTGAAGGGGACGACTTGACTTGAAAAGCGGTAGATCTAAGACTGAATGTATTTATAGGTTGGTACAGATTTGGCCTGCATACAAATCCTAACTTCCCTATAGTTTGTGTCATACAAAATGATTCTTGAACGGATTTTGCAGGACACTACCAGGACACAGAAAAGTGCTTTATTTGTCCAATCAAATTCCGAGTACCGATGAGATTCGGCCAATTACATTCATTGCGACTCTTGCCGTCTATGCTTGTCGGCAACACGATGCAGGCGGACTACCGTGACCCAGCTTAGTTGACCTCGACGGCGCTTTCTCGCGCGGGTAGTGCTGAGAGAGACTTCGATACTTGCAGCGCACGCTGCGTACACGCTGATGGCCTCCGACACTGTCTGGCCAGCTCGAAGTAAGTTTCTATCTGCTGCATACGTCTCGATTTTATTCATCAGATACCGGGCATCACTGAGGCGCTTCTAGCTGTTTCTACTTGGCATGTCCGCGCCTTCCAGAAGCCGAAGAGGGGGTAGACGCTTCTCAACATTCCCGCAGCGCCATAGCACCCAAAGATGCGCGGCAGAGCACTCAGGAAAAACGAAGTCAGGGGGGACCCGACGAAATCTCCCAGCCCAAAAGAAGGTAGGCAGAGCTGTTCGCTTGTCATCTGGATCCTGCTCGATGTCTTGCTGTACTTCTGACACGTTGTGCTGGCTAACTAGATCATGAACACCGGCTTCTTCAAGGCACTTCCGTAGAGCGTCATGAAGCCCGTCGAACGTGACAGTTCCAGCGCCGATAGCACGCTCTTCCAGCTCATGAATAATATCCTTCACAATTTCGCGGCGGGATTCCTCAATCTTTTCGATAGTTGCCTTGCAGTGCTCTCATTTGGCCTAAAATGGATACATGAGGCGGAAGGCCCGTTGCTTTGAGCTGTGTTTTAGGCCCGGCGTATCCACACTGTACACGTGAGCTCAAATTCCCGAGAAGCTCTGGATCCTGAAATAATGCCGTCTCGAAAAGAGGGTGGCGAGGAGGGAGGTGCGTTCTGATGTACGGCGTGTGATACACTAATGACGCGAGGCAAAACTCTCCAACAAACAGTAAATGTTCGGGTATCGCTTGAAATACCATTGTAACACCAAGTTTACCCATTCATCTTGCTCCACAAAATGTGGCGGTAGAATTGTGAACTCGTGACTACCCGATGGAAGACCAGCAACCGTTCTGCCGACATACATATCTCCAGCAGCCTCGTAGCGTAAGTAGGTATTCTGAACACCGCCAAGAGACCACCCAGCACGCAAATGAACCGCGGTTGATGACGGACAAGCTGTCGACCCTGACGCACAGTACGTTGCAGCACCTTTGCGCATCAAATGAGTCCCCAAATCGTTAGAATTGACCCCTCGTCGTTTAAGCTCTGCAGCAACCTTCTCATCCACTAGCAAACGTTGCAGACATTTCCGAAATCGATCATACTGGTCCGACCCAGGGAACAGGCGGTTATCCGTGTCAAAAGAAGTTGTCGCCCAGTAAATTGCAAGCGCCAATACAGGGCAGATACTCGGTTGTAATGGGTTGGCATATACATGCCGCGGGTCTCGCGGACGGTCACCACTCTGATCGTTTTTCATATGAGCAAAATATACTCTTAGCGAGTCTCCACGCCACTCAATGTGTGAGTGCCTTACACCAAATGCGTTCGCGGAGCGACACATTAAATTCCACGATAAAATCAGGTACGTCCGGGAAAAAATGGCGTCAACTCCTGGTAGCGCAAGCAAATGGTCGCAGAGAAATTCATACAATTCAAATGACAGAGGATCCTTCCCCACTTTCACGTTCCCTTCGCCCCGCGCTTGCGTTGTAGCCAACTGTCGTTTCAACCCTTTGAAGAACTGGCGCAACTCGTTTTCCATGAGAGGCCCCATTAAACGGCCGTAGTCTCTGTAGAGATTGAACAACCCAGCGCGATGGGTGTTCAGAGCCGAGTAGCTGAGGGATGAACCATCTTGCTTTCGAAGCGTGAGAAGCCACGTTTCAAAAGCTTCTGCGTCCAAATTATCAAATAGTATGGGATGGTCGTCGTTTCTTCTGGTGATCAGGGGTTTAATACGCCGCCGCAATTGCTTCTCGGAGAGTCCCGTCACGTCGCCGATACGGCCTGCAAATGCGTCCGGAATGAGGTTTTGATGGCTCAGAAGAAGCCACGAGATGAAGCGACAGTAGGAGTTGACGTAGGCAGCCCGAGAGCTCGGGGCGACTGTATTTTCTCGAATTTGCTCTGCTTGGCGCCTCAGTTCATCGAGTCCGCTGGGTTGTGGGGATCCATCGCTAATCGACTTATGTAGTGGACAAGCTGTCCTGTAAAAGAACAAAAGAATGGCTTTGCTTACCCTCTACCACTAATACTGGGTTTTGTATAGGATTTAAAGCCGGAAGATTTCGACTTGGAAAATACAGGACTTTCGTTCCTGCGCTAAGGCCCGTATATGTGCTAGATGTCCTGCAAATTCAGGAGAATGTCTGAGGCCACTTGGGTCACTATCCAGGGAAGTGACCGATGTAGCCATCATGGAATAGTGACAGGGTCACTATTCCATGTAACCCCGTTACACTAACCCAGGGTAAACCTCGTTTCCCTTGAAGTTCGAGCAGCGTACGTCCTTGATTTTAGGCTTCTTCGGTGATGGAGGTGCGGTTTCCATGCTAGTATCCGACATGGAGGGGGCACGGGGCGCTCGCGTCGCGAGCTGCTTCTTCAGTTCTGCCAGCTCGGACTGCAGTCGAACGATGAGCTGGAGCTGGTCGTCCTGCTCCATTGTCTCTTGGTCCGAAGGGTCGAAGTGCAGGTCGTCTGGCAGTCCTAGGCGAATATTCCTTCCGTCTTAGTGGTCTTCGTCAGCCTCGTTAGCACCTCGTGCCTCCGAGTATTCTTCAAGGTCTTCGTGGTCGCCTCGCGAGTCTTCGAAGTCTTCACTGGTCGCTGCAGAAGGCGAGCCAGTTGGGCTCATAACCTGCGTTGATCCTGCGCGGGTTGCTCCTTGTAGGGTGCCTCGCACCTGGTGTATTGCAGAATGAGTTAGGTTGGATGATGCTAGGATGTCTGTGCTAGGCTAATATGCATCGGTAGTTTCGTGTTGTGTAGCTGGAGGGGTCGTTGTGGTCGTCGCAGGCCGTTATCGTCGCCACTGCACTCATCGCAGGTGGCGCCAGCTCTTGCGTTCTCCAACATTCTGTAAGTCGGCCTGCCTACATTTTCGTAATTCTCTTAAGAGCTGACCGGTGTCTTTTACATTCTGTAGCGGCGAACCTGATCGTGATGTATCACTTGCCCAATCGGGTTTACTAATCTCAAATTTACAGCATGGACGAGGAAAAGCTGCGCCAAACGATCGGGAACGTCATGCTGTACTGTTTCCTGCAGCTCGTGTCACTGGTTACCTTGTTTATCGTGTTATGGCACCGACTTCAAATTTCAGGACTCCGTCAATTGGCGTTTGTGCTGGAAAAGCAAGGAGAGCAAGTACAGACGAAGCTAATTTTCTGGGTCTTTTACAACGTGCAAGCTACGCTACAACATTTTGGTAAGATTTCGGGCTATTTCCTGTACGCTTTGCTCTAGCTGACGTCATTGCGATGCAGCATCCGATTACACATTCAAATTTGCGTGGCTGAACAGCTCACCAACATGATTTTAGGCGGTGGATCAATAGTACTTTGGCTGTATCAGGGGCTCAACACCATACAAGCTGCCCGTTTTGTCAGATATCGAAAGCCCGCACGGATGTTGATTTTCGTTAACCTAGTGGCGGCTGAAGTCTCGCTACCTTATGCGTCCATAGATAGCCAAAGCGGCCTAATTGGATGCCGGGCCCTTCCAACTAAAGATGTTGCCCTTACACATCGCTCACAGCTCATTTTACCCTCGGCCATGCCATCGCAAGTTTCACCAACGAGCTCTTGCTACGAGCAATATACGCTCTCAACGCGCTCCAACGACCACGTCTCAGTCGAAGCGAGCGCCTCATTTGCCGGCAAAGCAGCGCTGGCGAAACGAAATCCGTGTATATTGAGCTGGAAAGGCTTATCCTACTCGGTCAGCACCAAGAAGAAGACTCCCAAGTGTCCTGACGGCAAGAAAGACATCCTCTTTGAGGTCACGGGACGATGTGCACCAGGAGAGCTCACGGCCATTATGGGGCCGTCCGGGTCTGGCAAGACCACGCTGCTCGACATCTTGGCCGATCGCATCTGCTCCGGCACTATCAAAGGGGACATCTTGCTCAATGGAGAATCAAGGAATACTAAAATGTTTCGAGCCGTGTCGAGTTATGTGGCTCAGGAAGATTCACTGTTGGGCTCATTCACAGTGTTGGAGACGCTGGAGATGGCGGCCAGGTTGACGATGCCCAGCGGTATTCCAAGTCTCACTACAGCCAAGCGCGTACAGAGAGTTATCGACGATATGGGCCTTCGAGTGTGTGAGAACACGATGGTGGGGGATCTTTTCCACAAGGGGATCTCCGGCGGCCAGAAACGCCGACTCAGCATTGGGATTGAGATGCTGTCGGACCCGTCGATAATTCTTCTGGATGAACCAACGTCTGGCCTCGACTCTGCGTCGACGTTCAACGTGATCAAGCTCGTCTCGCGCTTGAGTAAGGAAGGCAGGACGGTCATCTGCACAATCCACCAGCCTTCGTCGCTCGTGTATGAGATGTTCACGAACGTGGTGATCCTCACCGCTGGTCAGACCGTGTACTTCGGTCCACGCACGAAGACAATCAGCCACTTCTCGTCTTTAGGCTACCACTGCCCTCAATACCAAGACCCGGCCGAGTACTTCATCGATCTAGCGAACACGGACTTCGAGGGCCACGGAGATATCGTCCAGCTGATCAACGGATACGCGTCCAGCGCGGTCGCCGTCCGCATTCTCAGCGCCATCCGTAACGACTCGACAGGTGTTCACGCCATCAAGTCCACGATGTTGACGGCCGCGTCGCCATTTCAGCAATTTCTTGTGCTGCTGCACCGAAACCTGGTCAACAACTTCCGCAACCCTGGAATCTACTGGATCCGACTGGTGACATACACGACCCTCTCCTTCATGGCCGGGACCATGTTCCTGTCCTCGAATGAGAAGATCGTGGCCACCGATCTCGTGCTGCTCATCACGTACGTCAACATCTACCTGGTCTTCATGTCCATCGCTGTGTTGCCCTTCTTCATCGAGCAACGCGCTGTGTTTCTGCGGGAACGGACCAACAGTGGCCTGAATGTGGCCAGCTACGTGGTGGCCAACTTTCTCGGCGCATTGCCCGGTTTATTTCTCATCGCTCTGAGCTCCAGTCTTCTCATTGTGTATTTGGCCGGGCTGAGATCCTTCGGCGTGTTCCTCTTCGTGGTGTTCCTCTCGCTTGTCATAGCCGAGAACCTCATGCACCTCATTTCCGCTGTCGTGCCGGAATTCATCATCGGCATGGCCTTGGGCGCTGCGATTTTCGGGTGTTTTATCTTGGTCATGGGACTTTTTGCGCCGGGCCCCGCCATCCCCGACTACTGGCGCTGGATGCATCGACTGGGGTTTCTCTCCTGCAGCTTCGAGGCGCTGATCTTCAACCAATTCGGTGAGGATTTGACTCCTGCCGGGCTGGCCGTGCGGGCCAAGTTCATCCCGGGCGAAGTGCACGTCGGCCACGACATGGCCGTGCTGGCCGGTAACGCGGCCGCCTTCGATCTGCTCTTCGCCGCCATCCTGTACAAGTTCCACACCGGCCGTCGATAGTTGAAGTGACCATTCTCAAAATCCACCAATCACATCGCTCCAATGTCAAATTCAAACAAAAAATACCGCGAAACAGTTCCCTCCAAAATTCAATTTGGACCGAAAACGGCCGGGCCGCAGTGTATAATGGCCATGGCGGGGCGTCGGCCGAGCGTGGACCAGGTCGAGGCGCAGGCGCTGGAGGCCGCCGCGGGGCTGCGCTCCGCGGGCGCCAAGCTCGTGTGCATCGACTTCGACGCCACGTTCGTGGCCGTGCACACGGGCGGCCGCTGGACGCGCTCGGCCGCCGAGCTGCGCGTGCACGTGCGCCGCTTCTTCCTGCTGCTGGTGCCGCTGCTGTGCGAGGCCGACGTGAGCGTGGCCATCGTGACGTTCAGCCCGCAGGTGGCGCTCATCCGCGACGTGCTGTGCCTGAGCTTCGCGGCCTCCGTGGCCGAGCAGCTCGTGGTGCGCGGCGACGACCGGTCCTGGACGCTGGCCCACGCGCAGACCACGGACTTCGCGCCGCTGTGGCAGACGGACGGCCGCCACTTGGACCGCAAGTTCAAGCTACCCTTCGTGATCTCGGCCGCGCTCGAGGTGCAGCGCCGACGCGGGGCTGTCGTCTGCAATCGAGACACTGTGCTCATCGATGACGATGCCGTCAACATCCGGGTGGCCAACGACAGCGGCGTCGTGGGCGTCTACTTCGACCCGCAGCAAGAGGACGTGGAAGAGTTCTGCAGGAGCATCAGGAAGCTGCGAGCCGCGGGGAAGGAACAGGAGAAGCAGAAGGAGCCGGAGCCTGCGCCCACGCCGTTGAGAACGCCCAGTAAAAAGCCCCGGTCCGGGGCTGGTGGTGTCAAGTTGGTGGCCAAGGAGCACAGGTTCCTGGCCACTGGCACAGGCAGTGGCAGTGGGGCCAGGAGGCGACTGGGTATTGGGCCCGGCAGTGGAGGCGCCCGCACCTCGACGTTCAACATGTGCACGCCGTCGCCGGTCATGAAGTTGAAGTGCAGCGTGGACATGGGCCGACCGAGGTCCAAGCGCGCGTCCAGGATTATGAGAAACTATAGGAAAGAGATGGAGGCGGCTTTGCCCGTGGTGGCCGAGACAGCGACGTCCACGTTTTCAGTCGAGGTGCCGACGACGCCGAAGAAGCAGCGAGAAGCCCTGCGTGATACTCGTGAGCCGCAGACGTCTCCAGTTGTATACAAGATGTAGGCGACGAAAAATGGACGAGACGAACAGGATGTAGATAGACGAACCAGTAGGTATGTAGTGAGCGCTAATGAGCGTATTCAAAAAACAGCGTCGAAAACGAATGCAGCCATGTAGTGAGATGATTAATCGACGATGGTTAAACCAAAATACGTTTGTAGGTCCACTCCAATGCAATGTAGTTGTTGGTACTACAGTACACTCGCGAGCAACCTATATTCTGTTGTCAAACCTGTTGTTCTGCTCAACACTACTTCTAAAAACTCTCGTAAATACTCAGTGTAGGACTAAGAAATCAAACGACCGAAGCTTAAAGCTTTTGGAAGCAGCAAGCTGCCATTTCCCCATACGACCAGCAATTTTAACGATATCTGCGATAGCGCTAACTTCCACCATCAGGTATTGCAATATGTTGACCCTTTTATTGTGAAACAACAACACGGTCTCGACCCTAATCAATATTTTTTGGGAGAGCCCTGCCTTCAGAACGAAATTCGTGCTAACAAGCTAAAAAGGATGTTAGACGACAGCTACAAATGTTGTGTGTGTGATATTTTAATGTTTTCCCGTAGTTTAGATCTACTTTCGGTTCGATTTCGGAAAAGACCCATTATATGCACGAGGCCCACCGCCTTTTAACCAAACCACGGCACGGGGGTCGTCTGGAATTGTGAAACTGATTCCAGGTAGTCCGCACAAAAGCAACCGCTCGCGCATGCTCTGGTAGGGGTTTATCGGAGATGCCGGGGCCGCTAGGCCCCGGCGGCTCCGATCCGATTGGTTGCAGCTCCGATCTCCGACTCCGCCCGACTAAAATATCTTAAGTTAGCCAAAAGTCGCTGAAGTGAATAGAGTGGGGAGTGAACAGTAAGCCAGCACAACGTTCGAGCTCGCAATGGACGCTGAAGAGTGCAGACGGCGAGTGCAAGAAGCGAAGTCGCAGCGTGCTTTCCCGCCAAGTGTACTGTACCCGGAGCTAACGAGCTGGAAAGACGACATGGCCCCTCTCTCAAAGTTGTTTTCCCGGCCGATTGTTGTGTGGGTCCCTGAGTGTTTGAATGGGGGCAACGCTGAGTGTGCTTCTCCTGGTTGTTACTGCTCGCCACGTGTAAAGGAGTACGTACACCGTACGGTCGATCTTGTTGACGCGAAGTGCGACTTGCTTTACGTGCGGTACGAATGCGCCGTTTCTACAGGAACTTGTTTTACTACAATATCACCAGCATATTTGCAGAAGCACTTGGAGTTTCTGCTTCACTTCCCTTTTGTTTTGTCGGT